TCCGTATATTATAAATAAAAAATGTCAAAATGAGACAAACTAAAATAGAAATAAGATTATTTAAGTGAGACAATAAGCAAATTATTAATGTGGACAGATGTAGTAGAAGTTCTAAAAATTATAATAATAAAAACTATATTTAATTTAATTTAAAAAATATTGTTAATAAATAGTGTAAATGTGTGTGTAATTTTTTTTTTTTTTTTTTTTTAATGACGTGGGAACCGCAGCCGCTACCCGAAAGTGCGCATTGGATAAACCTCCGGCCGAATCTAATACCTTGCAAACCAAAGTCAACGGAAAAGACATACTAAGCAAATTATGTGTGACAAATGGACCTTAGGCGTCGGAGGTTTGAACCCATGACCTCAGGTGTGTTTCTGTAAACTTGAGTGTAGAATACTTGTCCTCCGTTGAGCTTTTGGAAGTTCGAGGGGGTGGTGTTGATGGTTAGGGGTAGTTTTGTCATTTCATGACGAGGTAAATATAATTATATTTTTATAAATAAAAATTATGTGGGACAATTTTTATACGAGGATGAGTGGTAGGGGCAAACGGATTGCAGGTGAAAGGACGAGAATGCCCCTGACGTGGGAATAATGGCAGACGGGGCCGCCGTGCAGTAGTGCCACTGTCGGTGAGTGTGAATTAATGCTCGGGAGGGAAGGGCAAAATAGGAAGTTAGAATTGGGGCACGTGAAGGTGGTGGCGTCAGGGCGTGTTTGGCCCTTTTGCTGACATTCAGGAAAGTCCTTCCACTTATGTTGACGCGACAGCCATCGAAACAAACGAGTCACTACAATTGTTAACTGTTTATTCTGTTTAGTGTTAAGATCATTATTACCATGTACTAATGTCAATGAGCACCATGACGTTTTTTTAAATAAAAATTCGTTCTATAATATTTCTTTGGCACGTGACGTATGATCAATTTTTATTATTTGCTCGTCTTACAAAAGATGATATATTTATATTTTTAATAAAATTATTAATATACGTTTAACAAATATATATATATATTAATTTAATTAAATTTATAACTTATGATACAAATGATTCATTCAAAAATTTTTTATTTCTATCTCTATTCAATCAAAACTAATTTATGGTAATAATACAAAATAAATATATAGTTTTTATTTATTTACATTTTAAACTCCTTCTGTCCCAGCTAATTTGTCCCCTTATGCATAAAGGTTTTAGGTATCATGTAAGTAAGTATTTAAAAAATATATTAGTAAAATAAGTATGATTCAATAAAAATAATTATAAATTAAGATGACTAAATTATTAAATTAAAATAAAAAATTATAAATTATGAATTTTAAAATGTGATTAAAGTTTATAATTATATTTTCATAAAAGAAAATAACAAATTATGTGAAATATACAAAAATAGAAAGAGTTGACAAATGAAGTGAAACAAATAAAGTAAAAATTGTTCTCTAAAAAATGATAGTCATATTGTATATATTTTTTATCGAGAGATAGTGCTAAAAATATTTAAAATGTCAACAAATTTACTTTTATAAAAATTAATAAAATAATAGAACAACTTATTAATAATATAACGATTTATTATTAATAATTTGAGAATCTACATTATTCTGTTACTAATAAAGGGGTTCATCCTTATTGAGATAGGAGGGTATTAGATTTAATTTTTCTAATTGAAAATAGTATATAAAATACATGTAAACATAGTGTATATTACTTTATAATAAACAAATGTTTTTTTATTGATTTTTTTTATTACTTAAAAATAATAACATGCCATGGACTAATCTAAATAAATGTTAAATATGATATTTTAAATTAAAAATATTGATTTTTTTTATATAAATTTAAAATAAAAAGTAAGTATAAAATAAATTTATATATATATAATTTAATAACTTGAGTAAATAGAACTAAAATTAAACAAAACATTTATTAATGTCGTGGAAATTGAAGTGAAACTAATAATTCATTCTTCAAGTCATATGTAAAAAATAATAAAAATAATATACTATGTGAAAAAATAATAACAGACATAGAATAATAATATTTTTAAATCAATTTAAATTCATTTTTTCTATAATAAAAATATATTTTTTTAATAAGATAAACAATAAAATAATAAAATTAGACATAGAATATGTGAAAGAAAAATGAAATTGTAATTGAAATATGCATGTCACGTGAGGGGAGGTTCAGAAAGATGTAGCAGGTCACGTGCGCCCATCTCCTGCCACTCTCACTGTTTGCCGGCTCTCGCGTGCGGTGGGCCCCGTGCTTGCTTCTATGCTATCCCGTCCCGTTAAGTTCACTCACGCCGTTATCCTCCGTTAATTCAGTGGGGTACAAATTTTTTCTCTTACCACTTATTTCCAATTTCCCCCTCTTTTACCCTTCTGTTTTTTTTTTCTTTATTTTTTTAAAATACTCCTTTATTTACCTTATTTATCTATCTGCTTTTATCTGTTTTTTATATTGGATTTTAAAAATATTAATATTATATTGAAATGTGTTATGAATAAAGTAAAAAAAGTTAAAATAATTTTATTAGGATTGTGTAATATAAAAATAATATTTCTTCCATTTTAGAACTATAGTTTGGGTTGTATTTGACACGATATTTAAGAAATATTGATATTATATTGGTAATGGGCAAAAAGTACGGACAAAAGATTTTTTTGCCCTTGCGAGGGTATTAGTGTAAAAAGTAGCTGCAATTGTGTAATAATAATAAAAAAGTAAGGGTAGTTTTATAGTAATATGATTATTTATGAAAATGAGACTATTGTTTTGAGACGGACAAAAATGGTAAACAAGACTATTGTATTGAGACGGAAGAAGTAATATTTATGTAATATATTGTAATTGTAAAAGTATTTTGAATGTTAGTAGAAAAATACAATTATTAAAAAAAAATAAGGGAAAAAAAATGAATAAATTATCAAACAACAAAGATAGTATAAAATTGGTACATACTTAAACATCAAATAGTACATTTGCTTTGGCACAAGTTTTTCTAAAAAAATATTCTGTATTATTTTTTTATAAAGAAAAAATAGAGGAAATAATATTTCATCCATTTCAAACATGGTGCAATATTTATTTTCGGTAAAAAAATTTAATTGAGTAATATTAAATATGATAATTTAAGAATTAAAATGATATGATGAGAGAGAAAATATATATTTATTTGAGTGATGTAATGAAATAAAGTATGAGATGGAGATTAAATAATATTCAATTATTTTATATTTTAAAAATACTGCATGATGTTTGAAACATATCAAACAGAAAATGTTGAAGGTGTTTAGAACAAAGAGAGTATTATTTTACTAAATATGAAAAGAATATATTTAGAGGATAGTAAAAACTAAAAATAAGAATAAATTAAACAAATGAAATACTATATATTTCTCTATCTTACAAAAAGAAAAAATCAACCGTTTAACACAATATATTATTTTTATATTATCAACACAAATTTTTTTTCAATTCTAATTAACTTGATTGAAATAGATTTGTTTGGGTATAAATTTTGATTTGAGATTTCAGCAGTAAGAAATTTATATTTGAACAATTGTATGATATGATATAAATAGATTTTGATATAATATTTTGAATATGAAATTAATTAATATAATATAAAAAAAATATATTTGATTTGATATTTTACAAATTTTTTTTAATAAATAGTAAAAATTTTATTTCGTCAAAAGAACACACCTGTTATGTTTTGATTGTTTTTTTTTTCTTTGCTTTTTTGTCCTTGCTTATTATTGAACATATTTTTATAAATTATTTTTAAAAAAGATAAAAATTATAAATAAATAAAGAAAGGTTAAAAAATAAAAAATAAAACACCTCAAATTAAAATAACAACAAAAAAGTTGAAACTTGGAAAATTATTTTAGAAGGAGAAGAAAATGGAGTTATGGGCATTGGGTGGGCGAGCACGTGACCATGAAAGGCTACAGGCGGTGCGTCGCTCTCATTCTCGTGACGCTGTCACGTGGTGGTCAACATTAATAAAACTGTGGGCCCCACTCTTGTTTAATTTGCCCGTTGCTTCTCAATGTCTACAAACACACGATTATTATGATTCTTTCTTAAAATTAAATAAATAATAAAAAAAATAAAAGTTCGAATTTATTTCAATAAATTAAAATGAAAATAAATAAATGATTGTCATATTGAATCCTTGAGCAATAAAAATTAGTTACCCAAGAATAATAATTGTAAATTTGATTGGAACGGCTCTCAATTTATTCAACAAATATTTATTATTTATTTATTTGATAAAGTCGAGGACAACGTGGTGGGAATGGTCACGTGCGCGGCTGCTGCTGGTATTACGTGGCCCCATGTCAATCAGACACGTGTCCCATCTCATTTATTGGGCTTACATCTGACTTTAATTACTTAGGGCTGGCCCACTGCTCTAATTTGGGCCTATGGATGGGCCCACTCTTGCTTTTTATTCATTAAATTGTTTTCTTCGTAAATGACAATTGTATTTATGTAAATGTAAAAATATATTATTCAATGTAAAATAAATATTCACCATTGAATTAGCCAAAAAAATTTTAAAAAATATAAATATTTATTAACACGAATACTATATATGTTTAAATCGGAACATTCTATTTTTGACATTGGTTCATTGAAATATATTACATCTCAAAAATCATTATCATTGAAACCCTTAAATATAATTTTACTTGATATAAAATTCAAATTCGACTTATTATTGTTCTATAAAAATGAATTATCATAAGTTCATAATAAATGTATTGGGCTTTTTTAAATAGTCATAACTGAAGCTTTAAGTGGCCTTTTTTGGGCCTTTACAAACAAATGGCCCAACGGATTTTTTAAATATATATTTATTAAAACAATATTATTAATTAATGATGAATATATATTATTAACAATATTTATCAAATTCAACGAATAGACACTCCCCCCATCCTTTTTTTTTTTAATTGTTATATATATATATTGAAAAAAACAGTCGGAATTCGAGGGTGGAGTGTTGCAGTGAAGCATTTCCCGCAATCATCAATTTTTTGTGGATAAACTGAAACCTCTGAAGCAGCTCGGATTCGCCATCGTTTTTGCTGATTTTCTACTTATCCGCCTCGCTAACCACTTCAATCGGCTGGAGCTTCCGATTCCCGGCGAATCTGTGACCGGAGAGAACCAAAATTTTCGCTTCTTTCAATGAGAGCTCTGTTCTGTTGATTAGTTAGTTTATTTTTGGGAAATGGCTACTGAGGATTACAAATCGCTCGACTGTATATCAGTTGAAGATATAGCGGCTTTGGGCATATCCAAAGACGAGGCGGAGGAGCTTCATCGGAAGCTCGCCGGAATTGTGCAGACATGCGGCGCCGGTAGCCCTCAAACATGGCACAACATCTCGAAGAATCTTCTCACGCCGGAGCTCCCATTTTCTTTCCATCAGATGATGTACTATGGCTGTTACAAAGATTACGGACCTGATCCTCCGGCTTGGTTGCCTGAACAGTATATACTTCGATCTATTTTATTTTATTACTATCATTAAAGCTTTTCTTTATTTTCTGTAGTGTAGAACTTAGCGAGCGGATCAATACGGTGGCTGCTGCATTTAGTGAGTGTAAATGTTTTTGTGCTAATTTGTTAGATTCTTTGCTAGGTAGGTAATTATGGATTATAACTTCATTGAAGTGATGTGTAATCTTGATGAGTAATTTGAAGCGTGAAATAATATCTTTAGCCATATTTCTTTTGATAAATTCTATAATAATTCATGGGTTGGGTATGCTTAGAGACTTTTTTGTTTTGGGAATCGCAAAATTTTGAATTAAATTAGTTTTGTGTGTTTTTGTTGACTTTTATTGTTATACATATACATTGTATATTATATAATCGTGTATCTTTAAAACACTAAAGTGAACACACATATCCGTGTAGGATTAATTTTTTATGTTAATAACCAAGGGCCTTTTTTACCCACTTCAATCCCTGGTAAGAACATAAAACATAGCATTAAGGCATGAAATTTGAGCAAGAAATTAAAGATCTTTGAAGTTTAAACTTTTGTAGATTGCACTTAATGAGTAATATTTGTGTACATAGACATCCAAAAACTTTGGGTGTAAGATAGCCTTCCTCTTGTAGGTATATATATAACCAAATTAATTTTGGTGTAGTTATATGGAGGCCTTGATGTTGTTGTGTAATGAGATCTGCAAGGACTAAGTGAGAATTAACCATGCTAAAATCATATGTTGGTTTGGTTGATAGAACACAACCTATATCGAACATATGATGCTTTTGTGAATTTTATGAAGTGACATGAGTTGCTTGGGATAAGCGCAAGAAAATTTTAGATGTAACAAAGCCCAGTTACGAAAATGGATGATAGAAGTTATATAATATTATCAGAAGATGATGAAGTAGATCAAGTTATCCCTGCATGCTCATAGCTATTGATCTTGTACAGTGGGAGTGTAAATTCGACTAATGTTGGCAAGCTACTGGAGGAGCATGGAAAAGAGTTTTTAGGGTCCAAATATGTGGATCCTATTACAAGCTTCCGAGATTTTCAGGAATTTTCAGTCTCAAACCCTGAGGTTGGAGTGAAGTGTTCATCATATTGCTGAGCTCTTAATTTTTGCAGAATTGTAATTACTAGTTGTTTCGATCTTACATTGGCCATTTTTTTCTTTCTTAGGTTTATTGGAAAACTCTGTTTGGAAAAATGAATGTCTATTTCTCAGTTCCTCCTGACTGTATTTTGCTTGAGGATCCGACCTTCCTAGGTGGTCACTGGCTTCCATCTGCTACTACAAATCCAGCAAGCAATTGCCTGAGATTGAGTGCTGAAAGGAAACTTGAGGATGTTGTTGTGATATGGCGTGATGAAGGAGATGACAACACACCATTAAAGACAATGACTCTTGAGGAGTTATCCAAATCTGTTTGGTATGATGTTGATTAAGAGTTTGATATTCTTAAATATTGTGATCTAATGGTGCTTACAACATCAGGTGTTTGTGATACTACTTTTTATGTTTCATAAATGATGGCAATTCGTCCAAGTATAGTTTCATAAGCTCTCATGTGTTTCTTGCAATATAATCCATTTCAAATATGGTTGTCTAGTGCTAATATTTTGCATGGCTCTAAAAAATATGAATGTTGGATAAGAGGAGCTCTGTTTCTGCAGGCTGGTTGCTCATGCAATAGAAACTCTGAAATTGGAGAAAGGCTCTGCCATTGCTATAGATATGCCAATGGATGTTAACTCTGTGGTGATCTACTTGGCCATAGTACTTGCTGGCTATGTAGTTGTTTCCATTGCTGATAGCTTTGCACCAAATGAAATATCTACAAGGCTAAAACTGTCAAAAGCAAAAGCAACATTCACTCGGGTACGATTACCTTCAATTTTTTTAAGAATGGACAATCATATGTCTAACGCCTCCAATGGTCTTTGGGCTGTTAATTAGTAATGCATAGTCCTAACCAATAGAATATCTGCACTACATTCATGGATGCTTGGGTAGACCTGTAGCCACTTGATGTTGGTGGAATGGTGCTGCTGTACTGACTTGTGTTAGATGTGACCTTAAAGTTGCAATATATATGCTTGATGTTAAATTGAATGGTACATATTGTCTTACCTATATCTAAATTTATTCATATGCCAGGATCTTATTCTTCGGGGCAGCAAAGAAATTCCGTTGTACAGGTAAAAATATTAGAAAAATTAATTTGCAAGTTTACTTAACGTTATACATGCATCTTTCAAGAAGGTACTATATATGACTCCAAAAGAATAGGGTAAACTCCTAGCTCTAGTAGCTTTGATCGTGACAATTGGGAAAACATTCTTTACCCTCTACTGAAATAGAATAAAGGTTCTCAATTCATGTGCTACCTGATTTTATATTTGTTGCACTCCCCAATTAGATTCATTGAAAATTCTCGCCATATGACTTTGCTGACAGGTATCTCCTAATTCCATTCTGTTCTTTGTTGATTTGTTTGTTTCTCATCTTCAACACTACAGGAGAGTTGTAGATGCTGAATCACCAATGGCAATTGTAATTCCCACAAGAAGAACCGGCTTCAGCATGGAATTGCGTGATGGCGACATTTCCTGGCAAAGTTTCCTTGAGAGAGCAAATGCTTCCAAGTAAGCATGCTAGTATATGTATAATTTTTATGCCACTTAACAAGATAGCATCCTATTGCTTGGTGTTTAGAAGCATTACATGCATCTAACCTTTATTTGTTAACTACTCAATTTTATAAAAAAAAAATTATATCCAACACCCAATATTCATACAAAACATCACATTCATCAATTAGGCCACCTCAAAAACATCAAAATCCAAAACAGTGAAACACACACCCTTGAGAATAGATTTTAACTCATCAACTTTAAATTTAAAGCTCAAGTGAAGGCCCTCCATGAAAACCTTGATGGTTTTCCGTTTTTCAAATCCATCTCTTCACATGAGGTTCAATAGTAATGTCTAGATTTAAAAGGATCTTTTTCATATAACCAGGTTCAAGCTCTCATTCTAGGTAATTGATACTTGCAGAGATGTTGAGTATATTGCTGTTGAGCAAACAACTGAAGCATACACAAACATACTTTTCTCTTCAGGAACGACAGGTAATTTGGTAATCAAAGTATTGTATATTTGTGGACAACCTTTTCTGGTAAATTTTTGTTGGAATGTGAAATTCAGTGCCTCTCCATCTAGCTATCAGAACTCGTCAACCTCTTACATATTGTCCTGGTAGAAAGTTCAGATGTTTGTATTTTTTGTACCATCATTGAATTATATATCAGATCTTGAAGGAATGAGACATAAATCCTCCAAAAGCTTAGCTTATTTGCTCTGAGCACTTTGACAGAAGGGTTTAGTTGCTAAACAATTTATCCTCCCTGCTCTCACGTCGCATGGAATGAGTAAAATTTAAGCACAGAATGTTCTAGGATCATACAGAGAATGAAGTTGTTCATGGAATACACTTCTACTACCATTCATTGAGAAATCTATCTTGCCATATTTTTAGTCCCCTGAGGTGGCTAAATCAGCACTCGAACGAATACTGGGACAAATGTTTTATGTTATTGTTAAATCAACATTAAGTAATAGTTGATAAGATAGTGCCTTAATTAGTGTAAGAATGTTGAAGTTGTTTAATTATATGGGGTAATTACATCGCAACTGATTTGTTTGTGCTGCAGGGGAGCCAAAAGCAATCCCTTGGACTGTTGCTACTCCTTTTAAAGCTGCTGCAGATGGTTGGTGCCACATGGACATTCGGAAAGGTGATATAATTGCTTGGCCAACTAATCTAGGGTGGATGATGGGACCTTGGCTTGTTTATGCTTCATTGTTGAATGGAGCTTCAATAGCTTTATATAATGGATCCCCCCTTGGTAGAGGCTTTGCGAAGTTTGTTCAGGTGATATTGAACTTATTAATGTGCATGTAGATTATTCATAAAGTTAAGGTTATGGATATGTATAATAATGGGTCTCTGTATTAAGCCTTATTCTTGAAAATTAAGGTTATGATCTCTATCTTAAGTTGGATAATTGGTGGATATTTGTATTCTATCGTATAGAACAACATTAAAGAATTTTGCATTATATGCTTGTAAATGATGTGCAAGGGTGATATTCGGTGTAGTCCATTTTATTGAGAAGATATGCCTACTAGGAAATTGAAAGTGCATTCAACTTAAAACCTAGGCTATGCCTCATAGTACCTTTTTTTTCTTGTTTGAAGCTTTAATTTTTTGACTGTTTTTTCAATGCTCGACTTCCTTATGAGATTTCCTTTTTTCAAATTATCTACATTGTTTAGAACTGGATGTATGTACTACCAACATCACATAGTTTTAAGCTGAAATTCATGAGGTGGGAAGTACTGAGTACCTATTTTTTTGCACATATAATGTTGTTCTGGCATTATATATATATATATATCGTTATAAAAATGATTTCCTGGCTTTAAATTTTTCCATCTATATTTTCGTGATTCAAAATCTATTATTTTCCAGGATGCTAAAGTAACGATGCTGGGTGTAATCCCTAGTATTGTGAGGGCATGGAAAAGCACAGATGCACCTGCTACTTATGACTGGTCAAGTATTCGGTACGTCTAGTTAATATAGATCATATATCAATTGTTGTGAGCAGTGTGTTCATCTACTTCCTCCTCGACCTGCATTAACCTTTTTATCCTATCTCTTCTTCTATTTTTGGGTTGTGGAAGTATCCAACCAAGGATAGTGCTATTAAATTTGATTTTTTGAATTTCACTGCAAATATTCTTATGTTATACGGTGCACATGCATGTTTTGAGACGAGCTTTGCTTTTGCAGTCCTTTTATTGTTGTCATGTGTTACAATTTGCATGTTTTAAAAGCTTTAGGACATTAGTTGCCTGATAATCAAATCTGAAAAATTAAAGGTAGGAAGTATTCGATATTGGCTTCCAAATAATGAGACTGTTAGTGATATCTTATGGACTCAAATTATACATTTTCACCTGCATTTTCAGTACTCTAATATTCAGATTGAGTAAGATTGCTGTTTTCTTATTTTTTATAATAGTTAATTATTTTTTTCAATCTCACTCTATGAAAATACCGACTGTACCGAAGAAACTTCTCTTCAATGAGCATTGCCGTCAAACATTCCTCTGAATTGAGTAGTTGCTATTTACCTGCTGTAGCTGCTTCGCGTCTACTGGCGAGGCATCAAATGTAGACGAATACCTCTGGCTGATGGGCAGAGCTAAATACAAGCCCGTGATCGAGTATTGCGGTGGGACTGAAATTGGCGGCGGATTTATTACCGGTTCCTTATTACAGAATCAATCTCTTGCAGCTTTCAGCACACCCGCAATGGGTTGCCATCTGTTTATTCTCGGTGACGATGGACTTCCACTAGTAAGCTCCTCCAGAAACCCGTTTATCAATTTGACCTTCAACAAATGTATATCTCGAATGCAAGGAAACCCATAGCTAACTATCCTCGTGCTGTTTATTATGCAAAGCCTCAGGGCAGCCCGGGAATGGGCGAACTGGCCCTCTGGCCGCTCATGTTTGGAGCTTCGAGCACTCTACTGAATGCCGACCACTACGACGTGTATTTCAAGCAAATGCCAGTTTTGAATGGAAAGGTTTGTACTGTGTTGCCATAAATTATCCTTTCCTTTGCATCATTTTATTGTACCTTTCGTTCTCCGACAGGTTCTCAGACGACATGGCGATGTCTTTGAGTGCACGTCGAGAGGATTCTACCGCGCACATGGCCGTGCTGACGACACCATGAACCTCGGAGGCATAAAGGTAACAATAAAACCGATATAATCGGTTAATAATTATCACACCTAAAAGTTTAAATTTGAAGGATACGTATTATTTATTTATTTATATGTTATGAAATCAACCACACATTAGCAAAACGCTAATAGGCGCCTTTATATATATATAAAAATTCAGGTGAGCTCAGTAGAGATCGAGCGCATCTGCAACTCAGTCGACTCGACCATTCTCGAAACGGCGGCAGTGGGAGTGCCGCCAGCCGGTGGCGGGCCTGAGAAGTTAGCCATCGTTGTCGTGTTCAAGGATCCCGACGAAGCCGCAACAGACACCAGCAATCTGGCTGCTTCTTTCAACTCTGCCCTGCAGAAAAAACTTAATCCTCTCTTCAGGGTAACTCTTTTTTTGCATATACATTCAATTCATAATTAAATATATACATTCATAGATGTATATTTATATAAGCAAGGTTGAATCTTGGTGCAGGTGTCTGATGTTGTGCCCCTTACTTCACTTCCCAGAACTGCCACAAATAAAGTCATGAGGAGGGTTTTGAGGCAACAGCTTTATCAAAATGGTCAAAATGCTAAACTTTAATTTCTTCATTTTATGTATTACTATCTTGCGCAAATTTGTTCCACTCAAATATGATATATTCCTAACTAATTTGTATCATAAAATGGTTGTTGTTATGCTGAATTTTATAATATAGCAATAGGAACAAACAATACTCAATTTTATGTTAATATAATAGAAATGCAGCAAATAATACAAAATATATTTTTATATGCTATCACTGGTTAAATATATGTTTTTTTTAACCGAACTATAGTTATAAATTGACAACACTTGTTTTTATTTAATACAATATGTTAAATAAATGCATGTTCTATATGGTTGTATATTTTATGTGCTGTGGGAACTCATTTTAGGATTAGCATATGTTGTTGGGATTCAATATAAGTTAAATTGTATGAATGTACATTTCTTTAGTTCTATAATAAAATAAAAAATAATAATATTTTATTAGTTAATTATAAGTTAATTGTATGAACGTAGATGTGTTTTTAGTTCTACAATAAAATAAGAAATAATAATATTTTATTAGTTAATTGAATGAATGTGTAAGAAATTTTAAAATTTTGTCTTTTTATTGATATAGTTTTAGTTTAAGTAGAAGTTGCATTTTGGTATTAGCCTATGAAATCTTTTTTTTTTTTGGACTTTCTATGGTTCTATTTATATAATAATATTAGAAAATTCATTTTATTTAATTTATATCAAATATATATATATTTTCTATAAAAAATTACATTAAATGTTATACTCAAAATTATAAAATGATGGAGTATAAATTTTCCAATTGCTCTTGGTAAACGGAGCCTATATTTTTGGTGTGTAAATCGAATAGTTATTAATTGAAGGGGTTGAACGTAACTTCACGAAACTTTGTGGGCCTTCTTGTAATTCTCACAATATCCATTGCTGAAAGATGAAACAAATAAGCCCACAGAGAAACTTCAGCAGTCCCCTCTCACTGCGACCGCGCTATCGGGAAGTGTCTTTTTGGGGCTTCTCCTTGAATTCCATGGCGATTCTGTAATCTTCCAGCTCAAGAATTCCGGAAGCGGATACATGAGTTTATGTGTTGAGTGGAATCAGAAATATACGGCTTGTAATTTCATGGCGGCGACGCTTCTATCGAATACCTTGACCTCGTCTTTCCATGGCCGCCGACTGTAAGTTTATCCTTTCTTTTCCTAGCATTTCGCCTGCGATTGATTAGGATTCTAAGTTTTATATATATATCGTTGCCTGGTACAGCACAATTCGAAGCAAATCGAAGGAAACTGCGCCGTCTGGCTTCAGTTTCAGGAGCCCTAGGTGCACGGTGGATACGCCGTATGAAGGTGCGTTTCTGGAAGGATAAAACAATTTGATTATGCTACATAATCTATTGATTTATTTCTTTACGTTTTCATGTGGGAACTATTTCGTTTTTATGGTTTCGATGTGAACACTAGTGGATTGTGGAGGTTGAACGAAGACATTTTAGACCTAAGATTGTGTTTCAAACATCTTTAGGTAACATCTCAAAGTTCCCTAGAATGAATGTTTGGAATCCTTACAAGCGCCTGGGTATAAGTCCGTACGCTTCCGAGGAAGAAGTTTGGAGTGCTCGGAACTTCTTGTTGAGCCAATATGCTGCTCATGAGAGAAGTGCAGAATCGATAGAAGCAGCTTTCGAGAGGCTGCTAATGAACAGCTACAAGAATAGGAAGAAAACAAAGATTAACCTAAAAACCAGGCTAAAGAAGCAGGTTGACGAATCGCCGCCGTGGGTAAAAAACTTGCTCAGTTTTGTGGAGATTCCACCGCCAGTGATCATTTTAAGACGGCTATTCCTGTTTGGTTTCATGGCATGCTGGAGTGTGATGAACTCTGCTGAAGCTGGACCTGCTTTTCAAGTAAGTTTTTTATCTGCCTTCGATTGAATTGTTGTATTGTTTTGATAGTTATTGCTACTCCTTTATTGTTGATTTACATTCGTATCATTCTTAGTATGAAATATGTAGCTGAACTTCATTGATTGGAATTGGATATTATTTCTTGCATAATGCCAGCAATAGCTTCTGTATGATCGAATTTAGATTGTTTTCATATACATGCAAAGCATTTGAACCTAGAGGCTGGCTATATGTTGTTCTAGAAGGATTTACCGAAGTTGTGCGATTTTAGAGGCTTAGGTTTCTTGTCTTTATGATATCCTGTAACTGTGATTCTAAGAAGCCAGGAGTTAGATTAGTAACTCTGGATCTCTGAAAGCAGAGGCTCCAATTATCCATAAAGAGCGAAATTGAGTATTTAAAAAATAAGAAAAGAAACCATGATTGGGTCTGGAGGAGAATATATTTTTTTCATATAGATCAAGAAAGAGTCGTCTCCTTCTCTTACCCTTCGAATGCAAGGGAGCTGGGGATCTTTACGTCCCCATGGTTTCTATATATTCACTTATCAGTATCTTGATATACATATATATATATATATATTCTTTTAATTGTTGAGGGAAACCTAGGGAAATTTACAATTTCATTTTGCTCCCGCAACAACGAATCAAAATAAATTCTTTATGCAAATTACATGATTGAATTGACATACACCTGTCTATAGAACTTTTAATCTATCCGGATAGTTGCCAATGGCAATCCAATCTAAAAAGTTTCAAATGAATATGAGAATATACACATAGGAAATTACGAGTAGTTGGAAATGTGACTTGGTGCTTGTGTATTTGCACCTGTAGGTTATCGTCAACTCTTCAATACCGATCTTTTACAAAGCACCATATATGTATACGTATCAAAATGCTTTTCTTTTGTGTACAGGTGGCGTTATCTCTCGCAGCTTGCATATACTTTCTAAACGACAAAAACAAAAGCTTGTCTAGAGCTGCCATCATCGGGTGAGTTTCTCTCATGTTTGGTATCCTTGTTCGACTTTTTTGATAATTTATTCATGAATATGTCGTGGTATGTCTTTTGTAGATTTGCAGCTCTTGTGGTCGGGTGGATTTGTGGCTCGTGTTTGGTCCCATTGATTCCGTCGGTTTTGTTGCAGCCGACGTGGAGCCTCGAACTTCTTACATCCCTGGTAGCTTATATATTCCTCTTCTTAGCCTGTACTTTTCTCAAGTGAGGTAACTAACTAGATTTGATCCAATTACCTTCTTGCGATTAAGAAATTGCTAAAGATGGTTCGGTTTTGAGTTGTGATTCTTGATTTTATGTCTTCTTTTTTTTGGAATGATTGTTATGTCATTACAAATTCAATTTCATTGAGCTGATGTTTCTTTGGAAATATTTTGATGTTGATGTTGAGGTGAGCTTGGAATCTCATCAATCAATTCAATTATATATAGTGTCTCTCTCGCTCTATATACGGCCTCTCTCTCTATATATGTATAGTGTCTCTCTCTCTATATATGGCCTCTCTCTCTCTCTATATGTATAGTGTCTCTCTCTCTCTATATATATGGCCTCTCTCTCTAGGTGTAAACTGATACAAAAAATTGAGTTGCTTAAATTTTCATTTTCAAACAATGTACGGAAGTTACAGGTCATGATTTCACGATCACATATTTACTTCTACACCGCCAGATATTCTTAATTATATTTATTTAACTTACTTGAAGATATTTTCTTCCTTGGGCCATATACACATTTGCTTTTGCTTTTATTCTTTTTAAATGTGAAATTCGAAACGAAAACGCAATAGACAAATTCAGGCCGAACCTGCGGAAGGTATTCTGAACTCTTGCGGACTTCGAAATCGGCGGTGAAGGGAAATGAAATATATTTCGAAATATCGAAAAAACCCCAGGAAGTATCCCAAATATCAGAATGACCCCACCTGCTGCTACCTACCCTTCTTGGTCGCTTTCGTCCTTTATTTCTCAGTTGTTTCCTAATTTCTAACGCCCCCTCCATTTCAGTCTCCCAACAATCTCTGCTCTCTTCGCCCCTTAGCGGATTCCCCAATATATTCCTCTCCCCTATTTGCTCCATATAATCTTCGATCAGTCCTCTACATTCCGTCGATTCCTCTGCAATGGCGGTGACACCTACACAGCTCTCGAAGCCGTTTTTCTCTACTAAATCTATCCAGCAACCGTCGCTCTGGTTTCCGGCGACGCAACGGGTGAAATCAGCGAGATTCACCGTCCGCAGCTCCGTCTCCGCCGCGCCGGCGCACGCCGTGGCTTCGAAGGCTGCGGCGGCGAAGGTGAAGTCGGTTAAGGGGAGGCAGATTGTAGACAGCAGAGGAAATCCGACGGTGGAGGTTGATCTGATCACGGAGGACGGATCGCTTTACCGCTCCGCCGTCCCCAGCGGCGCCTCCACCGGAATCTACGAGGCGCTTGAGCTGAGAGACGGCGATAAGAGCGTGTACGGGGGCAAAGGCGTGCTCAATGCGGTTAAAAACATCAATGAGGGTTTAGGACCTAAGCTCGTCGGGATTGACGTCAGGTAATTTCGTATCTTCTGCACATAGTTAGAGTTTGTAAGTTCTGTGCTATTGAAGTTAATAATAATAATATTGTTATTATTATTATTATTATTGATTTTGATTGTTAGTTTGGTTTGGATTTAAAATTTTTTTAGTAAACAATATGTTTTAGATCTCTACTTACAATACTTTTGGATATTTGTCACTGTACAGTTATTTTGAAAAAATATTGCACTAAATACATTTTTATTCTCACAAAATATAGCATCAATATGTTTTTAAAATGTTTTGGATTTTATTGTTTTGAATGAAAAATAGAGATCTTCTTAGGTGTGTTTGTTTGGAGGTTTGTATTTTGAGTTGAGATTTGAATAGTAAAAATTTTGAATTGTAATAATAGTATGACGTGATATAAATAGGTTATGATGTAATGTTTTGAATGAAAAATTAATTTACAGTATAATATAAAAAATAAAAAGAATAAAAAATAGATGTTTGATTTGATGTTTTTGGGAAAAAAAATTAACGAATAGTAAGAATAAATCTTACAGACGAACACATCCTCTCATTGTAGAATAAATAGTTCGAAAGTGACAACACATACTAGTTTGTTTGTTTTTGGATTTAGTTTTGATAATAGTAAAGATTTAAATAAAAATAGATTTTGAAAATGATGTTTTTAAGGAGGAAAAAATGCATGTATTGTAAAATTAGTGCACAAACATATTTGAAAAGCAACCAACCTAAGGAATAGGCTCTTTTTAAATAAAAATTTTCATAAGTTTTGGGGTATTGGAAAATTATGAGAATGGTAATAAGCTTAGTTACATGATTAATGTTTTATGGGATAAAAAATGTTTATAATATAATATATATTTTTTAAAATTACTATTGACGAATAATGCGAAAAAGTTCAAAAAATATCTGTAGATAATGTGACATGTTCTATGTTGAATTGGTGTTTTTTGTCAACTAAGGAATCAGAAGGATGTCGATGCAGTAATGCTCGACATCGATGGAACCCCAAATAAATCGAAGCTTGGGGCGAATGCAATCCTAGGAGTTTCCCTAAGCGTATGTCGAGCTGGTGCAGGAGCAAAGGGCGTGCCCCTTTACAAGCACATCCAGGAAATCTCGGGAACAAAAGAGCTTGTCATGCCAGTCCCGGCGTTTAATGTTATAAACGGAGGAAGTCATGCCGGGAACAATCTGGCGATGCAAGAATTCATGATACTGCCCACAGGAGCAGCCTCGTTTTCCGAGGCACTTCGAATGGGCAGTGAAGGTTAGTAAAACTCGATTGATTCTTGTTGTGATTATTTGGAAAATACGTCGAGAGGGTTTTAATTGTGTCCCTCTTGAATCCCGCACAGTTTATCACACCTTGAAAGGAATTATCAAAGATAGATACGGGCAAGATGCGTGCAATGTTGGAGACGAAGGTGGTTTTGCTCCAAATGTGCAGGATAACAGGGAAGGATTGGTACTGCTAGTCGATGCAATAGAAAAGGCCGGTTACACGGGGAAGGTAGGATTGTTAATATTCTTATTCTACTGTAACCTTTTGTTGTTTTTAGTAGAGCCGTAAAATAAATGAACAGTTTGCGAGTTTGATTCGGTTCGGCTAGTTTGACCTTGTTCGTTAAGCTAAACGAGCCGAACACGAACATAAATTTTGGCTCGTTATGTTCACGAACGAGCTCAAGTTTGTTCGCAAATGTTTGATTGTATTTATTAGAAAAATTAAATTAATAATTTTATATTTAATAAGTATATTACTTTTATAAATATTATATTTCATTCTATTTTATTTAAATTTATTAATAAAAATTAAATTATTATTAACTGAATTAATTTTTTTTAAAAAAATAAATAAATAAAATGAAATTTCTCTTAACTAGCTAAATCGAGTCGAACACAAACAAAAAAAAAATTGCTAAACGAGTCGAGCTCAAACAAAAATTTCAGTTCGTATCTCTTAATAAACAAACACGAGTCGAGCTCAAACATGACAAGCTCGGCTCTGTTCGGCTCGTTTATAGCTCTAGTTTTTAATCTCTAATATACTTTGGGTGTGTTTGTTTGGGAGTTTGGATTTGAATAGTAAAATTTTTTAATTAGAATAGTTGTATGATATGATTTTTGAATATAAAATTAATTTTTAGTATAATATAAAAAATATGTGTTTTGATTTGATGTTTTTTGTTGAATAGTAAATTTTTGGAAAAATCTCATACACGAACACACCATTTGTTGAAAACTATTTATCCAGATCAAGATCGGGATGGATGTTGCTGCGTCCGAGTTCTTGACTAAGAAAGGGGAGTTTGTGGAGTATGATCTCAACTTCAAGAAGAAACCAAACGACGGTGCTCATGTAGTTTCAGCACAACGTCTTGGCGACTTGTACAGAGATTTTATCCTAGAGTTCCCTATTGTATCGATTGAGGATCCATTTGACCAGGACGATTGGGGTTCATGGGCATCGCTGCAATCCACAGTCGATATCCAGCTTGTGGGTGATGACTTATTAGTCACAAACCCAGAAAGAATAGCCGAAGCCATTCAGAAGAAGGCTTGCAATGCTTTGCTACTAAAGGTATGTCCTAGCTCAATAGTTTGCGTTCTATTCGACATGGCATATGCAAGAACGAGGTTTTTTGTTAACTACCGAATGATCTTGCAGGTTAACCAGATTGGAAGTGTGACAGAATCTATTCAAGCGGCGCTCGACTCAAAGGCTGCCGGATGGGGGGTTATGGTTAGTCATCGTAGTGGAGAGACCGAAGACAATTTCATCGCGGATTTGGCTGTAGGCTTGGCCAGTGGACAGGTTTGGCAAATCTTGTTTATTCATTGCAGTTTTCTTTCAATTATTGTTTCGTAGATTTTCACTATGTATATATCTTCTACTGTAGATCAAGACAGGAGCTCCTTGCCGAAGTGAGCGGTTGGCCAAATACAATCAGGTAAAGCTTATTATTATTCCTGTGCTGAAAATGAGGTTGAGTTTAAAATAACATGAGTTTGACAATAGGAGTGGGCAAAAAAATCAAACCGAACCGCCAAATAGGACGGAACTGAACCGAATTTTCGGTTAACAAATACAAATTATGTATACTCGAATCATGCCCGGCCTATCTGACAGTCGACCACCTTAGATATTGATTACTAAGAGTTAGTCAATGAATAGACTCATAGGTGCTTGAGCTTTTTCCTTTGCTTGTTTTCTTGCAGCTTTTGCGCATTGAAGAGGAACTCGGAAATGTTCGCTACGCTGGCGAAGCTTTCCGGTTTCCTTAGGAAAAAGGTGTGTGGAGGAAGGGATTGAAAGCAAAATAATGCTTCAGAGTTTTGTTTTGTTTTGTATTGAGTGAAATCAACTAGTTGAGATCGCAATCAATTATCGATCCTCTTTAGAATAAAGAACAGCACAAATGGGAAATCTAGCTGTGGTTTATTTTGGACTAGAACTATGTATTTTGAATCTGTTTTGTTGTAGAGACATTCTATTTAGTGTTGCTTTTGATATCGAATTGAGACAAGCTGTGAATTGCTTGTTAAGCCTTTTAAGATACACTTCAATTATCCACTTCTCTCTAGACTATGTTAAGGATTTCAATCAAGAAACAAGATAGATACATGTTATGTGGCAGGGCATTGCTGAAAAGCACAACATATGATGATTTTAGTACATGACATACTCTTATACAATACACGTGTAATTATCAACAAAGATCATGTACTTTTATTACACACAACATATGCTAGGTGTAATAATATTTGTATATATTATGGGTGTTGATTTGGCAGTAGTTATGGTGTTAATTTGTGCCGACATCATATCAAATATAGACCGCTAGCACTTGAGGTATAAACCGACAGTGCAATTATTGATCTCACCACAAAGGTATATAACATAGCACATATGTAAAATATTAACTAATAATGTGTTGTCACTACACTATGGCAGGCACCCGAACTATTTCTACTTCCCATGTTATGCATATGTTGTATCAACTATCACTTCAATGATCAACTTATCCTATAATATCGACACAGCCTAGCTCACTGCAATAGTAACCAACTTATTCCTACAAATCGAAGGAGAAGGATTTACAAATTCATAAAACCAGCAATCGGACTTTTTCCATCAAACACCAATCCATATTGTAAGAATGGGGACAAAAAATACTCAGCATCAGCTAGAAAAGTAAGCACTTTGTGTAAATAGCTTCGTAAAAGGAATATGGCTCCTATAACATGTAGTTGCTAGACAGGAGATATGAAACAAGTATAATAACAGAGGATTAAGATTGTACCCAATTTATAATATGCCTTCATTTCTTTACAGACGGACCCGCGTAGTTTCTCGACACCATATGGAGGTCAGGAGGTGTGTCGATCTCCGAAAGCCAAGCATATTCCTCGTCTTTCCCAGAGCCACTTCCATCCTCATCTAAAGCTGCAAAATCCAGTTTCGGCATTCATGGTAACTACACTAGGGTAGCAAATTTCGATAAAAAAAACACCTGATTCAAGAAGCTACTTACGGCTGATGGGGCAAGGATAATCATGGTAATAGGAACATTTCCTGCCAGCAGAGTCATCATAAGGAGGTGCAAGGATGTCGAGAATAGCACAAGGAGTTACTGCAGTAAAAGCATGTAGATTTCCTCCTCTCCTTGGATACAAGACAGAAGTATTACACGGTGCAGTTAGAACTTTGTCCGCTGCCAATTTAGCCAGTCGCACCGTAACTGAAATTAAGATAAAGGTGATGATTGACAATATAACATGAAAAGTTTGATAAAGGAAAGTACAATTAGCACCCGACTTGTTCACATCTTGCATACTACCCCATTATTGGTAAAAGCAACTCCGACTACCCACAGAGAATTTTGTTGCAATGCCAACTTGCAATCAAGATAATTTTATATTTGGAAAGCTCAAACAGAGGAACTACCCTCCCACACTTTTTACCATCTACAGACTGTGGTAATTTGGAGGTAGCCACAATTAGAAATAGTAAATAGTGAATTGGAAATTGATACAAGTGACATAGAATATACCTGACGACTTATTGTTTCCTTCAATTTTACGGATGCAAGCTGGCTCTACCCAATCATAAGCCTTGACATGCAAGGAACCATATAATACCTTGCTGAAAACAGTCATTCCAGGATGGTCATGAAGAGGAATAACAGCAGACGTAGGGAAGCAAAACATGCACATCTGCAATAAATTCATGTGATTATGCTCAGACAGAAGTGGCATAAACAGGTAGCGCTATTACCTATGTTTTGTAGTTGTTTCATTCCCTGAATCTGATACTCAAATGACTTAGTTGGCAAAATTTGAAGTCCTGATCCAATTTACACATACGGAAGTTTATGAAAGGGAAGAAAATGGTGTCCATGGTCCCATCGTTTTAAAATCAAATAACATCTTTGCAGGACAGTTTTCTGGATTGGGGTAGGGACTACAGCCAAAAAGACATTCAAAATCTCAATTAACTTTTTCGTTTCATATTGCAAACATGTAGACTGATTATGCACGGAAGTAAAATAGAATTAGAAACTTAGAATAGGTTCTTCCAACTATTCCCAGTATTATAATCTATATTTTGCTTAAAACTAGTGCACCAACAATTAGGTGTAAGAATTCTATATTAATAGTCTCATCATGCTTTAAAGTAATATAAACTCTAATATCTGCAAGTATTAAAAGTTTTCACTAAATGTCACTTGAACTCAAGATCAAAATGCAATTTTGAAGGCCAAAGAAGCTAAACTCTTAAAGATTGCAAAGAATGATGATACTGAACAAAACTTAAACTAAATCAGACGTGATAAACCTTGATAAGTATGTCAATGAAAGATTTCTAGAGAAAAAATTATAACTAAAAGGGGCATAACATACAGTGAAATTTTCTCCCTCATGTATATCCACATAGTTTATTGGTTGAGCCCATCGATCTACTCTACTGAACGAAAGAATTCCAAAAGGACCACGGCCCCTGTCATCCTCTTTACTTGCATCACTAAGACCAACATCAGCAGGACCAATTGTGTCTGCAAAACATCCATACTTTGCTTTACAAAATGTTTTCCCAAACCCCAACATGATTTGAAAGATCTAATTTAGAAAGCAATTAATGATTTAAAGCTTGATAAAATACAATATCACACAAAAACCATTTCACACTAGTTAATATCCTCCAAATCCTAACAAACAACATCAAGAATCCCAGAATTAGCGAACTTCACAAAAAGCTGTGTAAGAACATGTGAAGATGACTATGAAAATTACATCAAGAGCTTCAACTGCAAGAAGAGGAGCATGCAATGCAATATAAAACCACCAAACCATCTACACATCTTAAATTTCTGGCCACAATTTTGCACCGAGTTAGATCATCTCCATGAACATTCACAGTATTCCCAAAATTCCTAAGAATTTTTAACTCTACACTCATTCTTGTATAATAATATTTACTCTGTCAAAATCGACAACAAGCAGTAAGTAGACTAAGGATAAACAAATATCTACACAACCACACAAATACATAGCAAAAGTTAAGTTGCGAACAAAAGCCAATTAAATCGAAGCCACCTCCAACTCCCAAGTTCAATAAGACAAATCACAATACATTAAAAAAAAAACTATCAATACGAAAGGTAAAAGAATATGAAACCGAACCACACCACTGATTTCGGAAATCGAAAACAAGTAAAGGATTTTAAACATATAGAGAGAGAATCGAAAAAGTACCTAACAACGAGGTCAGCTTCTCAATGGCGGTCGGAGGCGGCGGGTACGAGGAGGCAGAGGGCGTGAAAGTATCTCGGCAGAGGTCGTAGAGAGCTTGAATGGCGGAGGAGGGCTTGTGCTGCTCTGCCATTCTGGAGAGGCTCCGCAGTGCGCCCATTTGTGGGTGAAATTAATCGACTTCACATAACATATTCCAGGAGTGAACCGAACGGTAATAAATGTCATATTCTTTTATTTGTAAAATTAACGCTATATAATAATAATAATAGCTGTTTTAATTTTGAGTAAAGAAATATATATACTCTCTTCCTCAGTCTAGCAAAATTGTGCTAATAGTATCTTAATACATAATAAAATGGCAAATTAAGCACATTTTGCATTAAACACCAATACTCTCTCAATTGTCTTTAATAATAGTATTAACTTTTTTTTTTCTTTTTTTTTTTTTTTTTTTATATAGTAGTTAATAGAATCCTAATAGTATGTAAACTAGATTCAGCAAGATAAGTCATACTAAATAAAAAGACGTAAGGATTTGAGGACATTATCTATTTTTTTTTTCAACGACTTAAGAACTCGCAGCCGCTACCCGGAAGTGGGCACTGAGTAAACCCGGTCGAATCTAATACCCTGCAAACTAGGCCCGACAGTCCAGTCACACTAGGCGAACCATGTACGGCAAGTGAACGGTTAGGACTCACGCATGGAATGTGTAAGAACTCTAGGAGAAAAGAAAGATATCATAAAACATGACAGAAAAATATTATCAATGATTCATGGTCCATAGTTTGCAAATACTTCACCGGAACTCACAGCGGCAAACATAACTACTAGCAGCCGTACGAACCGTGATTCAACAATTAGTTATGGTGAGCAATGATCTCATCCAGAAACTCTTGCAATTCTTCGAGTTTTTCCGGCAACATACCTACAAAAGGAACACAATATGCAGCATTACAAGGGATAATTCGATCTAGAACACTCTAGGGTCGCCAATAGGAAAGATCTCAGCACTTCTGTTACCGTTTCCACGAGGCATCCGGACAGCATCCCATGGCTTCACAAGTAACTTGTCTGCTCTTTCATTCAAGCTCTGAGTTTCCTCCGTTCTGCTTCTCTTTAGATTAACCACTTTTGCGCGAAATTCTGATGCCATATTGGTCAGTTCTGTGGGAATGAAAATTTTGCTTAGTGTTAAATGATTGTTGACAAAGGATATACGCAACTGGCAGATTGGATCGATGTGTCCCTTTTTCAATTATCAAAGCATTACACATTTTCTGCAAATGGCTCAGATAATGGTCGAAAGAAGTGACAAACTATTGACTGGACCAATAATTTGAAGAAGATCGATGAAGATACTAAAAACAGAGAACTAATAACTTCAAATTCTAGTATCATCTAAAATAAGGTCAATTTCTTCCCCAGAGTATTAGGAATTGTAAGCTCAACACCATTACTAGCTGCTAGTGGTGTGGTGTGGTCTTGTGAATCACCGGCTATAAATGAAAGTAGCAGAAAATGCATTCGACTAGCTAAATAATAAATATCGAAAGTTTCCAGCAACATAAGAACTAAGATAACCAGCTACATTCCAGAATCTGTGATAAGTTATTCCGAGTGGATCGGTGATCTGCAATGGAATTTGTATGAGAATTCCAGCAGACCCGATGAGAATAAATAATGTTTGACAGAGTTAAATAAATTTAAATGCTTCTTCATCAAGCATCAAAATTGTTAGAAGAAATATAAGCAATTCGGATTTGTAATAGTTATTACAAGATGTGCAATTGAATAATTACTTAAGCAGTACCTTTGAACATTTGAGGAGCACCATTCTTCTCATACAACCGCAATGCTTCATTAATAAACCCTGCCGATTTATTACTTGCTAAAGATTGTCTCTCCAATGCACGAAGTTCTTTGTCAAGCTCAGCAGATTCTTTTCCAACCTGTGTTAGGGATTTCAAAGTTCTGTAATAGTATGCGTAAAGTTATAAATGAATCGAAAGGAGATCTAATGATATTGGGGTTACCAAGACAAGCTTCTCACGCAAAGATTTCAACTGCGCATCCACCTCTGTATCGGTAAGAACATCAAGGTCTGGTAAATCATCACCAGATGGTTCATTCTACAATGAAATGTTAACTTGTGATTCAATCTTTTGTGAGAAGATAATAAAATAATTAAGGTGATCAAGTGTTGTCTATGCACTCAGACGGAAACTGCTTGGAGGATAAAAGCACAAGCAAAACCGACAACCAGGAACAAACAAGTTTAATATGATAACTTATGTGATATAAGTATAACTTCACAATTGTCAGAAAGGTAGAATTAAAGGTCTTATCTTGACCAAGAAAATAAGATTCTCGGATACAAGCTCCCACTTACAGCAAAAATACTATATAGAACACTGTAGCAATTAGCTTGAGGATTCTCTACTGGGATGCCTCGACGGATCGTTCATAGAACACTAGTTAGCAATCAGCTTCCTATGACACCATCTTGACTACACCAAGCAGCTAAAACCAAATGAATACTAGCATCTTCGCATGTAATCAAAACCGGGTGAAATTGTACTCAGGAGATGGAGTTCAGAGCAAAATTTCTCCAGCCTATGACTAATCTTTTTAATATATTTTTCCCGAGTAGCAACAGATATTTCATTGTCTAACAAACAATTTGGAAATATATGTAAAAAGTATATTCAGTTTTGTTTACTCATGTCTTTCTGCACTATGCAATTGACATTAAACAAAATTTTCCCATCCAACAATCATTTTCAAAACCTAAATGCTATACAAAACATCAAGTCAGAACACTATTTCCCAATGTATGCATGTAATTTCCACAAGTACCATTGAAAAATCTTCTAGAAACTAATTCCCACGTTTTATCCAACTTTCAAAGCCAAGGGATAACAACCACATGAACAAAACATAAAATAAAAAAACATAACTTCGGATTGTGATAATAAACATACAGCTTTCGGCAGTGAAAATCCTTCGGGTACACTGAAACAAAATCGAATGCAATATTCTTCCCACTTTTCCATCCGCTGGTCGAGAGTCGATTGGATCAAATCCCGAATGTACGCCACACCCTATAGATTCAAATTAAAGTATATCAAAACACCAAATGACCAAAAAATGAATATAAACCTACATTACCTCAAACACCTCGATCTACATAACGCACAATAAAAGCGACATTTACAAGCTCAGAACGAGAAACTCAAAAACAGTAAAACCACCAAACACCTTGCTCAGTTCCTCCGCTCGATCGGTGCCCTCGGTTTTCAACCGCTTCGAAGCCTCTCTGCAACAAATTGTCCACAAGCTTAAAATCAAAGTCGAAAAAATTAAGGCGAGCATAAAGCACTCCCCAACAAGACTAATCAGGTGTTTACTGGAGGAAATAATTGAAAGCCTCGTCCAGCAGATCGTCGACGACATTGAGGACTTCATTGATGAAGAGGCGCGGACTCAAATTCAGGGATTCGAACACGACCTCGCCACTGGTTGCCTCCATCCCCACCCAGATTCACTCTCACAGAGATGCAGCGAAACTATTTCAAATTCAACATTGAAGTTGTTCTACCATATACTTTTCCCGCCGTAGCAATTTGTACTCCAAAGCCAAGCAGCCCTTTTTAAAACTGTGATAATGGTAGAGCCGCGTTTGTTTCGTCAAATGGTTGAACTGATACTTTTTTAAATAAAATATAAAGAATAATGGAATAAATAATATAAAAAAACTAAATTTATATTATACTCCATCCCTCCATTATATTTATTTTTTACGCGAAATTTAACTTAATATTATATTATTATGCAAATACAAATACAAAAATAATGATTTGTTTAATATATTTTAAACTGTAATAAAAAATAAATAAATATTTAAGATGGATAAAAAAAAAATTATAAAAAGACAAAAAAAAATAGTATAAATTTATAAAAACAAGAGAAAAAAAATAACTCAGTGTAACTCTTTATGTATTTATTTTTTGGATATTATATTTTCTCAAAATAATTTTTAATATAGTACATATTTATTAATTTTATATTTTTATACAATCTTTTATATTTTTATACCATACATATTTTCAAACAATTTCACTAAATAAATACATTATTTTTTAAATTATAAACTATAATTTTTTAAATAATATTTATATATATTTTTAGAAATTTAAAAGTAAACTTATTTTAATTTTTTGCTGTAAAATTTTAAAATATATAATTATAATTATTAAAAATATATAGTATTAAATTATTATTATTGTTATTTACAATTATTTTTAAAATATTTTTTTTTCATTCTCCCTCAATTTATATGTTGTTTCAATAAAATTAAATATAATTTTAAAGCGGAACAAATTGAATATTTTTTTATTTATATATTGACCAACTATACATTATAATTACTTTCATGTTTATATAAAATTTGCATCAATATTATCAATTTATATTTCAAAATTATCACTAATTTACTAAATTTCGTAAAAAATAAATATTGATGTTCCAAATCAACAAAAAAGAATATAAATATGTTAAAAACATAACATTGAACAATTTTATGTTCAAAATAAGAGTATTAAAAAAAACTTGAACATGAACATGATTATATTCTAAACACAGTCACGTTAGTTCAATATAATTGTGTTAACTGTATGAAGCTCAGTTAGATTTTGAATAATCCAAAAATTGTGTTCAAGTCAACAGAATTGTGTTCAATCAGTTTTGCAAGACTAATTTAATTAATTTTAACATGAATTAGATCATAAAAAAGTTAAAATTAAAATACTAAAATAAAATCGATAATTGTAATTTAGAAGGGTACAATAATTTTTTTTTTTCCTAAAAAAAAATAAAAATATTATATATATAAAAGTAAAATAATCTGAAATTCAGTTGAGGAGGCGAAGAACGACGCGAAGATCAATTCTGCACCTTGCCCACGTTATCCTCTGCTCCAACTCACCCATCCATCACCGTATCAATCAATGAATCCAGATATTTGATCCATCGCTTCTTTCCCATCCCCGGGAATGGCTCAGCTGTCGCCGCCCTTTCACTGCTTCTCCTCCACCCAACACCAATTGCACACCACCTGTTCGACAAAATGCCGACCCCAACTGCCCTTCTCAATCCACTTACCATTTCGTCCTCTTCACTCCAATAACCGTCGGTTCTCCCTCCGCAAGAGCCGTGAATTTCGTGGTTCATTAATCGGATCTTTTGATATGGAGAATGATGGGAAATTGTCTGATGAATATGGCAAGACTGGAGAGGAAGTGAAAGAGGAAGAGGATAAAGAAAAGGAAGTTAAGCCGGTTGAAGGTAGTGGGAGCTCTGATTCTAGTTTGGATGATGACAAATATCCCAGCGGTGAATTTGTGTACAGGGAGTACGGGTTTATGGAGAATTTGGGTGTGAAGTTCAGGATGTTCCTTACATTGCCTTGGCAACGTGTCAAGAAGGGCAGCGTGCTCACCATGAAATTACGTGGAGAGGTAACCATGGTTTTCGATTTTCTCCAACAGTTCTTTTTTTTGGATCGGATTCCTCAACAGTTCTTTGCACCAATGGACTGTAGTCGGGATTAGGAGAAGGGAAAAGTACGGCATTGCATAACTACAGAATAAAAAAATTACAGGAAATATAGAAATTTAGATATACGATTTGATAATTCGGTATATTTATATATATATATATTATTCATTTATAAAAAATCAAGGAGAAATATTATTTTTAGTTCTCCCTACCACTCACAAAATTATATATCCGGTATTGATACCAAAATTATTATTTTTAATTTCAGTGTTTCAGTGTGGTATACCTAATTATGTCGTATATAATACCGAATTTTCGATAGGGTATCAGAATGACAAAATGTCATACCAAAATATTTGGTACAATACACGGTATGTGGTATGAAAATCTATATATTGTACAGAACCACCTCTAGTCAGGAATGGTTATTTATTTTGTTGGCATAGTAATAGATAAAGGATTTTAATTTATTTTAAAATTTCTGAATAAGAAATCCACTTAATATTATCTTCAAATTGTTTTGTTGATTTGCCTAAAGTTTTTTTAAATGTCGAACATGATCGATGAATTGTTGAACCATGGTTATAATAACATGTTATACTTCCATTGAATGCTAATATCAACCGACAAAAAAATCCACCAAAGAAAATGGTTGAATTTTGTGTAACTATGTTAGCACTTTTGTGTAAATCACTGTCATTCAATTTTATTTTTAATTTTGCTTTTTTGGGTTGTCATAGAAATATTATCATTTTTATTTTTAATAAAAAATAATATTACTTTTTTGTGTATTTTCACTGTAAAAGACAAAAAGTATACACCCATATTAAAACATGCGCCTAAAAGTATTCCTTTTCGATGACAAAGAGAGTATAAAATATGTTAGAACCACAATATTCAATAGGATCTGAGATCTAGTAGATACGAGTTTCAATCTTCAAAATATATGTGATTGTGCATAGATCTCTTTGTTCATTTTCACTCTCCATTTCGGTAATGATGGACGTTATGTAAATAGTAATGACGGACTTTATGTCATTTAGTTATAGCATGATTATCAAATAATCGATACAAAGTAGAGGTGCCTTAAAGGATTGGATTGAAACCCTTTGTGTGTGTTTACTGTGGAGGATATCCCTAGTAATCATCCTAAGTAAGCAAGGCCTACCGACTCTGTAGAACATGGCATTATAATTCAGTGCTTAATTTACAGGAAATTAGCTCATCCATATTTAGCACGATAGTAGTTGGAGGATGTCTTGCCCTTTAATAATTAATTCCTTTCCATTCACTTGCTTTATAGGTAGTTTTAACTTCAACTTGTTGCATTTATTATTTTTCATATTTCTGCACTTTTCATCTTTACGAAAGGGAAAAATGAAGAAATAAAGAAAGACATCTGCATTAACCATATACTAGAAAGGTTGACTACCTGTTAATCGTTATGAACACATATATAATACGAACTTTTCCTTGTTCTGTCGCTTCATCAACATAGATTAGGTGTATGTGGTGCAACCATGGCCGTAGGAATCTTCAATAGCTAAGGTTATTTGCTGTCAAAACTCATTATTGGTGAGGATGGAATAAAGCTTTCTATTATGGTTTAGTCATCTGACAAAATTGAATATAACCTTTACTATGTACTTGCCAGATATCCGATCAGCTGAAGGGGCGTTTCTCCCCAGGATTATCTTTACCTCAAATTTGTGAGAATTTAGTCAAAGCAGCTTATGACCCTCGCATTTCGGGTGCTTATCTTCACATTGAACCATTGAGTTGTGGGTGGGGAAAAGTTGAAGAAATTCGTAGGCATGTTTTGGACTTTAAGAAATCAGGTAACTACTTATAATGTTGAAGACTCAGTGCAGACTTGTCCTCATCGTGCAACTTAACAAAGAAAGCTATATATATATATGTATTTGCATATATGATCTCCGGTAGTGTTTCAAAATTGCAAGTCCATGGACTATGATGGGTCAACTATTCCTAAGTAGCTGCATATTAGATGTAGTAAACTAAGTTAAGTCTTTCATCATTGTAGAATCTGGGATCAGATATCCATGTTTAATTTTATTTATTTATTATTTATTTATTTTTGTTTTTCCTTCTTTTCACTAATCAAATCACAGCACATAAGTACATGAAGGATGTTTGATATTGCAGGGTCATTTATTTATTAACCTGTGAATAATTCATGAAGTATGCTACCATCCAAACTTCTAAACACTTGCTATTAAAGCTCTAAAATTAGTTATGTAATTGAAAAGCTGTTAGTAGTTCCTTACTTGAGGTATTTGATGACAATGCCCAATTCATTATAATAAAATTTGTTTATTAAGACTCCCACATGAAATAATGAAATTTTTATGATGTACTTATCTCTCCTTTTCTGTCTAAAATAGTGCCTAATACAAATTGTTCTTGCAATGTAGGCAAGTTTGTTCTGGGTTATGTGCCAGCATGTGGTGAGAAAGAATATTACATTGGCAGTGCTTGTGACGAGCTCTATGCCCCTCCAAGTGCTTACTTTCAACTGTATGGACTGACTGTTCAAGCATCATTCCTTGGAGGTGAGTTTTTTTTTGTCGCTATAAAGAAAAACTTCTTCCATGTAATAAAGGCCTAGATTTAATGGCCTCTTGCTTTCCAACTTAAATGTTGATTTTGTCAGCTCCAACTTCAATTTGGAAATTTGAATTTCTTTTGAGGCTATTTTGTGCTGTCAAATATTCGTAAACTACTTTTGTTTTAGTCTTGCATTTCAAAATTTATAATTTTGGCATATTGCCCATGTGGTACCAACTTCTCAATTATTTACTTCATTTCAAGCTGTAGTGTTACCTAGTTTTTAAGTTATTTTTCCAGACCTTGAAACCGAATCCAAATATACATAAAATTGTATTTGCATTGGTATTAATTCTCGTATGATATATTGTATATACGCAGTCATATAATAAGTTCGCCTGTCTATAACTTGAAGCTCTCGTGCTTCATCACTGTTTATAACTAATTCTGACACTATTTCAGTTTGTTTTATCATTTATAAACATCTCATTGAGTGTTTGATCCCATACTTGGAATTCAGAGCATGGATTTTATTTGCCTGTTCCTTGATAATGCTTTACATAGACTATTCAACTGTAATTGAAAAGGTGGCATCTCAAGAATGTCTTTTTTTTTTTCATATCTTTATACTCTTAACTGCAGTGTGGTGGCATCAACAACTGTTTTGTAGGTGTTCTAGAGAAAATTGGAATCGAGCCACAGATTCAGCGGATTGGTAAATATAAGAGTGCTGGTGATCAACTTGCTCGTAAAAACATATCTGATGAGAACCGTGAGATGCTCACAGCATTGCTTGATAATATTTATGGGAATTGGGTAGAAAAAATATCTCTTGCTAAAGGTAATTGCAGCTGGCAGTTTGATTTACAATTGATCAAAACATATTCTCACAGAATTTCTTTTCCCTACTTGTTTCAGGTAAGAAGAAAGAAGATATTGAAAAGTTTATAAATGAAGGAGTCTATGAAGTTGACAGACTGAAGGAAGATGGGTGGATAACAGATATAAAATATGAAGATGAGGTAGAATGAGTTGTATCTCTGTCAGCTTTGTTCCATTTTTGTGAGCTCACTCAATTCATTTATTCATATTTTTTTTGTCTACATGTGCTTTGTGCTAAAACAAGAGCAATAAAACAACTTATCTCCCCTTCTAGTTTGATCTTTCTCTAGCGTGAAAACAAAAGAAAGATCAGAAAACTTATTATCTTTTCGGGAAAAGGTTTTATTGGATCAAGTTAACTAGTCATAAGGCTTAGATAAGTTAGGTCTCCTTGATTATGTGATTTATTCTTACATGGTGTGAAATAATATTATACGTCAAAGTAAGATAGATGAAATTTTCCTATTTTGGGTTATCCAAATCTTTTGAAGTTTCCTTCTTTCAGGTTACGACACTACTAAAAGAACGCCTGTCAATTCCTACTGATAAAACACTTCCGACCGTTGACTATAGGTACATGTTTTGTTAAATTTCATCTTTATCATAAACTCTCCAACTTGTACAGTTCCCTTTTTTTTGCATAATTTCTTCATTTGGGTTCTACAGTCTTGCAGGATTGCCATTGAAAATGCTTTACGGATTTTGCATTAGTCAAGCAATCATTGATGCCTAATGCAATCACACTTATTTTCATCAATGTAGGAAATACTCCCGTGTTAAGAAATGGACATTAGGCTTAACTGGCTCTGGAGATCAAATAGCCATAATAAGAGCTTCTGGAGGCATTAGCAGGGTACGAAGTCCTCTGAGTTCATCCAGCTCAGGGATTGTTGCAGAACAATTCATTGAAAAGATTCGTAGCACACGAGGTATATGGTTTTTAAATCTACAGGAAAATTTAGTTTCTTTTTGGTAATAATAGATGATTGGTGAGAAGAAAAACCAAAGATGCATCTATTATGTGGAAAGATTTGAAGACAAGGTGATATGGACTAGTCTGTTAATGTTGATGAACCCATCATCCAACCTCCAACTAAGACTAACTAGAGATTACTTTGATATAGCGTTCCCCGATTGTTGCAAAGGGAGTCAATTAGACATACTTGATGATGTCCTGGTAAAGATATGAGGTGGCTGCAACACGATGGTTGGATAGGAGTGCAAAACTGCAAATAATATCATACTGCAACATCCCTTGCTAACATCTTAACAAGCTATCATCTTCTTGGTGCAAAACACTAAGAGCACATTATCTTTAAAGGTGGAATGAAAGTGAATGGCACTTCTTATCTCTTGAATTAGGGTAACAGGATCCGACACATGGAATATTTGATCCATGCCAAAAGTGGATTTGATTATTTCTTAAGTTTAGTTATGCTCATAGCTTAAGGAATAGTACGTGAAGATACTTTACAGTGTGGACAGAAAGATCTGTTTTCTAGAGAACATTGCTAATGCCTTATGTCTTTTTAGATTTCTTATTCCCCAGATCACACTTGCTTTTACTTATCCTTTATAAAATCCAGCAACTGTCTTCATCTGAGATTCTGGCTTATACGGTAACCTTTTTCTCAGAGTCAAAACAGTTCAAGGCTGTAGTAATTCGCATCGACAGTCCTGGAGGCGATGCCCTTGCTTCTGATTTGTAAGTATGCTGTAGGCTCTATTTTCTTTTCTTGTGGCAGTCTGCTTTGTTGTTGAATTTTATGAATAATTAATAAGTCACCATGTTCGCTAAGGTCACTGTAATTAAGCCTAACTTGGTCTAGTGTTGCTATGAAATTCTATTACCACAACCGCACGCTGTATATAACCTATTCTTTATAGACTTGAAATAAATAAGCATCCTATTAATGTTATGGGCAACATGGCCAAGCTAATACTAAATTGCTAGGCTACATTGCACCTTAGTGCTCGATTACGTTCCATTTTTAATAACTTATTCACCTTTTTTGTGTGAATGGGGGCATAAGTAATTCTTTCTACACATTAAAGAATGTTATCCGTTATCACAATAATTTGATCCAGTTAAATAGCACACTTGTGGTATTTCTGTGAACTAAATGTTTGCTAATGAATGGAAGACTATTTTGAAAAGTAGCATCAATAACCATATAACATCTGATTTCAACTCTAGATAAGTATATCAAATGGAAGGAATGGAGTGATTTATGTTATTAATTGTGTCTTCACAGAATGTGGAGAGAAATCAAACTTTTGGCTGACTCAAAACCTGTAGTTGCCTCAATGGCTGATGTTGCTGCTAGTGGGGGATATTACATGGCAATGGCAGCACCAACTATAGTTGCGGAATATCTTACACTGACTGGTTCCATTGGGGTTGTGACAGGTGAGGCATGATTTAGGTTTCTACTAATGTTGCAAGATATGAAAAATTCTTGGAGTTTGTTGATATTTCACAAATCAGTATGCACCGTTATCAATAAAAATATATTATTTTTTCTTACAAAATATTTAAAAGACAATAAAACAAATATCGTAATAACACTTTTACAGTTTTCAATAACTAAGAACAAAACCCAAAAAAGTTCAAAACTTAACAACACAACTTTTGCATGAAATTGAGTACCATTTGAGTCCTTGGCAAGTTTCATATATTCATAACTTGATACATCTTTTCACCTCCTAAGTTGTTTTTGGAGCTAAAAATAACTATATGTAAAATGGTAAATGTGGTCATAAATCTAATGATTGAAACTTGATCTTGTTTATTGCTTGTGCTATGACTTGGTTACGATTTAAGGTGAACCTATGAGATGGAAGTTCTTATGCTAAATTGAAGCATAACTACATTTTCTCCTTGCCCTAGGAAAGTTTAATTTGGGGAGTTTATATGAGAGAATTGGCTTCAATAAAGAAGTAATATCAAGAGGACGATATGCAGAGCTTACTGCAGCAGACCAGCGACCATTCAGGTGTGTAAACACATATATACACTGCAAGACGCATGGCAATCCACATTTATTGCTAGTTTATGCCTTATTTGATATTGTCACTTTCCTTTTCCACTCCTTTCAAGCTGCCACATGAACCTTGGTGATTTATAGTTGATTTCTCGTCTCCCTTGCAAAAGTAGCAATGGACCTTGATGTTGCAGTGATCTTGCATTCATAATCTGAAAGAAAATGTGTTGTGTGAGAAGTAGTGAACGAGTATGTGTAATTACTGAAAAGGTCTAGGGATCAATCACTTGGAGGGTTTGAAATTGAAGATTAGTCATACAGAAAACATACTCAACAAAATTTGAAAGGATTGTGAATCCTCCGAGGGTAGAAGATGATTGGTAATTAGTCTATTCTGCACCTAAAGTCAATAGTCAATACTTTGTATGCAAAAAAAAATTAATTGCTTTGAAGAATAAAATGGCTGGTAATCACTTAGTGGATCTTGAAGATTCTTGCAGCTAAAACTTTAGAAACACTACTAAGTTGTAAGTTTCTGGTCGACTTTGTTGGTGGTTCGGATGCTAGACTGCCCAGTTAGATTAGGTCTTTTGAAAGTCATGTTATCTACGATGAGTCTACTTCAAACATTGGTGAAGTATTCTTTGACCTCAATAAAATGAAATGCTCGGTACCTAAAGTATTTCTCATTTTATTATTATACTCCAATTTATGGAGTTGTTTTCACCACTTTTGACTTTGAGTGATGCTAAGAGGGACTCCATTGGGATATATTTCTTATCAACTATGGTTTTTAATCATGTACAGGCCTGATGAAGCAGAACTCTTTGCAAAATCGGCACAAAATGCCTATCGAAGTTTCAGAGACAAGGCTGCCTCATCTAGGTCAATGACTGTATGATCTTCTCTTCAGAAACATATAAATCTCATTGTATGACACATGATTTGCCTTATATTAAAAATATCATCAGACACCCGGAATTATATCGCTTGATTTCCTGACGTGCAAGTCATCACATTTTAGATAGACAAGATGGAGGAGGTTGCTCAGGGAAGAGTTTGGACTGGCAATGATGCAGCTTCGCGAGGTCTAGTGGATGCCATTGGTGGGCTATCGAGAGCTGTAGCAATAGCAAAACAGAAGGCTGATATACCATCGGACAAACAGGTCATCTCTTTGAATAATATAATACTGATTCGAGGCATGTGAAAGGCATCTTTATTCTTTCAATATAGTTGTCTTTTGATCATTTTTTGGCGAAAGCACCTTAGTCTAGTCAAGTTGTTTAGAGGAGGTTTCTAAATCATGACCATGGTACCGTTTCCTTAAGAATGCAAAGAAATCACAAAATTATGAAAAATTGAGGCAGAAAGCCAATAGTTAAAATCTACGAGTGTAGTTCCATCTGCTTTCTCACTTCCACCGTAATTCGAAGATAATTTGTTACCATTTCATTAATAATTCTGCTTACCAGATAGGATTATTTGTCGATACGGTTGCTGTGCTGCTTGGTATGGTTTTGCGCATATAAGTGCTCTTAAGTGCAATGCTCGCTAGATCGACAGATATGCTATTGTATCACACTTTTTGCATTTCTAACATGCTCTTAACACCAGGTGACTCTTGTTGAGCTGTCGAGACCTTCTACATCTCTCCCCGAAATCTTGAGCGGGATAGGCAGCTTTATTGTCGAAGCAGACGAAGCCATCCGAGTATTTCTAAAGGTCACGGTACCTTCCGATGGAATTCAAGCGCGAATGGACGGAATCATGTTGGAGCAATCCGATAGAGCTTCTTCGTACACCAACATCATCTTCAAGTTGATAAAAGAGTACCTGAATTCTCTCTAGACTTTTCAATCAAATATTCTTCCTCGTGTTCATTGTTCATAAAATTACAGGCAACCGAGCATACGCATTGTTTAAAACAAGGCACCCTTTTATCATCAATGGTTGTATACATACACACATATATATATAGAACTTCTCGGCATTGGGAGATCGTACTGTTCTTTCTAAATGTTCCGACTTGCCACGTTGTAATGTAGCCTGAAATTAATTCTTGTGGAGAATGAATATCAATCCATGATGATGCCTATGTTCATACTTTCGATAGCGGTAGCAATAGCAATTGAAGATCTGAATAATTACGATTGACGAAGCGCGTTTTTTTAATTACATGAATAGCTACAATATTTGATTACATATAATGCTTTAACTTCGGAATTCTGATGAGATTATACTTCATATGCTTTACTTTAGATCCCTAAATGGAATACATTAGATACACATTACATTCACCATTGCTAGCTATACTTACACTTCCTGATTTATTCGCGAAATGGACTTCGCCCATCGCAACATTCGAAACCCGATTTTCTTACTTCTTTTTATCTTCATACTTAGCTTTACCATATATGTGAGTCCATATCATATGCTTGCACTTGCTGTTGTGGTATCTGTGGAATAGGATCGGTCGAACCGACGTTGAAACTCGACCCGGACGGGTCGTTTCCGAACTGGGAGCTGCCGATATTTTCGTGTGGCATAAAACTGTAGCTGCTGATCTCCGTCGGGTTGGCTGTCGACCCTCTCGGATGTCCCCTGAGCTGCAATGCTGTGAGAAGGAGCGAGTTCATCGATAGGTTTGTGCTGAGAAATGGCCATGCCAGCGACGGCATTGTGTTTCCGGCTGTTAAATCTGTCGCCATGGGTGGCCAGTTGACGATGCTGCTGATGTTGTCCGTCGGGTTGTAGTTCGATGAGATAGCGAAGTTTGGTAGCTCGATGTCTCCGAGCTCGTTGATCATGGCGTGGGCTTCGCTCGAGGGAGAGTCTTGGGAGGGCGGCGAGGATGGTGGCTGTTGGGGTCGCTTCGGGGACGCCGTCTTTTGGAACACTCGGCATACGACCCATTCCTCCTGCTATATATGATCGATCAATAATAATGGCATTTTAGAATCTATAAGATGATTTTGATATTTTTGTTTTGATGCCTCAAATTAGCAATTCGTTTCGATATCTTTGCACAAGAGTTGCAAATTTTGTGTTAATATGATCAAGTCAATATGGCGTTGATTTGATCGGATTAACATATGTTATAGGAGTGATCAATATATGTTTATAAATTTTCGGCCAAGTTAGCATTGTATTGAATTGACCGGATCATCATATGTTATGGGGGATAAACATATGTTTTGTACATATCTAAGCATATGCTAAAATAGCACTGTATTATAAGATAATATATATTATAATACATATGTTGAGTTATATATTATAAGATAACATATATAATCTGATGTATTTCCTTCCGTCTGCCTCTAAAGATTATATTTATCTTTTGTATAATTTTTTATACAAAATGTCCTTCTGTTAGTATTACAAGATTATATTGAAATTATTTTTGCAATTTTTTTAATTTATACTATATTTAATATAATAATTAATATTTAAAGATCTCTAAAAAAAAATAAATGAAACTTTTGAATGGTACGAAGGGTTAGAACCGGACACGGAGGTAGTAATATTTATTACAACTTAAAAGCATATCATTTTACATCAATGTTAATATTCTAATCACACCAAAATCTCTCTACACATTCTAAACAAATTTTCGAACACTATGTCAAGCAACCAATTAGGTTGTGTTTGATTTAGGATTTATTATTTTTAATAAAAAATGAAAAAAAAAAAAAAAACAAACAAACAAACAAAACTATGCACAAATCCAAATGACTCGAACCACTATTATACAAATTCAAACCAACAAAGTGTTTTTTTTTTTCTTTTTAAATTTTTTTATAGAAGATGACTTTACTATTTTGGACTCTGTTTATTATTATGATTATTTTTCACAAAATATTTTATTAAACATTATTTTAATGTATTAAATTCAAATAATTTTTTTTTTAAAATCAAATCAGACAAAACACACCTAAAGTTAACATGTCCTCATTGACATGATAAGTTATGCTCCATTCTTATAGATCTATGCTTTTTTTTTTTGTCATAATTTTTTTTTTCTTTAACAAAAAATATATATTACCTTTTTATATTTTTTACTATTAAAAGCCAAAAGTAATTATTATTATTTATTTAAAGTAACAACTATGAGTAAAATGTTGTCTAAATGAATTTTAAGATGATATTATAATTTGAAGGAGAATTTTTTAATGTGAAATATGATAAATTGTGTAGAAAATATAAAAATAATAAATATATGTAATATATTAATTTTTTTAGGAAAAATATATATATTTTTTATTATTATTAAAAGGACACACTTAAAATGTTGCCATAATCAGCACATTTTAGTAATCCAATGTATTTTTTTAATTTCAGTCATATACTGAAAGAAAATAGATGGTTGATCAATGCCCTTATTAAAACTAATTAACACGATCAACCTCTCACTCAACCCCATATATATATAAAATTGTGCCATCTTTTTAACAAAGGGACCAAACAACACATGCAATAAACCCAGAAAAAAAAATAAAAAAATAAAAAAATAAAAAAAAAAATCGTTAAAAGCTTATATATGATCGAATGTAACGATCGATAATACGTAAGTAGAACAACATACCTTAGTGGATTTGAAATTGGGGAGGTTATTGTGAAGGCGGTATTCGTGCATCACCCAATTCGTCTTCTCGCCTTTTGGAGCTCTCCCTCTGTAGAAAACTAGGGTTTTCTTCATCCCCACCAAATTCAAATTCAAATTCAAATTCGCATTTGCAGTATGGGAATTTGAATTTGAATTTGCATTTGCAGTATGGAAGATCTCCTTGTCCTTCCCGGTGGTCTTCCAGTACCCCGCCTCCGTCGCACGGTTCGTCCGCAGCCCCGTCGGATACTTCCGGTCTCTCAGGCTGAAGAAATACCACTCCTTCTCCCCCATCCGTGCTTTCGCTGCACTCATTATCATCCGATCCAATCATACATACCAAAATCAATCAATTTACAGCAATTTATATACATATTTTTCGTTAGTGTGTATGTGTGAGAGAGAGAGAGATACAGATAGAAATTAAGAGACCTGGAAGATCCCACGGTTCGCATTTGTTGAGATCGACATCAGCGACAGCCTTAGTGGTGAAATTGAAGTTGGAGACCTTATTGCAGAGGTAATATGTGATGAGTTCTTCGTCTGTGGGATGGAATCTGAATCCTGGCGGCAATTTCTTCTTCGTATCCTCCTCCTCCATTAAATCAGAAACCCTAGCTTTCTCTCTCTGAAACTAACTGGCGAATTAGCTAGGATCGATCGATCGATATCGGAGGAGCATTAATGGCGCTATCCTCATGAATTGACATCTACTGCAGATATATATATGTCTAAGGTATTGCTCTGCTCTACTCTACTGCAAATATATTTTTTATTTGGACTGCCATTGAAGCCTTGATGAAGAAGCTGATAGGTTAGTTTTCATGGAGTCTTATTAGTTTATTAATATATCACTGCTACAGCCTACAGCTAACTTTTTGACAAAGATGCATAAATAAATTTAGGGCTGTGTGTGAATTACCTTTTTACCCTCGGGTGGGCTACTGTACAACTAGTGCGGACAAAGTCCAACCTCCTTCACCCATTTCTGCCCACCAAATCTTGTGCCTTCCCCACACGTGTTCTTCTGTCTTTTATTTATTTATTTATTTAATTGGAACTTATTAATTGCAATTTAATTAATATTATTATTTAATAGTATAATTTAATTTAATAGTATTTGTATAAAATATATATAATCATGGCCAATTATTTAATTTGTATAATTTATAAGATTTGGTGTGTGTCTATATATTTTATGTAATGCACTATAATATATACTCACCCGTCCCAGAAGAAAGTACTTTTTGCACGTAGTTTTAGAAATATTAATATTATATTAAGATATAGTAGAAATAAAATAGAAATGACTGAAATAACCTTATTAGTATGTGTGATATAAAGATAATGATATTTGTGTAATATATTGTAAGTTGTAAGGGTATTTGTAATGTTAGGTACATAGTACATTTACTAAAAAAAAGGAAATGGATACTTTGTCGTGGGACGGACTAAAATAGAAAAAATTGATACTTTGTTATGGGATGGAGGTAGTATATTTTTTTCCGAAAGTGATGCACTTATTATTTATTATCAACACTAATTTTTTTAAATAAGAAATGAACAAATTTATTTTTTTTTGGACACAGTGTTACGTACATCATATATTCAATTTTGTATTTTTCTTGAAATATCTTAAAATTTCTGAACTTTTCAATTATTCTATATATCTAAACAGACTTAATTGTTTGATTTGAATAGTGTCTACAATAAAATTGATAAGTAATTAGTTATTAGATGACTGAAAGATCCAATGGTTTCTTTTGTAAAATCTATTTACGTAAACATTTTTTTTAAAAAAAAAAAAAAAAATTTGATGCTATTTATTAATATTTTTTTAAAAAAAATATTATATAAAATATTTACTTTTTGTTAGAAAGTACTCCCTCCGTCAACTTAGAAGGTTTACATTTACTTTTGGCGCGGTATTTAAGAAATAATAGTATTTTAATTATAGTGAGTAGTTAAAAGTAGTGTAATGACATTTTTGCCCTTACTTTTTTTTTTTTTTAAAAGTAATGATGTGATATAAAGTAAGGGTATTTGTGAAAAAAACATAGTATTTAATGAAATGTTAACTTTGTAATTTGATCGTTCCAAAATAAAAATATGTAAACATTGTAAGTGGACGGAGGGAGTATTATATTATATAATAATAAATTTTTACTATTTCTATTTTATTTTTTATTTTTAATTCCAAAAACTTATGTTTCAACACAACCTAAAATAATAGGTAATTCTACTTACATAATTAAAAAATAAATAGTAATTTATGTTAGATTAATTACAATAATAAAGTTGGCACTTACTTTTTTAAAAAATGATCATAAACAATTAAGATAAGGAAATAACAATAAAATAAAATAAAATAAAAATTGGGAAATCTCTACAAATGAATAAAAAAAATTTACGTTATGTGTAGATACATGAGAAGGTAGAGCCATATGTCCATTGAGAAATATACGCTTTGTTTTCGGAGTAGCGGCCGTGGGTTCCACGTCATCCAAAATATATATATATATATACACTTTGTTTACGTACATACGTTTTGAATTCAAATTCATTATTATGTATCACAGATTTTTTTTTCTCTAAAATATATCACATACTGCTTGTATTTTTTAGAAAAAATAAAATAAAATATTATATATATAAACAATTTATTTACATCGCATTAAATACCCATTTTTCTAATAAAATAGCACACCTAATATATATATTTACATTACACTAAATAATTGTATTTTATGTATTTATTTTTTCTATTTTCAGAACTCTCAAAAAATCATTTTCAAAATATATCTAAAATTTCTATCTAAACAAAATCTTTGGTATTATATATATATATATATAAATATATATGTATATATTTTTTAAAAAAAAAACCAACATATACTCACTCACAGATACAGGTATATACATATAATTATGTGTATAAAGTAATAAGTTTATATTTGCACACACATCAATTTGTATATCTTAAAATGAACCTACCTTGAAAAGCCAAAACTCTCACAGTTATATACTATCACAGAACTTGAATCCATTTGGAGTTTGGTTTTGATATATTTTTAACAAATTGTATAAGAAGAAATTAAAATGTACTTTATCAAGTAATTGTGATTATTGTTGCATTGTAATTAAATTGAATTTAAATTTGAAAAAGAAAAAAATTAATTAATAATAATATTCTTAATAGTTATGAAGTTGTGATCTTTTTTAGGGTACAAAATTGTATGTGGGGGTGAATTGAGATGATGATAGGAGTGGTTAAAAAAGCTCACCAAACAACAGGACTCTAATTGTATGTATATTCCTTTAAAACTCATCTTGTTTTGAAAGCTCTATATATATATATATATATATATCTATATATATATATGTGTATGCATTGGTGCATGCAATGCAATGAAAGATGAATATATATATATATATATATTCATATATGTGTGTTGTTAATGATCTTATCTGGTCATTAGTCATTACAACCTTTTTCTTTGTCAATCCTACCTTCTACTTTGCCTGTACTTTCCTCCTTCATCACCCCAACATACCCTTCTAGAACACCTCTCTCTCTCTCTCTCTCTCCTCTCTCTCTCTCTCTCTTATTACTATTTTCGTCCGGCCCTAAAGGTTCTCATTTACTTTTTGCGTGTTGATATTTGAATATTAATTATTATATCAAAACGTAGTACAAATTTAAAAAAAAAAATTACAAAAATACTTTAATTAATATCTTATAATATTAATAGAAAAATATTTGTAAAAAAAAAATACAAATATAAAGATATTTTTAATGTTAAGTACAATGAGCAAAATGTAAGTGTGACCCTTAGAACCGAACTAATGGAGTACAATTTTTTATTTTTTATTTTTTTTAGTAATGTAATGTATTCTTTATACACAATATATTGTTTAATTTAATATAAAAATCAGCTATTATTTCTATCATAAAAGTAAAAACTATAAATATAAAAAAATGTACCTTAATTTAGATATATAATTTCAATTAATTTTGTCTTTTCATCTTTTATTATTTATTTGTTTAATAATAACATGCAATACTTTTAAGTTAATGAGTGACTTCAAATTCATGTAAAAGAACCGGCGCAAGTATTCGTCTAGAAGATGTGTGTATTTGATACTACCTTTATTTCCTTGGTTTACTTTTGACCTTTTTTTTTTTTGAAGTTTTTTTATAAATTATATTTTAGATAGATAATTAAAAGGGAAAAGGAATATATATATTTTTTAAATTTTGTAAAAAAATTATAACGTCTCAAATAAAAAATGGTAGCAAAAAATTTGGGATGTAGCTAAAAGACACATTCAAGTATTAAAATGATGCTATTTGGATATTTTTGGATTTTTTGTTTAAATTTTAAATTTAAATAATTATTTGATGTTATATAAATAGATATTAATATAATTTTTTTTAATATAATAAAAATGTATTTAAATTTAATATTTGTAAAGAAAAAAATTGATAAATATTGAAAGTCTTTGGTAAAAAATCCCAATCAAATACAAACTCATCGCTAGAACTGTTAAAGAATTCAATCGAACATATATATATATATTTTTTTTTTATTTGTTAATGCTTGCTAACAAATCCAAGTCCACTTGCTAGTATTTGAGCTTGTTCGTATAATTCAAGCTCAGTTCGTTAATCAATTTTATTATTCGAACTTGTGTTCATGTTCGGTTCAAATAAACTCGTTTGGATAGGTATGATATTTTGTTTTTTTTTTTTTTTTTTAATTCATATATATGAAATAGTTTATTTATTTATTTTTAATTAATAATTTATAAATTTATATTTTAACACCAAATAAGCTTGTCATTAACAAATGAGCATATTTATATTGTTTTATTCGACTCGTTTACATTCGCAAAAGAGTTTAAACCGAGTAAGTTTATGAACAATCAGTTTCGTTTAACAACTCTACTTACCATTATAGTAAAATAAATGTATGTGTTGTTCTTTTGAAGATTTATTTCCAAAAAAAAAAAAATACAATATTTTTCTTATATAATATCGCATCAAATACCATATAAACCAAATTTTAAACCAAAACCTCAATCTCAAACAAAACCAAACAAATTCTTTATTTATTTATTTATTTATTATTTTAATTTTATTTAAATATGATATTTTATAAAACGATCCGATGCATGTTTTATAGAGAATTAAAATGATTATATAGTAGAAAAAAAAACTAAAATTAAATTCGAAAATACTTATCCTAAATTTTGTAAATATATATTTATATATATAGGCTCTATTTAGACCAAAGACTTATGAGTATTTTGGAGTTTTAAAAAAATTGATTATATTAAAATTTTAATATTTAATATTATATTTTATGAAATAAATAATATATTTGATATGATTCTTTTAAAAAGTAAAATAATATCAAAAAATTTAACATGTTAAAAGAAAACCATAATGTAATCAGCAGTCCAATTAGGCACAACTCAGGCCCACACCATCAATCTATATCGGGCTTTTGAAATATAAAATTCCGGCCCAATTGATATAAAATATTTTAAAATATACATATTTTTTAAATCAAATTAGGCCCTCATCTACTAGACAATTTGAAATTATAAAAATACAATTTATAAACTAAATTGTGAAATTTCAGTAGAAAAATATATTTACGTTAACATGTTATTTTGAAACTTTTTTACAGTTTAAAAGTATTTCTAATTTTTTTTTTTTTAATTTCAAATATTTTTTTTTCTAAAAAAATTATTTTTATACAAACTTATTCAAATATAAAAATCAAATTGTTTTTAGTTTTGGCTTATATTTATGTTTTCATTTTTTTTCTCCTGTATATTTTATAAGTCAATTCAATTGGTAATTTGAAAAATAGTATAAAGGCTTTTTGGTAAGTTTTTCAAATTTTATTATTATTATTTTATTATTTTTATTTTTAAAAAAGTATCAATCAAATATTTATTTTTTATATTATACTGATTTGAATGAACAAAATTGTTTTCTTTTATCATAAAAATAGACTTAGTTTTCTTATTTATCTATTTTTTTTTATTATTTTAATTATTTTTTTATTATAAAATGCAAATATCTATATATATATATATATATACACACACTACACCAAATCGTATTCAAACTATTTTAAAAATGGAGTATTATTTAACAGTAACGTCTAATTAAATCTCTAACCATTTGTTAATTATTCCAAATTACTATTATAGTTAAGGAAAAAAAGATAATGTGAAAATGATCCAATGGTCACACCACCGATACGCCGCATGTGATCTGCACGTGAGTCGCTCTCCCATCTCTCGCTATGCCTATGTATCGTCATCCATTCCCACTTTTCCGTTTCTTCTCTCTTTTCCCGAAACCTCTTCAGACTCTCTCATCTGCTGCTCCTTCGGATTTCCTCGCCTGGAAGAAGAGGAGAGGATCAACCTTCCGCGGAAATCTCCAGGTACTGTTCCTTGCTTTGTCCGTCGATTTGTGTCTATTTCTAGGCTATTTGTTCGATCGGTTGTTTGTTTGTGTCGGTTGTGGTGTCAGTGTGTGTTTGGGTGGGTACCGGTGGATGATTTTGAGCGCTGTGGTGTTTTTATAGAGATGTAATGGTGGAAATTTTGTTTCCACACGTTTTGGATTTGTGTTTGCGTTGCGTTGTGAGTGCTGGTGGATTATTTTGAGCGGTGTGGTGTTTTGTAGAGAGGTAATGGAAATTTCAATTTCGTTAGGCTTTGGATTTGTGTTGCGGGAGCAGTAAGAGAGGCGAGAGATGAACAGGTGGGGATACCAACAGACGGCCATGGTGAGAGGTTGCGTTGTGGACGGCGTCGTTTGCCCCAAGCCTCGGAGGATTGGCGCGCCTCTTCAACTGCACGAGCCTCTGAGACAATCCCCGCGCTTGCTCTACATCAAGTAGGATCCTGCTAACCTTCCTGTTTGATAATCGTATAGTTTCTATAGCAGTTTTTTGCGACTTCAATCGTTTTTTTTTTTTTTTTGGGATGTTTTGGTACTGTGTTGTTTTTTTAAAAACAGATTGTCTAGTTTTTGTTGATTTGGATAACAATCGCACCTATGAATATAAGTTTTTAACATAAATTAATTTGATTGTTCATGTATATATTGCTGTATTGTGATGGGATGATGCTATTGTGAATAGAGTGGCAGTGGTTTTAGGGTTTGATGAATATGGGCATATTTGCATATGAATAAAAATAGGTGAATGTAGAATAGTTATTGTACAATAAAAAGAAGGTATTAATGTTGTAATAATGATGTTCGCGGGAAGGTAGTTTGAATTTCGATTGATTCAATAAATTACGCCAAATATTAGCTTTACAACTTTGTTTTTTTCTTTTTTTACTTGAAATTGTAGTCAACAACCCGAGGCATGTGACGCAAAAGTGGGAATGGAGCTTCTTGATATAATTCGAATGAAGGTAAATTCAATATTTCTCTAGTTTTACCTTATTTACATCATTTGCGTAAGATTAACGGTCCCTTTCTGGTGATTTATGAACACCATTTGAGAATTTATAACAGCCTAAGCTTAGTTAATACAATAAGTACCATTTAGACCCTTTTAAATCCTTTAGACGTAAGTTTTTAGTTGTAATTAGCCTTGTTTCTTGTAATTGCTCCAATGCATACACGACCAATTGTTGGCTGTTGTGGCACTTTACACAACCCTGCCTATAGTGGTTTGTATAGCTTGTTGTGTGATTGGTTCTAAGGGATTTGGTGAGAACTATATTACCCGAGACACTTAAAATAGAAGTCATGTAAAATCTGCAGCTAATTTGAGAGAAACTTCTGAAAAACATTTGCATCAACTAAATGATATGATTATTAACCACTATTATTTTAATAGAATTAATGAAATAGAAAGCAAATTTAGAGATTCCACCTTATTTTTTTGGCATTGCATTTACTGTAACCAACATGGGCTCCGAAGAAAACAGCGTATAAATTGAGTATTCATTAGGACATAATATGTGTGGTATTCTTGCCTTTTTCCCTCTCGTAACTGCTCCATGAGATTCAAGTCCTAATTTTATTTTTACGACTGCAGTTGAGCTCATTAATTTTCTGTATTTTCAGGGGAGCTACACTTCAGAAAGGTCAGGCTTTCAGGTAGCCTCATCCCCGCCCTTTTTTGCCGGGACACCACCAGGCCGGGTTTCAAACCCTGTTATTCATGATGAAAAGTTTGGGAACAACAATGGCTACTCTTCATACCCTATGCGTGAAACACCATCATCATCTAATCGCACTTGTGGAGGTTGTGTCGAGACCAAATTTGGTTCCAAACCTGCTGTGAGGATCGAAGGGTTCGACTGTCATGGAGGCAGCAGGCTCTCTGCCATAGCCTAGACAGAGAACCCAACTTCAAAGCTTGCTGCATCTTCAGAGGTACGAATGCCGCCAATAACAAACTAATTTCGATAAAGAGAAACCATTAGTTCCATAGTGTACATATGTCATGATCTAAACAAGAAAATTCTGAGCGTGTTCCCTCCCTGTGAGGCAGTCGAATATCTTCTGTGAATATATGATGATGAGATGTGAGGATTAGTGTTTGTTCAAATAAGATAAACTCGCCCATGGAAAAAGGGGAAATAATCCCTATATTGGGTTGTAGACATTCGTCTCTGTTATGTCGCTCCGAGTGTACAATATGAACACTTATCGCGCGACTATGTCAACTTCATGAACCTTCACTGTAAATGCCAGTATTTGATTGAACCTTTGAAACTTTATTGTCTATTCTCTTTAGTAGTTTGAGTAATATTACAATCTTGGCAATGATTGTGAAATCATTTCAAGGATCCATTTTAATGTTTTGGATGGGAACATTATTGTTTTGTGACAAATTATTTTGTGGGTAGCTAATTATATATATATATATATGTATATGTATATTATTGTGTGAAATGATATGTGGGATACAGAAATTTCCATGTGTCTTAATTATGATTTAAGTTGTTGATGATGTCAAAATATGGCCTGATTATTGACTTAGACATGGTTAGTTTAATGCTACAAGTTTTTATTTATTTATATAGTTAGTTATTGAGCATGTGGAGAATGGGGTTTTTTTTATATATATATATTAATTAGTTCTAAGTGATGGGGGTCCCAATGATCTTTTGGACTTGCATCATGTGAGATGATAATTGGATTGATTGAATTGAATAATATTTATATATATATATATATATGTATATTGTTTGAAATTGTTGATTGCCTTTTCAGCTTCTTGAAACCAAACAATTGTACTGTTTTAATACAATTGTGTAACTGTTTGTGTAATTTTATTGGGCAGCATAGTTATTTATCATTCTTTATGAAATAAAGCTAGTACATGTATGATTACAGAATTGATTATAAAAGTTTCAAACATGTAATATCCACTAACGCATAAAAATTGTAAACTCTATGTGTGCCCACTAAATATATGAAGAATGAAAATTTTAAATTGTAATACCCACTAATATATAAAAATTGCAAAAAAAATTGAAAAATTTAAGAATACAGGAATTAAAATATTGTCAAATATATATATCTATATATATAATATGCTATCCATTTATCGAATCATATATATATACGCATACATGCATACGTTGTTGTCATATGGATTTTGTATCTAATCAATTTAATTATTGAGATATTTGACATTATTAAATTGAGTAGTTCATCACACAACAGACATTGATTTTGAGATATTATCATTTTTACCTCTATATATAATATGTGTTGTTTTGTTAAACGTACATAAAATATATTAATTGAAAATATAAGCTGTACTAAATTATTTGAATAATGACATAAATATTTTGAAATAAAGAATGTATTTAATTTATATTTGTGTGTGGTCTTTATGTTTAAATAATTGTTAGATATAATATTTTATAAGATAAAATAATAAATCTTAATGATTTACGAAAAAGAAAAAACACCACAAAAATAGAACTATAGTATACTTATATTAAACAACATCGTAAATTTATTAAATATTTACATACTAAAGAATAAAAAACTCTTAGATCATCGTATAACTTTATTGACTACATATATATATATATATTAAACCACATTATAAATCTACTGAACTTCATACAAAATATGATCGATGTAAGGAATTAATTAAATAACATACAAATATTTTTGGAATAATGATTTATTCATTTTCAACTTACATAAATAATATTTAGAATATAATAGACCTAATATATAAATGTGTGAAATAACTTAAAATCTCATATTCACTCCATTTGCTTATTCAAAGGTATATATGGTATCATTTTGTTCATTCAAACACAAAATATATATTTTCCCTAAGTTCGAATACACTATACAGTATAAATAGTTTAAATTTTATACTTATTTATATCAATATCATTAAGATAAATTAAAATTAAAAGACAATAAAAATTATATAAAAAAACAAATGTATATCTACTAAGTACATAGGGAAGTATTATTTACATCTACAAAAAAAAAAATACATTACCCTCCTTTCTTTTGTACACACTTCAAAACTTTCTATCCAATTTCATGAAACAACAAATTTTACAAATTTCCTGATTGAACTAATAAACAAAATTTGCCTATCCAAAAATTCATAATATGATCAATGTTATGCATATATCCATACCAGATTGAGTCCTAGGGAGACTCCTTAGTCGATTTCTTCACCGGTTACAATTGAGTTCCGGAAAATAGAACTATTCTTGTGAGTTTGATCGACTGTTCGTGTCAAAATTAGGCATAATGTATAGATCAACTTACGTAGTTTAGAGTTTCTCTGACATACTTCTAAAATGGTAATCGAATGTATGTACTTACTCATCATCGATGATCTTGGCTTGCTCGGGTTGTCCCGAGCTGGAGTGACCTCTTTACAGCCACCAGTTATCTGTAGCCGTAGAAAAAAGAACACAATTAAAGTCACATTTTTCATCATGTACAGACTTAAATTTAAATACATTATTTTCCCACACAAAATATTAGATCAAAATACTATTTAAGAAGAAAATCGAATAACAGCCCATTTTAAATCAATTTCAAACCGTAACCAAACAAACCGCAGAAGAATACCTTTTTATCAAGTTTTCTAATTCTCTCTCTCTCTCTCTGCCCCAAGAACATTTCTTGATTGCTGGAAATGTTGCAAAATAATGTAGATCCTAATTACCTTGACTGTCTTCACTAGCTCAAGTAGAATCTTTCGTCTGCTGTAGCGTCTCGATTTCTTCGTCTTTCTTTGCTATAGTATCTTTCAAAGAGGCAACCTAACAATGCATATGAAAATAAGCTTGTGGACAAAGTGTCGATCGCTTTTGGTTGTTTGAGTAGTTTTATGTGAAGGAGCGTACCTGTTCCATCAATTCCCTTACATCCTTGCCGTCTTTGTTGCTTTTAGCTGCACCGAGCTCGACTCCAGCAACTCTTTCAGCAAATTTTAAGGTACTTACGGATTCGGTATACGAATCAATGTCAGGATTAAGCTGGATGAACATAAGTGTCTTTGCATGACCTCCTGCATTGTCACGTAGACAAGTTATGAATGTTGGATTGCAATTTTAGACTGTAAAAAAACTATTATCATATATTGTCAAGTCATATGTTATATTTGTATTATATTAATATATATCTTGCGTTGTTAATTTATAGCCCATATGCTGATGTTATATATATATATATATATATATATTGTATGCTGTCAGCACAATAACAGCCTCCCTTACGGCATTATTTTATAAAGACGTTTAGATGCTTATAGTTAATCGGAATATATTAGAGCAAAAATGGAACCTCTAGGACCATATGAAGTTAAAACCATACCTAGTGAACTCTGAAGGACTTGTGTTAGCTTGCTGTTTCGATAAGGAACATGGTTGTTCTTTTGTGATAAAGCAAATATGACATCCCCGAGTGCGGCTAAGGATTTGTTTATATGTTGTGCCTCTTTAAGGCGGTCACCCGTCACCTCCGAACGATCTACTCTTTCACTTCCTGCAAGATCTACTAAATGAAGATTACCTCGTAGAGACGAGCCGCTCTTTAGATCAGTTCCGGTGCAATGAATGGAGACAATACTGCATAGATGCATTGCATAAGCTCTAGTAATATCTTTATATATGAGTTTAGTAAAGATAGTGAGTAATGACGACGAAAAAAAGGAGTTTGCATTTTTGGTACAATTACCTGTGTGATCTACTGCTTCTTTCATTCATGGCAGTGGAACCTTTTGCTCTGTTATTTAGGCCAATGTCCATTAGTGACATTACATCTGAGGTCGAGTTGACGGGCTGAATACTTGCATCCGGGACAGCCAAACCGTTGGGTTTTGAGCTGTTTAAGACGCCGAGCGTGCAACAGAAATCAAGGGAAACAAGGTCTTTCATGTCACAAGAATTAGTAATATGTCAAAACAAAAAAATCGAATAAGATGATGCATATACATCTAGATTCGAAAAAGGATATTTCTTTTGAGCACCATCACTAGTGAGCAAATCGCGAATTTGTTCGTTGTATATCTCCACCATTTGGACGGAAACTTCATATGAGAAAGTGCTTTCCCTACCTTGTGAAAGGCGAAAAAGATCATTTAGAGCCCGGTAATTGACACCGTATTGTTCTTCAGTTGCTCCATCGGGACCGGTCTACACGAGAGTACATCATAAGGCAATATAAGTAAAATGGGCAATGTAACAAATGGTAAGGTATAGTTATATACCATTGTATAGGTTTTCCCGGAACCGGTCTGGCCATAGGCAAAGATACACACGTTGTATCCATCCACAACCGATCGAATTAATGGTTGTATGTCTGAAAATACTTCAGCTGCAGGCGTTGAAATAACATATGAGCCAATAAAAATAAGTAATAGTGAATGGACCAGGTCACGATAGCATGCATCAGAAGATCGAAACCTTGTGTTGCAGTCGGACCGTACACTTTATTGAACTTGAAAGAACGGCGACCTTCCTTTCCTTTTTTAGCAGGATTCGTAACTATTAACTCTCCATCCTCACCAGTGTACTCAACAATAGTTTGTTTTCCTTTCTGCCCCGGAAGGAATGGCCTCACTCGACAAAAGACTCTTATATTTCCTATTCAAATGAAGAAATAAGGAATTGTTTCACTATATATAATTCATGTTCAAGATATAACCGTGCCAAAAATAATTTGGTACCTTTTATCTCTAGTAGTTCATTATGCAGCTTTCGATTTTCAGCAAGGAGTGGATGATAATTTTTTGCCGCATTATCCAGTATCTTGATTTTAGATCCTGTTCCAGCAGAGATGTTTATTGTTCTTTCTTATGTTTTAGCCAAATCAAATGGTGTCTCGAAAAAGGGAATTACCTAATGTCACAAATTCTTCCGAATAGCTTTCTTTTGTTCTGGCAATCTCTTGCTGGATATATTGTGATGCAAATCTTAGTTCCTGTGAAAATAAACTCATCGATAAATGTTAGAACTTATAAGCTTAGTAAATGTACAGAGAAAAAATGATGAAACCTCATATAGCATACCCGAAGAGCACCAAGCTGAAAGTCTGTGAATATATGATAAATATGATTTTTCTTGTTCCATTGTTTAGCCTTTTCTTCTAAGGATGCCTCGAGCATTTTCGCTTTATTTCTTGCCTCTGTTAGCAATGTCTCCATTTCCTTTAGTTTCTCCTCTTGCTCACGTTGAGTTTTTTCAGCTTCAGCTGCCATTGTCGATAATTTTTCTTCACTTGATTTTCTATCCACTTCCATGTTTTGCTTCAAACTTTCCATTTCTTGACTGAGTTCATCTTTTTCTTTAACCAATTTTTCCACGTCTTGCTGCCTCATTTTCTCGATCTCTTCTGTTTTATCCTTCATACTTTGAAGTTGTTGCCTCAGATTTGCTATCTCTTGATTGAGATTCTCTTTTTCTTTCATTAAATTTTCAATATCCTTATCCTTCAACTCTCCCTTTTCTGCTTTGTTCTTCAAATCCTCCACAACTTGCCTCAAATTTGCTATCTCTCTGCAAAGCTCATCATTTTCTTTCATTAGTTTTGCCATATTTTGATCATTCTCTTCCTTTCTTTCTTCCGTTTTGATTTTCAAACTCTCTATTTGTTGCCTCAAATTTGCTATCTCTCTGTTAAGATCATCATTTTCTTTCATCAGTTTTGCCATATCTTGATCATTCTCTTCCTTTCTTTCTTCCGTTTTGTTTTTCGAACTCTCTATTTGTTGCCTCAAATTTGCTACCTCTCTGTTAAGATCATCATTTTCTTTCATCAGTTTTGCCATATCTTGATCATTCTCTTCCTTTCTTTCTTCCATTTTGTGTTTCGAACTCTCTATTTGTTGCCTCAAATTTGCTATCTCTTTGTTAAGATCATCATTTTCTTTCATTAGTTTTGTCATATCTTGATCATTCTCTTCCTTTCTTTCTTCCGATTTGTTTTTCGAACTCTCTATTTGTTGCCTCAAATTTGCTATCTCTCTGTTAAGATCATTTTCTTTCATCAGTTTTGTCATATCTTGATCATTCTCTTCCTTTCTTTCTTCCATTTTGTTTTTCGAACTCTCCATTTGTTGCCTCAAATTTGTTATCTCTCTATTGAGATCATTATTTTCTTTCATTAGTTTTTCCATACCCTGATCATTCTCTTCCTTTCTTTCTTCAGTTTTGTTTTTCGAACTCTCTATTTGCTGCCTCAACTTTGCTATCTCTCTATTAAGATCATCATTTTCTTTCATTAGCTTCAACATATCCTGGTCTTTATCTTCCTTTCTCTCTTCCACTTTCTTTTTTGAAATCTCTATTTGTTGCCTCAAATTTGCTATCTCTTTATTGAGATCATGATTTTCTTTTATCAATTTTTCTGTATCTTGATCATTTTCTGTCTTTCTCTCTTCTGCTCTTTTCTTCAAATTCTCCAACTGTTGCCTCAAATTTGTTATCTCTCTACTGAGATCATCTTTCTCTTTCAACACATTTACCATACCTTGATCCTTTGCTTCCTTTCTCTCTTCTGTTTTGCTCTTAGAACTCTCCATCTGTTGCCTCAAATTTGTTATCTCTCTATTGGGATCCTCTTTCTCTTTCAACACATTTACCATATCTTGATCCTTTGCTTCCTTTCTCTCTTCTGTTTTGCTCTTAGAATTCTCCATCTGTTGCCTCAGTTTTGTTATCTCTTTATTGAGATCCTCTTTCTCTTTCAATACATTTAACATATCTTGATCCTGTGCTTCTTTTCTCTCTTCTGTTTTATTCGTAGAACTCTCCATCTGTTGCCTCAAATTTACTATATCTCGATTGAGCTTATCATTCTCTTTCATCAATTTTTCCATATTCTGATCCTTCTCTTCCTTTTTCTCTTCCGTATTACTGTTTGAACACTCCAACTGTTGCCTCAAATTTGCAATCTCCTGGTTGAGATCATCGTTCTCTTTCATCAGCCTTACAATATCTTGATTCTTCATTTCATTACTACTGTCTTCTGTTTTGGCTTTCAAACACTGCAATTGTTGTTTCAAACTTGCTATCTCTTTGTCGAGGTCATCTTTCTCATTCATGAGCTTTACAACTTCTACATCTCTGCTCTGTAAGTCCTTTTTCTCTTTAGTGTCATTCTTCGAACACTCTAGTTGTTGCTTCAAATTTGTTATCTGTTGATTAGTTTTGATTTTCTCTTTTTGATCCTCCACTTTCTTTTCCTCTTCTATTTTGTTCTTCTCGTTCTGCAGAGATTAAAATATTATGAGCACAAAAACAATTAATTGAAAAAAAAAAACTTCCAAGTGAAAATAGCATAAAAACCATTGTTTCCCTTTTCTTAAGTAAAGTCCAACTCGGTCATATTTTAGCCAATTATATAATAAGGGTTAAAAAATATATTACAAAAAAAAAATTGCAAAAACAATGCAAGTCGCTAATTCAATTTGCGATTATGCTAATTTTTTAGGGTGCATTACCATATTCTACGGTTGTAGAAGAAAGTGGGACAATGAACGTGAAGAAGATGAAACAAAATTCAAAGTTGTAAAGTGTACCTTAATTTGCTGGAGTTGGTTCTTGACAATCTGAAAAAATAATTTCTCTTATGAAAATAAAAATATTACTTTAGTTAAAATGCCAAAAACATGGGATCGATATGAATGTGGAAAATATTGAAATTATATTTTTCATTATACCTGGGTCTCTTCACTAGTCCCTGCAGCAAGGGCTTCCAATACTCTAATTCTTGATTGATATTTCTCCTCACGTGCTTTAAAAAGATTGTTTTGCTGTAAAAACCAATCATAAAAATGGCCAAGCTGATAATCAGTACCACTAGGAAATTGTTAGGGAATTGATTCTGCATATTACTCTAATAGGCAAATGAAAAATAAGATAAAGATCACATTGTTTCAACTAACAAAACATGCTAAAACAAACTAAGTGTTGACAATTCATATTCTACCGTTACCGTTGTATGAACACATACATTGTGCTGAAGTCAATGGTAATGTATTGTATGATCGATTGACCGTACATATTTTACGGTTATTTATACTATATTAATATAAATTTTTTATTGTTATTTTATATTTCATATGTTGTTCATCGAAACTATCATACTGGATGATTTTGTTAAGCGAAATCTAAGTGATGAGACATCCCTAGTTTGAGGGTTAGATAAAAAATGATTTCATTCAACATACTACCAACATAAAGGCATGCTGATTTACCTAATAAAAATAGACAAACAACATATAATTTTAGTATATCACAATACATTACCGTCCTCAAATGTTCTGCTTGAGTACATATCCTTCGTTCAACCTCCTGAACCACTTTCCTCAGTAGGCAAGCAACTCGCTGTTACATGAAACGAAGGAGCAATTGTTAGAACTTTACATGAGAGTTGAAACATAATAAAATGCAACAACTGTTACTATTCTCTGAAATGTATCATCATACATGAGGTATTTCTCCAGTCTTCCTATCGATGCTTTCATCCAAAATACCATTGACAACGCTTAATAGTGACTGGGTTGGGGCATTCTGTACGAGATAAAATTATACCATTATGACAGAAGTGTAATTTATTGGAACTACATTAACAGAATTCTAAGAATCAGTAAGTAAGACTTCACATACTCACATCCAAGCTGTTTGATTTCATCATTTCCGATATCGTTGCAGCAGGAAGATCCATGTAAGACCCTTGTTTTAGCTGAAAGACTTCATGAAACTTGTGGCCAACATGATTTATAAGGGCAGCTGATGGTTCTACATAAGGGGGGAAAGAAAAGATTAAGCTTAAATCTATCAAGATGTGGTTGTTACTGTGCCGACTATAATTAGTCTGCACAATGCTGATACCATATAAAGTATATACCAAGAGCATACGATATGTATAAACCAATAGCACAAAATATATATTAGTATAATACAAATACAATATGTTGTCCAAACAACACATACTAAATTAATCTCAATACATAAGATATATTAATAAAACATATATATAAAATAAAAATATAAAATAGACACACATAGCATATGTAGATTATTAGCTTGTACACAACAAATTTTATTTCATAAAAAGCTACTTATAAGTTAAAGTTAAAATGGCATAAAATATGTCTAATTAAATCAATAATTCTAAAAATATCTCAAATAAGGCAAATAGTATCATTATAATATTATAATATAAATATTTCCAAATATAACACATTATCATACTTACATATGTACAAGCTCTTGATATAATTCCTAGAATATGACATCAATAGCTTGAAAACTTACATACATGAGATTCAAATTTGTCACATATCAAACATATACTCTAAAGAGGGATGAGAAGTAATGAAAAGTACCTGTTGTTCTGGGTCCCACTGCAGAATCAACTCTCCACTTGTCCCCCCGATAGGGAGAGGAAGAGAGTGATAGAATGAATTCGTCCCTAGAAGCACTAGTAAGAGTTCCAGTGGCGTCTCCTGTAAATTTCAATCTTAAACTGGCTTCATGTCCACTAATTCTCCCAAAATTCGTAAACTGTGTTTGTAGTACAAGAAGACTATCCAGAACAGGCTTAATAGATCCCTTCACACAATGAAAAGACACTATCAATTGAGGAAATCACAAGATTAAGTATGGTTGTGACTAAATGGAACTCAAAACAGTTTATTGAGCAATATAGAGTCTGATATTTTTAATTTAATAATTAACTACACTACCTTTTCCAGGTCTGATTCTTGAAATCTTGGCAAGCCCATTTGATCCATTGCTGTTAAAAATCTTTGGACATTGTATGAGCCTGATTGTGTGTTATGACTGGAATCACCAGACTAAAAAGTAATAAAGGAACTATATCAAATACCGGTCATCTCTGCTTCAAAAACAGCTAACACAATGGAATAAGTCTAGCTACCTCAGCCACAGAACCAGGTCTTAGTTTGTTAAGTATTCGGCACAAGACGAATCCATCTGCTAATACTGACTGAAATTCTTCATCTGAAGCGTTCAGTGGCAATCTAAGATCAGGAAGAATACTATTTAACCATCCTACCAAACTTGCCCGCTGCATAGCTGTTGAAGCCGCATCAATGACAAAAGGAAAAAGAAGTTAAATCTAGAATATTTTAAACTTGCTACTAGAGCAAACAACAACTACAGTGCTTTGTGTAATTAGTCTTACCACTATTGCTTGAAGTGGGTTCAAACACATCACTATTGATGGAAGAACTTCTGCTGAATCGAGGAAAATCTCTCATTGATTGATCCATTGCATAAACTCTGATAGAATAGACCAAAAAATACAAATGCAGTAGCTTAATACAATCATGAAAAATCAGAACCAAACTAGCTAATTACATTATTATTACAATTATTTAATTAGAACTACAAAAATAGAATAATTTTTTTAATAAATAAATCTCACAGAAATATTGTAATCCATACTATACAACTTCTGTTTTTACTTTTATATTTTACTTTTACCTTATATATATAGATGTGCTTCTCTCCTTTTCAATTGTGGAATACTAGAACTTGATGTTTTTGCATTTTGATGATGTTTACGTCATTTTTTAGGCACTAATTGAAATAGCGTGAAGATGATATATGTAAAGAATTGATGATATATGAAGACATTAATCTCAATACATGACATTCTATTTCAATTATAGTATTTAGCTGATCTAGGTGTGTAGTAAATTCAGAGTATATTACAATGTATCATTCAAGACTTTAGTGGATTCGGTCTATTATAAAACTAATTTGTTCTTCTCGTCCAGAATACTTTTCAGAACACATTAAAATGCAAAACCATTCATTTTATTAGAGAATTTGATTCACATTAACATTTATATCCCTTTTCGAACTACCACATATTAATACATTTCAACAACTTTCCCTAACTAAACAGATGAAACCATGCAAAGACAATAAATACCTATGATGGCAGAAATCTTCGATGCGAAGAGCCAAATATGAAGACCAAACGTGACCATAAATTCCAAGAAGATCCTTTGAATAGCTTCAATGGGTATATACTCACTGATTTGACAAGATATAGAAACTTTCTTTAGAGTTCAAAAGAGATAGATAAGTAGCAAACTTTGAATTCATAATCAGCGCACAATGCTTCATCTGATATGTCTGAGATCATTCTACTTCATTAAATTTATAAACCAACAACCAGACACACACAGAAGATACAAAACTGCATTATACTGTCTTAGAATTCTTGTATTCCTTGATCAACATATCCATAACTCCACATCCAAATAAAATTCCTGTAATCCCTTTTAAAGCACAATAAAGCATGCTGATTCTCAAACCTCAGAATCAATCATCAAGTAAGTGAAAATCATACAGAGGAATTAAATTTTCTCAATTAGCCGAATTTTGAATGGCAAAGGATACCTGCAGAGGATTGTAAATTAAGAACCAAAATACCACGCCCCAATTCACGCACTTAATGCTAACAAAAACAAACTCTTTAACGGAAATTTCTTCACATTCTAGCCCTTGAATACAACTTGTAAGAAGAATCAAACTTCCTAATTGAAAAAAAAAAAAAAAAAAATTCCTGTTTTAATGTTCATATGTGCATGAAATTCTACAATCTCAACTCATTGTTTGCTGTAGTATCAAACTAAAACCTTAATACTCCCATCGCATTCCCGATCAACAAATGCATTTCCACAAAATTTCGCAAAATAATAAACAACACGCTCAAATAATTTGCAGCAATTACGATAAAAACAACATTAAAAAAGAAAACTATAAACGGAACCGCAAATTAATAAACATAATTTTTTTATCTTCACGTATTCCACGCAAAATATTACCTGATATCTCTAGCTGAAACATAGGCGCCTAAACCTGTACAGTTTCTTGAATTCAATTTACACCTACAAAATGATAAACATGAAATTTCAGCAAATATAATAATCGGCAGTGGATTCCCCATTATTGAAGCACAGAGAGAATAGAGATTGCTAAGTGGTTGGCCTTCCGTGAGCCGTTGGGATTGTAAGGAACCATGGAAGGTCCAGAATCTGCAATTTTCCCGCCAATGTAGGGACTCATAAATACACGCATATATTTATACCTACACATAGGATGACTTTTTATGCCATGCTTTCATAATTTGATATATATAGTATATATTGTTTGTCAATATATTTGTTGATTTGAGGACTCTTATTTGAGTCTTGGAAGTTTGATTATTTTTTTAAAATAATAATTAATTTGATATTTTATTTTTTTTAATATATATTGTTTGTTAATATAGATTGTTTGTTAAATAATAATATATTTTATTTTTTTTAATATATATTTGTTAAATAATAATTAATTTGTTAATATATATTGTTTGTCAATATACATTTTATTTTTTTTATTTGGATGATGAGATAAAATAAAATGTGTGGTAGAGATTAGATATAAACTAAATGTTGAACACTGTTGATATGAAGGGAGTATTACATTCAAATAGAAATTGAACATGCAATAGAATTTTTAGTTTGAGAATTATTAAATTTTATAGTAAATAAAAATAGCTATTTTAAGAATACAAATGTTATTTGTTTGAAAAATTTTGAAAGATTTTTACTATTCATTAATTTTTTTAAAAAAAATATATATAAAATTAAATATCTTTTTTTTTTCGCATTATATTAAAAAATAAATTTTAGTTTTAATAGTATATTATATAAATAACTGTTTATATGAAAACAATTATATTCAAATAAATATTTAAATCAAAATTCAAATCTGAAAGTCCTTAATTAGTTATTGGGCCAATTATATATCAAATTCTGCTCCTCCCGCTAAATTAGATTGGGTTTATAAGTGAATCAATTTGGGTCAATATTTTGGGCCAAACAATTTACGTGAAGGTACTTTGGGCCCATTACAGCCCAAAATCTCAAAAGGGCAAAAGTTGTGGAAATACGTGCAAGAGGGGTTGAATTCACGTTCTGTTCATCGTAAAGCTTATCACAGCGACACTGGAGCCGAAGCAAACCGGAGTGGCGCGGTTGGGGGAGCTTGCATCGATCGAATCCAGCATTTCTGCTGCAAATTGAAGCTACTGGTTTGGCTTGATCGCAACACCTCATCGAGTAGCGATTGCTTGCAGGAACCCTACGCTATCCCGGTGAAAATGTTCAAAAAGTTAGTTCTGCTTATTCTTTTGCGAGGAAAACCTAGAAATTTAGTTCGTATATGTCAGATGCTTACGGTTTGTTTGGTTTCGTTCACCATCGTTTTGCTATTGGTTGGTAGATATTTGGTTTTCGTGATTTAGTTGGTTGCTGTTTTCTCACCGGCAGTTCGAATACCCCCATTCGAGCTCTTTTAATGTTTGGGGATCTGCTGTTGAGGGGAATGTTGTATGTTTTCTCCTACGTGATTTGGTCGGATTCGGCTTTTTGTGCAGAAACAAATTCGAGAAGAGAAACTGCAGTTATTGTTATGTTTTATTTAATAGTTTAAATGAAAATTGTGCATTGGATTCAAGATTCTCAGATAAAAGCAAAGTTGAAAATATTGAAAACATAAACAGACAGAACCTAATTTTCTGCAAGTCGGACAGCATTATACAGTCTGCTAATTTGAAGTGGTCACATTTTCTTTGTTCAATATGAACCGATCTGAATTTCTGTTTTTTCACTTGGGAGTTGAATCAGGAATTAAAATAACCACTCAGAAAAGAAAGCTTTTAGTGCAGGAGCTGTCAGTTGTGAAGTTTCAACTATTCAACTAACTTCAGATTTGATCATATGAGATAACATTTTGAGGAGATGGATTCTTTTAGACAACGAAAGTGAGCATAGGCAAATTTTTATTTTATTTTTCTAATTTACTCCATTTAATATGTGGTTAAGGTTCTCATCTGAAGAAGTTTCAGCCCAAAATCAAGTGAAGGCATCTGTACAGCGAAAAATCCGGCAGAGTATTGCAGAAGAGGTTTTATACCCCCTCTACTTTCTTTGCATTATCTCTGGAAAATTTTAGTATTTACTTCATTTATTATCTTCTGACTTGACACAAGTTTTATGGCAGTACCCAGGACTTGAACCTGTGTTGGATGATCTGCTGCCAAAAAAGTCACCCCTTATTGTTGCTAAATGGTTTGTTCTCTATCTGAGAATGAACTGTTATTGTTTTTACTTTCTATCGATTTCCTAATCTATTTAATACCCTTTCTGACATTTCATTTTTCCATTTGTAGTCCAAACCATGTGAATTTGGTCCTAGTTAATAATGTTCCACTATTTTTCAACATCCGTGACGGACCTTATATGCCAACTCTAAGGCTTCTTCATCAGTGTAAGACTTTCTCCATTCTTAACATTCACCAGTTTAAATGTAAACATCCCTTGTAGATTTCGAAGTATCTTTAAGTTAAATTGCTGCTGTGTATTTTTCATTGCCAGATCCAAACATAATGAAGAAGCTGCAAGTTGACCGGGGGGCAATAAGATTTGTTCTTTCTGGTGCTAATATCATGTGCCCTGGGCTTACGTCTCCTGGCGGTGCATTGGATGACGAAGTACCAGCAGAAGCCCCTGTGGTATGTACTTTGATGGTGGAATAATTATACGATCGGTTTTTTTAATAAGAAAACTTTATTTATTGGTGTTGTGTATCATTGTTTGCTTATATTACTATTTTGAAACCTTTGCTTAATCTAAAAATACCGATTTGATGTCAATTCTCAGGCTATAATGGCTGAAGGAAAGCAGCATGCCCTAGCTATCGGATATACTAAAATGTCAGCAAAGGATATGTAAGTCAATTACACGTACATTTTTGTTTTTGCCTTACCATTTGTGTTAAAAATCTTCAAATTGTTTGTTCAGAACTTTGAGTTGTTAAAAAGAGGAGAATTCTTGTGTCTGGTTGTGTTCTCACAACCTCATACTACACTAACCCATTTTTTTCCTCCTAAAAAACATCTCACCACACTTAGGATCAGTTTAGATAATAGTTTTAGAATTTATTTTTTTTTAATTTTTTTTTGGGGAGGTGGGGGTGCTACATGGATAGTGAAAACATTTTTGCAAAACACAAGTTGCTGTGCGCTGTTGAGATTAAAATTTGTTTGTTCTATCAGGCTGTGATTATGCTTTTTCAGAAGTTAAGAGTTTGTTTGGCTGTGGTTTGAAATTGATTTGAAGTGCGGGTGTTATTTGAGTTTTTGTTTAAATAGTATTTTAATATGATGTTTTGTGAGAGAAAATAGCTTATTTTTATTTCAATTTGAAATCACAAATGAACAAATATTCATTCCATTCCATGTCAATACAATCTTTGTGTTGATTTATTCGGTATGACTGCATAAATGATTCATTTTAAGTTAGCAACCAAAGGGATGAGAATGAGAAAAATGATTGTACATCATCTATATTCCTATGTAAAAAAAAAAATCTTAAATTTGTTTCCTCATGTCATTTGTCAATGATTTCTTTGAATGCAGTCGAACAATCAACAAAGGAATTGGCGTGGATAACATGCACTATCTGAATGATGGTCTCTGGAAGGTATTCACTTTCCCCCACCTTCTAATTTATCTTTGTTCGTAAATTTAGTGTAGTAATTCAGTTACACGCGCTTATGACTTTTGCTTCTTTCAAGCTATTCCTTATTGGATATACGTGTATTTTGCAGATGCTCCGCCTGGACTAACTGTGAAACTGAAAACAAGGGCTGTAGATGATTGTGTGAGAGATAAAATAGAGGTGACAAACTTGTTGCTGACGAAGCACTTGTGTTGCAAACATCTTTAAATATGTAAGCATTGTGATCGAGCCAATAAATTCTATGGATTGCTTCTTGCACTACTTTATATTGTTGGTTCATTTGCTAACACCCCGCGCGGATGCACCAATCGAATCCAATCCAATCCAATCCTCGGTGTATTTGGCGGATGGGGGGATTGGATTCTTTTCATTTTTGATACTTGAGAGTAGTTTTATGGTTGTATCTTGTATTCCATGATCCAGTGTCATTTGAACAAGTAGAGACAGTGAACACTGAGTTCTAATTGAACCTTTCTTCTAGGCCTTTTTTTTCTTTTAATGTAATAGTATAAATAGAAAATATGTATTTGCTTCTTTTTTTTTGTTGTTGAGGAAAATTTTTTAATGAGCTTTGCTTTTGTCGGTTAGGTAAGTTTGTTGTGTTTTTAGTATGAATTTTTTTTTTATTTTATTTTTATATTAGATATAGAGATATTTGTCGATAATATTAAAAGTATTTTCTCCATCTATTAAAACTATGTCTGTATTTTTTTTTGGATTGTCAGTAAATTTTTATATATTCTATTTATGATAAAATCTTTTATCTATTTATAATATTACTACTTTTTTTGATATATAATAATAAATTTATCATTCATTTTTTAATAAAATTTTCATATTTTTACTTATTTTATTTTAATATTGTAATATTACTATTATTTTATATTAAATTGTTGTTTTTTAAATATACATATTGTGTAAAATTTTGCAATAGTCTGTAAATTATGTGTGGGCGCACAAGCTACAGTGAAAAATTCTTATAAGAAACTCAAGCTCGACCGAAAAGGCGTTTGGCGTTTTAAACCTGGGTCATGATGTTGATATCTCTAAGCAATTTGCTTTATTTCCTGACTATTGGAAAAACGGAAGACGGTACTTTTCAATGCCCTCAAATTTATTATTATTATGTTTTTTTCTAAAATTTGAATGTTTTACACTTTCAGTCATGTCCTAATCTACCATGTCCATTTCACCACATATTTTGAAAATAAAATTAATAAAATTCAGAGCCAATTTTGTGAAAAATGATTGTCTCTCAATTACTGACATTAAAAAAGCGATCAAATTTAACTCTTATATCTTTCAAATTTGTGAGAGATAACATAATAACATAAGTATATTAAAAAAGAGGACTTTGTGAATACTTACGAGTCTAGAGAGCGATTATTTAATGATTGACGATGTGTATTGTATATTGAAAAGTCAAGCGTCGGATTTGCCTTTATTCTCAAAGCATCTCTGAGCCATCGATTAAAGAGGCGCACTAACCTACCAGTAACGCACAGAGAAATAGCAATCGACAGAGATGGATAGGAAAAGGAAGTCGACGGCGGCGGCGGAGGTCGATTCTCCGACCAGCGGCGCAAGGCGATCGCAGCCGCCGCCGACGGAGGCGGAGGTCGATGAGTTCTTCACCATTCTCCGAAGGATGCGCGCGGCTGCGAAATATTTGCAGAACTCTGCAGCTTCCAGCCGCGGAGAATCCGCCGGTAAAGCTCCGGCCGCCGGAGATACGCCGGCCGGCGGAAAGGGGCCGCCGCTGGATCTCAACGCCCCCCCCGATTTGGAGAGCGGTTGAGGACGGTCGAGGACTCGAGGTCGAGCCTGGTTTCGATCGGTAATAATTTTTATTTTTATTTTTTGTTTAAAGAAATTATTGCTGAGAAATGCATTGCACCGTCACAAGTATGGCGTCACGTTCGTCCGTGTTTAATTACTAAAATAACCTTTTCTATTTTTATTTAGCTAATAATAAGATAATTAATATTATTAATAATTTAATTACAAATAGCGCCAGAGAAGGTGTTATGTTACATTTATTAAATATACATATATTTATATTCTTATTGTTTAAATAGTTTAGTGCTGTATGTACCTTCCAATCCAACACGTGGTGGAATGTGGAAATATAATAAATTTATTAATTGCTTTATTAAATAATAGTTTCAAAGAATTACGGAGAAGTCGGTCCTACTTTGAATGGTAAGGATACGAAACAGAACCACGTGGCCCGGCCCAAAAAGTGATCATACACATAAGACTCTCAGCCCACATTTGAAGGCCCAATTATAAGCCCATTCTAACCTATTTAGCCCGGCCGAACACTAAAACACTGCCCAACAACGTGGCCCGGCCCGGCCCCTAACTCCGACTGAAATTACTGCGTTTCATTTGGATTTCAATTAAGATTCGATTCAATTCATCTAAAAACACAAGTCATAGTTGCATAATAAAATTTTAATGGTATTTATATAAAATATTATAGAAATATAAAAATTGTTATGAAATTGGTTTTGAGTCTGGTTTTAAAGGCTCAGCCCCAACTAACATAATATTGAGTGAATTGAATGGTCACGACCTCTCTCTCAATATATATATATATATACTTAAGGAAAAACACGAGGACGCGGTTTGAGCGATAGAGGAGGTCGTGGAGGCCGTGGTAGTGCTTGGTCGAGGCAGAACCAATTGGCAACGAGATGCTGGTAGCAACAATTACAAGCCAAGGGATAAGAAACACATTCTTGTAGTAACAATACCCACCAGCTCTCTTTCGCATCCTTAGATGCCTTTGTCAGAAGGAAGCGAATAGCGGCGTGTTTAGGGTTTAGGGTTTAGGATTGAATAGAGGAACTCCCGAACATTTGGCGATCTCAGATGTGTCGATATCAATGGTGACTCATTATTTCGATGAATCATTTCTTGGGACAGAAGAAGATTATGTAAACACTTACTCGAAATCTCACTTATCAGATGAACTGTTGGCACCAGTCCTACATTTTGTCTCTGTGGGCCGAGGAGAAAAGGGGCTCGGCGTGTACATGAGAGAAGCAAGGAGGTCAATAGTAGTTCTCTCTCCCTTATTGACTATATCCCTTATTTACTAGGCTCGCTTCGCTTAAAGAAGACCTTAGGCTCCGTTGACCGGCTTTGCGGGACCGCCCTCACTCATATCTTCCTGGTCCAAAATTTCAATTGAAATTAGTTGTTCAATTTATATTTTTGTATATCCTCCTATGTCAAAAAAAAGGAAACTCAGGTAAATGCTTTAGAAATCTATAGATTCGGGTCCATAACCATGGGTTCCAATGCAAGAGATCTTGTAGCACTTACCAATGAGGCCCTATCGATTAGTATTACACAGAAGAAATCAATTCTAGACACTAATACAATTCGATCCGCTCTTCATAGACAAACTTGGGATTTGCGATCCCAGGTAAGATCAAAGAACTTTTCAAGGAACAAGGGACCCCTCTCTCAATACTAACTGATCTGAGGATCCTGCCTTTAGGAATGAAATAACAAAGGATATACCCACACCCTTTCTGATCCAATGACCAAGAAATAGCACTTTCGTCTGAGCACCGTTTCATGTACAGCTTCTTTTCCTGCTACACCCCGAACACTATACTCAGGGTTCCAAACCTCCAGAAGGGCCTGGGTTAGTGGACCGTGGGCTTGAGTCGTGGACTTGAGCTAAATGCTCTTGAGCTGCGTAAACATGGGTGTGTATTGTGTATAATAAGGTGGATCATTATGGACAAAAAATTCAACCGAAACTATTATACTATATTAGAAAAAAACAGTCAAATTATATTCTATTAGCGGTTTATTTAGTACGAATTCACTTTGGGTGTGTTCGTTCGTAGAATTCTAACTATTAGTCCAATTTTTTTTCCCCAAAAACATCAAATTAAACACCTATTTTTCATTTTTTATATTATATTAAAAATCAATTTTACATTCAAAACATCACGTCATCACATATTTATATCACATCATACAACTATTCAAATTCAAAACTTTTACTATTCAAATTCCAACTCAAAATCCAAACCCCCAAACAAACACACCCAAAATAACAAAAACAGTAAATTTTGACAAAAAAAAAAAAAAAAACGGTGTCAAATTATAATTGTTCTCTAAAGTTCCAAATTAATCCGAAAATGTAACAAAATATATATATATATATATTTCATTCATTTAAAAAATTAAACAATAGGAAAACATCAAATCAATGGCTTCAATAAACATAAAAAGAATATATATTAAAATGATCAAAATTACATCTTTTAAAATCCAATATAAAAGGGTGAAAGCAGCAAACAAATAGAGATAAATGATATAAAACCATAATCGTATTTGCATACAAAACACCTGAAATATCTAACGAAAGATTGAAATTCATTTGCTTTCTTAAACAATTTTTAAGAGAGTAAACGAGAATTCTCGGAGTATTTATTATTCTTTAAAAATATTATAATAATAATTTTTTTAAAAAAAGATAATTACTATATTCAAATGGAGTAATATATTTATAAATTTTTATTATTCCAAAATTTATTTTAAAACAACAATTACCTTAACTGTAAACAGGCACGAATTTTTCGCCGGTCCCGGATCTCTGGTCCTCTGAGAATTAGAAGATCCCGTTGTCTTCTCTGCAGGCTGCAAACTTGAAAACTTGCGCAGAAACCCTCAAAACCCTAGAGAAGAACGCCATGAGAGGAGTTTTGCTCAGGAATTTCGTTCTATGTACTCGCAATCTCCGTTCCTCTCGCACCATCGAATCTAGGTATTTAATCTCTAATCTCAGTTATTATTCCCGCAATCGCGTCCCTGTGGAGGCGCAATATGTTGGCTGTTTTCCTTCGAGAGTTCGGTATTTCTCGTCCGAAGATGGAAAGGCGGATCCGGAATCGAATAAGGAAACTGAATCTGTTGTAGCCGGAGAGGAAAAGGAGGCAAAGTTTGAGGTAGAAGATGTCAAAAACAAAGGTTGTGTATATGTTCTTGCAACGAAGGTTCACATTCGCCGCTTGATTGTTTATTTACCTTGCTTTAAGTTTGGCTTCACCTTTTGCTGTCTACGGGACTGTATTTGATGAGTTTCAGTGCACGAAATGCGAGTAGACATGGCTAGATTTGCTGCTGAATTGTTGTTTCCTACATTTTTTACCGTTATAGTTCATCCTGTGCATCAGTTTGTTTCAATTTATGTTTTATACAGTATCTTTTTGATGAACAATTTGATAGAGAAATCAGTTTCTGGTCCGATAGCTTGAGGATGATCTGTTTTGCTATCAGACTTTTTTATAGAGGAATTGTAAGATGCAAGAGATTGGTTTCAAGTTCTTATTAGCTGCAACGTAATTACTTTTATGAATTGCTTTGCAGAATTAAAAGAGCAGATAGAGAGCTATTTCAAAGATGGCAACGAGGAGCTGCTACCAACAATTCTTGAGTCCCTTCTCAAGAGAAAGCTTGCTAGGAAGCATGAGGAGACCGATGATGAATTAATAGAGGAGCTTCAGATGAAGCCTATAGATGACGTTGATGACCAAGAGTTTGAAGATGATTTTGATGCTGCTCACGAGACTGATGAAGAAATTGATAATTTGTACAGTGCCAGAGATATTTCCATAAAGAGAATGACAGAAAATAATCCTTATTTCAACATGGACGACACAAAATGGGATGAAATGATAAAAGAAGCTATTGAGCATGGTCACCTTAGAGATACGAAGGAGTGTGAAGAGATCTTGGAGGACATGCTTAACTATGACAAGCTTCTACCAGGTATTACAACAAGCTATTTTGTTCCAGCCTAGGTAAAATCGGTGCGTGCAAATCTTATTGTCTGATGTATCAAGTGATTTCTTGCTTATTATTTCTCTCTCAGATTCAATATGTTTTGGTCTGCAATGTTTATTATCTTCTGATGGGTTGTGATGTGAGACACTTTATTTGAAACTCAACGACCTTAGAAAATATGAGCAAAATGCTTGAAGTTATGTATGCAAAGAGAAGAATAGTTATGTTCTGGTCTGGAACAGAACTTCTGTATGAATTTGCTTTTGCAGTACTCGTACCATGTCCAAAGGTGAACCAAAATAATGAAATGGAAAGCTTTCAGATATTTTCCAGTGATGCTGATGACAATTTCGATCACTTATAAATATACTTCTGAATTTGATGTAAATTTGCTATAGCATGTGCATTAAAAGTGAGTGAAAATTTTCATGGCATAATCTTTATATTTATGCCTTGATTCATTTTCACTTTGGAATCTTTTATTGATCACTTGATTTGATCATTAAAAATGTGGCTCTATGTTATCTTCATCTCTCACATGAATTAGGGTTCATTGTCTTACTCTCCAAAATTTCTGGCAATGCTTTATTTATTTGTTGTCCCCTACTTACACTTCTAAATGAACTTTTTTTCAGATGATATCAAGAAGAAGATAGAAGAGAAGTTTAACGAGATAGGTGATAGAGTTGAAAAAGGTGAGCTTGAAGTTGAAGAAGGTTATGCATTGTTCAAGGAATTTGAAGACCAGATGGTCGTTGAATGTGCTAAACTAATGGAGGCAGAAGCCCCCAACTTTGATGAGGATGCTGTGACTGATAACAAAAAGGACCTGGATGACCCACCCGGTGAGGGGCCAATCCTTAGGTGGCAAACACGAGTGGTCTTTTCTCCTGGTCCTGATGCATGGCATCCAAAAAATAGAAAAGTTAAGTTGTCTGTGACTGTAAAGGAACTGGGCCTATCGAAGGCTCAGTTTGTGCGCCTGAAAGGATTGGTTGGAAAGAGGTACAATCCTGGGAAAGATGAACTCACCATAACAAGTGAAAGGTACGTTGCATACTTACAATAACAAGTGTAACTCACCATAATTTAGAATTATCGTTGTCTGTACTGGTGCATGTTTGGGATCAGGTTTAGACTTTTAGGTCCTCGTATCCATCGCTCAGTAGCATTTTGTTTCTTATAACTAAATTTTGTTGTTTGTAACTGCATTTGATGCTAGCTGCCCAAAAAACACTCGGAAAACCGAAATCAGCTACATGTGGATTATACCTCTGTAGTTGTTCCATTCATAACTGATCAACATGATAAATCACTATTCATTTAATTTTGACTGAATCTACACAAATTGCTATTCAGTTTTATTCTCTAGATTATCTTATCTTTCTAGTGGGCTTCCTGTATTTGTTGTATAAATCATTCTGCTCATTTAATTTAGGTTTGAACATCGGGAAGAGAACAGAAAGGATTGCCTCAGAACACTTTTTGCTTTGATTGAAGAGGCTGGAAAAGCCAAGAAACTCGTGGAAGATGCTCGAACTTCAGAAATTAAAGCGAGACTTAAAGCTAACCCAAAGTTCATGGAACAGTTGCAAGCCAAGAAGAAAGCTTCAGTAACTGCAGGATAAGGACTGCGGTATTTTTAACTTAAATTCTTTTTTCCCTTTAGAATATTACATTCAACCATAGAATGCTTACACATCTTTCCAATCGTTGGGTTTTTACTACAGTTGATGTTTATTTGGTTTGTTGGGAAAAGCAATGATTATACTCTTGTGGCATGCTGCTGTTACTTTTTATAAACATCATCGAATCCCTAATTTCACAGGGAAGTCTTTATAAATAATTCCTACCCTCTATGAAATTGTTTCCTTAACCTCTGTTTTTGTCGTTTTTCATGTTTATGTTCCGTCAGGAAAAGCATATCTTAAAACTATTAGTGTCAAGAAGTATATTAAAAAAAAATGAAGTATTCTGAATCTGATCACCGTCTTGATTTGGCATGCTAGTATTTAATTAATTTTATCTTTGGGAAATTTCCGCAGATATTTCTTTATCTTCCTGCTGAGTTTAACACCGAATTTATCAACTTCATCTTCGTACATTTCGTATAGGAATGGTAGAGTTTCTAGGCAGAGAATGCCTGCAATAGAAGAAAAGAATTAACTATTGAACATTTCATAAAACAACCACATAAAACTTTCGTATATTAACGTCAGAATAGAAGCTATTATTAACCTTACTTACCGAAAAACAGGAAATTTAAACTGCCAATGGAACTTGCTATCACAGATACTATCCCAAGAGAAACTATAATCTGGAGAAACAGAATAACAATAATGAATTATGTCATAAATAAGTGAAAATTAACTTAATAGATCTTATTATGTCTTACCAGGAAAAATAGCTTTGGATCATTTCCAGTTGCAACAAACAGAAAGATTTCCAAGAATTGGTTAGTTTTTCTGTGAAATGTCGAAACGAAATCCCTGATAGTTGAATCTTGTAAGATGATGCTGGGAATATTTGGAGGATCCCTGAAATTTAACCAAAGAACATGTCCTAGAGTTAGTATTCGATTAACAGTGTAGCTTGTTACAGGTCACGCTTGAGTTCAAAAAAAAAAATACTCAAATAATTTTCGAGTGCACAATATAATCAGTATTATAGAATATTTTGAGGCTTTGTGCTCGATTGAATTTGTTTACTCAATCAAGTGACTTTGAGCTCAGCTCAATAAAGACTGGAGTCACGTTCAAATATGAAATGCTCGACTCAGAATAGCAATTCTAGTTACAACCTATATACATCTCTTTCCACTCTCTAAATATATGCATATTTGTATCAAGTTTGTGTATAGTTTTGTTAGAACTCACCAATGGAGGAAATCGGAAGCAGAAGACCAGATGAAGACGAGAAGCATCGTAGTTATGCAGAGGTGACAGGCGAAAGCGATGAAACTGTATTCGACAACTTCAAAAAGGAACCAAAGTGCTGCAATCCCCATCAGTATTGCAGCCGAGACTCGTATGTCTCTCCACAGCAATACGTTTGCCACTGGCAACGACACGAGAAAGGTGAGATTCATTTTCTGCAGATTTATGAAATAAATATATACGCGGTGCTCTATCTATCTGTCTGTTTCTTTTTGTGCATTATCGAATGACTTTGATTCTAATTTACCTTCCCCTCCGCCAAGAACATTGTGTATCGGCCTTTCTCGGCCGAACAATCTTCTTGCTGGCGGTGCTGCACCGCTTCCGGCATCGGAATCGGATGAAGTATCCATTGGGGGGTGTTTGTATAGCCTACGTACGTACAGGCATTGCTGTTTATATATAAATATATAATATATGTGTCATGTGTGTGTGTGGCTTTGTTCAAATCTTGAGTGCAAAGAAATTTGCATATTTGGTTAAGAAAGGGATATGTTTTAACACCCTCCCAAGCTAACTTCTTGATTCCACCGTAAGTTGCATTTTCCTTTCTTATTAGGATATTCTCCCATTCGATGGATAGGGTCTATACATGGTGTAGTATCTATGTATGTATACATATGCATATATTTATTTTTCTTCCTTTAAAGTTATATAAAATATTTACTTTTTAAAAATATAATATTGTATATGTATTTACCATTTATATATATATATATATATATAACATCAATCAAATTTGAATTTAAAATTTTAAGGGGTTTTTGGAATTTGATTTTGTTTGAAAAGTTGTTTGAATATGATCATTTGTGGGATGAAATATTTTATTTTTATATGCTAAGGGAAAATAAATGGTCTCTCTTGATATATACTACTAATTCGACATTTGTCAGATGCGTCAGGACAATAATATTAGACGCCCAAATAAGTAGAGATGATTAACATCTACTTTTATTGCAATGGATCCACAAATTCCAACCAAAATGTAGCAGCAGCAATCAGTGAGGAATTAGCTATGGAAAAATAACAACTTTATCATATATAGATTTGTTAACTAGTAAACAACATTAGAATAAAACTCTCCTTCGTAAAGATGCACGAATGGATGGAAATGCAGTGTCCCAAAACAAAGACCAATGGGAAGGAATTATCTCTCGTCGTCTCGCCGTCGAACTTCCCGACTCCAAGAAGCTAGGAGCTCGGCATGCAGCTCGTTGTAAATAACCGAGAAATAAGTGATAGCGAAGCGAGGTGAGAGTATTGTTGATACTTACACAAAGAATGAATGTGTTCTGTCCATTGCGTCGTTTGTATTTTTTTTTTAGAGATGGAGAAGATCGGATATCTGATTCCATCCGACGAACCAGTGGCGCTTATCGGAAGGCAGCACGAAGTTGAGCTCGAACATCTCCTTCGACAGGTTTCTCCCGCCCTCGCAGAACCCGACAAGCTTCGCCACTATCTCGGCGCTCTCTTGCACATGCCTTTCGTCGTGGGGATTCGTCCAGAGCTTGCTTATGAACTGCATCCTCCGCTGTTTCCCCTCCAACGGTACGTCCCATTTCATGTACAGAATCTCCCGTTCTTCGGCTGTCAGACGAGTTGACAGCCTCTTCGCAAGAAACTCTCGTTCCCGCTTCAATGCCTTGATGCTGAATGAAGAACACCAGTAGAAGGATCAGAGGTATGTATGTATGTTTAGGTGTAGATGAAAAAATGGTAAAAGGATCAATTCTTTTTGTCGAACTAACCTCGATGATATAGAGATGGCGGGCTCGTTGTTCCCGCCTGGTGCAGGGGTTGCGTCGCCGTTCTCGGTTAGGTGCTCTTGCAGCCATGTCAAGCGTCGAAGTTCGACTTCGACATAGATTTGATCTGCCGGGTCGCCCTTAAAGAGGAGGTAGAATTGCGTGCGGTGAATGATCGAGACTAAGCAGACGTCCCAGAGATCGATTATCTGCCGCATCTGATCCTTGAACGACAACTGCCATGAAGCTGGCGACGACAACTCTTGTATCTCGGGTTCCGTCTCGCCTTCTTCGTCGAGATTGTATCCGGCAGCTTCGTTCGCTTCAAGCTCGAGAACCTGACATGATTCGATTCGATTCGAAACATTTAGTCGTCGTCGTATAGAATTGGTTAGAAGAAATCGAAAGCGAAGTTTGTTCGTCGTTTTACCTGGCAGACGAGGAGCTGTTTCTGGTATTGAAGCTTTGCGACGCGTTCTTTCAGCTCAGTTACGTAAGCTTTGATGCTTCTTACGTTCTCTTCGGCTGCGTTTTGAAACATCTTCTGCATTTTCCTCATGTTCACAGAACTCGAGCGTCGATACGGAGTGTTCTCCTTCGACGACGCGTCGCCGCCGCCTTCGCTCTTTGTGGGAGTGCTCTCTTTGTCTGAGATCGCCTGCGTTTCGATCGATGTAGCGTCGTCAAACAATGGGTCCCTATTTTCGATCTCAGCGTTCGCCACTTGTCGGGAGGAGGACAGCGGCGAGCACGGCGATTTTATGAAGCTGTGCTTATTGAGACTATTGCTAGACGCCAACGGGAGGAGCTTCTTCTTCTTCACGGGGCTCTTGGCCTTCAAATTTGCGTCTTTCGACGACGTCTGATCGCAGTTTGTCGGAAGGGACATTACGAGCTTGTCAATGGACTTCTGGACATTTTCGAGCTTCTCCTCGAGATCGGCTATGGTGCTTCCCTGCGAATGGAGTCGAGTGATCTCTTCCTTAAGGTTCGCGCTCACACTCTTGTTGACAGGGACGACGGCTTCGACTTCGACGTCGATTTCTCGGCTTCGAGGCTCGGCGACGCGCATTTCCTTTATCTCCGCCTGTAGCTTAGCGATTGTCTCGGCCGCGTCTTGATTACCGAGACGATGGCATGCAACCTCCTTCTGTAGCACCTCGAGGGCCCGGTTGGCTTCTTCGCCTAACTTCTCTTGAAGATGCTCGAGTTTACGGATTTCGTGCATCAGCGTGAACGGCGTGGCTGATGATTGCCTCATCGACTGCCTTACCATTGTGTTTCTCGCCTTGTCGCGATGACTTATCTCCGTTCCGTCGAACTTTGGTAGTAAAGTTGTCGAGAAGGAGAGACATTTCTTTGCAATAGGAGCCGGGGACTCGGAGATTTTCAGTCGCTTCAAATTATTCGGCGAATATATTACGTTAGAGACAAAGTCTACGATGTGGTCGGGTAAGAATGGTTAAGAGATACGATACCTGTTCGTTGCCGAGCTTTTTACGCAATTCGTCCACCTGCGATTGGGCTAGATCTCTTTCGCGCCGGAGTTCTTCGATTTCCCTCTCCATCTAACAGATTTAGTTTTACTAACAGTAAGTATTTGTTTTGCAGAATACAGATGTTATCGAAGATTTGATTGAGACTCGAACCTGAAGAATTCTGGCGTCTTTCTCGGTTGATGGATCGGGTGTTCTTAGCTCGGCTTCCAGCCGAGCTACTTGCTTCTGCAGATGCTTTACTAGCTGTTTTTCAGAAACTACCTGGATGAGGTAAACAATACGAATCGATGAACTTAAACTTCGTCGTGTATGTATTTGTTTGAGCATGTGTATTTTATTCAGCGACGTACCATATTCACATGAGCGTTGTTGGTCACTTCCTTGGCTCGACTAGCGAAAAAGAGAGTGTTACGAGATTGCTCGGCGTGACTCGATGCTGGACTCAATGTACATATGATAGCTGTACGAGCATTTCCTCCCAACGAATGCTGCAGTATGCGCGTGAGCTTGGAGTCGCGATACGGTATGTGACCGCTTCTTTTACCGACGCTGAAAATTAGGGGTAATATTATTTTCTCAGTACTCATAATCAAAGTCTAGGATGATCTGAATGAATGATAAAACTGACCTTAGCTTTCTGATCACAGTTGTAAGAGTCATCAAGCTGAGGTTGATATGGCAGCCTTCTCTAAGCCGGGTGCCCTCGGCGTTTGTCTGCGAGGCCCTTTCGCTTCCGGCTAAATCTACAAAGTTCTGCAAAACAAGGAGGAATAAGCACAAGAGTTGTTACTATTGCATGCTAGAAGTAGAAGTTAAGGAAATCAGGATGCTCGGGATTTACCAAGCTTGCAACGTACGATCGTACGCAATCTGAATTTTCTCGGAGAGTACTTTCAATTGTCTGCATTCAACAACAGATACAGCTTTCAGGTAATTTGATCTCAGATTAATATATAATGAAGGATGAAAAGAGACGACGAACCAGTCTTATTATTTGGTGCGATCTTGAGCTAGTATCGTTAAGAGCAGTTTCTCCGACTTGTCTTTGAGCTGCAAGAATATACAGTATTGAGTTCATTTTAATGGCCTAACAACTGGTTTTCCCGACAAGGTTTAGTTTAGTTGCTTACCATCGCAAATTTGGATCAGTTGTTTCAAATGTTGGTCATCCTTCGCGGTTTCTTCTACTAATTTCTCAACAACAGTTCCTTTCTGCGAAAGAGAACATCAAACTCAATAGCTGAAGAAGGCAAGATCAAAAGATGAAAGTGAAGGGAGAGCTTGTAACCACCTCTGGATCATCGAGGAGCTTCAGATTACGACCGGATTCTGAATTCAGTAGATCCCTGACATTCTCGTTGTAGATTTCAAGGCCGGATATTTTTATCTTGAAGTCTCGTTCCGGTGTCTGAAGTAGAGTAATGTTTCAATAGGTTTGTTAGAATCTAAACAAAACAGACTCCTAAAGTATTTCAAATACAATATTATCTACAACTTTCGAGCCTATGTTCAATTGCATTACTTTCTCATATATAACAGCAAGTGAAGCGAAGCTTACATTGATTATATGCATGTATATATCATGAACTGCTTTCTCAGTAATTCCTCTCATTGTGTAAGTTTTTCCACTGCTGGTTTGTCCGTAGGCAAATATGGTTGCTGCAAAAAAAATTAACACCTCAAAATCACTTGGGAATTGTAATTTTGTTAAACCAGCAACCAAATTAGTGTAACAATTACCATTTATCCCCATGAGAGCAGATAAAGCAACGGTCTTCACTCCATCTTCATATACACTGTCAGTCGAGCTTTCAGGACCGAATACTTTATCTGTAAAAAGCAATTGAATTAGTTTTTCAGTGATCAAGAATCACATAGAGAGCAAGAACATTTGCTGCTGTTGTTGAATTACCAAACATGAAAGATGATGGTTGAGCTGTCCGTTCATGTTGGCTAGGTCTGTACACAATGGTATGATCGTCAGGGCATTCCCAGGCTACCTGATCTTTCGACGATTCCTCCCTCTTGTTTAGGGGCCTTAGCCGTATCGTTACCACAATTTTCTCCTCCCTCGCTTTGTGGCCCCCTGGAGTGGTTGCTGGTGTTGTCCTGTCAATCTTTGAGGCTGGTGTGCTTGGAACTTTCTCCTCCCTTTCTCTGTTACCCCCTGGTGTGGTCGTTGCTGCTGTTCTGTCGATTTTCGAAGCCGGTGTGCCTGGAGTTCTGACTGTCATCTTTATCAGAGGATTATACTGTCCAACGAAGTGTAGGATTTCTGTCACAGGCACAACCTGCCTCTTGCAGGAGGCTACAACGAATTATCAGATCTGCAGCTTTCTGTACACCAAAATTGAGGAACAGGTGGACTTCCGATAGTCGGCCAAACTTTTTCTGCAGAAATAATCTGAACTTAGAAACACTGTTTATGAACAATAATTTGCTTGTTAAACTAGACTATAAGCTTCGATCTGTCCAGAGTCCACAAAAGCTACAATCTGATTGTTTTCATTCAGCATTTCCAAATCGGAAGAACAATTCCCCAAATATTTTACTGCCATAATCTAGCAACAAGTAGATTTACAGCTTACGAGAAAATGCTTATCAGATTCGTTTCAAATCTCAGAATAAGCATCGCAGAACTTAACAAAATCAAGCATTCTAATGATTCAACCAATTCACCTGACTGAATCTGAGGAGACTGACCAAATCAGATCTTGCCAAAATAAAAACAAAGTCTCAAATGCTTTGCAATTACGTAAATTACCGGTGAAAAGGCGGAAAACTTACCAAAATTCGTAGCGAATCTATATATAGAACACTGGAAAACTTAACAAAACTATTCCACAGCATTCAAGCAAGTTACCTGAGATAATTCCGAGTCGTAGCAAAATCAAAGGCGAGAGAGACAGAGATAGTGCGCAAGTGAAAGAGAGAGAGAGAGAGAGAGAGAGAGAGAGAGAGAGAGCGGCAGATAGAGAATATTGGAGAGACCAGAGAAGATAATAAAGATGGGTGTAATCGGTGTCTGAGCAAGGCTATGTGTTTTTTGAATTTTGGAGAGAGGAACCTAAAACGGCTAGTTTTTTGTCACTATATATAGCTCGGCGTAATAGCCGTTAGAGCTCAATTTCCCAATATTTCTTCCCGACTATTATAATACCTTCAATTCAAATTCAACACGCACACACACATGCATATATAATACATATATATTACAACACATATAAATACAACAAATTTGGTATTCTCAATTTTCTGAAGAACCCTAACTGTCACTTCAAATTCTCTGGAGAGGGAAAGGAAGACTAACAAACGTTTCAATTTGATGATGGATCGATATTCGTCAGAGAGGAGAATACGCGTCTCCGCTACTACCAGGCTAATCGCCGTCTGAATTTGAATTTCTCTGCGCTTCGCTGGCGGTGAAAATCCCGACCAGGTACTGCAAAATTTGGGGATTTATTGGTAGTTCTCGTGCGTCTATCAACTTCTGTCGTTGTTGAGGTACTCCTGCTATGGCTTTTGGAAACCAGAAACAAAAATTAGAAAATACAATAAGAACCTGCTAAGTGCTTGAAGAAACTTTCGTATTTGTTGGAGGTTGATTTTATTATTTAATTGAGTTGGTATGAAGTTTACGAGTAACGACATGAATCTCTCTTGGAAACAATAAACAAAAAGGATTGCAATACGAACCTGCTAGTAGTGCTTGAAGAAACAAATTGTATGTTTGAATGGTGGAGTTTGTTTTGATGCTGTTTGGATATTCCATTTCAGCAATAAAATTTCATGTCTAATTAAGTTGGTATGAAGTTTGTGAGATGGAAGAAGATGAAAATTTTGTTTGGTATGCTTAAATTTCATTGTGAAAAGCAGAAAACGGGAAGAGTTTGTGTTCTTGATTCCATCAAACACACACAAAACACATGAAATTTTGGGTGAATCTGAAAGGAAATAAGAACATTCCATCAAGTTTTGAATAAAGATTTGAACCAAATTGGCAAATATTCAGTAGGCAGCTGGACAGTGCTGGAGATAGCTTTATTTTTCCACATTAATTAATCCTACATTGAAAAGGGATAGATCGTTTAGATAGAACCTTTTGGAGTTTTGGAGATTTAGAAAGTCTTGAAAATAGTTAATAACTGACCATTTGATTTGTTATTTTTATAACAGAAAATATTTTTTGTTTATGGATATTTTAAAAAAAATATGATTGACGATGAATATGATCAAGACTTTAAATTATATCCTTGGCCAATGCATAGGTTGAATCAAGAAGAAAGTGGAGGTTTTTTATAATGGCAACAACAAGAAGTGACATGAAGTTTAGAAAACTTGAGTGATGGAACTTGGGTATTACTTGGTTTGCATGTAAATATACTATTACTTACAAAAATCTAAATTAAAATGTCCGGGGAGAGCTTTATTTTTCTATGTAAATTTATTATTCATTGAAAAGATTTAAATTATACTCCCTCTGTCACACATACACTGTAGACACGGTATTTTAGGAGGAGTGTAATTAGTAGATAATTAAGAATGTACGAGTAAAAATAATTATCCGATAATATAAATAATTATAAATTAAAATTAAGATAATTAATTAGTTTAATTAAAATTTTAATTAAAAAATTTAAAATGAGATTAAAGTGTGTAATCATTTTCTAAATAAAGGAAAGTGACCATTGCTAAACATTGGTAAAAATGACAAAAAGGCAAGAATGAGAAGAAGCTCTGAGATAAAGAACAATAAAGTGAATCTTCTTACCAAATGACAAGAAGGCGAGGAGGAGAAAAAGCTACAAAGTAAAGAAAAATGGAGTAAATCTTGTTTGATTTTGTTCAATGGAAATAATTATTACTTGAAAATATTTTAAGTGGATAAGCCTGAATTGATTGTAAATTTGTCCATTTGCCCACCACATCTGAAAGAAGTTGTTTCTTGATACAATATAGTAAAACTGATGCGCGATATATGTCATATTTCCTCCGTCAACCTACAAAATATACATATTTTTATTTTGGAACCTATAATTACAAACTAATCATTTTATTAAATACTCAACATTTTTTCATAAATACTCTTACTTTACGGGTAAAAATATCGTTACACTATTTTTATCTACCATTTTTTAAACATCCTACCAAAAATAAATGTATACTCTTATTGTTTTGACGGAGGAAATATATTTTAGAGTGTATTTATATGATTGGAATATTTAATGTCAATACATTGATACGAAGATTAATTAGAATAGATAATGATATTTGGATGTGTTCAAACACAACAGCATAAACATTTGCACCACCGTTATATTTTGTTTTGATGACGTGGAACTAGTTAAGCTATCCTAAAGTGAGCACCGGATAAACCATTATATTTATACACTAATTTGAAATACTATTTATAAAATTATTACATTTTATACACATAACAAATCAAATATAAATTAAACTTAAACTAATTTCCAATTTTATAGGGCTTATTCGAGGGGCTCATCTGACGGTTTGTCTTATCTTGGGCCATCAGTATAATTTCCAATTTTATAGGGGCTTATCGAGGGGCTCATCTGACGGTTTATCTTATCTTGGGCCATCAGTATAATTTCCAATTTTATAGGGGCTTATCGAGGGGCTCATCTGACGGTTTATATTATCTTGGGCCATCAGTATAATTTCCAATTTTATAGGGCTTATTCGAGGGGCTCATCTGCAAATTTGTGACGATTTTGATCGACCATGTCTGCCGGCATTCTGCAGTTCTCTCTCTCAAAACTCCTATGGAAGAAATGACCCATTTTCCTCTCCCAATCACTCTCCCAAAATCTTAGGGTTTTGTTCTATGCGCATTTCTACGGAGTAAGAGGAGGAGGAGGATTGATTTCTGGTTACCATCTGCAGCAATTTGTGGAGTGATTTCTCAGTTTGAAGTATCACTTGACGGAGCTCTTCAATGGCGGGCACTTCACTGATGGATTCGCTCTTCCAGCGATCTCTAGATGACTTGATCAAAGGAATCCGCCTATGCCCGCCGGGGACGGAGCCGGCGTTCATCGCCAAATCTCTGGATGAGATCCGCCGCGAGATCAAATTGACGGATCCTCAAACGAAGGCCACCGCGCTTCAGAAGCTAACCTACCTCCATTCCCTGCACGGCGCCGACATGTCGTCGGCGGCGTTCCACTCGGTGGAGCTTTCCTCCGCCGCCGCACACGCACACAAGCGAATCGCGTACCTCGCCGCTTCCCTGTCCTTCAATCCGTCCACAACCGAAGTGATTCTCCTCCTCACGCACCAGCTCCGCAAGGATCTCTCCTCGTCCAATCATCACGATGTGAGTCTCGCGCTATCTACTCTCTCTTCGATTTGTAATCCCGATTTGTCTCGCGATTTGACGCCTGAGCTGTTCACTTTGCTTAGTAGTAGTAAATTGTTTGTACGGAAAAAAGCCATAGCTGCTACATTGAAAGTCTTCGAGCAGTATCCTGATGCAGTCCGCGTTTGTTTCAAACGAGTTGTGGAGAATTTAGAGAACAGTGATATGGCAGTTTTGTCAGCAGTTGTAGGACTGTTTTGTGAACTCACTGTGAAAGAACCTAGTTCTTGTTTGCCCCTGGCTCCTGAGTTTTATAAGATTTTGGTGGATTGTAGGAATAACTGGATTCTGATCAAGGTTTTGAAGATTTTCGCAAAATTAGCTCCATTGGAGCCGAGGTTGGGTAAGAGAGTGGTGGAGCCGATTTGTGAACATTTGGGGAGGACAGGAGCCAAGTCTTTGGTGTTTGAGTGTCTGAGGACAATCTTAACTAGTCTGAGTGAGTATGAATCAGCAGTGAAGCTTGCAGTTGGGAAGGTGAGGGAGTTTTTATTAGAGGAAGATCCAAATCTTAACTATCTTGGATTGCAGGCCTTGACCATTGTTGTGGAGAAGCATATGTGGGCTGTGTTGGAGAATAAGGAATTGGTGGTCAAGGCTTTGAGTGATGTAGATCCGAATATTAGACTCGAGGCTCTACGTCTTGTGATGGCTATGGTCTCAGAGGACAATGTGAATGAAATTTGCAGGATTTTGCTTGGCCATGCATTGAAGTCGGACCCAGAGTTTTGCAATGAGATCCTGGGATTTGTTTTGTTGACTTGTTCGAGAAACTTTTACGAAATAATTTACGATTTTGATTGGTATGTGTCTTTTCTTGGGGAAATGACTCGGGTTCCACATTGTCAGAAGGGGAGAGAGATAGAGACCCAGCTTGTTGATATTGGTATGAGGGTTAAGGATGCTAGACCTGAGCTTATTCGAGTTGCGCGTGACCTTGTGATTGATCCTGCACTACTTGGTAATCCATTTGTGCACGAAGTTTTGGCGGCGGCTGCTTGGATTTCAGGAGAGTATGTTGAGCTTTCGAAGAATCCATTTGAAGTTATGGAGGCACTGTTGCAGCCCCGGACTAGTCTACTTTCTCCATCGGTAAGATCAGTGTATATTCATTCGGCATTTAAGGTGCTAACATTCTGTATATCTTCATACCTTAAGTTGGACAGAGATGATGCATCACATCCTTCTGGAAGTATGGAAACTGAGGTAAGTGAATCATTTTCGGATACTGAACATGAGAATATGGGTGTTAGTGGTGAGCATATGGTTGATTCTTCGAGAAAACGACATCTAACAAAAGAAGCCATCACAGGCCTAATAAATCTTGTCGAAATCAATTTGGGACCGTTGGCAGGAAGTGATGAAGTAGAAATACAGGAGAGGGCGATCAATGTCCTTGGTTTTATTAGAATGATAAAGCCAAAGCTACTTGGTCCTTTGGATAATATTCAAGGAGATGAAACGAAGGAAGAAATAAACATTCCTGAAGTGATAAACCTGATATACGACGTGTTTTCTGAGGATCTTGGCCCAGTTTCAATTAATGCCCAAGAAAAGATACCAGTGCCAAATGGTTTGGAGCTGAAAGAAAATCTTAGTGACTTGGAAGCTATATGTGGTGATGTTAAGTTCCCATTATCGACATCGTTTTCCCTTGTACAACCTCGAATGGTATTAGAAAAGGACGACAGTACAAGCACGTCTGAATACCATCTGAAGGAAGATTCAGAACCATCAACAGAGTCAACATCTCTGCTTGCTGAGCATCGAAAACGACATGGATTGTATTATCTCCCTTCTGAGGATAAAGGAAAGACTATTTCCAATGACTACCCACCTGCCCGTGAACCGAAAGATAAGGCAGTTGACGAGGCTGATGATGATCTTGTAAAGCTAACCGAGCGATCACTTGTTAGGAAAAAGACAAACCAAGTGAAGCCCAGACCTGTGGTGGTGAAATTGGATGACGGGGAAGGATCAAATGTTGTGGTGACAAAATCAGATTCGAAGAATGATTTACTCGCCGGTGCGGTACAAGAAGTCCTAAGAAATGAAGCTACAGCTTCATCATCAAGAAACAAATCACGATCTACAACAGATTTAGGAAACAGCATATTCCCTGAGTCGGGAAGAAGAAAACATAAAAAAGAGAAAAAGCATGTATCTTCAGAGAAGAGGAAAGAAGAAAGTGAACAAAGAGACGGGCCGAAAAGAGATGGCCGGAATAGAAAGCACAAGTCCCGACACAGAGCGGATGGGCCTTTGAATGTTGAGGTACAATCATCGGTAATCCCGGATTTTCTTCTATAGCGTGGGGACGAAAGGATGAATTTACGTCGAATTTACACCATTTTCACTCGATATTTGAGGTTAGTTTTCTTGTATTGTGTTTGCTCTTTACTTGCCTGGATTTGTTTGTAGTGTTAATTCTCTTAATTTTACAGCAGAAATTGAGCCTAATATCTTTTTTGGGGGGTTTTACTGTGCATAAATTACTATTATTATCATTATTATTATTGGGATTGATTGCTGAGTGATTGTTAACTGAACTTGTTTATGTTGCTTTTGAAAGCTACATTTTGGGTTAGGAAGAATCTGTACTAAATTTTTGGCACTTGATAGCAACTACTAGTGGTACATGCTCAATGTGGTCCATAATTGGGTTGGTTGGTTGGTTATACCTACCTAGTTGGGAATTGAGAAAATATTAATAGTAGTGCATAATGTTTGTTTGGCCGTGTTTATGTTTTTAAATGAAAAAGAATATATATATATATATAATATTTTGAATGAAAATTGCGTTTTTAATGGGATATTTTAAGGAAATAGAGTAGTTTATTACAGAGAATAGATTACCTTTGAATGAAATGAATATGGGCCTCTTTGAACTCTTTTTATTTATTTATTTATTTAAGTTGTGGGTTAATTAAATTTATGCTGTGATGTTTTTTGAAAAGAAAAAAGACAAATTTCATCAAGGTTGAAGTGTTGGTATCTAGTTGGGTTTAGATTCAATTTAAAATTTGAATATCAAATGCGTTTGGATGTTTAGTTTAGGTATTGAAAATGTTTGTTTGGTTGTGTTTTACTTCATTTTCTGTCCATTTATATGATGACCAAACAATTATTTTAAATTTGAAAATTTATCATTTTAAATTTTGGGTATAAAAAGGATGTTAAAAATAAAGTGAACAAAGCCTGAAGACTTGCTGATCTGAATATTTGTTTACAAGAAGTAGGTTCTCATTTTTGAATAAGATTTCTATTGCGGCTGTTTCAAGGTCTAGTATAGTATGAAATTTTTTTGGCTCTTTTTAGACAAGATTTTTGAGAGGTCTAGCGTTTTTGAATTTTCAAAAGAGTAAAAGTTAACCTATGATTTGATGTTTGATGAGAAAAAAGATATATATGATTTGATGTTATTGCAAAGTTAATAGTGCCAAATCTCCAGGATTAATATAAAAGGAGTCTAATATTGTGTATTAATTACTACTCCCCTCCCCTGTTCCATTTTTTTTAAGTGGTTTTTGTTTGCATTTAAAATGATAAAAATATGTATATAATAAAGGTTTAAACTATTTATCATATATATATATATTAAATAGTTATATAGCACACATAATGTTAAATAAAAGTGTGTGTTATGTGTTTATGTGCGGCGGAGTAACAGTAGCTTTTTTAAAATTCATTATAGTAGTAAATAAATACCTATTTATATTATTGCACTACCATCTATTTTCTACGCTTTACACTTCCCTTCCCTACAAGCGCCCCATTAGTATCACCAATCAAACGGATTCTTCCACACACACGCGTGCATACACTTCTGGAAATCTGACAAATCAGCAACCAATTCACAAACTCAACAAATATTGACCAATATAATTAATTTAGTACGAAGAAATTATCACATCAGTCAAAATATATTTGTACATGCATATTTTTTTGAACATTAGAACTAAAAAAAATCACATTAAACACAAATTTTTTAGTATTTTAAAATATTCAAAACTTAACCAATCATGCAAAGGCTCCCCGTTAAACATAATTCTTTTGGTCTTTTGGAATTCTAAATTTTGAAATTTTTAAAATTAAAAATTAAAAATTGAATATTTGATATAATATTCTGAAGTTATTTTATTTTATATTATATTTTTCAAAAATATTATTATTAATAAATATTCTCAAAACTTCACAAAATGACTGTAAATAGCCACAGGCATGCTGTGAATTCAAAACACACACAATTCACGCCAATATACAGATACATATACATTATACATACATACAAACATATATATATATATATATATAGAGAGAGAGAGAGAGAGAGAGAGAGAACCACTTACTTGATCATAAGCATAACCAGAAGCAGCAATGAAGCGAGTCATTGTGGCGAAACAGATTGAGAGGAAGAATTCTTCTTCAACTGCAACAAATCCTCCTTGGGAATGTCCATAACCTCTATAACGCTACCCTCCATCTTGCTCTTTATCCCCTGCAAAACATCAAAAACACTCTCCATATCAGGACGCATCTCCCCCACACTCTGCAAGCATCCAAACGCCACCTCCGCCGCCTCCGCCGCCATTTCCCGCTCCCTCCCGACCCCGATACGTCCATCCACCAGCTCGTCCACCCTACGCCGTTGGATCCTGTTAATCGCCATCATCGACAGGTTTATCTCGTCCCTCGCCCTCGTTATATCGATCGCCGGGAGGGACGATATCAGCTCCATCAACACCACCCCGAAGCTGTACACGTCGCTTTTCTCCGTCAGCTCATAGCACTCGTAGTACTCGGGATCGACGTATCCTGGCGTGCCCTGAGGCGCTGTCGTTACGTGAGTCGCGTTCGACGGTCGTAAACGGGACAGACCGAAATCTGCGACTTTGACGCCAAAGTTGTTGTCGAGCAAGATGTTGGTGCTCTTGATGTCTCGGTGGATGACGCCGGAGGCGTGGAGATACGACAGCGCGCTCGCCGTTTCAACGGCAATTTTTAAACGGGTGATCCATGGGAGCGAGCCGGGATTGGCTCGCGCGCCGTATAGATGATCGGCGAGCGTGCCGTTAGGGATGTATTCGTACACGAGGATAAGCTCTCTTGTCGACATGGACGTGCATCCGTAAAGCGTTACTAGATTCTGATGCCTCAGATGACTGAGTATCTCGATCTCGTTCCGGAACTGCTCAACTCTTCTGTAATGGTGTTCGTATAATCTTTTCACCGCCACAATGCGGCCATCATCTAGCTTTCCTGTAACATAACCATGCATTATTCTATCAGCTTATACTTCGAAACGGTGAAAAACAAGATATTAATGCACAAAAAGGAAAGGACGATATTTCAGAGACCAGTTCGATCAAAATGATCTGTGTTCGGAAGTGATTATGTCATGTATTTTTACTAGTATTTTTTGTGTTAGTTTCAAAGAGAATACGTCTAAGTATTTATAGTTGTTGAAAGGCATAATTCTAGCCCACACATCTCAAAAAATTGTACCAATAGTACTCTTCTAGTTTCAAAACTTGAACTTGACAACACAACAATTTAAACTTTAAGATGAAATGATTATTTCATGTAGTATCATAATGGGAAGTCCTCTCAGATGGTCGTTTAAGACTTATAAATTCTTTTTTGAAACTAACTGTTACCTCGATATACCACGCCGAAGCTGCCATCGCCGAGCTCCCTTTTGGCGTCGAAATTGTCCGTGGCTTGTTCAAGTTTGTGGTAATCGAAGATGTGGATTCCGGCCCTTTTCAGGTCTTCTACCATGGAACATGAAGAAGTTCCATTCGATTTCAACGGGATATGCCGAGTGTTGTAACGTCGATTGTAGCGACGATGGTAAACTGAGAACAGTATGCACATTGTTATGGCGCTGAGGGCAGCTGCTACAAAACCTACAAGAACAGATTTGCAGTAATTTTTGTGTGCGCGCATCAATTTTGAGTGATGTAGAAACCAGAAATAGAGAGAAATTGTCATTTGGAAGTGTAAAATTGATAGGATATAATAATACCTATTGTAAGCTTGAGTCCTAAATTCAAGCCATTTCCTGTCAGGAAGCCAAATAAAAAGCAGTAATAAGGTTACACTGAGGGAGAAAAGTATCAAGATCAATAAAAACATGAGAACTTTACCATTTTTTTTTTAAAAAAAAAAAATATATACTATTTTCTATCGCCAAAATATGGCCTCTAACTATTATTTATTTATTTAAAAAATAAAATAAAAAACACAGTTTGATAACACAGCAGAAGAGTCTATAAAGTGATCAAATCTAAGAAACAAATGCATAATGCACAAATCCATGTCCAACAGTTTCTCATAATCATCTTTCTAAATAGTGCATAAACGCCTAATCGATCAAGTAGAAAGCTCTCAAGCATTCCACAAGAGCACCAGGAGCAGAGCAATGGTTGGATTGCTAGTACAATTCCATGATCAGTTGATCATTAGGGACTTGTAGAAGAAGAAGAAGAAGAAGATATTTTTCTAGTTGTAGGACTATAATCAAACAAAGTTCCATTAACACAGAGGAGCTGAGCTGAGCATGTGTTTTCAGCGTCAAAGACATGAGTTCAAGCCAACAAAATGGACTCATGTTTTGTAAACTTAATTTTTAACATAGTAAATAAAGTTTCTTTTTACACTAAATTAGGGTTTTCTTTTAACATAGTAAATTAGGGTTTTTTTAATTAATTAATTAGTTTATGCTTAAACTCATTGTTTAATATGATGGTCAATAATTAGGTTTTTTTTTTAAATATATATATTTACAGTAAATATATAATTATATAAAAAGTACCAAAAATGACGTCAAAAAGCGAGCATAAATGGGTTGAGTATACGGACCTGAATGAGAACACACGAACATGGCGGCAGAATTATTTTCCGGCCGGCAGTGACCGCCGGACATTTCACACGCCGTGCAAGCTGCAGCGCGGTCCACGACGTACTCCACCTCAAAGCCTCCGTTCACAACCTCTTCCAACGTCGTCGTTTCGTTCAACCGGAATTTCTCCACTGCGCTACTCATCACCGGAAGCGTAATGTTCGAACCGCAGACGATCGGAGCTTGCAACGACTCATCCACGAGGTATCGTACTCCGTCGGTTCCATTACCGCCACAATCGAACCTATTCCTAGCCGATATTTCGAAATCGGAATAACAGGAGTAGAACAAGTAGAGATTCTCAACGTTCACACTGGACTTCAGCTGCGGATCGCCGTCGCCATTTCCATCGCTCAACCACGTGCTCTCATACCTCCGTAGGCAGAATCCGTTCCACATATCGAGCCGCGCAATTCTCATCGATCGATTGCCAATCTCGAGCACAACGAAGGACTGACCTGCGAGATCTATCGTAGTTAGATTCTCGCGCGAGCACCGGAGCTGCATCTCGCGGAAGCCGCACTGTGGAGGTCGATCGCCTCCCCAAAACGGAAAACCTATCCCTCGGATGTTCCTGCCGCAGGAGAACAGACCACCGCAGCTGCCGAATCGCTCATCCTGGTCAGCAGCGCAAAGTTTGATCCAAATCGAAAACACAACGAAAACAAGCATTTGAGCCAATGGTAGGATAACTGAAACCTGAAATCTGAGATAGTGATTCGTATAGAGCAAATGACTCGAGCAGTAAAATTCAATGGCCGCCAGGCCACGCTGTCCGCCATTGTTGAATTCCAATAATTCCGCAACTGTTGCTCTGACCTATACATATATATATTACAAAACAAATATACGTTCAACAGGATTTTCAATCAAAATCAGGAATGAAACGTTGAAATTTAAATTCAAGTATTCAACAATGAAAATGCATCAAGGAAGAACATATATATATATATATATAGCATATAATGAGCAATATTACCTAACAGAACCTAATCTGTACAAACTATTTGAAGAAATAAATTTACAAAGAACCAAATTAAACCTTTCCTCCACAATTGGCTTTTTTGCATAACAGAAATTTGATCTAAACAATGGGCAAAGATCTAAGCAGCCATATCCATCATTTTTGTTTCTTGTCAAAGCTTCTGCTGCTTTCTGCAGCAGCCATTTCCATCATCCTCGCATAATCGATCTCCGTCGATTTGTACTTCATCTTCATCCCGTTCTGCATCCACGACTTCACACAAAAAATAGCCTGTGTACACGAAACAGGCGTCGAAAATCTTTGCCGATCAACCTCATCTCCCTTGCTGCAGAAAATGTCTTCCGGAAGCACAGCAGTCGACTGCACGGCCAAGAAGTCGCGAGCCATCAACGACAGCCGCGGGTATCTCGAGCTGTTCACCTTCCACCAGTCAAGAACATCAGTAGGCATCGGGGCAGGCGGCTCGGACAGATATTGCGTAAGCTCATCAGTGGCAGAGTTCATCGTCGCCCGCCGCTTCTTACGAGCAATTTCCTCTGCAAAAGACGCACTACCCCCGTCTTCCGATTCTTGTACGGTGTAAGGATTCGTCACCGGCGAGAAATAACTGGTGGAGTAGTTTCTGATGAAATGACTTCTCGCTTCCTCCAAGTTGCTTTCTGTGTTAAGATATTCAGGAATAAGCTCGACCTTGATCCGAGGGTCGAGAATCGCGGTCATGTACGTGAAGGCATTGCAGAGCTGGTCACTGTAAGCCTGCGCTTTGACATACATGTCTTCTGCGGAGCTCTTGAGCCAGTCGGGGCTTTGCCGATAATCTTTGCAGGCCATAATCATCTCCGAAATATGGTCCATGAAGAAGAGAACGAGGCCAATAGTGAGCACTCTGTTCGTGCATATGTTGTTGATCGTCTTGTAGAAGGGCTCAAGATATTTATGCATAATAGTGACGACATTTTTCTCGGCAGAGTTCAGCAGTAGTTGGCTACCTAGTTGCTCCTCGTACTTCCTGATCACTGTCTCCATTGATTTGCCAGCCTGCAAATAGATTATAACCCCAAAATTAGTATTAAGCCTTAAAAGATTTTGTTTTTACACATTGATATTTGACTCCTTCTGAAATATTGTCATTTTCATATCAATCTTCGACATACTCGAGTTTCTAGCATAAATATAATCATATTTGGATTTGCATGTAAGAAATCTGGTGCAGATAAGAGAAAAAAAACATTGAAATGAATTCCTAACAGGTGTTGAGCTTTCATCCTCTAAATTCTCGACGTGAGAATAGCATATTAGTTTCGATATGCTAACAGATCTTAAGCTTAGAAAATGGCACATTATATACTACATAAGCATATGCCTGGCTCAAGGAAACCAAAAAGCTCTGTACTTTTTGAATTTTTTTCGAAGTTTTTTTTTTTTTTTTTTTAACTATACTGATTTTCCAAAAACATCTTAGCAAACAACTATTCACCTAAAAAAATAGCAAAAACCAAAACACTCAAAACGGAAAAAAGAAAAATGTATTTTCGAATCGACTGAAGCATACATGCACTGTCCCAAATTCATTGTCAAGGATGCCAAAATAATAGTGAAAATTTTCATATAGCTGAATTAGCATGGTTGAACAGGCAATATGGAACTATACATATATATATATATTATACACATATACCTTACGTGCAAGATCAAGCATCTGGTAGCTCCCACTCCACCGAGCAGAGGCATCGAGAGGGAATTTCCAGCTCCCTTCTTGGTATGCTGCAGTGAACTGCACAAAATCCTCGGACATTTCTTGCGATGAATTGAGTTTCAGCACAAATTCCCTGATCTTTACAATCACCGATTTTGTAGTCCTAAGCCCATCATTTATGATTGAATTCAGAGTTTGGGCAGCACAGGGAATATGACAAAAGGCAGCCATTTTCTGACCATCCATACCACTTTTCAGAGCCAGGCATGCTTGCAAGGCATTCGAACTATTATCGTGGGTGCACGAGAGAATTTTATTTTCAAGGTTGTAAAGCCTGAGGACTTTCAATAGGGCATGATAGATTTCGGTTCCCCCACAGGGACTCGGTATGTGACAAATATCAAGAAGAACTTTCTGGAAGGACCAATTTTCATCAATCCACTGACATGTAATGCTCATATACAGAATTTGTTCGTAGGAAGTCCAAAAATCGAGAGTGATAGAAACCTTTGAAGAAATCTGCTCTACAATCAGCCTCACAGATTCCTGCATGCTTCTGAAGACTTCCCGCAATATTGTTTGGAACTTTTCCCCACTCCAAAGCTCGACGGCTGGATTCAGAAACTTAAATGCATTTGCCAGCCACTTCTCTGAAAGAGTAGAAGTGGGAAGAGATGATACAACAACCCACTTGATAAGCAACCAGTTCAAGTGATCGAGGTCCAATGAAGGCAACTTAGCGTGACTGTGAGGTTTCTTAGCAACTGTCACGGACTGTGAACTAGGACCATTCGAAGAATCCCCTAGCTTATCATATCCTGGATGTCGGTTGCTGAGATGCCTCCCCAAATTACCTTCAACAAAAATTATGTCATCGCAAGGCACAATTATCCATAAAAATGAAAACAGAATTTCAACGTAAATTAGCCTCCTTAGAAGCCAAATTATGTCTTGGTTGAACTAAGGTCACAGCCACCCGTATGCAGTCATATTTTGGGAACTCATAACTCGAACCTAATATCCCAACACCGGTTAGAACTCACAAGCACCCCCTCCACCCGTCATATAGATGCATGTTATTTTCAAATTAAGGTTATATAGATGCATGTTATTTTCAAATTAAGGTTAAATGCGGATCAACTCAATGAAACTGAAATAACGAACGAAAACAAGAACACAAGAAAGTAGGGGAGGGGGGGAGAGGGTAGAGAAATAACCAGTGGCAGTCGCAATAGAATAGCTTTGTCCACAAAACTTGCATCTTCGACTTTTCCCATCATTTCCAATTTCAAAATACTTAAGAAAAACTGAGGTCATTGTCTTTTTCCTGGGCTTAGCAGAAAGGATTACATTACCCTTCTCTGTGGAACCCAACCCGATATCCGTTGGATTGATGAGGGGGATGGCTGCCGAATTCATTACTGTTACAGACTTGGGATCCATATCCACTACAAAGAAGAAAACACATACATTATTATTGAATGGAAATTAAAAAGAAACCAAAAGTGAGGAATAAAATTCGAAAAGCTTCTGGTTATAATGCAATAGATGCTATGTCAGGTGAAGACTCATCCATTCTTAAGACCAAATTTGGAATCCATCCTTTACTGCTATGCCTATGATCGATGTTGATAGTTAACAATCTCCATTGATTTTCTTATGATCTAAAAACTTCCACTCAATTTGACTAAAGTAATTTCGACATGATTTTGTCATAATCTTTCTTAGATATTTTTTCCTTTCACAACCTACAGCTTCCGCCTAACATACTAATCTCAGATTCATCTTAACATGGTGAATTAAGGAAAATCTATGCTACCACAGTCCAATTTGAACTACCATAGATATCAAAGTAAGACAACTTCACTAAAGGGATTCAGAGAGAAACACAATCACACTACGAATCAAACCTTTCAAGGACTGGTTATTATACGAACTGTTAACTCCCCAATCCATCACATTGCCAGCTGCAGCTACTCCCCCAACAATCACAGCCTGCAACAATGAATCCAAACATCACTCTACACAATACCAATAAAATCAAAATCAACCATCAAATTCCATACCGCGACAAACAATTGATCGAATTCCCCAGCGCCTCAGGTAAAGAGAGACCTCAATCCTCTAAACCCAGCACCGATCCTACAACTCAACCGATTGAAACACACACACACACAAAAAAGGCAAAAACAGTGCGCAGACCCACAGATTCAGCACACTTTTCCCCCCTAAAACCAGAAGGAAATCATCAGCAATTGAGCGATGATTATGCGTCAACGAAGTAAAAGGGGAATGGAGGGAACGAAGAAAAGCGTGGGAGTGATGGGGAAAGGGGGATTTGAAAAGGGGTTTGAGCTGAAATTGAAGAAGCGAAGCCAGCCAGCCAGCCAGATCTGAGCCGCTGAGGTAAGACTTTGAGAGAGAGAGAGAAAAACAAAGGCGAATTGGTGGAGAGGCGCTGAGAAAGAGCAGAGTCGAAGCTGTTTAGGTATAAGCGGAGCCGCCAGTCAGCCAGCGCCTGCTTTTCCTTGGTTAGATTTATAGCAGTCCATGGAGCTTTGGTTTAGATTAATCCATACCGTTCGTATTATAGACCCCACTTAATTGTGTGGTGCGATTCGTTTAGGAGTTGAAAACCCGGCTTCTTGTAAACTTGTAAACACATTTCTGTTCTGACTGTATGTGAGTATTTGAGCAGCGTTTTTGTTTTAAAATATTTTTATATTAAATATAAATATAATTTAATTAATTTATTATAAAAAAAATATAGAATATATAGTAATATTGAGCATTGTAAAAGATTGAGCATTATAATATCAAATTTATTTATTTACAAAATATTATATTAAAATATTATTTAAATTCAAATTCAAACTTCAATTTAAAATTAAATTTCAAATCAAAATGCAACTAAAAACAAAACACACCCATAATCGTAATCGTGTTGTTTGTCTTGAGGTTTTTACATTTGTTTGATTATTTTAAATTATTGTTTACTATTTTAATCCGTTTCAAAACGACGGTATTATTTTCATAAATGATTATATTACTGTATAACTACCTTACTCTTTCATTATTATTATTATTATACAATTGTAACTGTCTTTTATACTAGTACATATTTTACCTATGCTTTTTACCCAATATTTTTTAAATTTAGTGTTTAATACAACTAAGATTATAGTTTTAGGATGGAAGGAGTAATATTTTGTGAATGTTTTATATATAAACTAAGGGTGTGTTTGTTTGGAGGATTGGATTTAAATTTAACTATTCATCCAATTTTTTCTCCCCAAAAATATCAAATCAAACACCTATTTTTCATTTTTTATATTATACTAAAAATCAATTTTACATTCAAAACATCACATCAACAACACCTGTTTATATCACATCATACAACTACTCAAATTTAAAATTTTTACTATTCAAATCTCAATCCAAAATCCAAACTCCCAAACAAACACACACTTAACTATTATTGTAATATTTTTAAAATTATATTTTAAATTAACATTATAAAAATATATAGTATTATTTTTTTAACTAAATAGAATTGTATTAAAAAATACATATATTCAGATACAATTGAAACAAATCTTACCTTAATATGTTAATATAAAGCTATAATGTTAAGTTAATACAAAAAGCTATAAGGTTTTTTGTATTTATTATTATTATATTTATATATTATACTTCTTAAATAGTATTTTGAAGAAATTATATTGTACTCAAATATTATTCATATCCTTAAAATTATATCATTTTTTAAAATTTATTTATAATATTTCTATAATACATTCTCTATTTATAATATTTCTATAATACATTCTCTATTAGGAGACGAGTGTGTTTGTTTAGTGAAATTATTTAAAAAGATAATTTTTATGTAAAATATTAAAATTTGTGTAATTAATATAAAAATAATAAATGAGTGTAATATATTATTATTTTTTCTTTTTTGAAAATATTAACTTTGTTTTCTCAATAAATTTTTTAATTGCGATTCTCAAAATAATAATAGTACAAATTTTATTTACAAAAAATCAAAATAAACTTCAAACACTCGTTACCAAAAGTAAAAAAAAAAAAGTCAAATAATTAGTATATTTTATACTGACATGATTTTTTATACTACATACCACAAATCAATTCATTTAAAAATACTGCATCAACTGAGAACTACTATATTATTTAAAAATGATAGAAGAACACACCCAAAGTATCCATTTACTTTTTTTTTTGTTTCATATTTGTAATATAATACTTCCTCTGTTTTAACGGAATGCATTTTTTTTTATAATGAACTAAAAAATAATAATATTTTATTAATATATTAAATGTAATTTCTAATGTATTTTCTAATGCTATCCGTAAAAGATTTCAGTTTATGTTTCTATTTTTTTTCAACTTTAGCTCCAAGTGAAAGTGTATAAGGGTGTGTTCGTTTGTAGAATTTTAACAAAATTCTACTATTCATCCAATTTTTTTCCTCTAAAAACATCAAATCAAACACCTATTTTTCATTTTTTATATTATACTAAAAATTAATTATACATTCAAAACATCACATCAACACCTATTTATATCACATCATACAACTATTCAAATTCAAAATTTTTATTATTCAAATCCCAACTCAAAATCCAAACCCCCAAACAAACAATACCCTAAATGTACACATTCAAAATTAATTGGATCGGCTCAACACAAGTGCAGTCCAAATCCTCGAGGTTCACAGCCCAACAGAAGGTCCTGATCGTACAGACCTGTCTAGTCCAAAGACCCAGCCGGCCTGGTCTATTTGAAGCAGTCAACGGATGAAAGAAAGTGGAAGTGAAGGTGATTGGAATTGTTGAGAATAATTAGGATAATCTTGTTTAAACAGAATTCGAAAAAACAAAATAAATATCCAATTCAAAAAAAATAAAATAAATATCCAATGGTAGAACAGAGGAAGAGGACGTCATTCATCATGAATCTTCTTCTTTTTTTTCATAATTTTTCTCTTCGTTATTTTCTTGTAATTTTTCCAAATTTTTACAGTTTTATTAGATTAATTTCAATTTAATTTTCAGTTTCATTCTTATTTATTTTACCTTCTTTTTTTCATCAATTTTTTGCGAGATAGCCCGGATCATTTCTTGAGGAGGCCGGGGAACCCTACAATTAAATCAATTCCGACATACTTTTTCGATTAAGCTTCGGTGACTATTTTTTTACGACAACAATAAGATAATTTGAATCTCTTTTAAAAATAAAAAATAAATATTTTTGTGAAAATGAGAAGAATGTATTTGTTTTGTAGAATAATTTAAAAAAATATATATTTTTATATGAAATTGTGTAAGTAATATAAATAATGAATAGGTATAATATATATTTTTAAAAATATACTAATTTATTTTGAAAAATAAAACACCCCCTAAATTTGAATTTAAAATAATAACAAACAAATCCTTAATATTCATATTTTAAAAAATAATAAATTTTTCTAATTTATTATTATTATTTTTTACTTACACTATTTTTCATAAACTTTACTTAATAAAATTTTTATAATACATTAAAACACTCTTTGTGCCGAAGCAAAGCCAATTGAACTTGATCTAGGGACTATTATTTAAAGTAATATGTATTACTGTACTATAAAGTAGTATAATATTATAAGATTTATCTACGAACGAAGCCGCTTTGCATACGTCTCAGTCTAAGACGGTCCCACCGAGTTTCTGGCACCGCGTCGCCGTGTCGGAGTTCCTTCCCAACTCTCGATCGGAAAACCCTTGTTCCCGTTCTATACCCCTCTCCACTGAGCTGTAATTTGCAGAAGTAATCGTTTTGTTGATGGCGGGTTCAAGAGCTGCTGCTGTTCCCCCGAGTCTGCGAATCGTCTAATTTCAGCTACATGGTTTTGTTTTTGTTTTTTTGTCGTGTATTGGATTTTTGAATTGCAGTTTCGAAGTTCATAGTCGGGAATTAATTAATGAAAAAGTTAGGATATCAGGAGGATACTTTGCTTTCCTTTACTAGGTAAGTTGATTTGCCCAAAGTATAATTCTCGAATTATTTGGAATGACGTTTATATTGGTTGATTCCCGAACAATTCGCATTATTGCGATGTAATATTTTGTGTTTAATCGGGATGCTGTTGTATAGCTTGAGGATTTTGCTGTGCTAGTTTCTAAATGACAATTATATTTGTGAAGGTGATTGGGGGTTTATCTGAAGCCTTAGTTGGTGAAAATGACTATGGTCAGCAGAACAAGAAGTATGTTGGAAGGACTGGTGAAAGAGGGCTCTTTCAAGTGGTTGAATAAGAAGAGAGGCATATTTGATGAAGAAATTGAAGAAATGGAACAGTCTCCGTCAGCTGGGAAGAATTGGCTGCCTGAGCTCTCTCCTCCAGCAAATGTCGTTGTCCGAAGATGCTCAAAGTTAGTTGTGTGCTCTACATATGCTGTCAATTCTCGTTACATCTGGTATCTGATATGTTTTCTTTGAAAGCATTTGTGGCTATGGGAATGATATGATCCTTTATAATGATTGTGAATGAGGGTATAACTGTTTAGTGCTGATGCCAAGTGCCAAAACGGAAATCTCTGGACAAAATTATGGTTACATTTAGAGTTAACTTAACGTGTAGTCTAGACTTGCAATGGAAAATAATATTACAGTGTTTAATTTATGTAGGTGAAATTTTTGGTTTAACTTTGGGGGTAATATGGAAGTGTTTAAATGTTTGTTGGATTGAAATTTGGACACATGGAACATGTTACTCGAAGAACAAGATACTAATCATGTAGTTGGTTAATCTAGGAGTTAATTGAGGTGGAATTATATAGACTGATTTCTATTGTTCTGCAGTAGGATTGGATAAGCCGAAGATGGAGTCTTTTATGCCTTTAGTTCGTCTAGTTCAATTAAGTACACAGCTGGATCATCTGATTGGGATAATAGTGTATTCATTCAGATTATTTTGTGGCCCATTACATTAATTGATGCCATGGTCAACATACATTAATTTGGAAATTGTGCGCATTGGCTGGTGTTGTGATTATTGTTTATATCTATGCTCATATGTATACTTTACACCTACGACTAAGTTATATCTTTCTGATCAAAATTAATGCAGAATCCTTGACCTTTCTATCCATCAACTCCAAGATAATTTTGATGCAGAAGCTTCTGAATCTTTAAAGCATAAATCAAACTATGCACGGAATTTTCTGGAATACTGTTGCTTCATGACCCTTTCACGATCAATACAAGTAGCTGGCTATCTAGAAGACAATAAATTCCGACGGCTTACATTTGACATGATGGTTTCTTGGGAGTTTCCTTCAGATGATTGTGGGACATATTCCAATGTAGGTTTCCTGCAGTTCAAGAGCATAATAATTTGTCTGAATCAGTACCTTTATAGTGTAGCTTTCTATATAACTGATTTATTTCCAAATTTTAGGAAAATACCTTTTCACCCCTTGTGAATAGAAATTTTCCTAGCATTTGAATATCTTCTGTTGAAACATGCAACATCCTGCATAACTGAATGTTTATAGCAGGTGGATGGTGATGTAACAGTTGGAATTGAGGCCTTTTCGAGGATTGCTCCAGCAATTCCCATTGTTGCTAATGTCATTGTTAGTGGTAAAATATTTGAAGTTCTTGCAGCTTCAACAACCGATCGCCTTCATTTTTCTGTCTATGATAAGTACCTTATTCGATTGGAAAGGTAATTTCTGGTGCCAAGTCTCCGTCTTCTCTTTAAATGCATATTTCAGCTTGGAACAGATATCTGCAACGTGTTTTTTTCTTGAGACTCTTTTGGATTATGTAATGCACGATGATGGTCTTACCATGTTATTTATGGTTATGTTAGATGTTCCATCTTTTAGTCTGGAACTAAGTTGCAACATTGTTTGATGATCTATTTTTAGCTAAAAGTCATGGGTTTATGGTTCTAATTTCCTTTTCTTCTCCATCCTGACCTGTTATGCTTTTAATCTCTATTTTTCCTTTCATGCACTTGCAGGGCAATACGAAAATTGCAGTCACAATCAGAGTCCTCTCTCCTTTCTTCTCTGCGATCTGCAAGAAGGGAGAAAATCTTGGAAGTGGATGGCACTGTAACAACTCAACCAGTTCTTGAACATGTGGGCATGTCAACATGGCCTGGTAAGTCTTGACATGTACTTTAACTCCAGGAAGGAACTAACTTTATGGAATTGGGAAGTGGGAACATTAATCAACTATTTTATCGGCTAAAAAGAGGTGGATACATGCTTGTCATTGTAGGACGATTGACTTTGACTGATCATGCCCTCTACTTTGAAGCTCTTCGAGTTGTGTCTTATGATAAAGCAAAGGTATATGATCTGGCTAATGAGTTACAACAAGTTATAAGACCTGAGCTCACAGGGCCATGGGGAACCAGACTTTTCGACAAGGCAGTCTTTTATAAATCTATTTCATTGTAAGGTGTTCATGCAAGTTCTATTTATATTTTTTAAATAATAAAATAAGCTAGATTCCGTGCTCTTCATTCTCATCAGAATCTTTTGAAAAGCTTATGCATTATTCAGGACTTGTCATGTAGGTCAGAACCTGTTGTCATGGAGTTTCCAGAGCTTAAAGGCCATACACGCCGTGACTATTGGCTAGCAATTATCCGTGAAGTTCTATTTGCCCATAAATTTTTACTGAAGTACCGAATCAGTGGACTTGAGCGTGATGAAGTGCTTTTGAAAGCAATTTTTGGAATTTTGCGGGTGCAAGCCCTTAGAGAAATGAGTTTGACAACCCCTCTTTCCATTGAGCCTCTTCTTATATTCAATGTCTGTGATCAGCTTCCAGGAGGGGACTTGATTCTTGAAAAACTTGCAAACATGTTGACATTGGGGGATGGAGATAGGAAACGTACACTGAAATCTGGAAATGGTATGTATTCAACTTCTGCTCTATCACTTGCTTCGGAATTAGGGTTTGTTTTCGGTACAAGTTCTAGCACAACCAGTGACACCAGACTGGTAGTTGGTGAAATTGCTGTTGGAAAGATGACTCCACTTGAGAAAGCAGTTAAAGAAGCTAGAAGCAGCTACGAAAATGTAGTGCAGGCACAAGCCACAGTTGATGGAGTTAAAGTTGATGGCATTGACACCAATTTGGCTGTGATGAAGGTTCGCTAATCTTTTTATACGTGTTTTTATTATTAAATATCCCATGGGATGGTTCTCTGATGTCCAATATTTATTTTTTATCTAAGATCATATTATAGTTACACTTCATTGTGGGATTGTGAAGATCGATAGCAATTTGTTGTTAGTGCTTTTATTTATTTATGTTTTATACCTCTCTCTAATGTGGTATTTTTTTTTTTTCTTTATATATATATATATCTTAGCAGTACTAAGGATAGACTTACAATTGCAGGAATTGCTTTCCCCTGTGACAGAAATTTGGAATTGGATTATTTTACTTCTCAACTGGGAAAATCCTTTGAAATCCACTGCATTCTGTTTGATCTCTACCTATATTATATACAGGTAACCTTTATCTTTTTTGTGATATCATAATGGTTTAGCTGAGATAAATTTGCTAGGGTTCATGCCTGATAAAAGACAAGTAGACTGCAAATAAACCCCTATCAAAATTGCTACTTCTATGGTGACTCCTTTATTTTGCATAGTAATTTGTTCTATTACATAGTAAAAGTACCTAGTTTTGTCAATGTATGTTGTTTTAAGTTCATAAGATGTAGAATCACCTGCATGATAACAGAACTGAATATATTGTAGTTCTCTGGAATGTAATTGTCTAATTGTAAATTTAACAATATATTTTTGCAGGGGATGGATAGGCTATGCTTTAGCAGCATTACTCATCCTATTTGCGCTCTTCATGATACTTACTCGCTACATCGGTCAAGGAACGCCTGTTGACCAACTGAAGGTAGTTGCACCACCTCCCATGAACACTATGGAGCAGCTTTTAGCCGTTCAAAATGCCGTTTCCCAGGTCGAAGAGCTAATACAGGATGGAAATATCGCTCTTCTAAAAGGGCGTGCCTTGCTGCTCTCTATTTTTCCACAGGTATGATTTGGTCTTTCATTTGTACTTCCGAGCATTTTCTATTTGGAGATCTGTGATCTGCTCATAACAACTCATCTTAGGAATCTGATGTTCCATACACAATTATGATTTCATAGCTCTGCCTTCTATGTGAATTTCGATCGGAAATGTTATTACAGAAACAACAATTTTTATTTCCCTCAATAAAATTTCTTGAGCTGTTAATTTCTTCTGTGTATGTCTTATTTCAGGCTACTGAAAAATTTGCACTTGCACTACTGGCCCTTGCGCTGGTTCTGGCACTTTTACCTGTTAGATACATTGTTCTACTTACATTCTTGGAAACATCCACACGATACTCACCTGTAAGAAGAGCGAGCACAGAGAGATGGACAAGAAGATTTAGAGACTGGTGGTTTAGCATACCCGCAGCTCCTGTCCTTCTTGAAAGAGTTGGGGACGACAAAAAGAGAAGGTAACAATTAATGTGCAAGTAAGTTTATTGTATGATGATTGTTAATTTAATTATGCTTTTGTAAATATGTAAACATATTACATACCGGCTTGTGTAATACGTGAATATCGAAGGATGGGTGGATGGATAGCCAGGCATATGATTGTTGAAATAATGTGCGGGTAAGTTGTTGATCGAGAGGATACTGCGTGAAAGGGCATGAGTTTTGTTGAATACGATGTTTTGGTACAGTAATTACTCAAGCAAAATTCGAAGAAATTTTATAGTTTTTAAATATTAAAACTCGCTGTTGCTATTTTTCGGGTACTTTTTGGACAAATTTTGACAACTTAATAGCTTGCAAACTAGTAGGTAAATAATAGTTGAATTTATTTTTTTTGTGTAAAAGAATTTTTTTTAGCTTTTGTATTCTAATTTAATATAATATATAAGTAAGTGTAAATTTGAACTATTTATAATATGTAAAATATGCCTAAATTTACTTTGGAAAAATAAATATCTTTTGATTGAATAGTTAAAATTAAAAAATATATACTCCCTCCGTTCCATAATAAATATAAATTATTTTATTTTATTTTTTTTAAGTAGCGGTACTATCTATTTAATATTACTGCAATTTATATACTTGACTAGGCCGAAAAGACAAATTATTTTAGTATTAATTATTTTATATATTTTTATTAATTAATAAAACATTAATATTTTTTAATGTACAATAAAAATTTAAATGATACTTTTCGTACGGAGTAGAGGAGTACAAAAGTAGCAAAACAAACCCAATCAATATTAAATTATTATTTAAATAAATACACAATAAAAATCGAGACCGACAAGTTTTCTGATTTATAATTATTTATTTTATTTGATATTTTTATCACACGTGCTGCGGAGTAAGAGGCAGAGTAGCTGCGATTCTTCCATTAACGTCAACTCTGCGTTGAGAATTATTTTGCAGCTGCAGATCGGGACATCGATCCATCGCTCTCTATTTCTCTGTTGTTAGAGAGAAAGGGGAGCTCGATCCGAGGGGAATAGGGATCGACCTGGATTCGAAGGGATGGGCTGTTCGTTCTCGGGATTGAACGCGTTATACGATGCCGTAAATGGAGGAGGCGATGTTTGGATTAACGAGAATCGGTTTAGGATCGTGAGGCAGCTTGGGGAAGGTGGATTCGCCTATGTGTTCTTAGTCAAGGAGGTTGTTTCCGATCCCAGTAATAATGCTGGTATTTCTTCGAAAATCAAGGATTCTTCTCACGTCTCAGGTGATTGAATTCTGTATCCAGTTAGCTAAATATATATTATATATATTTAGGGCTATGATATTTGATTATTGCTTTGAATTTAAATTGCATTTTGGTTGTGGCCATTTGATGCTTGACTTGTTTTGTGGAGATTATTGGTTTAGGGTTTACGAATTTGAAGTGTTAAGAATCTCTTGTGCATTTAGGATCCGAGGAACTGATGATTAATATGTTCGGCATCTTTAGGGTGTGTGCTACTTTAGGTTTAGATTTGGGTGGGGGTTTTATAGTATTGAAATTTTGGTAATACAGTGTTTGATGTAATGATTTGAATGAATATATTAAATGAAAAATAGGTGTTTGATTTGATATTTTTAGAGAAAAAAATGATGATAATTAGTGCCAAAAATCAGGTCTAGACCTTAAAGAATGATGTGTAGAAAAGTGAAGGGGAAATGATACTTTACCTGCATAATTCATTATTTAAAACTGTGGACTACATTATTTGAAAATTAATAGGAAAATGTAGGAAGATTATCATGGCAGATGAAGATATACTTTGCTCTATTCCTGCTCTATTCATGGTTGATTTAGGTATTTGAATTGTGCTATATTGGTTAGTGTTGAGAATTTTTCTGTGAGCTTGAGCCAAATATTGTGATGTTTTGTTAGGTTGTGTTTTGGAATTGTAATAATTATTTGATTTGATAGAAATTATGTATATGATGTGTAATGTTTTAAATAGAGTTTCTTGAAGATGCTATATCAAACGAAAATTAGATATATGATACGATGTTTTACAGAGAAAATAATTGAATTACTGTAAAGAATAGTGAAAACAGAGAAAAGAAAACACAACCAAACAAACCCTCAGCATTCTCTACTGATTCATTTGTTTATTCTTACTTCTTCTCTCGCTGGTTATATAATTGGGCAGCTGATGGAACTTATGCAATGAAGAAAGTTCTTATACAAAACACGGAACAGTTAGATTTGGTGAGGGAGGAAATTCGTGTTTCGTCTCAGTTTAGCCATCCCAATTTGCTTCCACTTCTTGATCATGCAATCATTGCCGTGAAGGTAATAATTCCATTTATTATGGTTCTTTGGGTTTTACTAGATATGGGCACTTTTACGTTTTGTATTGAAGACTTAATTAATTATGGAACATGCATCGAGAGGAAAGTAACACTTGTTCATTGACCAGGGTACACAAGATCAGTCCTGGAAGCATGAGGCGTATCTGTTGTTTCCCGTTCATTTGGACGGTACACTGTTAGATAATGCGCAGGCTATGAAAACCAAGAAAGAGTTCTTTTCTACATCCGATGTACTTCAAATATTTCATCAGGTAGTTAGGTTCCTGCTTTCTGTATTGCAAATTCTTATCGTTTACAGCTAAGGAAATTAGTGATTTTACGTACGGCAGGTAAGTGCAATCCTTTTCTTTGAAAGTGTTGGAATAAAGATGACTGTATTTATTCTACTCTGAAATGTTTGATATAAAAAAGAAAAAATTGATAAAATAATTTATGACAAACGACGTATCTGATTATCATTCCATTGGAAGTCGTCGTTGAGGAAAGAACGAACTTACTATGATTTTTTCTTCTTTAGCTTTGTGCAGGTCTGAAACATATGCACAGTTTTGATCCTCCGTATGCTCATAACGATGTCAAACCTGGCAATGTCCTTGTGACATTCAGGAAGGGACAGCCGCCGTTGGCAATATTGATGGACTTTGGGAGTGCTCGTCCTGCAAGAAGGCAAATTCGATCCCGTTCAGAAGCATTACAGCTACAGGTTTTTTTACAATTCTGAACTCATATTAGCTTTTTCTAATATTATCAGTGTGTCATTTGATTTGTTAAAATCTCCCAACCATTTCTTTTTTTTTTTTTTTTTATAAACCCACCCGTCTCCTACTGCCGATATGTTTCGAATTATCATTTCCGACACCCTTATTAATATTAATTGATTATCGCGGTTGCTTGTACTGAGTCTCTATAACCAGACGTGAATATTTTTTGGTTAATTCAATTCACTGTGATGTTATATGTTTTCTAGTTATGACAATGATGTGTATATGTAATGAAGGCTAACCACTGATTTGATTCCCATTGCACTCATTCTGCTCTTATTGTCTTGCCAAACCCGAGTAAAATTCCGTAGTGTTCGAGACTTTTTGTTCTGCATATCATGAAATTGAAAGTGAAAATTCCTCGGGGGTCTCATTTGTCAATCCACTGCTCCTTTCTTACTAAAACTAAATTAGGAAATCTTTAATAGCTACATTTTTAATGAAGTTTAGTTTTTCAAATAATATGATGCTTTTCAGACGATTCTCGGTTGTTCCTGCAGGAATGGGCTTCTGAGCACTGTTCTGCTCCTTACCGAGCTCCTGAGTTATGGGATTGTCCGAGCCATGCTGATATAGACGAGAGATCAGATATCTGGTCTTTAGGCTGCACTCTCTTTGCAATCATGTAAGTACCATTTCCTTTATTTCTTTTTGATGTTACGTTTATTGAGAACACAAAGAGAGGTTTCACAAATTTTAAACCATGAGAAAGAATTGTGTAAATATTACAAACCCTTCGTCCTCCAAAATTATGTTATTATTCATTTTTTGATTGTCCCCCAAATTTATACACGATCCATTTATAGTAAACAACTTTATTCACCCAAAATTTTATTACTTTTATTTTAACAAATAATAACCAGTTTTCCACTACTTTTTCTACTTACTCAATAATTTTTTTATCAATCATTTAACATTAATATATCATTATTTTTTAATCTCTATGCCCAAGTAAAGTGATATACTTAGTCCGAATGGAGGAAGTTAGCAATTTGGCCTTATTTTTATATTATGTATATATATATATATATGTGTTGTACTTTGGCCCAAACAGCCTTTTCGCCATGCCCCGGTGAATATTATGGATTATTTATGTGTTTTCATCTTGGTCGTGTGATCTTTGCAAACCACTGTATGCATTGTTCCTTATTTCTTGCAAATAACAGGTACGGCGCATCTCCATTCGAGTATGCACTTGGGGAATCCGGCGGGAGCTTGCAGTTAGCCATAATTAATGCCCAAATAAAGTGGCCAACAGGCCCGAAACCTCCCTACCCGGACGCACTCCACCAGTTTGTAACATGGATGCTGCAGCCTCAACCCACGGTTCGTCCCTACATCGACGACATCATAATCCACGTCGAAAAACTCATCTCAAAATACTCCAACTGAAGGTACTATGCTGATCAACAGATCTTATAACTATGTGGATAAATTTGTTTGTCCTGTACTTACTGTTTTGCACAATACTGATTTTAGAGTTGCTCTGTTTTTTATTTATTGTATGTCTTATCTATTTGTGTGTGCGTGTAGTTTATAAATACACAGGTTAGTTTTTGGACTATATTTGGGATTTGTTTTGTAGCCATGTTTAAGTTCATTCAGAGAGAGGCATTTTGGACTTAATATGAAGATTGCATGAAAATAAATAAGTAAATAAAATTGAAAATTGTTTCCAAGGCTGCGAATTTAACAAAAAATATTTCTATTAGTGTCTTACATTACTAATATAATGATATTTGTAAAAAAATTGTACAAATATAAAGATATTTGTAAATGGATAGATTGACAGATGGAGGTAGTATATTAGATAGCATATTAGATATAGATTTGCAATTTACATATAAAATAGAACTCACAATATATATATATTTTATACAACACGTATTGTTTATTATATTTTTATATGTTATCGATAGTATTTTATATATATATAGTATTAATAAATTTTCAATAACCACCCTAAGTCTGAAAGACACATATTTGGGTGTGTTTGTTTGGGGATTTGGATTTTAAATTGGGATTTGAATAGTAAAAATTTTGAATTTGAATAGTTGTATGATGTAATATAAATAAGTGTTGATGTGATGTTTTGAATGTAAAATTAATTTTTAGCATAATATAAAAAATAAAAAAATAGGTGTTTGATTTGATGATTTTGGGAAAAAAATTGGATAAATAGTGTAAATTCAATCCAATCCCCCAAACAAACACACCCAAAATGTGTGGAGGAAAGGAGAATGAAAGTGACTGATGGCATGGAAGAAGTCCAAGTGCAAATGTATCGTAAGATATTATGGGAAACAATGCTGTGTGTGGACTGTGGAGTGCCAATAATTAGTGTTTGTGTGTGTGTGTTTAAAAAGCCTTATGCTGTGGCTCTTATCCCTATCACATTATCACCTTTATTTAGTTCATTTATTATTATTATTATTTATTTATTTTCTTTTATTGATGATATGGGAACCAAAACTGGTATTTTTCTAATATGCATTAGCCAAACAAAAAAAACAAACAAAAAAAAAAGAAAAAAGAAAAATGGGTTGAGAATAATATCACGCAAACCATGAAATTTCTGTGCGATAGGTTCCACCAAGAAGGTATCAATAGGAGATTTTTGAGTTTATTTATTACACCAATTCGGTCATTTTTTATGAGTTTTATTACCTTTTTTATGCCATAGAATCTGACCGTTTGTAATAACTTTTATACTGTATGAGGTTTGTTTTTTTTTTTAATATTTCAAATTAAAATTAATATTATTTACGCTAATATTTTACAAAATATCATATTAAAATATTATTTAAATAAAAATTCAAATTAAGATTTCATTTCAAATTACTTTTAAACCACAACTAAACAAATTTAGTATTTTCGTTCAGCCATGATTTTGGTTGTATTTGGATGTAGGGTTAGCATGTATTCATCATTATACATTTTTTCTCCTTTGAAAATGTTATTTTTATCCAAAATTCCATCAAATAATTATTTATATTAAATTACATATATATTTGAACATTCATAATCTCTAGATCCTCCATACAAATTAAAGTGTTAAACAGTACACGCTAAACGGTTTTAGTCTAAGTGGGTGATGGTTGAAACTGCCGTTGCTATTTTTCTAAAGTGATATCGATAAATTAATAGCTTACAAATTAGATTCGATATAGCAAATAACACTGAACAACATAAGTATGCATATGTAGAATGCAATGTGAGTAGTGTGATTAATTCACAATTTATGAGCACATATTATATGTATCATCCATTTTATTTATCTATATACATTTATTCTGTACTCATAATTCATATATATATTTGTGTTTGTTTGGGAGTTTGGATTTTGAATTGGGATTTGAATAGTAAAAATTTTAAATTTGAATAGTTGTACGATGTGATATAAATAGGTATTGATGTGATGTTTTAAATGTAAAACTAATTTTTAGTATAATATAAAAAATAAAAAAAAAAGTGTTTGATTTGATGTTTTTGAAGAGAAAATTTTGAATGAATAATAAAATTTTGATAAAATCCTTCAAAGGAACAAACCCTAAATAGATATATAAAAGATAAATATGAAATAGTGTGTAAGCAACCTGAGAACAAGCAAACAAGCCTCTATACATATATATATATATATATAGAGAGAGAGAGAGAAAGAAAGATGAACTGATGGGAATTTTTAAGTTGATTATTTTTTTTTATTTTATAATATAGAAATTTGCAAGTTATTAATAAATTATCCGCCAAACCTCATAACTTATAAATTATAAGTTTGATAAAACAAATCACACTAAAAATTATGTATTACAAACAAAATTTAAAGAAATCAAAATTTAAATTCATAACTTTACAATCACAAATCCATCACAGCAACACCGTACCATCTCTTAGAATTAATTTTACTTTTGATTTGAAAAGAACAATAAGTCCTGTCCAATGATGGATCCACCCTACCCCATCCATCTCTACATTTCTTGACCATACTGCACTCTGTACGTACACTCTACTCTACTCTACTCTATTCTATTCTATTCTAGCGAGAGAAAAGAGAGAGAGGAAAGAGAGAGAGGAAATGGTGGAAGGAGACATCAATTATATACTACTTCATCTGTCCCACTTACTATGTCTATATTACCAGTTTTGTCCGTCTCAAATTTTATGTCACTTTATTTTTTGAAAATGATTATCCATTTTAATTTTCTTTTAAATTTTCTAATTTAAAATTTTTTAAATTTTAATTAAACTAATTAGTTATCTTAATATTAATCTATAATCATTTATATTATAAATTAATTATTTTTACTAATACATTTTTAATTATCTACTAATTATACTTATCCTAAATTTTCGTATCTACAGTGACCGACCAAGACACCAACGGTAGTATATTGCATTGTATTGTATTGCGGCATGTTAAAATGGAAACTTATTACTTGCTGCTATATATACACCAGAAATGGATATATATATATATATATAACCAGCGGTACGTAGCTACCATTTTCAATTCAAATTCAAATTCATCATAGCTATATATGCCTATGGAGAAATTCTTTCTTTACTTTTATCAATTCATTTCAAGACTAGATACATACATATATATATATATAGATAGATCATAGATCATAACAGATGATGGACATAATTATATATATATATATTCCACCACCACCAGCAGCAGCACCAGCTATTATTATCTTATTTGGCTGTATAAGTGTATATACATATATTTGGTAGCTTAGCTTAGCTTAGGGTTTCAGAAGAGAGAGAGAGGGGGGGGGGGGGGGGGGGGGGGGGAATTGAGTGAGTGAGTGGGAAGTACAATTAAATTGGCAGTGAGTGCCCTCATTTCTTGACCTAAACATGACCCTGGCTATCTCAATTATATCAATATCAATATCAATATCAACCCCTTTTCAATTCAAACCTTATATACATACATATATAGTGAGAGAGAGACCCATTGTAGATGTAAATGTGCTGCAACTACAACTACAACAAGAAGATCGAGTGAAGTGAATCCACCCTTGTTACTGTAACTCAATCCATGTTTATAGACATATATAGACAATGAGAGGGCAGATTATATTCTAGGGCTTGCCCTTGTCCGTCCGATCTGGCAACGATATATAATTCACGGTTAAGATTAATCATCATCAGGGCCAGGGGGCAATGGAACAAAAACTTCATAAAGGAAAGGAAAGATAGATAAAGGTGGAAGAGGTATGGAAGCACTTCCACTTTAAGCTGAAAGGGACACCTCTCTCTCTCTCTCTCTCTCTCTCTCTCTCTCTAAACTATATATATATATGACATGTATATATTAAGCGTGCTCTCCCTCTCTAGTCTCTCTTCTCTTTCTTGCTGTGTTTGTCATTGTGCGTCCATATCTATCTCTCTCACTCTTAATTTGGTCGTCTCTCTCTCTCTCTCTCTATATATATATATGTATGTATATTGATCAAACCCTAGGTAGGTGATAAGTCTCATCTCACTCTTTCTGTCTCTCCACTTGAAAATAGTAATAATAATGATAATTATATCCATTGGATAATTGGAAGATGAATGGAGGATACATGTGTTGTCCGTACTATATAGGCTGATAGAGTCATCCATCCATCTATATATATTTATATCAAAAATATCCATCCATATATAATCCATTCCAAGACAATCCTGGTACTATTAGTCAGGATCTACACTGCATTAGTACTATTATATACACACTTCTCTTTCGAGAGAGAGAGAGAGAAGTCGAAGACTAGAAATAAGAAGCATTCCAATTTTGTTTGATTCTTTTTTGTTCTTTTTTTAGGTAATATTCTCCCCACATCATTTATAGATATATTTACTAACTATTTAAGCTTTGTCATTCAAATTTGTTGCAGGTCGATTTAGAAGTAACGAGTTTGAACCCATAATCTCATGGTTACAATTTCACTCTTCACACTATCATCATGTCATCCCATACGAGCCAAATCATTCTCTTTGTTTCTTTCACTTAAATATGTACTAAGTACTCTAAATTTACATAAAGGGTGTGTTTGTTTGGGAGTTTGGATTTTGGATTGGGATTTGAATAGTAAAAATTTTGAATTTGAATAGTTGTATGATGTGATATAAATAGGGTTTGATGTGATGTTTTGAATGTAAAATTGATTTTTAGTATAATATAAAAAATGAAAAATAAGTGTTTGATTTGATGTTTTTGGGGGAAAAAAATTGGATGAATAATGAAAATCCTCCAAAATCCTTCAAACAAACACACCCAAAATGGATATAGAAAGGACCATTTGGTCTACGCAACTCTATTTTAACACTATTCATCAAAATTATGGATGCAATAGTACGGTATCCTAATCAAGGCTACTAATTAAGGCATATAGCGCGCCACGCTATGTCCCACTTCAATATTTTTATGTATTATTCATCGTGTTGTTTTGTGGTGTGGTGTTTATGATGCTTTGCTTTAATGTTTTTTTTTTTTTTTTGTTTTCTTTTCCCACAACATCCTCAAAATTCAACCTGATATGGGGGTGTGTGTTTTAGTTTATTATATATGGGAATAAATGCATTTTTAGTTTCATATGTAACACTTAATATTATTTTGGTCATTTAAGTAAACTTTGTATAAAAATAATATTATATCTAATTCTTAATCGCCGAAAATATCTTCTTGTACCAGAATATGCAAACACTAACCTCCAGAGTTAAATAGTAAATTTTAGTATATGTGGGCTTTAGTTATATACAATTATTTAAACATATATGTACATTTGTATATGTATTGATTAAGTTCATGTAAAAATACTATATAGTTAGTCGTCCATGTTAGTTCTAGATGTACCATGACAGCATATATGATAGTAATATTTTTTTACTAAACACCTTTCCAAAACTACTTTGACTAGATAATAATTATTTTTGTATATATTTAATTTAAATAACTAAAATGTTAATAATAGACATATATTAATTAAAAATACATTTAATGTCATTATTTATAGCTGTTAATAATTCTGGGATTCCCCATCAGCCCTTTCGCTTTCGCCTCTACAAAGATAACACTATCCCCATCAGCCCTTTCGCTTTCGCCTCTACAAAGATAACACTATCTATCTGTCTATCTATTTCGAATGTGGATTCGATCGAATACACAAATTAATTAGTTTGAAATAGACAAACACTATTCATTTGGCTATCATCCATCCCATCCCATCATTCTTTAATTATTCCTTAGTGTTTTTTTAAATCTACTTCCTCCGTCCCATAACAAAATATTCATTTTTTCATTTTAGTCCGTCCCATAATAAAAGTATCCATTTCATTTTTTAGTAACTGTACTATCTGCTAACATTACAAATACCCTTACAACTTACAATATATTACACAAATGTCATTACATTTATACTACATATACTAATAAAGTTATTTTAGTCAATTCTACTTTATTCCTACTATATCTCAATATAATACTAATATTTCTAAAACTAAGTGCAAAAAGCAAATGAATATTTAGTTTCGGGACGGAGGGAGTATCATTTTCGTACTAATCATAATTTCATCCTTCTAAATAATAATTAAAAAAATAACAAATACTATATCATATCTAACATTTATTTTTCAGCTAAAATTCTGAAGCACAATAGATTAAATAACCTTATTATGATATACAATATTTGTGTAATATATTATAAATTGTAAAAGTATTTGTAATATTAAAATTAGATAGATAATACAATTACTATAAAAAGTGAATAGTTTTATTACGATCAAAATAAAAAGATGAATAATTTGTTAAGGGACGGAGGAAAGTAGAGAGTTAAATATTACTTCCCCGTCCCACTTACCGTGTCTAATTTTTCATTTCTGTCCCACTTATTTGGAAAAGTATTATACACTTTAATCTCATTTTAAAATTTTTAATTTAATTTTTTTAAAAAAATTAATTATACTAATTAATTATCTTAACTTTAATTTAAAATTATTTTTATTAAATAATAAATATTTTTACTAATATATTTTTAATTATTTATTAATTATACTTCTTTGTTCATGTATACGGTTGAAAGGGTCACCATATCTCGAAACTGAGGTTATTTTATTGTTAAAAAGAAAAATCTAAAACTCCCAAAACCTATTTCTAAACGGAGCTTTGGATTAGGGTTAAAGGAATTCACTAATGAGAGAGAGATAGAGAGACTAGGGTTAAAGGGATTCACTAATTAGAGAGAGAGAGAGAGAGTAGGGTTAAAGGGATTCACTAATTAGAGAGAGAGAGAGATTAGGGTTAAAGGGACTCACACGCACATATATAGCCACAATTCAAAAACAGACATACACATGCAGATGTGCAGTAGAGAAGCAGTAGTAGCCATAGAAAGAGCATCAGCAGCATCATATATATAATATAATAATATAATATATGCATATATGATTAATTAAGGGTGTGTTTGTTCCGAAGATTGAATTTTAAATACATTATTCATTTCATTTTTTCCTTTAAAATATCAAATCAAATACTTATTTTTTATTTTTTATATTATTAAAAAAAAATTAATTTTACATTCAAAACATCACATCATCGCCTGTTTATATCGCATCATGTTACTATTCAAATTCAAAATTTTTACTATTTAAATTCCAACTCAAAATCCAATCAAACATACCCTAAAAGAACCTGTCCCTCTCAACCAAAAGCCTCCCCCATATCACCACTCACCCTCCTCACCTAATACACTCACCATGATCATACCCTCACTACTCACTACTCCCTGACCTCCATTAGAGAGAGAGAAAGAAAGAGATAAAAGACTACAGCAGCAGACAGGCAGGAGGAGGAGGAGGAGGAGGAGGAGGAGAGGAGGTACGTACCATTTGGCAGCAGGAACCCATTCATGATCAATTGTACCATTTTCATATATCCATGTATGTATCTATCTATCTATCTATATAGAGATGTAACTTCAATCCATCCATCCATCTCCCCCTAGCTAACAACAGTCCCAATCACAACCCCCCCAATTTCAATATCATAAAATGCAGCACCAAATTCAGCAGCAGCAGCATCCCCTCAACACCACCATTTGTAATTGTACCTCCTCCAATCACCACCACCACCACCACCACTACCCTACTACTAGTAATAGTGATAGTCCTAATAACCTCAATCCCTTTCCTGCTGCTGCTGCTGCTTTCTTTCCCTCATCAGATTACGACATCTGTAGTTCTTATAGCCCTAACCAGCAGCAGCTGCTGCTGCACAATTTCGACTATATAAATCACTTCCCAGATGATTCCGTTTCCCCCCCCACCTGCAGAGAATTCTCCGATTTCCAAATCTTTGACCACTTTTACCAACACAACACCTTCAATTCCACTACCAATTCGCAGTTTCTTAATGAAATTAGTGTTATCCACCCCCAAACACCCCCAAACTACGCTCAAATGCCTCTAGAAATTAGTGCGGAAAATAACGATCATAATGATAATGATAATCATGCTACTAATGCGATGATGATGATGATGATGGCGAGTAATTACTGTGAGGAACTTACCGGAAAGGCGTCAACGACGACGACGAAGAAGAAGAAGAGGAGCTCCAAAAAGGACAGGCACAGCAAGATCCACACCGCGAAAGGACTCCGCGATCGACGGATGAGATTGTCTCTCGAAGTCGCGAGAAAATTCTTCCGACTCCAGGACCTCCTCGGCTTCGACAAGGCCAGCCGCACCGTCGATTGGCTCCTCAAAAACTCCGACACCGCCATTCGTGACCTCGCCGGAGAATCCGCCGCCGATCTGAAAGGTACACTACAACTTCACTAAATTTCAATTCCAAATCAAAATTCAACACAACACATACCTACATATCAGGTGCGGCGGCGAATAACAGCTCTTCCTCCACCTCCGACGAGCCTGCGATAGTAGAAACACCGAAAATGCCCTCCTCGGGGAAGAAGAAGAGCAGGAAGGGAGTTAGGTGCAGGGAATCACCATCATCGTCGAGAGCGACCGTAGGGAGAGAGTCAAGGAGAATGGCGAGAGAGAGAGCTAGAGAGAGAACAAGTCAAAAAAAACGGCTAATGTGCCAAAGTAACCGTACCCAAAACCCCAACCCAAAGCTGCCATGGAATCCATGCCCGCCTCCCTGCGGTTCCCTACAGTGACACCTTCACGTAAGTGTATACTGTCTCTACTCTACAGTTCCTGCAATTAAACCTACCAATTTACTCACGCACACATATTTCTGAATTTATTTATTTATTTTCTGATCCTATTTAATAATTTAATATTAATAATTAGTTCATGGATTCAATAAATAAATAGAGAGATCGTTAAACCCTAGCTATAAACAATTTAATAATATAAATCTTCATTATTTATGTTAAAGTTAACGTTTTGGTATGTAAAAATTGAAAACATATGTATATGTAAAATATTTTAATAAATTTGGTTTAAAGATACTAGCTATGAACTGCATGAAATAAATAATGAAATACAATTGTTTTGAATAAAACTAGTTAAATTACTAATAGTTTGTTAATTAAATGTGTTTTGGGGTGACTTTGGTACTTCAAAATAGTAAAAATTCACAGAGAATTTTTTTTCCTAATATTATTAATATTTATGATTTTTTAAATATAAATTAGTTTTAGGGTACTATTTTGATTTTAAAAAGCATTTCATGTGATTTTTTTTTAAAAAATAAATAATCTATAATTAACATGATATTGAAAATACAAGTTATCTGACCTAATATTCTTATATATATATATATATATAAATTATAGGAATATTTTTTTCTTATGAATCATTTCGTTTAACAATTGCTTAAATTAAAATACAGAACAAACGAAAAACACAACCAAAGAAAACAAACTTAGGCAAACTAAATAGGCATAGCAATTTTAGTGCTAGCTTTGTAGCTGTAAATTGTATTCTATATGATAAGAAAAAATAAAAAAAATAAAAAAAATAAAAAAAATTCTAATAATTTATATGATTAATTGTTAATCTAGTCATTTAAAATAAAGATTTAAATTTATATAATATATAAAATTGTTGTTTGTGCAGACTATATGGAACCATACTTGAGAATTGAGATTTGCTACAAACCATGAGAAGCCTGCAACATTCTGAACATATATATATATATATATATATATAATTATTTAATATATGTATATATAAATAGGTCATCTGCTAAAATGTTTTATTTTATCTGTAATTCCTTAAATTTGTAAATTTAGATGGTGTTTGGTAAAATTCAATGCATTCTTAATTTATGTTGAATTATTAAGCCTATGTGTATTTTAAAACTTATTTTCACACTATTTATCAATAGTTTCATTTTTTTAAAAAAAATAGTACTAGGGTTCATAACTTATAATATCTATTTATATTATATTATATCAAATAAATATTATTTTTTATTTAATCTTTTATTATTCTTATACTGAATCAAATTTCAAAATACTTCAAAAACATATTAAACACACCCTAAGTTTGAATTTAATAAATTGTTGTTTAAGCTGCTTTTTTAAGTCTGATTTTTAATTCACTGTGAAATCAAATTTTAATCTAACCTTATGTATTATATATTCCCTCCGTCCCGCATATCGCGTCTGCTACACAGTAGATATGAAGGGTGTAATTAGTAGATAATTAAAAATGTATTAGTAAAAATAATTATGCTATAATATAAATAATTATAAATTAAAATTAAGATAATTAATTAGTTTAATTAAAATTAAAAAAAAATAAATTTAAAATTTAAAATGAAATTAAAGTGTGTAATCATTTTCCAAAAAAGGGAAAACTACATGTTACGTGGACGGACAGAAACGACAACGTGGACATGATATGTAGTACGAAGGGAGTAATAAATAACTTAAATCAATAAGTTTTTCATTATTAGATAATTTTTCTTGATAGCACTAGATATTTTAAGAGATTAGTTAATCTCCAAATCATATACCGATAAGAATGGTTGATTGTAAACCAAATAACTATTTTTTACAACTTAATATTCATAATAAACAACTTGTTAAGTAGAGTTAAAAGATAAGTTGATAAAAGAGCTTGAGATTGTTTGGAGGTTTGAATTTTGAATTTGAATAATTGTATTATGTGATATAAATAAGCGATGATGTGATGTTTTGAATGTAAAATTGATTTTTAGTATAATATAAAAAATGAAATATAGGCATTTGATTTGATATTTTTTGGGAAAAAAAATGAGATGAATAGTATATTTAAAATTCAATTCCGCAGATAAATGTCTTATATTTAGTTTGATAACCTTACGAATAATTAAATCACAATTATCCTAACCCTAGTAGCAAATTTATTTTGGCATTGTCTTATATTCCTTCATTCTGTTCACTTACTTAATCATCAAATTATTATTTTTATACCAAAAATTAATAATAACATTATTTTTAACTTCAAAATAGACAGAATGAATATATTTCAAAATTTTAATTTCATTCTTCTAATATATATATATATATATATAAATTCAGAACATGTGAATAATAGTATAAATCGAAGAAGAGTAGTAGTAGTGAACAATTGTTGTTGTATTTTTTTATGAATATATATTTTATATTATTGGTTGACTCTCGTTTGTACATAAAATAAATAAATTACATGTATCCCTATTAGTTCAAGTTTGTTTAAATAAGACAGTCATTTATGTAATTTAATATGGTATCAGAGCCTTAGATCTCAAGTTCGTTATATAAAACTTTTTAATATGTTTTTATAGTAGAAATATTAAAATTATTTTATATATTGTTTGTCTATATTCATTTATAATCCCGGACTAAGGGAGTAGTAACAAAAATTTTGTACTGTTAATTGTTTCATATATTGTTTGTCTATATTCAAAGTGCTATAGATCATGGGGAATAATTTTTTTATCAACACGATACAAAACAAGAACAACAACAATACATATAGTCAAATTTAAAATGGAGCAATAAAAATAATATATATATATATATCAACAATTACGACAAATATATATATATATATATATATACACAACTATATGTAACGAAAATAAAAATAAAATTGAAGGTAGTGCTAAATTGTCTCTGGCACGCAGACGAGCAAACGAAGCCCTGCAAAATCGGGGAGGCTCAATTTGACGGTTGGCTGGCAGCCATTGTTACAGAATTAATTAAGCAATCAAGCTTTCTCTCTTTCTCTCTCTGGTCTGTCTGTCTGTCTGTGGCTCTCGCTCCTCCTTCCTCTTCCAGTTCTAATTCTTCTTCAATTCTCCCCCAATCACAATACCTTCCTTCCTTCCTTCCATTTCCGTTTCTAAATATTTCCCAAACATTCACTGTAATTCCACACCAATTTCATCACATCCACTCATTCATACACCTATACATACAGAATTCCTTATATATATACATATATATATTAATTGGTGGTTAATTAGGTTAGCAGATCTTCGATAGGTAGTCCGCCGGAATCAACAATGCGGACGGGCGCGCAAGCAGCTGCTGCAGCCTATCCTGTGCGCCCATGGATATCCTCGATTAATTTCTTCTTCTTCTTCTTCTTCTTCGCCGTGATTTTGATTCTGTCTTCGTCGTCGTCAATTTGTTGTTCCGCGGAGGAATTGGGGGTGGATCAGGTGGAGGTGCTGCGGCGGTTCAAGGCGGCGCTGAATGGCGCAGGAGAGCCGGCGCTCGCCGACTGGAACGCCAATCCGGCGCCGCCGTGCGAGGGGAACGTCGGCCGGTGGCGCGGCGTCCTCTGCTTCGGCGGTCACGTGTTCGGCCTGCAGCTCGAGAACATGGCGTTGTCTGGGAGGATCGACGTCGACGCGCTGGCGCCCCTCCGGTCGCTGCGGACGCTGAGCTTTATGAGCAATAAGTTTGAGGGAGCGATGCCGGACTGGAAGAAGCTCGGAGCGTTGAAGTCGCTGTTCCTGTCGAATAATGGATTTTCCGGCGAGATCGCCGACGACGCGTTTAGAGGGATGACGTCACTGAAGAAGGTTCATTTGGCGAATAATAAATTTTCCGGTCCGGTTCCGACGTCTCTGGAGTCGCCGAAGCTGATTGAGCTCCGGCTTGAGAATAACCAGTTCATCGGAAAGATACCGGAGATTAGCTCCGACCATCTGAAGGTGTTGAATGTGTCTAATAATCAGCTCGAAGGCCCTATTCCCCTTGATTTACAGAAATTGAATCCCAAATCCTTCGCAGGTACTCTCTCTCTCCTCCCTCTCCCTCTCTCTCTCTCTCTCTCTATATATATGTATATATATATGTATATATATATATGTATGCATATTGAAGGTAGGTCAGTTAGGGCAGAATTGCATAGAAGACGACGAATTAAGACTAGGGCAGAAGAAATATGTGATATTTTGCGTGCTCTGTGGGTTTTCAATTTTTTTTTTTTTTAATTCTGTAAAATACTTTTTAATATTTAAATAATGGTTTGCGGCATTTTTTTGTACAAATAATTTTTTTGTGTTGTATTTTAATTTGATATAAATATATATATGGCATAATGTAATTAAATTCAGTTAAAAAAACTAAAATATAAATTTTATGTTTGGATAAATGAAATTAATAAAAATGTAAGAGTAAATGAAAAAAAAATTAAAGCTCCATTTAAAAGTGATTTTTGAAGACTTTTAAAGTTATAATAAAAGAAATTAAGATTTAATATAATATTTGTAAAAGAAAATAAAAATGCTATACTTATGATCTTTTTCTAAAAATACTAAATGATGCCAAAACTTATTTTTGTAGACTAAAGTTATGTTTGTTTTTTCAAATAGTTTTAAGGAATATTTTTAAAGTAAGGTATAGAAAAATATGTGAATAATATAAAAATAATAATATATGTAATATAAAAATATGTGAATAATTTTTTTTAAAGAGAAAAGTGTATATACGTATTTCTTTTTGGCAAAAATAACAAACTCATATTTTTTTAAATGTTATTGTTAAAACTAAAATGTATGTATGTAAATTTTTATTTTTCTAATTTTGTTAATATTATGCAGGAAACAAGGCACTATGTGGCCCGCCTTTGGACACCCAATGCCCGGGTGGAATGGAAGCTGCCTTCGCCGGAAATAAGGGCTCTTCGGTAAAAATTGCTCTAATCGCCGCTGCCTGCCTGCTCGGTCTCATTCTTCTCATCATCCTCCTCGTCCTCCTCCGCCGGTCGAAGAAACAAGAGCCTAACCTCGGCCAACCGGAAGCCACTCCTGTCGGCGGCGTCGACCGCAACGCCGCCGCCGCGAGAGCAGTAGTCGCCGAGGCGGCAGCAATCACCGCCGCCAAAAAGTCCGAGCAATCCGCCGCCGCAGCACACCAACAAACCGCCGGCGGCGGCGCCGGAAGACTTACCTTCGTTAACGAAGAGCGTCGCAAATTCGATCTCCAGGACCTGATGCGCGCGTCGGCGGAAGTCCTCGGTAGCGGCAACTTTGGCGCCTCCTACAAGGCGGTGCTCGTCGACGGCGAAGCTCTGGTCGTCAAACGCTTCAAGCAAATGAACAACATCGCCAAAGAAGACTTCCACGAGCACATGCGGCGGCTCGGCCGCCTCAAACACCAAAACCTCCTCCCCTTGGTAGCGTACCTCTACCGCAAGGAGGAGAAGCTTCTAGTCTTCGATTACGTCAGCAACGCCAGCTTGGCAAAGCACCTTCACGGAAAACACTCTGAGGACCATCCAGGTATGTCTGGCAAAAAAATTCTAACCTAAACCGCTTGATAGAATCAAATCAAATTGAATTTTTTGTTGAAGCTTATCATGAATTAAAATCCTTAAGATTGTGTTGAGATAATTAAGATAAAAAATAAGCTATTAATCTAATCTGATTCTATTAGTATTGTTGGATTCGAATATACAAATAATAGAATGTTTTGTGTTATACAAGTTTATTAAAAAACCGCAAAGATAATCTTTGCCGTTGCGTTAGATCTAATATATATTTCTTATTATTTTTTAATTGGCTTCATCACCTCTACCAAATAGAAGACATAGACTTACTAAATACATTTACGTCAAATAATAAATCACTTAACATAATCCAAATAATTACATTTAATTCTTAATTGGATTTTTGATCCAACATTTTCGACTAATTAAGCAAATTTGAATTGAATACAAATTTGAATATCAAATACCTGTTCGTGTTGACTTCTACAGGTCTCCCATGGCCGGCGCGGCTCAAAATCATAAAAGGCGTGGCGAAAGCCCTAATCTACCTCCACAACGAGCTCCCAAGCCTAACGGTTCCCCACGCGCACCTCAAATCCTCAAACGTCCTCCTCGACGAGGAATTCAATCCTCTGTTGATGGACTACACTCTGGCGCCGGTGGTGAACCCTAGCCAGGTGCAGCAGGTGCTGGTGGCGTACAAGTCGCCGGAGTACACGACACAGTACCGTGTCTGCAAGAAAACAGACGTGTGGTGTTTGGGGATACTGATTTTGGAAGTGGTGACGGGGAAGTTCGTAATCGCGCAGGGCTGCGGCCACCACTCGGCGGATCTGGCCGGGTGGATCCACGCGATCGTGCAGGAGGTGAGCAAGGACGGACGGCAGGCGTTTGATAAAGAAATGGCGGTGGCGTCGGAGAAAGGTAGAGCCGCTGTGGAGGAGTTGCTGCAAATCGGAATAGCTTGCTGCGAGGAGGATTTGGAGAAGAGGTTGGAATTGGAGGAGGCGGTGAAGAAGATCGAGAACCTTCGAGAAGAGGAAGAATAACGGTAAGAAGGAGGAGACTGGATTCAGAGGAGACACACTGACTGACTGACTGACGGACGAATTATAATATATAATGGTGGCAAGTGTTCATTCATTTGTTTTAATCTTCATATTATTGTTGTTGTTGCGTTTGGATTTGTGTGATTGATTGTTAGTATATAATTATGTGTGTGTGTGTGGTGGAAATATAATTATGTTGAAGTTAAAGTACTAATGGATGTGAATTATGTGTTTATTGTTTTAATTATGTGTAATGACTTCATGGTGCGGCATATTTTCACTAAAATTTTAGTGAATACAAGTGCATGTAAATATTAGACCAACAAATTCAAACAGTTGGCCATCCAAAAATTGTATGAATGGATCTGGCCATGAATCTAACTGCTGATCTGGTTAAGTCAATATTGATTTGATCGGATCAGCATATTATAGAAATAACATATATTATCGCATATATTATATTATAGCACAACATATATTAAAATATGTATAAATATATATTATTACTCATATAGCATATATTGATTCGATCAAATCAGCATAATTGACTTGGCCTGATTAGCACTAACACTACAGCCGATGGATCCAAAAAAAAAAACTGGAACACACCCCTGAACCCCCTGCCCCTTAAACCTCCGGCGACCTCACCGCCAAGGTCAAACAATATTCAAGGACTTGGATATTCCTTGCTATAAAGATTTTTCAACCGGGAACAACACAACACAACACAAATTAGGGTCTAACACCGTCCGAATGTTCATAGAATAGGAACACTAGGGGTGTGTTTGTTTATATGATATAAATAGGCGTTGATGTGACGTTTTGATTGTAAAATTAATTTTTAATATAATATAAAAAATAAAAAATAAGTGTTTGATTTGATATTTTTGGGAAAAAAAAATATGATGAATAGTATATTTAAAATCCGATCCCCCAAACAGAAAGACCTGACAGTGGAATATAAAAAATATAAAGTTCCGGTAGACACAATGAACACTGCAACACTTAAAAGATGAACCTTGCAGAAGAAAATGAAGAAAACAAGCACCAAATGGAAATTTTTATATATTTTCTTTAAATATTATTAACAAGTATACAAAGCATCTATTTATAATCTGCATTAACAATAGGCTATATCTATAGACCAAAGAAACTAACAAACTTACTTATAGCAAAGTCTGCATTATTTGTCATGAATCTTTGGAGCTTCAACATCATATATATATATATATCAAAACAAACAAACAAGTCTGCAAAGACGGATCGACCAACCGTCCACACAAAACTAATTCCCAATGCAGGGAAACAATGCAGAAGTAGTCGCGAACCAGTTAAAGAAAGAAAACAAAATAAAGTTCATTTGGAGCTATTAAAAAACATGGACGTGCAGACATTTGATATGAACCATTAAACGTTTCATAAGCATGATAGACTGAAAAGATCCAAATTCCGGGGAGTTGATATACCAAGTTAAACAAACAAGTCTGCAATGACTGATTGACCGACCAACCAACCACAAGACTAATGTTCAATGCAGGGAAACAATGTAGAAGTAGTTGCGCAACAGTTAAAGAAACAAAAAAAAAAAAAACAAGTCATTTGCGATGAAGCATCGAATGTTTCATTTGTAAGATAGAATGAAAAGATCCAAATTCCCATCCCCGGTAATAACCAAGATAAGATACTCCTAAACCTAATGGACTAAGTGCAGCAAAAGTTTCATCACATAGTATCAGGCATTTCAGGCACCAATTTGTTCTTCACAAAGAATAATCGACATCTGCCAAAACATTACACTACGAAATTGATCTATGCAATAGTAGCAGCAATATTTCGAAAATAAAAATTCATATATGACAGAGACACACTGAGAAGCTGTGGTTATCTGCTGCATTGTTGAAAGAAGAATCTATGTATTAACAAAAGATGTCAGAATAAGTAGAAAAACAGAAAACTATGTGTTATTTTGTACAGAATTTACGGCATCTCTTCTCCCGGGACCCGAACATGGACCATTGCTTGTTCGTGAATTCTTAAAAGCTATGTAGAGACAGAACAAGCACAGCCCTGCACACCGAGGCAACATTTTATTCCAAAGAAAATCGAAAGAACCATTGAACCAGGTAGAAATAGAAATTCACTGTCTACAGGTGAGATTATATAAACGACTATAATGGTGTTTATGATCCACCAGCAAAAGAATTGCTTAAATTCCCCTGGTTTTAGGAGATCCATCCAATTGACATGAATCAGCTTTTGGCATTGTTCTTTAAAGGAAAATATGCATACAAGCCATATAAGTTAAAGCAATATCTATAAAAAGCATGGCTCAATTTAACTAGCATCAGCCCTAATTTTGATAGCTGTGAATCGAAGAATACCAAAACGATGCAAATATACAGAAATGGATTTATACTACGGTGAAAACGGCAGATAAAAGTTTCAGTTACCGATGTACGCAACGGTGACACCAGAGACTGCTCTCCCGAGTACTGAGAGCATGTAAAGACAGGATACCACCTGAACTCCATTAGAAAAGTAAAATTGAGAATTACAGCCATTGTATACAAACAATCTCATCAAATTGACAGTGTTTGTGGAACCTCCGAACCTTAAGGAAGAGGCGCTTGTCGTGGCCGGTGGCGGCGACTCGGAGAACGGACTCGGCGGCGCCTAGGGTATTGGCGAGGCAGGCGAACATCGAATTCGCGGCGTCCTGCGAGATCTGCCAGTGGAGCGGGTCAACGGGGACGGCGATTTTCATGTGGCGGAAGAGGAGGCCGAGGATGGCTAGAGAGCAAAGCAGCACGATGAATACGTCGGCGAAGAGGGAAACGACGCTGGAATGGCGGTAGGCGCAGTGGTAATAGACGAGCGTGCCGCTCAGCATCCCCATCACCGCCCCAAACACCACCATCGTAGCCGATCGATCGAACACAGCTTGTGACTCAAATTCTGCGATTGTATTCAGTTCCGGTGGAGAATCCCATAATTCTTCTAGAATTTTCAACGAACAACCGCCGAGTTTCAACAACTGGAGGCGCTTCTGGACGACGGAGTTCGAAGAGACTGCGCGTTAAAATTACAAATAAAAAATAAATAAAATTCTGCTCAATTATTTCATTTCCTCTTTCTTATTATTATTATTATTATTATTATTAATAAGCAAAAAATTAATTTTGTCTCAATATAATCAAAATTAATCAATTTTGATCCTAATATAAAAATTCATCAATTTTGGTTTCAATATAATCAAAATTTATCAATTTTGGTCCCAATATAAAAAACTCATCAATTTTGGTCCCAATATAAACAATTTCAATCAATTTTGGTTCCATTATAAACAATTTTTATCAATTTTGGTCACACCGTTAAAAAACTAACGAAAATTGCTAACGTGGACATGACGGAGGTGACGTGGCAGTTGACCTAGAAAGTACACGGCTGTGTACAATTATACACGGCCATGTTGTTACATGGTCATGTATATTTCAGTGTATAATTATAGATGGCCATGTTGTTACACGGCCATGTACAATTATACACGGCCATGTTGTTACAGGGCCATGTATATTTCAATGTATAATTATACATGGTCATGTTGTTACACGGCCATGTACAATTATACACGGCCATGTTGTTACATGACCATGTATATTTCAGTGTATAATTATACATGACCATGTTGATACACGGTCATGTATAATTCTACACGGTCGTGTATCTTTCTGTTTCGGTCTAAAATTTTAATTTTTTGTTATATTTTTAATTATTTTTTTTTAATTTAGAATAGTTGATATAGTTAAAATGGAAAATAATAATAATCATAATATAATTAAAATATATCAATTTTAGTTCAAATATAAGTATTTATCGAGTATGTTCGTTTGGAAGATTTTGTCTAAAATTATACTATTTAGCAAAAATTTCAATACATTAATTGGATGTTTGTAAGAGAAATTTTTTTGCTAAATAATATAATTTTAGACAAAATCTTACAAAAGAACATACTTGATAAATACTTATACTTGAACTAAAATTGATATATTTTAATTATATTATGATTATTATTATTATTATTATTTTCCATTTTAACTATATCAACTATTCTAAATTCAAAAAAAATTAAAATTAAAAATATAACAAAAAATTAAAATTTTAGACTGAAACAGAAAGATATACGGCCTTGTAGAATTATACATGTCCGTGTAACAACATGGTCATGTATAATTTATACACTGAAATATATATGGTCATGTAACAACATGGTCGTATAATTGTACATGGCCGTGTAACAACATGGCCATGTATAATTATACACTGAAATATACATGGCGTTAGTTTTTTAACGGTATGACCAAAATTGATAAAAATTGTTTATAATGAGACCAAAATTGATTAAAATTGTTTATATTGGAACCAAAATTGATGAGTTTTTTATATTATGACCAAAATTGATAAATTTTGATTATATTGGAACCAAAATTGATGAATTTTTTATATTAAAACCAAAATTAATTAATTTTAGTTATATTGTGACGAAAATTAATTTTTTTCCATAATTATTAGTTTTGTACACTGCATTCCTTTATTCTAACATTTTTGTATTTTTCATCTTTATTCTTATATATCTTTATTCTTCCTTTTTCCCACCTTTTCAACTATATTTTACATAACATAAAATAAATATGTACTATCATTTGGGGTGTTTTTGTTTTGATAAGTTTTCAAAAATTATAATTTTGATTTGATATTAAAATAATATATAATTAAGTATTTTGTAAATATATATATATATATTTTCAAGAATTAGATAGTATAAATAGTAAACTTTTAAAGTTTAGCATGCGAAAAAATACATCTTTTATATCCAACAAACTATTATTATTAGTAATAGTACTAATGTCATAGGGAGTGTTTTTTTTTTATATATTATTTGGAATATTTTAAATAAACAAATACAAAATATAATACTGAAAAAAATATAAATTTAGGGGTTTTTTTATACATTTCTTATTAAAAATATATTTAATACTAAAGCTTAAATTCTCTCGATCTATCTTTTTATACATTTTAATCACATTTTATATTATATAATTTATCATTTTTTAAAATTTGAATTATACTATTTAAGTATAATAATTTTAATTTATAATTATTTTTACTAACATATTTTTAAATTATTTATTAATTATACTTTAAACAAAAAAATATTCTCTCTATTTAATTTGTCCACTAGTTTTATGTTCGTCTGTTTCATATAATTTTCATTTTTATTTTTTTAAAAAATTAATTATATACTTTAATCACATTTTAAAAATACTAGTTATAATTTTTTTTGTATTCTAATTAAACTATTAGTTATTTTAATTTTAATTTATAATTATTTTTACTAATATATTTCTTAATTATATAATATCTAAATTTTCATGATTAAACTAAAATTAACAATTTAGATATGACAAACAATTAACACTAAAAAAAGTGTAAAGTTCACTATGTGAAAAGAAGCTTAAAATACAAAGCCCAAAATACAAAGCTCAAATTAACTAAGGGGGTGTTTGTTAGGAGTTTGAATTTTGAATTGATATTTGAAAAGTAAAAGTTTTGAATGTAAATAGTTGTACATATAAATAAGTATTGAAATGATATTTTAAATATAAAATTAATTTTAATATAATATAAAAATAAAAATTAAATATTTAATTTGATATTTTTTTAAAAAAAATTGAATGAATAATAAAATTTGGGAAAAAAATCTTCGAAACAAAGGAAGCCTAAAATACAAAGCCCAAATTAGTAAAAAAAATAATATGTATGAGTACTTATATTTGAAGTTCAAGAGCAAGAGGTAAATACTAGAAATTATAAGGCCTCCATTATTGGCTTAAAAGAAATTATCAGCTGCTACTAAGCCACGTACGCCAATCACTCCTTCACGTTTTCTCTGCCCCCGTCTTCTGTCTTCGCTATCTGACTCTCTCTCTTGCTCGCGCAAACTACGCTCAACTGAAGATAGATTTACACTGAAATCCCGAAAGCAGATCGTCGTCTCCCTCAGATCTTGTTTTGAGATCGATTCCGTGACCGATTCGCGCCGTTCGATATCAGAAAGATGCCGGCTGTGTACGGAGGTCCGGTGACAACCTTCGAGGATGCGGAGAAGGAGAGCGAGTTCGGTTACGTTCGGAAGGTACTGCGCGCATTTTTCCTTCCCTGAAGTTGGTGTGCTACTGTGTCTTTGTTTTCCGCGTGTTGTTTGTTCGTGTGATAGTGTTTTGTGAATCTGTGTGTTTCTCCTTCTTGATTGGTTGAGTTGGCGTGGTTTGAATTTGATGGATTTCGTTATGGATTTTGAGAATTGTATGATTTCTTATTCAGTAGAATCACTCTCCATCTGAATTTGGATGAAGGAGTTTCTGGATGTAGTGGTGCTGCTTCTCTGGGTTTAGTTGTGGTTCGATCCAGATGCCGTTGCTGCCCTATTAGAGATTTTGGTGTTTTGATACTATTCGATTAGTTTATGTGTTTCTCTAGTTTTTTTAAGCAAGGATTGAGGTTTTTTTTCATAGTCAAATCGAGTTGTGATCCTTAATGCATCTGATTCAATAAGGAGGGATTTAATTGATTCAAACATAGTTAAGTTTCTAGCAGCATCGACAGCTTTGTAAACTTTTATATTTAGCATAAGCGTTGCTCGTTAACAATTCTATCTTTTATTTTCCTCTGCAGGTTTCTGGACCTGTGGTTGTTGCAGATGGAATGGCTGGAGCTGCTATGTATGAACTAGTTCGAGTTGGACATGACAACCTTATTGGAGAAATTATTCGGTTGGAAGGAGATTCTGCCACCATTCAAGGTTAGAGTCCTTTAAACTCTCATTATGCTGGAGTCAAAATATTGACTTTCCTGCTGTTGTTTGCATGACCATATTTGCATCCTGAAACAAGTTTATATTTCATTTTCAAATTCAAATGTAGTAGCTGATATGTTGATGCCATTAAATCAATTTATGTAGTCTATGAGGAGACGGCAGGGCTGATGGTCAATGATCCTGTTCTTCGAACACACAAGGTTATCATTTTTACACTTCTAACAGTAGCTTTTTGTGACCATTCTTTCAAAAACTGCCGTATCTCACATTCTTTTTGCATTTTGACAGCCTTTATCAGTGGAACTTGGACCTGGGATTTTGGGGAATATCTTTGATGGCATACAGGTGTATTTTTTGCTTTGCAGTTTATAGTGATTATTCATATGTTCTTTGAAATGGATATTAATTAACTGGTTTTCTGAGTTTTTGTGGCGGTGCTGACTGCTGAATTTATGCAGAGGCCTTTAAAAACCATTGCAATAAAATCTGGCGATGTCTATATTCCTCGGGGTGTATCTGTTCCGGCGCTTGACAAAGATATCCTCTGGGAATTTCAGCCTAAAAAAATAGGTAAATGAAATCCATGCGATGCTAAATATGTCTTTTTGTTCTTTTAACTTATTTCATGCAAAGATCTTTATATTGTGGTGAGTGGATGGAATCATAATTCAGTGTAAATTTTCAATGGCAGGAGAGGGAGATCTTGTGACAGGTGGTGACCTATATGCGGTATGCTAGACAGAATGATGCAGCCTGTGGAATTTTGAAATATGATCTTGCTGAAATGCTAATATTTTGGTAATTTAATACACTATAATTTATCTGCAGACTGTATTTGAGAACAGTTTGATGCAACATCATGTTGCACTTCCTCCTGATGCAATGGGCAAGATTACCTATATTGCTCCACCCGGCCAATACTCATTGAAGGTTTATCTCATGCTCATTGCACACTTTGACATATAATTGCATCAATATTTCTACTTTTAAAATCAAAGTTTAAGATGTATTGTAATGTCTGAAATTTTGCAGGATACTGTTCTTGAGCTTGAATTTCAAGGGGTCAAGAAACAATTTACCATGTTACAGGTGTGCTATATTAAATAGATAAGATGGAGATGGGTTTAGACTGTTGGTGTAAGTTTGATCATCGAGTAAAATACTAAAGTGATATGCACTCGTGCAGACTTGGCCTGTACGTTCTCCTAGGCCAGTAGCTTCAAAGCTTGCTGCTGATACTCCTCTGCTCACTGGACAGGTGGCTTTCTTTGAATGGATGTGTTTCCACATTTTGTCTTTATCTTCCCTTGATTTACTCTGACAAGCCTTCTTTTAATTATTCGTCTTGTTCAATGCAGCGTGTTCTTGATGCTCTATTCCCCTCTGTGCTTGGTGGTACTTGTGCCATTCCTGGTGCATTCGGTTGTGGGAAGACTGTCATTAGTCAGGCCCTTTCCAAGGTGAGTATTATAGCATTTGATTCTTTATTTATTATTTACATGTTAATTGTTTATAACAATTGTAATGCTTCCACCCTATTTATTTCTGAACTGCAGTACTCCAACTCCGACACTGTTGTTTATGTTGGTTGTGGAGAAAGAGGAAATGAAATGGCTGAGGTATGTAACTTTCTTTCCTTTAAATAGCTTTTGGCATCTTGTTAATAACTAATCTAGATGTCATTTGCAGGTGCTCATGGATTTTCCTCAATTGACAATGACCCTGCCTGATGGTCGGGAGGAATCTGTCATGAAGCGTACTACACTGGTGGCTAACACCTCTAATATGCCTGTGGCTGCTCGTGAAGCTTCTATTTACACTGGTATTGAGCTTGCAGTTTAATTTATGTCTCTAATACATCTGAATATTTACAGGACTGAGTCTGGAAGAGATTATGATGAGCTCTTCTTATTTATCTATTTATCTTTCCTAGATGCAAATAGCACTCAAATGGATTTTTTAAATTAACGATATACCCTCATCTTACAGGATATAAGTACTTTTTAATCAAAAATGAAATCTAGATTGAGAAGCCTACATACACATGAACCCACTCATTTACATGACAGTATATCTTTTAAATGAGAGTTTACAACTACATTTGCATCCCCGCTAGTCTCTTTCTATCCTTTATTACAGGCCTCCTAGTGTAGAGTCTTCACATCTTGATTTTTTGGATCGTTAATGAAAAATATGTAGCAGCTTCAAATCTCTCCTTGGTTTTAAGCTTGCTGGAAGTTAAAAGCTGCAACTCATACTCCTTTCACCAGGCTGATTGCCTTGGCTTGTGTGTGAACAATGTAATCTTATGGTCGTAGTGACACTGTGAGGCCCATCATGTTCATCAAATATTCTCTTGATTGTTTAATGTTACTTATTTCGTTGCCTTTCAGGCCTGCTTTTGATATGTTTTCTTTATATAATCTTGTAAGGCCTGCCGTGGTGACCTGATGCATAGATGTGTTCATCTTCATATTTTGAAATTTTATGACCTAACTTTATTTATAATAGATTGTAAACTTTGAGTTTTACTATGGGATGTTCAGGAATCACCATAGCTGAATACTTTAGAGACATGGGCTACAATGTCAGTATGATGGCAGACTCTACATCCAGATGGGCAGAGGCTTTGCGTGAAATTTCCGGACGTCTGGTACGCATTGCTTCTTGTTATCCTAATGTGTCATGTACCTTGTAGAGGCAATGGTTCCATTGAAATCTTCTACCCTTTGTACTGTTATGGACTATTTGTATTCATGATTATTAGGGGTGGAAATAGGCCAGGCGGCCTGTCAGGGGCCTATGACCTGGCCTACATCAAGCCTGGCCTGGCCTGTTCTATTTATTAGAAAGGCCAGGTTCAGATTTTTGTTAAAGCCTGTTTATATATACAGAATAGGCTTAGGCTTATGAAAAAGCCTGTTTACTAAACAGGCCGGCCTGTTTAATAATAATATTATTATTATATAAAATTATTTTTTATTATTATAAAATAAGAATAGTTTTTTAATATTGCTTCTGAGTTAGCGTTGCTTATTTCTTTGTTAGAACAATCAGCTTAATGACAATAGATTGATGTAAACTGTTTTTTTTTTTTTAGTAATTTCTATCAGCTTTTGTCTGGAGTTTGCAAGACTTATTCCCAATAATTATATATATATTTGAATGAATTGTAATATACGTTTTTTTGCAAATTATTAGTATAATATATTGTATTTTTATATGGCAATAAAAATGATTATTTTTGTCATTAAAAAACAGAATTTTTTATTTTTTTATATATAATATAAATAATTGTATCTGTTTTATTTTTTATTTATAGTACGAAATTTACAAAAAAAAAATAATAATAATAATAATAATAAATTATTATGTAGCCTTTTAAACAGGCTCGTAGGCCAGGCCAGACTTTTAAAAAGGCCAGGCTCAGGCTTTAAAAATATTTTTTTTCAGGCTGGTAGGCCAGGCTCAGGCCATATCTTTTTAAGACAGGCCAAGCCTATTTAACCAAAGCCTGGCCTGGCCTATTTCCACCCCTAATGATTATGTAAAAATGGTACCTACTGTTGATTTTTTTATTTTTTAGCCTTTGTTGTTACCATGAAATTTGCAGTAGGTACCATTTATTACTGCACTGACAAGCATAATATCTGTGGTGCAGGCTGAGATGCCTGCAGACAGTGGATATCCTGCTTATTTGGCGGCACGTTTGGCATCCTTTTATGAACGTGCTGGAAAAGTTAAATGTCTTGGTGGACCTGAAAGAACTGGAAGTGTCACAATTGTCGGTGCTGTTTCTCCTCCTGGAGGAGACTTCTCCGATCCTGTTACATCTGCAACACTCAGTATTGTTCAGGTCAATTTTGATTAGCCATTTGTTTCTTGTCGATTTTATAAGAAACATGGTAATACTCTATTGTCAATTTTCAGGTCTTCTGGGGTCTAGACAAAAAATTGGCACAGAGGAAGCACTTCCCTTCTGTAAACTGGCTCATTTCTTATTCCAAATATTCAGGGGTACTTGTTTTTCTCTTCAAGTTTACACTCATATTTGCAAGACAATCATTCTGCCGGCTTGGACAGGGCTTCTCTGGTTATTCGAGTTTGCCTGTGCACATGCTGACTCTCTCTCTCTCTCTCTCAGGCGTTGGAATCCTTTTATGAGAAGTTTGATCCAGACTTTATCGACATCAGGACAAAAGCTCGTGAGGTTCTGCAGAGAGAGGACGATTTGAATGAAATTGTCCAGGTATGTTTTATGCAGGCCTTTTTGCCACTGAATGGCTTTCTGTTTGGTATGGAGGGACAAGGAATAGGCTGCTAGACTGGTTTAAGAAGTTAAGTTCGGGACTTCGGGTTTCACAGCTTTCTGGATTTGAAAGTTTTTGGATGCAATAATAGGTTTTGAATGCAAGTGTCTAAATGGAAAATTAAGTGTTAGACCTGTATTTTAAATAAAAACAGGTTTCTCTGTGGAAAATAGGTGATGGATATAATATTTTATATGAAAAAAGTAATATAAGATGTGTCCTTGGTAGAAGAAGCTTTTATTACATTTCTTCTAATATCATTGTGATTGGTAAAACATTCAACCCTGTCCTCTCGAATCAGGGTTAATAAAGGTTAAATTGAATGAGGTGAAAGTGAGTTTCAGTATAAACAAATATCATACATTCATGACTAAATTTGGTTACATGGCTGGATGCAGCTTGTCGGAAAAGATGCATTAGCAGAAACAGATAAAATCACCCTGGAAACAGCAAAGCTCTTGAGGGAAGACTATCTCGCCCAGAATGCATTCACTCCGTAAGTGCTCTTGCCAATAATCCATCTAAATTTCATTTCATATCTCTACTGGAACATATCAAAAATTCCCCTCTGACTACAGATATGACAAGTTTTGCCCGTTCTACAAATCCGTCTGGATGATGCGCAACATCATTCATTTCTACATTCTGGCTAATCAGGTAAAATAGTCAGCTCTATCTCCACATTCTTACTTAAATCCTTTATTCCTCGGTATTTAAAATCAGAGCACACATAATTTTCCATACACACATTTATAAACAGGCAGTTGAACGAGGAGCTGGTATGGACGGTCAGAAGATAACTTACACCCTCATCAAACATCGCCTGGGAGATCTATTTTACCGCTTAGTGTAAGTTTAAAATAAAATAAAATATAGCCGAAGAATCCAAACTCTTACGTACACATCAAACTCATAATCTACAACAACCAATGCAGTTCTCAGAAATTCGAGGACCCAGCAGAGGGCGAGGATGTCTTGGTCGCCAAATTCAAGAAACTTCACGAGGATCTAACCGCTGGTTTCCGCCAGCTCGAAGACGAAAATCGCTAAAAGGGATTGTGGTATATTTTTTTTTCTTCCTTAATAATAATAATTATTATTATTTTTCCATAAAACTAAACTGCTGTGAGTTGAGCTCTTCCTCTTGAATTGGTTTTGTTGTATTGAGTATAATTTGTGTAGCTGTGTGTGTTTATTTTGGCAGTGGTGGCCCCATACTTCTTTATTTATTGTTGGTTGGTGAAATAAGAGGGCTTCTGTGAGGCATTTGATATTTTGAGGATTCTTCTCTACATTAGCATGTATTCATTTATCTCTCTCTTGCTTTATTCGGATTATATTTCCTTCATCTCATATTTTCTGTTCATATTGTTGTTTTAGTCCGTCTCAGTTTTTATTATTATTTTTTTAAAAATATTATATATTTTAATCATATTTTAGATTTTTTAACTATAAATTTCTTAATCTTAGTTAGATTAATTGAATACTTTAAGGTATAATTATCTGTGTTGTGTACATGACATAAAATGTGGTAAGGAGAGTAATATTTATATTTACTGTTGTTTGTTGAATAATATTGGCAAGCGGTTTGCAGTGTATTGGTTTAAAATCACATCGAAGGAGAAGTGAAAACAAGAAACGAAGAAACAGTAGTTTACTGAATATAAATAGTGAAATGTTAGGTGCCAAGAATTTATTTGGCATTATTCCACGAGATGAAACATATGTATAGATTAATTAAATTAAAGAAAAGGTGTATTAAGAAGTTGCTCTTGTGTTTTTTATTTAATTATTTACTTTTTGTTATTTGAGTTTTGTAAATCATATTTAATATTTATTATATTATTAGTATTCATTTTATAGTAACATATTTAAAATGCATATTATTGTAAAATATCCCGGAAAAACGTTCGTACGTTTTCATATATAAACTCCCTTCCGGTAAAAGGATACTCAATTTTTTTAGCATTGAAAAAAAATGTTGTAGTATTTTTTCAAATGTTATATAAGAATAGAATAAAAATTTAATAAAGAAAATACTATAATTTTTAGATTAAAAATAAATGAGTATAAAAACGTGGCAATATTATAAATAGATGAAAAAAATAATTAATAAAAATTTTAAAATAAACTCCATTAGTCTATTTGTCCATCTGTTTTCTTTTTAATGTAAGGTAAAGTACATATTTATTAATTTATATTTTTAAATATTTTATTTATATATATAATATTAAAAAAATTATTGCGACTTCATTACTATTTTATTTTATATTATAATGGACTAATATAATATTATATTTATTAAAATTTATATTTATTTTATATTTATATATTTTTCATGGTTTAAAAGAGTATATATATATATATATATTTTTTTAAGATATAAATACCCCTATGCTAAAAGACAGTTTTTGTGGAATTGATAAAGTATTTTTCGCATTAAACTTTTTTTTCCCCCTTAAGAAATGGAACATTGCATTTTGGTCCTCCAATTTGGGCCCTTTTAAACTGTTGACCAGCAAAGCTTCATCTCCAATTAGGGTTGGAGATCTCTCAATTCTTCTCGATTCGATACGATACGGTGCAGGGCGAAGAGCGATCAACAATGGCGATGAGGAACTTCTACAACGAGATCAAGGGATTGAAGGTGAAGGAATTGCCGGCGCACCTCAAGCCCATGTTTTCCATCAATTATCTCAAGAACACCGTCAAGCGTGGCCTCGACAATTACCACGCCAAATACATCGAGACCAGCTCTGCTGATCCTCTCTATCACATCTGCTTCGGAGGAATGGCTTTCTCTTACCTCGTCGCCCTTCCCGAGGAGCGTCGCCACCTCGAACACAAGCAGAAGCACGGCGGCCATTAATTCCCTGGTGCGTCAATTTTCCGTACCTTTTATTTATTTCCTTTGCCGTTAGATTGATAATTTCGCCTGAAATGTTCACCTATTGTTTACATCTTTCATGCTTCGTGTGATTTTTGGAATTTTCATTTAGAGATTGTTTTGTGAATCGTCTGATTGCTGGAATATAATTACCGTGATTGCGCGACTGAATTTGTACGAACTTTGTTCTTGTTCTCTATATAATTATGAAATTGGTTTGTCAGATTTCCTTTGGGTAGACGTTTTCACGTTCTTATTTTGTGATGGATCATACAATGATGATAATTATTCACTTCTAGAGAGGTGGAGGCAAATCCACACTTTTTAGATGAATCCAATTCTTGATTTTGAAAGTAGATTAATTTATCCAGGTGTATTTGTTGCCAAAGATTCATTATTGAATTTTAGTGTTAATCTTATCAAAAGAGATATCATGGGTGTGTCTTGGATGTGCTATATGTATTTATATTTTCTATGGTTTTATTTTTATGAAAGTACTGATTTTTTTTTTTTAAAAAAAATTGTTTTTAATGTAGAATAACTTTTGAATGTGATGTTTTTGGGAACTATAGATGAGATCACAATTGAACACACCCAATTTTAGCTCCTTGTTATGTTTCATTTTTACCAATAGATAGCTAGTTGAGTACGGATGCCTTGATTTAAATTTACAGCAGTATCCACTTTGCCTAGTCTTTGCTGATGAAATATTTTGTTACTATAAATGCATAAATTAATGCAACTGAGGATGCAAGGGCCAGTGTGACTCAGTCGGTGGCAAGGATTTAATCGAAATTCTTTCTTGTGTTTTACTTGGGAAAGATTCTGAATGATTGAACATTTTGTTAGCATTTTGAAACTGGAAAATTGCTTTGCTTTGTGTTAAATCAATGTGACTATGGGATGTTTGGCCGTCAGCTGTGAACCCAGTTAGATTATTATAATTTGAGTTGTGTATCAATCATCAATCCATGCTATCTTAAGTCTTTTTTTTTAGTCTCGGGGATACAGGTCTTTGTGTGCAAGTTCAGATATTGTGGTTTCTATTGATGCCTTTTGTACTTTTTTATTGCTATGTAATCGACCCTCTGTTTGCACTACCATAGAAAAAGGTCCTGAACCGATGAAGTTTGTGATATTTATGCAGAAAAGTGAGACATCTTCACATTCTGGTCCACTGAGTCGCACGAGGTTGTAATGTTACTCGAATGGGATAATGTGGCTGTTAATTTGTTATCCAACTGTAGTGCGTCCAAAGACTAGTAGGATATCCGCACCATTATAAATATCGTAGATGATTTGTATTATATGTGCTACAATTTGTTGGGATGAGCTTCCATTTGTGTTTCGAGACATTTAACACCCAAAATGGCTTCGTATCATGATTTGACCTTATGGGCTATGAAAGTTTATAATTAAGTCATGGAATATCTTCTCCCCATTGACATATTTTCGTATTATCATTGCAGCAGCTCCTCAACCAAATGGGAAACTTTCGAGGAACTGGGAGAAAAGCATTAGAAGCTTCTTTGCAATTGGTTTTCTTTTTCTTTTTTATGCACTCTCTTTGGATTCTTTCTTGAACCTAAACATTGAGTGATGCCATATTGATATGAATAAGTTGTCGTCGTAAATCTAGCTGGCATCCAAATACTTGAGTTTGATTTACCATTTTGACAGCTAAGATTGGGATGCCATGGCAACATGCTTTTGGCCCTTCTCATTACCAGAGGTTTTTTATGCTAATTATTAGTGTTATTATTTTTTTTCTTTATAAGTTTTTGCATTTCATCCAATAACTTCACACTCATATATATATATATATGTGTGTGTGCACACAATGTCTTTTTCTTCTATTGCAGGCTATGAAAAATGAAATCAAATTTGTTGATACTGTGGAGATCTGAATGGTAAGTAAGTAGTATGTGAATTATTGAGTGCTTTTTTGGTTGATTGTTAGGTTGGATCACTTACATTCAGAATCAGAAGGATGTCTTTTTCTTGATCATTGATTACTATTATTATTATTAATTATTGTTTTTTTTGGGTGGGTTGTTGATATTTTATATTGTAAGTGTTCAATTTAAGGTAGATATAAGAATTTAAGAATTATAATTAGTAAATAATTTAAAAGTGTATTAGTAAAAATAATTATTTTATAATATGAATAATTATATATTAAAATTAGAATAATTAAATAATTTAATTAAAATTTAAAAAATATAAATTATAAAATTTATGATATACTTAAAGTATATAATTATTTTTAAGAAAATAAAAGAGACAAATTATTTGGAGCAATTTGAAAGTACACATATAGATGACACTATGTGAGAAGGTAGATCTTACGAGCTATAGAAGAGTATGCTGAAGAAATATTTCACAAAGGGTATTCTTTGCTTGTGACTTGAACTTTTTTATTAATATTAAAAAATATATTTTTGGTATTAAATAATTTCCGGCTATATTATTTTAAAATAAAAAAAGGGTAGCTATATTATTTATATATCTTAAAGAATGTTTATATTATGGGTGTGTTTGTTTAGGGAATTGGATTTTAGATCCATTATTCATCCCATTCTCCTCCTCCTCTTAGAAATATCAAATCAAATATTTATTTTTCATTTTTTATATTATACTAAAAATTAATTTTATATTCAAAATATTACATATTTATATTACATTATACAACTATTCAAATTCAAAATTTTTACTATTTAAATCTCAATTCAAACTCAAATCCCAAACAAACACACCCTATAAATATAAATATGTTAAATAGGCCCTTGCCTCCTGTTTCTCTGTCGGTTGAATTTATTGGTCCCCTAAAATTTTGAATTATAATTTTAAAAAAAATAATAATAAATTGATGCCTACGTTTATTAGTTGATTTATGCATATAATAACTGTTTCTCCTGTGCTTTATTATTATTATTTTTTTTATTGTTTATTTTTTATTATCTTTTTAAACCATTATGTTAAATACTTATTTATTATATAAAATATTACATCTGATATTTCAATATTCATGCAAATATCACGTTAATCTTTTTATACGTTGGCCTAAAAGTTTTTGAATGAGATGGGTTACAATGGCAATATATATATATATATATTTGTTTATTTCGATTATATTATCTTGATGTCTTAAAAAATAAAATGAAAAAAATTGTCATATTTTAAAATAAAAATTTGTAAATGTAATATTTTAAATAATAATAGTAATATAAAATAAATTTAGAAACACGTAAACAAGCACTCAATTAACATCATATCTAAAGCCGCACAATTATGTACACAAATATACGCAATACTTATATATCTATATAAAAGTAGCTCTTATTTCTAATATCTTATATTACTAAAATATTGCCCAAATATGACTTCACAACAAAATAAACGTCTTGTCTTATTGCTTAAATACATGTATATTTATTAAATTATTTATATAAATAATACTGTATTTAATTCTTTTAAAACTGGTATATGTGTTATCAAAAGTAGAACACATTAACGTCGAGCCTAGTTTGCAGGTATAATATTCGGCCGGGGGTTTATCCAGTGCGCATTTTTGGATAACGACTGCGGATTCTTACGTCATAAAAAAAAAAAAAAATTAAAAAAAAAAGTCGAACACATTAAGTGTTAATTAGCATTCGAGTAAGGTGGTTATTAGAGTGTTGATGCACTTATTTGACCCATTAGTAAATCAAAATAAAACTATTTATAATTCATCGTAAAGTAGATAATATATTATCGGAGTATCAAGCAATATTTTAATATGAATTAATTAGCTTTTATATCTAACTTTTTATTTAAATATTTATTAATACAATTTTTTGATATTATGCATAGTGGCTTATTGTTAGGTATAAGATATTCATAATCATATATGTATATTTTGTTTTCATCTTTTTTCATATATGAGTTTAATGGTTTTCGTTTCTTAAAATTCTACTAGAGAGGAACATGCCTTAGAGTTCTTATAGAGATTTTAAAAAAAATTAGATTATACATTTCAATAAATATATACAATATTGTTTGTTTGCTTAATCTATTTTTATCGATAAATTGTTAATATACATGTCTTCCGTCGGGACTAATAAACAATACCAGATATATGAATATTAAAAAATAATAATAATATTTTAGTATAAAAATAAGTAAAAATTAAAATGAAAATATTATAAGCAATTTATTAAAGAATTAATAATAAGGATATTGGATAAATAAAAATAATAATAACAAATTAATTATTATTTATTAAAATAAAAATAATAAAAATATAGATCAAAAAAGTAAAAAAATTACATAATGAAAAAGTAATTATCTTCTTTTACAAAATTGATACACAACATAATAATAATAATAATAATAATAATAATTATATTGAGATTAATGAAATATTAAACAAAAATATAATACCTTTACCCAAATTCAAATTGAATACTCGTCTATAAAAAAATATTCTCTTCGTCCCGAAATTAAATATTCATTTGTTTTTTTAATAAAATAGAAATGAATAAAATAACCTTATTAGTACGTATGATATAAATATAATGGTATTTGTGTAATATATTGTAAATTGTAAGAATATTTATAATGTTAGGTAGATAGTACAGTTACTAGAAAAATAGATATGACGGACTAAAATAGATATTTTGTTATGGGAGGGAGGGAGTAATATAAAAGAATAATGTCAGTATATATATGTATATATATTTTTTTTGTTTTTTTTTTTATTTTTTATAGTGAAAACATAAAAAAAAGCATAAAATTTTTGTTAATTTTTAAAATATTTTTTTTACATTCATCCGATTTTAAGGATTCATTTAATTTTTAAGTTCATTTTAAAATATTAATTATTATATAAAAATAAAATGATAGAAATATTTATATTCTCTTATAATATTATTATAATAATATTTGTGTAAAAAATTATAAAATATAAAATATTTTAAATTTTGAATACAACGATAAGCTAGTAGAGTGAACAAAGAGAATATCATTTAAATTTTAAATAATTATGTTCTTATGTTTTTTTTTAAAAAAAATATTTTTTTTACAAAATATTTTGTGATATATTATTTTAATATTAAAATATATATATATTTTTCGCTTTTCAAATTCATCAAAAAGAAACAGAAAACACGCCGTAATGGAGTGTTATGTATATCGCGAAAAGGACATAAAAAGTGTATACTGAGAGTGAGAAAGAGAGAGAGAGTGGAGGAGCAAAGAAAAGCGGGACAAATGCTCACAGTCACAGACTAGACTCACTCTGCCCACAAAAAGTGGAACTTGCTTCCTGCGCGCGTGCGTCTTTAGCATCTCTCCTCTCCTCTCTTCTCTCTCTCTCTGCAATTTAATCCCTATTCGTGTTCTACTGTACAGATTATGATGGTTAATAGTCGCTGTCACTGTAACTGCACCAAAATCATATGTATCCGTTGATTTCTTGTTGTAATCTGGGCTAAGAAACCCGACGGCTGCAGTTGCTCGAGTTTGGGGACAGTTTTCGTGGATTTTGGAGGTGCTGGGTATGGTGACGATGAGATAGCTCCAAATTCGCAGGTAACGACGATCTCTGTTTTTTGTCCCTCGCCATATATATACAAATACATGTTATCCATCGTTGAAACATGGCGCCAGAGTCTCCTTGAAATTTGCCCAATCACTGCTGCATTTGATTAAAATAAGAGGTACCTTATTGTTGCTGTTCTTCTTCTTCTTTTTTTTTTTTTTTTTTGAAAAATAAAAAACTAATGCGGCGATTGGAACGATTTCTGCTGTTTTTGGAACTGAAGTGAATATGCAGTGTGTATTGAATTTATGTTTGTTATTTTCTGGTGGTATGATTATGTAAAGTCGGTGTATTCTTCTTGCTGGACTTTTCTAGTTTTTGGATTTTTAACAACTGAAAAGGTTCCTGTGAATTGGAATTTGTTTTTCTTAGATTTTTGCATTTTCAAAATGTTGTAAATTCATATTTGGAGTTACATTCAATTTTAGAGAATTAGGATTTTGGCATTGTAGGGCTTCTATTTCTATCTTTGGTAGGCCATATTGAATTCGTGTATGTGTGGGAAATTTGATGTCTGCTGCAGTTCCATGTTCTCCGCAAAATTGGTTTATGTTTTGTCCGTAGTGGACAATGATGGAAGCTGAAAATGGTGGTATATGGACGGTAGATCAAATATTTGTTTCTCTATCTCTGCCCTTCAAAAGGTTGCACATGTGCAGCTGACCATGATCTAGAGATAAGCATTTATGTACTGGTTCAGAGCATGTTTTTGAAAGAATCTGCTTGCATGTGAAATCATTAGGGTTTGTGGTAATGGAATGTTCTCACCTCCTGGTTCTTATTCTCTGTATGTTCTTCGAATTGAATGAATTACTTGTTCTTAAATCAATTCATATATTGGCTGCGGCATTGTTTAGATAAAGCCTTCTCACTATATTGTATGTTTTGGTTAATTTTTGTAGTCGATTTTTAAGGCCCAATAGTGTTTTATCTTTGTTTGTGTTGATATATTTGCTCTCAATGGAAAACCAGTAGAGTATCCTGTTGTGCTTTTCAGTGCAATAGTTTTGAAAGGTAAATGATTATAGATCTATTCTTGTATGGATTAATTCATCTGCATTGTGGACAATACGATTTGTTGTAATGAGGATGGTGTCGTATCGTAGTCAAACTTGTTTTCTTATTTGGAATTTATACCTTTTCTTTGGCCTGCTTTTATGGATGATCCTAGATATTGTTGCACCTCAAAATATGAAAGTAAATGGTGATTAATGCATCCACTTGCTTCGATCCCTTCGGACAGATTTTATCTTTGTCTAATTTGTTAAAGTTTTCACAATCTGTACAGATATACATAGTTTTTCGTTTAGGCCCTTTCTTCTGGTGTATGCTTAATTATAGCGCAAATATTAATAACCTACAAAACAATATTACTTAAACAACTCCTTACATTATCGTGGTTATCATATTTTGTTTGGTACAGTCTTTACTATTGGCTACATAGATGAAAAAGCTTGTCTTGTATCACAGTTATGTTTTGTTATTATCCTTCTCTTTATAAATCAGTTGAGAACCATGGTTTTGATAGAGAGCATTTGCTTTCATCGTAGAGGCTTAGTTGGATGGTGGTGTAATAACCGCGACATCTAGTTCTTCTGCCACTGCACTTCCTAGATAAGCAAAGCTGATGGGGTCCAGATTCCCGTCTCATCAGCTTAGTAGCGGTCTCTATGTTTCCGGCCGTCCTGAGCAGCCTAAAGAAAGAACACAAACAATGAGCTCAGTAGCAATGCCCTACACTGGTGGGGATATCAAGAAGTCTGGTGAGCTTGGGAAGATGTTCGATATTCCTGTTGATGGGTCGAAGTCTAGAAAATCTGGTCCTATATCCAATGCACCACCGCGGTCCGGGTCTTATGCTAGGCCATCTTCACACTCTGGACCGATCAACCCAAGTGCAGCAGCTAGGTCGATTCATTCCACCTCTGGTCCAGCGTCATCATCCTCAGGAGTAACTGGTTCAACTTCAATGAAGAAATCAAATTCTGGGCCGCTGAGTAAGCATGGGGAGCCTATCAAAAGATTCTCCGGCCCTCAATCCGGTGGAATTACACCAAGTGCTCGGCCAAATTCAGGCCCTCAAACACCAGTTCTCCCGGCGACAGGTCTCATTACTTCTGGACCCATTTCTTCCGGTTCACTAACTTCTACTGGCGCCCCAAGAAAAGTTTCTGGACCTTTGGACTCAACTGGATCGGTTAAAGTGAACAGTGCAGTCAGCGGGAACCAGGCTGTTACAACTCTCGGTCATAATATTGAGTTTTCCTTCAAGAGGAACCTTCCAACGGCTATCATGTGGGCAGTTCTTTTGCTTTTTGTAATGGGTTTCATTGCAGGGGGATTTATCCTTGGGGCAGTTCATAATTACGTTTTACTCGTGGCTGTCACCGTCTTATTCTGCATTGTTGCTGCTGTGTTCACTTGGAATTCTTGCTGGGGTAGAAAGGCTGTCGTTGGATACATTGCTGAGTACCCAGATTCTGAATTAAGAACAGCCAAAAATGGACAGTACATTAAGGTTTCCGGGGTGCGTAATCTAATCAATTCTTTTTTCATCTTTTAATGATATTGGCGCTTTTACATGATCTGATTTGAAACTGTTTCCAGTAACTTACTCAAATGCTTTCAGGTCATTTGTTAACTCCAGCATCAGCAAGGTTATTTATTTTGTGCTTCTTGGCAATCTTCTTTAGAATAGAAAATTATATTCCATTAACCTTTTAGCATATTTTTGTGAACCTTGAATTGTTCTGTAGTTTCCCTATAATCATGCTGTCAGCTTTCTTACTAGTTTTGTCTTATTTTCTCGCTCTGGCTTATTTATTACACTGTCGAAGGTGGTCACCTGCGGAAATATGCCCCTCGAATCATCCTTCCAGAAGGTTCCTAGATGCATCTACACATCCACCAGTTTATATGAATACAGAGGATTGAGTTCCACGGCTGCAAATCCTACACCTCCACTTTTCCGATGGGGGCTTAGGTATGCAGAGGTAAGCATCAGCTAACTTCTGTTTTCATTTTTCTGTAGTGAAACTGCGACGCCAATTTTTGTCCTTAGAACTAATATGAAAATAGTAGCAAACTTTCAACCTTGGATCTCCATGATTGGTTAAAGATTTTTGCACTATTTTAACGCAAATCTTGATTATTGACAATTTTTACATACCCCATATGTTGTGTAGTCTGGTAATTATATCGATGCTTGAACTTCTAAAGTCACTCAGAATTTCGTACTCATAAATTCTAATCCTGCAGAGGCATGCAGTCGACTTCTACATCTCTGATTTCCAGTCGGGACTCAGAGCTCTGGTCAAAACTGGGTATGGTGCACGGGTGACTCCTTATGTAGACGAAACTGTCATCATTGACGTAGATCCTAAAAACAACGATTCATCTCCTGAACTCACCCGGTGGTTAAGAGAGAGGAATCTATCAAGCGATGATCGGGTCATGCGGTTAAAGGAAGGGTAAATCTTCTTCCTTTCCATACTACTCGGGGCTCCAGAAAGAAAATTAGCTTGTTTTTATTATGCAAATAATTAGAGACAACGATGTACTAATAGATGCACAAATGTTTTCAGAAATTCGAGTTTTTGTTCCTTTGTTCCTACTCATGGTTAGAACACAACCTTTTTTTTTTTTTTTTTTTTTTTTGTGGCGGGCAGGTATGTTAAGGAAGGGAGCACGGTGAGCGTGATGGGCGTGGTGCAGCGAAACGAAAATGTGCTGATGATCGTCGGTCCCCCCGAGCCTCTGTCGACGGGATGCCAATGGAGTAAGTGTTTGTTTCCCGGCAGCCTTGAGGGCATTGTCTTGAGGTGTGAAGATACTTCAAAAATGGATGTTATAGCAGTCTAATGTTTATATACATAAATACATACAAATATATATAATGTGTGTCTGGTATTTCATCGGCGTAATAGTCTATAGAAGTGTTGGCTGTAGGTGAAAAAATTCACTAAGTTAGTCTTGTGTTATTATTATTTTTTTCTCTGTACAGTTTGCTTGTTATTATGTCTAATTGTGCTTTTGTTTGGTTGCGGTATATTGTATATAATGCCTATACATACAATGCCTAAGTTTTTGTTAGGATTAGATCAGCTCAACAATTAATATAATATTGTCAGTTTTGGACTGTGTATATCTGGATACGAATTTGTTTTAAAGTTATAAATTAAATTTTTGGATTTAAGTACGTTGAATGTAAGAAAATATACATATCCCTCATGGCAAAAATATGGAAACTAGTGGTTAGAAATTCAAAGAGCAGCAGGAATTTAAAGAATGGTAAAACTAGCAAAAGACTTTTTAGGCTGTCTTTTGTGATTTTAGTACTATATTTTATTTTTTTTAAATATCAAATCAAATTATTATTATTATTATTAGTTTTATATTATACTATAAATTTGTTTGATAAATTTTTGGCAGAACCTATTAACAATAGAATCTCCGTATACAAATTGAAATTGTGAAAAGAACACTTTTTGTAGACTATACCTGGGCTGGGCCTGTAGCTAAAGGGAGCAGCAGATGGTTTAATTGGTCTGGGCCTAAATTAGGCCTAAATAAAATGACCCGATTGTATTCAATCTGGTCCGTTGATCTCATATCCAACCCAAACCCATTTTCTGGCCCTATCCACTTAACCCAATCTAACCCATTTAAACTCGGATCCACCAACTTAGATTTGGTGTAGCCCATTTCAACTCGACTTGATGATTCAGTAAAATTTAAATATATATATATTGTTGATATTAGTAATGGAAACCTGTAATCGGGAAAGTTTCGCTCCGGCCAGCGGGGAAGTTACGTAATTGTCGACATCGCTGAATCTCCGGCCGCTATCCACCGTCGGCTTACCTGCCACCTATCGGCGGCTCTCCGACTTTCCTGTCCGGGATATCTGCTTTATTTGATTGTAATGGCGACGATTTTTGCCCTCTGCTTTACTGTTGTTTCTGTTTATAACAATTCACGCGATTGTTAGTTGGAAATCTGATCCGTCGGTGTTTTTTCTTTTGAATTGATTTTGGATTTTGGTTATCGTTTGTTTCTTTTCAGTTATCGTCTGTCAATTTGTGTTGTGTCCTTTCTTACGCGTACGTGCCTGCTTAATTGTTTGGATAATCAAGGATGGTCAAATTATGGTTTATTTTGGATGAGAATCAATTGCATTGCTAAAATTGCTCGATTCTAATAGTTTTTGGTAAATCGTGTGAAGGCACTGATTACCTGATGGTTTATTGCTCCAGGTGGTGCGTGTATCTTTTTAATGTGTTCTTCTTGAAGTAAATATGGATGGAATGGCTGGGAGTGAAGCAGGGATGATGAATTACTTGCATCATCATATGAGTGATGGGAATGCCATTGATCATGATGGAATTGTCAATGATGAGAATAATGGTGGAAATGAATTCACTGACAGGGATGTTTCTGCCGATGCGGGTAATCAATCTGGAAATGATGGAGGGATGGGTTCACATGGCATCATTGAGGCAAACAGGCAGCTAACACTGTCGTTTCAGAATCAGGTCTATGTGTTTGAATCCGTCTCACCGGATAAGGTAATTTTTCTCTAATTGAGTAAATTTGTGTAGTTGCTTTTGTTGTCTGCCTAGTTAGTATTGTTTTCTGTAGATACATAACTGTTTTAGTTTGTAGGTGCTGATTTTTGTTGTCTTTTCATACTTTCATCTTAATCGTGCATTTGTTAATCGCGGCTCATTCAGGTTCAAGCTGTACTTCTACTACTTGGAGGGCGTGAAGTACCTCTAAACACTTCACCTATTGCAGCATCTGCATCTAATAACAGGGTAGGATACATTTGAATAGGCCTTGTGTTTTCACTGATTTCATTCTCGTATCGCTCATTTGATGAAACCTTGTCAACAGGAATTATCTTCTCCTCGAAAGTTGGATGTTCCTCAAAGATTGGCTTCATTAATTAGATTCCGTGAGAAGAAAAAAGAACGAAATTTTGACAAAAAGATACGATATATTGTGCGCAAGGAAGTGGCACATAGGTAGAGGGATCTCTTCATCGTGTTCCATATATTTTGCATACTTATCATCAATTTTGGAGGTTTTTCAATTTTTCTTTTGTATGTAATATTCTTGCATGGACTTTGTTAGGATGCAGCGGAATAAAGGTCAATTCACATCCTCAAAGCCCAACTGTACTAACGATTCTGCATCTGTTGGGACAAGTTGGGACTCAAACCAAAGTTTAGGAGGAGATGGAATTGGATCACCAGTTCCAGAAATCTTGTGCGTTTGAGCATTCATATTCTTAATATATGTCACCGAGTTTTAGTATTAGTTATTTATACTTGCTAGTATCGAATTTCATGTCTTTGTTGCTCACCTCTTTATCATGTTTGCTTTCTTCAGTTTATTTTTTGTTTTAAATCCTTCATTTTCATAGTTTTTGTTCTTCTGTTATCCAATAGCTTTTGTCTGCTTTATGAAATGCAATTAATTGAGCTAAAGAAATAAATTGAAATCAAACTTAATGTCGATGAGTCGTATAGGAGTTTTTCTACTAATACTCTTTGATGTAGATAGAGCATGTACATCATTTGCTTAGCAATTTTCTGGGATATTGCTACATTATTTACTTTGCTTATCATGATAATGAAGATAGAAGTCAATGTGCAGAATATCTTTCTTGACGGGAATTCTGAGATTCTTGTGAATATAAATATTGCCTAGTCGGATGCCGGATATAGTTAAAAGTTTATTTGAGAATGTTGTTCACTGCAATTATTGTCTTTAATTTGCATTAAGGGACAGTAATTGCTCTTTGGTAGAATGTGATACATGTCTGTTCCTCCTGTTCCGAACTATCAAATTTTTCTTGTAAGAAACTTGAATTAAAAAGTCCAGGCTTACAAATTGTCAGAATCTAAGTCATCAAAGATTCTTAGTTTTCTTGGTACTTCATTTGAGTTGTTTTTATCTGAAATCCCTAGCTACTGAATTCACCTTCGATTCATTCTATTCCTCATAAGATTATCTCCATCTTGATCGATGCCGAATTGGTAGGAAAGTATGTAGTCATTCGAGAACGCATTATCATCCTATTTTTTTCCCTACGTGTTATGAATAATTACCTTTTTCTACTTTGCTACTTGCATTGGGATTTGGTGATTTTATGATCAGTTTTTATATTTTTTAGTTACTCTTATCTATTTGGCGAAATGTGCAAGTAAATTACAATAATTTTTTTTTTTCTTTCAGTTGCCGGCATTGTGGTATCAGTGTGAGAGCTACTCCAATGATGCGCCGGGGTCCCGAAGGACCAAGAACCCTTTGCAATGCTTGCGGGCTTATGTGGGCAAATAAGGTAATTTTTTCGGTGCAATAAAGAATATACACTTTATTGCAATTTGTAATAATCACACACTTTCAAACACTTGGCACATTAGGGAACTTTGAGGGACCTCTCGAAGGCGACAACCTCACAAGGAACAAATCCTCTGCTTAAAATGCATGATGAGGTATGCCGTGCATTGCTATGCTATCAAAGAAAGATTACTTTCCGTTCGATCTAAATCTGTTGTCCCGATGTCTCATTCATGTTTGATTTGCAGAACGGGAATTTAGACCCCGAAGAAATGGCTTTGAGCAATGAAGCCAATCCCAACGACTCTTCATGATCTCTGGTATCTGTGGTTTGGTTGAAATACTTTTAATGTCATACAAACTATTTTCATGATCAAGTGTGGCTTTGTAGTTGGCATAATATATGGCCTTTCCTATTGCCCCAGCCCTCCTAGGGATGGCAATAGATCTTGTAGATTAGAGTTGTGTTCAATTATTTTTATTTGGATATGGAATTTGGTATATATGCTGGGTAATTATTATACATTGTTTAGGTATGATCCATGGTCTAAGGGTAGACTGAACCTAGAGTTGGACATAGATTCGACCTGACCCGATTAAATATAATAATATATTAATAATATTAAAGAAAAAAAATTGAAATAAATACATAAGCTTTAGGGTGTGTTCAATTGTCAAGCTTTTCACAATTTTCATTATTCACCATTTTTTTTAAAAAAAAAAAAAAATTAAATTATATTTATATACTTAGTACAATTATTTTAGTTTAAATTTTTTATTTATTTAAATTTCGACTCAAAATCCAAATGTCAAATTTGGGGTATTTTAAGTTTGGATCTATTCTAGTCGGATTCAGTGGGATTTGGGTATATTTGGGTCTAATTCGGCTGTTTGAATGTTACCTATGAACTCTTGGTGTTGAATGAACGAATTATCTACAAAATCTAATATAGAATCAATTTTAAGATATAAATAATTATTATATAATAAAAATAATTATAAATTAAAATTAAAATAATACAATATAAAATAATTTGACTGGTTGGGCCGTAATGCACCGACCCAATTCTTCAAGCCCGCTTGATTTCATCACTCAGCCCAATTGAAAATATATATACTTTATTTTATAATTAAATTAAAATACTGTTAATATTAAAAAATATATAATTAATTATTCCTCTCCTGGCCCAATCAAGGGAAAATATAAACCCTAAAATTGGGAAAAGGGGGAGGCATCATCCAGCCACACATCTTCATCATCATCTTCGTCTTCGCCGATTCTACCTCAGCTCTCCACCGTCCGATTACAAGCCACCTCTCGGCGGCTCTTCCATTTCTCCAGCTCGAGCAGGACATCTGCTTTCCTTGATTGTAATGGCGATTATTTTTGCTCTCTGTTTTACTAGTGTTTGAGTTTTTAATGATTCACGCGATTATTAGTTGTATAGCTGATGCTTTAGCGTATTTCCTTTGGAATTGATAGTTGATTTTGGTTTATTGTACGTGTTTTTCTATGTTCGTTAGTTAATCTATGCTAATCCTTACGCTTAAGTACTGCGTAATTGTTCGAATACTCAAGGTTGGTGAAGTTGAGATTGCTTTTGCTACAATTGTTTGATGCTAATTGCTAATGCTTTTTGGTTAATGAAGTTAAGGAACTGAATACCTAAACTTTTATTGCTGCAGCTGTGTGTATCTCAATGTAGTTTTAATGTATTACTACTTGAAGTAAATATGGATGGGATGGCTGGGAGTGAAGCTGGGATGATGAATTACTTGCGTCATCATATGAGTGATGGGAATGCCATTGATCACGATGAGATTGTCCATGATGATAACAATGGTGGAAATGAATTCACGGACAGGGATGTCTCTGTTGATGCGGAGAATCAATCAGGAAACCATGGAGGGGCGGTTACACACAGCAGCATTGAGGCTAACAATCAACTAACCCTTTCGTTTCAGGGTCAGCTCTATGTATTTGACTCCGTTTCGCCCGATAAGGTCTCTGTTCTACATTTCGGTAAAATTTGTGCATCTGTTTAATTGTTTGGTATCGTCTGCTGTAGATGCTTGCGCCCATGATGAGTTTCTTAAGTTCTCCTTAGCTTTCGTTTGCAGTGGTTAATAATTATTAGTATCATGAAATTGCACTCTTGAGTAGATATTTGAATCCTTCTGTTTCTATTTGAAAATTAGATTTGAAAGGATTGATGTCGGATTTAGACTATTTACGGGTGCTGATTGCTGTTTTTCATACTTCCGTTTTAATCGTGCATTTGTTAATTCTTCTTGTGGGTACAAATTCAGGTTCAAGCTGTACTTCTACTACTGGGAGGACGTGAAGTGCCTCTAAACATTCCCCCTATTGCCGTATCTGGATCTAATAACAGAGTAGGATATATTCGAATAGTTCTTGTGTTTCAATGGTTTGATTCTTGTAGCACGCATTTGATTAAACCTTTTCAACAGGTTTTATCCGCACCTCCGAAGCTCAATGTTCCTCAGAGATTGGCTTCATTAATTAGATTCCGTGAGAAGCGGAAAGAACGAAATTTTGACAAAAAGATACGATATACTGTTCGGAAGGAAGTGGCTCTTAGGTAGTGGGATCTTTTCACCATGCTCCTTATCTAGTGTAGATTTTTCATTTATTCTTGATCTTTTAAATTCGATATTTTGCCATCAACTTTGTTAGGATGCAGCGGAATAAAGGACAGTTCACATCCTCGAAGCCCAACAGTGCTAACGATTCAGCTTTAGTTGTGTCAAGTTGGGACTCAAGCCAAAGTTTGGGAGATGGAAATGGATCACCAGTTCCCGAAATATTGTGAGTTTGGCCATTCATATTTCCAATATATGTTGCTAAGTTTTAGTTTATATATGTTTATACATGCTATTATAGAATTTCCTATTTTAGTTGTCCGACCTCTTTATCCTGTTTGCCTGTATGTGTATTAGATTTTGTTCGTTTCTACGGTTTCCAATTCTTCTGTATGATTTTTAAAGCTTGAAAAAAAACTAACATTAGATTAAAATTAATGTTGTAGATCACATACACCAGGTTTCACTATGCAATTTTCTGAGAATTTGCTTTCATTGTTGATCATGGTGGGGAAGATAGAGACATATGAATATATTTCTATATGGAAGGCTGAAATTCTTATGAATATAAACATCGCCAAGGCGAGTGCTGGATATTGTTTAAAATTTGATTGGAGCATGTTGCTTATTATAATTTGTCTTTTATTGGCATAGTGACGGGAATTGCCGTTGGATGCACATTGTGATTCATATTTGCTCTTTATGCCGCAATATTCAGAATTTTCTTGGATAAGACTTGAATAAAAAGCTCGTCTTAAAAATCTCCTGAACCTTTGTTGACAGAGGTTGCTATTTGTTATGTCATTTGAGTAGTTTGACCTGAAATGTTTAATATATTTACTCCCCGACAAAATTATGATTGCACATTGGAAGGAAGGTATATAATCAATTTGCCATAGTATTGTCAGCCTAAGTTTTGCTTACGTGTATGAATAGCCATCTAGGTTTGTTGCGGGGTGACGATATACTTTTTTCTACTTGCATTAGGTCATAATCAAATATAATCATTTTTTATATGTTTTATCACTATGTGGCTTACGAAACATGAAAGTAATTCACAACAAATTTCCAGTTGCCGCCACTGTGGTATCAGCGTGAGATCTACCCCAATGATGCGCCGGGGTCCTGAAGGACCCAGGACACTTTGCAATGCATGCGGACTTATGTGGGCAAATAAGGTAACTTTTTATTACAGCATTATCCACGAACATGATTTAGGTGTCTCTCTTGAATAGATGGCAGCTTTTCGGAACTCTCATTTCTATACTCTTTGGACTTTTGCTGTTTTCTTTCTGTTTTCTTCCAATTCCGTATATCTTCCATTATGGGTAATGTAAATTTATCGCAATTGTAATTGTAATTTGCACCTCGCTTCAACTTTTAGGAGGCTATAACCACAAATGCAAAGCCAAGAGGTATCTTATCAAATAGCATAATTATTTTGCATCAATTTTTCAATCCACAAATGCTGTCTGAATCATGTAAAATGTGAGGAAAGCCGATAATTATCTTATCAAATAGTATAATTATTTTGCAACAATGTTTCTAATTATGCTTTCATTATTTTTGCATTAGAATAATGTCAGTCTTGAGTGTTAATTCAGGAATGACCATCACATAGGGATCAATTTCTTTATACAATTTACTGCAATCATCTGTTATTAAACTGTATTGTTCTAATCCCGGTTACCTCGACTTTCCAATCACTTGGGACTTCAGGGGACTTTGAGGGACCTCTCGAAGACATCAACTTCGCAAGGAACAAATCTTCTGCTTAAAATGACCGACGAGGTATGCTAATTCTAAACCTCCTTTGTGTCCATGTAACGAATGGTGTGCTACAAAAATTTAATAATTATGATAACGAGATGAGTTTCAGCGCGTTCGTTCTAAATTTGCCATCCCGGTGTTGTGTTGTATTGGTAGCAGAATGAGAATTTAGATGCAGAAGAAATGGCTTTGAGCACTGAAGCAAATGCCAATGATTCATCATGATCAGTGAGTGAGATTTATTTATCTATCTATCCGCTAAGCTTGCTTTGATGGTAATGCTATAATCTGAATCTCCATTGTCTTCTTTGTTTCGTGTAGTCTAAATTGTTAGTCATGTTATGCAAACTGTTGCCCTTCTTAATGCCCTTGTAGATTATCATAATATTTATTATTCATATATAATATGCCTTTCCCCTTTTCTTGCCATTTGTTGTTGTGGTTAATTAACGAAATCTTTATGTTCATAAAAGAAATAAAGTATTTAAACTAGCGATCCAAAAATTAAAAAACATGATTCGCTGCTGTGATAGAGTTTTGGCTTATGTTTTACAATTTTTTTTATTCATGAACAAGGGTGTTTTATTTGTATTAAGAGGTATTGATTTTTGGTTTTTTAAGTGAAATAGTAGTCGGACGTAGTGTCTTGTAGGTAAAATTAATATGTTTTTATTGATTTTTTAAAAAACATAAGTGTGTTTATTTGGGGAATTTTCTCTCAAATATACTATTCATTAATTTTTTTTTTCAAAAACATCACATTAAGCATCTATTTTTTTATTTTGTATATTATATTAAAAATTAATTTTATATTCAAAATATCATATTAATACCTATCACATTGTACAACTATTCATATTCAAAACTCTCCCACAAACACACCCGTCAAAGCCTAAGTAGCCTGCTATTTGGTTGGGTATCTTATTTTCAAATTCAATTCTTCCTTTACTTATTTATTTAAAATCAAATCAAATTCGAACTGAACTCAATATATATTTAATTAATGGGATTTTGTTTTTTCATTTTTCTCTAAAAATAATCACACCAAATGTGGGTGCGTTCGTTTTTTATTTTATATAATATCACATTAAAATACTTGTTCTCTCAATATTATTTCTTGGAAATTGCAATTAAAAAATAATAATAAACAACACAAAATATTTTTTACAAAAGTTAAAAAAAAAAATTTAAAATATTTATTATAAAAATTTAAATATTTAATTTAAAATAATATATTTCATATTTTAACACAATTTTTTGAAGCCATTATTAATTCAATTTCAAATCAAAACCAAACAATCGGAACATGCAATTCAAACTTGATCACATAATAGACTTTCATTGTAACAAAATTTGTCACTCAGTTCGCCGCCTAATGAATCCTTATCAGCAAGAGACGCTACAGTCCTCTTTATACAAAGGGCCATTAAAACGATTAAACTAATTTTTATTTTCTTTTTCTTTTTCTTTTTCCCCCGGAACCATCAAAACATCAAAGGCATCACACCGAATAACAAATCCCATTAAATAGTATTTCTATTTACTATTATAAAATCCTAAACTAAGACCTTAAAGAACCTCAAATGTTGAGTACCTTGCAAAAATCCAGTCACATATGTTATGCAAACGAAGATTGTATCCCCTGCCTATTTTCCAGGGGCCATATGACCTCCTTCCAAACCTGTTATGTTAGTTCAAAAGTGACTTAAAAGAACTCCATACATATACATATATATATATATGTACATACATATGCACTCCATACATATACATATATATATATATGTACATACATATGCATGTATGTACATATACTCGAGGCGAAACAATATGATTGAGCACTACAGAATAGAAAGTGCAGGTTGTAATAGATTACCAGCTTCATTGTATTCTCTGCATCAATGGATCCGGGATTATGCAAAAAGCCGTAAGTTTACCTTTTGAAAAACAGGAGTTGAACTTTTACCATTGTTGTGAAGCATTATCCGATAGCCACACCATTCCTGGCGAAGAAGATAAACCTTCGAGATTTGACCTCACTTCTGCTGATAGTCAGATATCCCTTTTTGCCACAATGATATGCTGCAATACATCAAGTCTACCTGGAAAAAGATTTTAGTTTCCCGGGCTCTATATCTTTACTCCTGATGATGCTTTTCCTGGGGTTCACTATAGGTTTAATCTGATTAACAGTTCTAATGGGAATTCTTCCTGCATTAGTCTATCCCTACTTACCCTCCCCTTTGCATTGTGGAGTTGAATGACATGGGACACGAACATTTATACGTTCTAAAGAGATCATCAACAAGGATAAATTCAAGGGTTTCTTCCTAATGCTTACTTGTACAACTTTCCACCTGAATTTACTATTTCAATTTTCTTTTCTCTAAAAAAAATATAAAATCAAACAACTATTTTTATTTATTATACTACATCCCCTGCCAGGTGGGTAATAGATGGATCAGCTATTTATGATACTATGCAGTTTTATATCACATTAAACAACTATTTCAATTCAAAAATTTTCTATTCAAAACCAAAACCAAAATCTTACAAGTAAATACACCCATAATGTTCAGCTAATTCTATTTGGATTACAAGCAAAGAAAGAGTGAACAGTGAGCTGCAAACTCAGTATCACTCGGTGCCTACTGAACTAATGCAGATATTTAGGACTGGAAATTCAAATTTAACTTATTATATATATATATACATATTATGTACCCTAACTTATTTCAGATTTCGACAGCAAAAGCAAAAGCATCAAATAGTGTGGAGTCATCACACTTTTGAAGCTTCCTGAAGGAGAAATTGCTGAAAATAAGAAATAAATTAAACAGAAGAAAAGAGAATCCCAATATATTTATGCCAGCACATCATAATTAGAAACAGCAATTTGCAAATTTACTCATCAAAAAAATTCACACCATATGGCAATGACCAAATCAGATGCTAAAATAATTTGTATCCAAGCCTAGGGAAACAGCAAACCCTCTCATATATTCCAAACTTGTAGTGTTAAACTGACCAAAAAGTGGGTAACAATAAAATCATAATGGGAGTAAACTTAACCGACGATCTTCTTGAAATATTTTACCTTCTCAAATTCAGGGACATGGAAATTTTTTTCCACTTCCCAGGCAAGCTGAGACATGCCATTAAAAGATGATTTAGCACTCTTTTCGTCCGTCACTTCTCTAGGGAAAGGTATTCGAACCTCATAAACCTCATTCTGTAAAGTTTTGAGGTGTACATCGAATCCTAGTCGATCTACCCAGATCATCTTCGCATCCAGCACCTTAGAAAATTAATATATATATATATATATATATATAGTCAATCAGTTCCCATGGAAAAAAATAATCAATAATTTCTGAACCTAATGTAGAAATAAAAGAAATTTATAATTCCCTTGGCGCACAGGCAAGTGGAATTTCATGCTAAGTTTTAACCATCAGTAAAAGAAAAGTTTAGCGAGTTAAAAAGGAAGGGCAATCAAGAATTATGGAACACCTTTGAGCACCAACCTGAAAATCCAAATCGACATAAACATTGCAGAAGCGAAAAACGTCTTCTTTATTGTGATTATTAACCTCATCAACAATTCCTTCTGCAGCATCTCGAAGAGGATCGGGTTCAGCTGACACATACTCTGATGAGCTTACCCAAACACCATCCTGAAGAAGTTTTCGTTATTCAGTCAACCTCAGTAGGCCATCCAGATACTCTTGAAAGCTAAACCATAACTAATACAAACCATACCTCAGCATAATCTTCTATCTGAAGTACCCTTTTGACGTCAATGACATAAATTTGGCTTTCATCCACTTCCTCATTGAAGCGCTTCCCCCATGCCGAACAGAATTTCTGTTAACAAATCAGTAAGAAAAGTAAGCGAGCATTCAGTTTAGGCCAAAACTGACATTGCCAATACAACCAACTTTCCTGCTTATGCTCAATACATTCTGACTTTGTAACGGAGATTAATACATCCAATTAACACTTAGAATGATATCAGGTAGCAATGTATGTGTGATTCTGGTCACACTTGAATAGTATTCCCATGATCACTCATTGATGGAACACACCAGGAGCATTAATAAATATACAAATTATTTGGAAATCATCCATTGAAATTTACACATTAACAAATAGTCAGAAGTACAACTCAAAGAGATCGCACACTAGCCCAACCAGAATCAAACACTTACTCTTCATTTTTGTATATTATACTAAAAATTTACTATTCATTTTTGTATATTATACTAAAAATCAACTTTACATTCTTATTTATATCAAAGTTTCACTATTCAAATCCAACCTCAAAATTCAAACCCCAAACAAACACAACTTATAATTTCACATTATATATGAACTTCATTCTGTACATCATTTTTGTATATAGATGATCAAACCAGCTGCATGGTTTAACATTCTTCACCGGTAACCATACGCATCATAGGAAGAAATTGTCCAAATGCAATACAGTAACAAATAAACAACGCAATTGAAAATCATTTTATATCCGCCAAAGTTATCTGACCAAAAAAATCATCCACAAGATGAAAATCTAATAGAGTCACTTAACGTTGCTGAGAAAATAAATTAAGACAAAACTTACCTTCAAGGCCATTCTATCCCTAGGTTTCTCGAGGTTCCCTTGGATTGTGCATTGAGGCGTCCGAGCTCCACACTGCTCCAGCTGATCCAGACCAATCCAAATAAAAAACAGTAACATTAATCTGATAAAGCTATAATGAGATGAAATCCAGAGAACTTACAGACAATTCACAATCAAGCAACGACAAACATGAAACTATGCGTCAGACTTGAAAACACACCTGAACATGAAGACTGCACCTCCTATCATCAGAAAACTTCGCATCAAACTCATTTAAACACAAAACAGGAGTTCCGTTCAAGTCAACCGCAAAGCGCACGCCAAATCCCAGAGGCGAGCCGTCCTGCGAGAGAACTGAAAGCGTACCCACAGAGGACAGATCCACAACAGTTCTCGACACCTCAGCTGGAACAGGCTTGTGATTTCCGGTCAATTCCACCTGCGGTCGGTCTGACACTACAGAAGCCGAGCATTTCAGCGGCTGGATTGAAATTTTTCTGCCTTTCAGTGGTTTCCACAATGCTCTGTTGATCCGTCCAGAAATCGAAACCGAACGCCTCTGTAAACGTGGTGCGGGAGGAAGAATCGAAGGCAGAAGATTGCATGACACAGATTTGGCATGCGGAATCATTTGAATGTAGAAAATTTGATGAATTTCTTCTACCTAATGATCTCTTCTGAAGAATTTCGGAGTCCACAGTTGGGAAGAGGCCGACAGTGCGCTACTTTGATGATAACACTGGCGCAAAAATCGTGTTTCGAACTGAAATCACGTTGTGCGGAATAGCGACTTTATTTATATTCTGTTGTGATTACTTTAATATGAATAAAAAGATTCTACTTAAATAAATTACCTTTTCAATATTTTTAATCCACAAGTGCTGCTTGCACCCTACTTATTTACTGCTTGGTTCTCCTGATTATTTTCTTATTTTAATTTTTAACCGACTTATAGTCAATATTGTTTTAGTTTATATTTGAGAACTCTCCAAACACAAAGGCTTTGGCTTTGTTTAGACAAATACTTTTGAAAAGTTTAAAGAATTTGGAATTTTAGAAATAATAAAAAATTAATTTATTTGATGATATATGAAAAAAAAAATATATTTGATACAATGTTTTTTAAAAATTAAATAATGTTAAGTCTAAAAGTATCTTTTGTTTAAATAGAGCCAAAATAATGAACACTGGGCAAGCTAATCATGTACTTACGCGATCAGCAAGGTTTGACACATTTGGCTCTATTTTTTAATATTTTTTAAAGATATTTTTGGTATTTTTTATTATTAATATAATTTATTACTCTCAATAAAAAATATATATGTATTTATTTTCAAGTAGAATATTGTATCTAATGAATATTTCACTTAAAAAATAATACCCACCATTTTAAATATTATAAGGATAAAAAAGAAATAACAAAAATAAATAAATGAAAATTGGACCTCCATTTAAGCCCATTTTGTAAGCAGGCCTGTAATACATAGGAGTATAATAATATCTATTTTTAAGAGAGTTACGAACTTAAAATAGTCTTCTTGCTTGTGATTTTTGGTTTTTTTTTTTTTTTTTTTTTGAAAATAAAAAACAACTAAAGTTATTTATGAATAAAAATATTAACATGGAACTTGACTTTATTTTCAACCCTAATTTATTGTTACATTTAAAAATAAAATAAAATTGTACGGATCTTCGTACTCCAAGTGCTCCTTAATATCATCCTAATTAGTCATTTTATGTCGTCCAAATTAATGATGAAATTAAAGACTTATTTACATATGTTCTCGAAGTGTTACTATAATCTTTGCACTTTATTATAAAAATATATTATTATATTTTTAAAAAATTAAAAATATTATTCAAATTAAATTTTAAGTTTAAACAACGGAATCTCAAGTAAACAACACAGTAAAAAAAAAATGTTAACTTATTTGATTTTTTTTATTTAAATAGTAATTTTAATATAATATGAAATATTATATTTTATTACTAACTGTGTAGACTAAATAATATTATTTATATTTAATTTAATACACTATATTTCTACAAGAATAACAATGATGATGCAGTAAAAAAAATGAAAAACAAATTTTAAATAAGCAAAACCTCAATATTTAAATTTTGAATTATTTAATTTAACGTATTTATGGATGACATCAATACATTTTTTATTAATTAATAAATTTAAATTCTGTTTATATATGAAAATGTTATTAGATTTTAAAGTATTATTTAATTGAAATTTAATAACGTACTATATTTAGGATCATGGTTTACACATACCTAGTCAAAGTTGCTTGTTAATAATTTTTCCACTTTGTAAAGTCAATAATGTAATATATATATATATATATATTCAATTTTGGTTGGAATTGAAATCATAATTTAAAGATTGGACAAATTAATGCTAATTTCGCAGCCTTTTCGCCCTACTTTCGTAAGTTGACTTCACGTCCTTCGTACAATTGACTTTTATATGCCTTCCTTATAAGTATTTTACTTGCTATTTTATATGCAAAAAGAACATATATATATAATTTTTATTTCAACTACTATTTGGGTGTTATTGTGTTTTATTGTTTCATTTTTTGTTAGTTTTTGTTTAGGTAAAAAATAGTTAGTGTAATTAGTATTTTGAATAAAATACTACAGGAGTGTGCTTGTTTGATATTATATATATAAGTAAATAATTATTTGATATAGATAGTTTTTTTTGTAAGAAAAGAATATTCAATTATAAATTATATAAATGAAATATGACTAAAACATAAATGAAAGACACCCTTAATTATCAACAAGTAAATGTAACATGCTAAAATGAAATACTTGTAGGGTTTGTTATGCTTTACAATATTAAATAATAAATATTTAAATTTAAAAAAGTATACGACTTCAATACAGAGTTTTTATTACATAAAGAAAAAAGGTTAAAATCCGAATTGATGAGTAGTTGGGGATAAAGATGATTGTACGATTTTATTTATTTATTTTGTACGAATTATTTGTTATTATTTTGATACACCTAACTTGAAATTTATGTTACTTGCAATCAATGAATTATTTTATTTATAATATAAATATCAAGTATGAAAAAGGAAATAGGCAGTAAAGTGCAAAGATTGACAAGTCTGGAATAAATTTAAACACTAAAAACAATTACACCAATGACTGAAAAGTCAGCATATAAAAGAAAATAGAAAATAAAATAAAATAAAATAAAATTGTCTACTTCTTATTTTTATAGCCTTCAAGTGATATATTTTTCTGTAAATATATTTCACATAATATTCATTCATTCATTTAAATATGTACTCTTATTTATTTAAAATATTATAGTTCTTGTGTCCATGCAAAATATATAGTATTTATTTTGATATAGAGTTTAAAAAATTCATCATTGCTTTCAATTTAATAGTTATATTTTACTATTTCTATAAGTTTCAAAACAAAATCTCATTACCATAAATCATCACTAGAAAATTTTATTATTAATATTATTATTATACAAAAAGTTATTACTTTTTATATTTAAATTAATTTATACTCATAAAAAAAAATAAAATTATTATCTACCAACTATTAATATAATATTCATATTTTCTAAACCTCCTGTCTAAGAAAGTAAGTTTATTCTTTTAGTACAGAAAAAATACAAGTATTATTTTTAACTAATAACATTATTGATATCCATAAATATAGATTTAAATATATTTTCGTACGTAGTAGTGCTCATGGTGGCAATTACGTAATTCTAACACCTTGCTGAATAGGATGAGATGAATTACAAAACAAACACACAACGCTATTACATAAACAAATATTATTATACATAATATTTCTATACAGGTCCGGACATCCTTTTATAGAACATTGGTTTTAAAAATTAACAGGTAATTGTTGGATCCTAAAATTCGGAAGTTTCAAGACCGTTCGTCGATTTGTCGATGTAAGTTCCGGAAATACTCCAAAGAGCCTGTCCGTTGTCGGATTTTGGGCGGCTCCTTCAGTAGAGCCTGCAAGGCTTCGAGCCTAAACGATCGATTTCGATGGATTTAAACTAACATCTACTAAAACTCAGATAAATCTACTGGAAAGCGAATAAAAAAAACATGTAATTCGAATTAAAATGCATAAAACAAAACTAAAACATGAAAATAAAATAGAGAAAAATACGAGTTCATCTTCTTGTGCTGTGTGATGTGTTTTTCCTAGTTCTAATCCTAAGATAGAATAACCGCCACTTCCGACTAAAAGTGTCAATTCTAATTATTCCTCCACTACTCTCAATCGTCTGGTAACCTCCCACTACTACCTCCAACTGCCTAATAACCTCATTTCACTACCTCCAACTGCCTGGTAACCTCCTTCCATCAGTTCTTTGGTAATCTCCTTCCATCAGCTACTAACCACCTGGTAACCTTCTTCCGTCAGTTCCTAACCACCTGATAACCTCTTTCTATTAGCTCTCAAACGCTTCATTTGCCTTTGGACCGGGTTTCACTTGCTCTAAACTTCTTTCATTACCTCTGGACCAGATCTGCCGCTTACTCCGACTTGTTTCCATCGTATTCCTAGCCGGTCTACGGGGATGTGTCCCCAACAATCTCGAGTTAAATGGAATCTTCGGTTTTCCTCTTGTTGGCTTGTTCCATGGAGCTTTTTGAATAGAGTATAAAAGTGCATAAGCCCTCCACTAATGTTCAGTACGAAATTATTAACCCAGGGCCAACGGAAGTAGTTATCCCATGATCTGTGAAAACTGTTGCTTTCTATCTTGTGGAGGCAACCTTCCTCTACTTTGTGGAAGCACCGCAATCCAATCGAGGTAGTTGTTTTCAACTCAATGGAGGCAGCAATTTCTAACCTTATGGAAACATTATTTTGGGATGGAGGCGCCATAGTCCAAGAGCTGTTGTCCTAAGATCCATGGAGACTACTGTTTTCGGCCCTGTGGAAGCACCACAATCTACTGGAAGTTGTTGTCTTCGGCTCTATGGAGGCAGCAGTCTTTGGGTCCGAGGCTTGAAGCTCCATTGTTGTTGAGCGGCTCCGTGGCCAATGAGTCTTTTTCATATGGGGCCTCTGCCCGTACATCGTCTTTTTTGTTAGGAGTCTCCACGGTCCCTGGAGTCTCTGCCTCCGCAAATTTTGGAGCTTCCATGGCTTCTGGAACCTCTGCCTCCGCAGACTCCTTTTGGACTGGAGCCTCTACAGCCTCTGGAGTCTCTGCCTCTACAAGCTCTGGAGCTTCCATGGCTTCCGGAACCTCTGCCTCCGCAGACTCCTTTTCAATTGAAGCCTCCACAAGCTCTAGAGCTTCCATGGCTTCTAGAACCTCTGCCTCCGCAGACTCCTTTTCAACTGGAGCCTTCACAGCTTCTGGACTCTCTGCCCCCACAAGCTCTGGAGCTTCCATGGCTTCTAGAACCTCTATCTCCGCAGACTTCTTTTCAACTAGAGCCTCCACAACATCTGGAGTCTCTGCCCCTGCAATTTTTTATTTTTTTTTCATATTGAGGTGAACTTTCCGCAATCAAAGTAGCACTAGGCTTTTTTTCAAACCTTTTTTTTTTTTAAATGCCCCCTTATGCAATTTGTGATAACATCAACGTTCATTAGAGGCTTGGTCTCTTGTTGATTTGATGTCAGCGGCTGTATTCCGGCTGCCTGCTGATAGAAGGTTGGCGGCTGCATCTCTGCGGACTGCCCTCCTTGCCTTTGTGTTTCGATGATCCTCTTCCGTTGGAGATTAGCCACGTTCGGACCGTGACATCCCCATGGTGGCGTTGGCGCATTCCACATAGGTTGTCTGCTTAATCACCCTGGCTGCATCATGCCAAATGCTGAAAATTTGCTTGACCCTCGTAAAGGCTCAACACTACTCTTCAAAACTCCAACGACCAAGGGGTTCTAGCCCTCCGCAGCCTATTGGCTACAGCGCTCCGCAGGCTGTTGGTTCCAGCCTTCCGCAAAATGGTGATTCCAACCCTCTGCAGGCTGCTGGTTCAAGCGCTCCGCAGGCTGTTGGCTCCAGCCATCCGCAGGCTGTTGCTTCCAGCTTCCTGCAGGTTGTTGGTTCCAACCTGATCTTGCCTGCCCCGACCCTAAGACCTAAAGCATTGGATGTTCTGCAACAATTCAGTAGCTTTTTTCAGGCGGTACAAATGAACCCCATGTCAACCTCGACATCACTCTTCGAAAAATCTGACTTTGGTCCCACTGGGCGTACCAATTATTGGATCCTAAAATTCAAAGTTTCCAAGACCGTTCGTCGATTTGTCTGTGTGGGTTCCGGAAGTATCCAAAGAGCATGTCCGTCGTCGGATTTTGGGCGGCTCCTTCGGTCGAGCCGCGCAGCTTCGAGCCTAAACGATCGATTTCGATTTATTTAAACTAACATCTACCAAAACTCGGATAAATCTACTAGAAAGTGAATATAAAAAAAAACATGCAATTCAAATGAAAATGCATAAGACGAAACTAAAACATGACCTAAAGCGTCAGGGGTTTAAACCCATGACCTTATGATTACAAATCCAACTCCCACACTATCAGACCATCCCTTCCTGGACTAAGTTTTTATTTTACAAACATGTGATGTGTGTACTAAATATTTGTGCTACCTGACTTTCAATCTATGTTTTTTTAAAGAATTATCATCTAAAATCAACACGGTAACAGAATCGAGTGCTCATAATTACTAATAAATGAAATTTATATATTGTATGTAAATAAATAAAAATAAGAATATTTATTTTAGAATAAACAGGGAAAGTATCTAACAATTATTTATTTTAAAAGTATAAAAATATAAATGAAAATATGAATGAATAATTAATGGGATCAATATTTGGAGTTTATTTGATTGTAATTTAAAACAGACTGTAAATTTTGATTGTTATTTAAGAAAAAATATACTTTTTAAAAAAAACTATTCAGAACAAATAATAATTTGATTTTAAAATTGCAACTAAAGGTATATATATTTGAGTTTAAAAGAGAAGAAAAAAAAAATTATTATTCGATCATTGATTTTACTTTTTTTAAAAATATTATATTCAATAGTATTTTTTAATGTGTAATATCACTATACCAGTGTCTAATTACCATTTTCTTTTTCTTTTTGGTTTTTATAGTTAAAAATATATAATATTTTATAGGAACAAATAATTTATTCTTATTATTAATGTTTGAGGCCATAATCAAAGGCTACTGACCTTTTTTTTAATTTTATTTTATTATTATTACTTTTACTTTTGATAAACATAAATATTGAAATGTTTATGAAATCAAATAAACTATTTTAAAGATTTAATAATAATAAAGAAAAAATGAAGATACAAAAGTCTTGCTCGTGCATGCTATATTGAGATCAGGTGCTCCTCTATTATTAATTTTCAAGTCCTAAGTGATAAAATCATTTTTACTTTTATTTTTGTGAAGTCTTAGGGATATGTTTTACTTGTACAGAATACATAATTCTACACAATATTTTGATAATTTTCTATATGTAATATGTTAATTAAGAATAAATCTATAATATAAAATATTATAAAAGAAAAAAAAATTATAAATATTAAAATAAATGATAAATATGGACTGGAGTACAATCAAACAGGCTTTTATTTAATTTGTTAGTTTCCAATGTTTTTCAAACCTACTGTATAAAAAATTTATTATATTGTGTATATTAGTTGAATAGTATTGAATTATATTATAGAAATTATATATTTTTTTTAAAAAATCAGATATTTCATTACATGTACCAATCGATGAAATCAATCGATTTCAACTTTGTCAAAATTAGTTCATCAAGCACAAAAATTATGTGTCACTATCATATCTATACACGTATGTTTATATAAATATAAATATAAATATAATATACTAATATATATATATATATATAGAATGCATGTGGATTATTATATATTATATTATAATATATTTAATTATCAGAGGTAAAAAGCTGATGCACCTTTTGTGTTAATTAATAATTAAATGGTTTTGATTATGTTAATTCTTGACTCTAAAGATTGAAGAAGTTCTAGACATTGATCATATTCATTTAGGGCTCGTTGGGTGGTAGGAATTTGAATTTGATGGTACATTTTAAATAAATAAATTTGAATTATTTTAAATTTAAAATATTTTATAATTATAATTCATCGTTTACTTGTAAAAAATATTTAAAATGATGCAATGTGAAGAGTATTTGAAATAATTAAGAAAATAATTTTTATTTTTAAACTAACTATGAGATTTGATATTCATCACATATTATCAAAATTAAATTCATGTAATTCCATAAGGGTGTGTTTGTTTGAGGGTTTGGATTTTGAGTTGAGATTTGAATAGTAACAATTTTGAATTTGAATAGTTGTATGATGTGATATAAATAGGTGTTGATGTGATGTTTTGAATGTAAAATTGATTTTTATGATAATATAAAAAATGAAAAATAGGTATTTGATTTGATGTTTTTGGGGGAAAAAAATAGGATGAATAGTGAAAATTCAAACAAATCCCTCAAACAAACACACAGCTTTATATATTTTTACTATTTTTATTTATTACATTCAAATGTATATATTTACTATTACATGTTTAAAAAAAATTATTTTTATATAAATTACAAATATATTATTAAAAACATGTCATTGTTTATTTGTTAATATTACTAGTTAATATTATAGAAAATATATATTTAACAAAATATGATATTCAAACAATTATTCAATTTCTTTTTTTAGAAAATAAAAAATAAACGACTAACTAAAACCCTTATATAAAATTAATAACTTGTCTAGAAGTTCTTGTTATAAAATTTGTTATTTTTAAAATAAATGGCTTTACTTATTATAATAATTGACAGCGGCATCTAATTATATTTAATCAGTACAGTAAAATAAATAAATTTACTTATAACCAATTAATTTTATTTATTCGTAATTTCTATATATTTTTATAATAATTGATATTTTAAAATAAAATATAATTATGAACGTAATAAAAAGGCAATTTAGTTATAATTTAATGTAGCATGAATTATTAACAAATAAAGTCATGTTAAGAAGGAAAAAGACAAGAGATAGATTTAATAATAATAATAATAATAAATAAAAATAAAAAGGACAGCCCAAATGGAGGTGCGGTAAAGTGGTTCCCACATAGCTGAGCCATTCTCTTACGAATTCACGCGTTAATGATAGCGTGAAATACACGTGTTGGAAGTGTGTCATGGAATCCGGTGACTAGGGTTGATATAATTGGTTTGTGTATTCACGCTCGCATCCGTGGATTCTTAAGGTGTGTTTGTCTGAGGTTTAGATTTTAATCTGAGATTTGAATATTAAAATTTTTTAATTTAAATAATTATATAATATGAAATAAGTATGTATTAATATGATATTTTAAATATAAAATTAATTTTTACTATAATATAAAAAATAAAAAATAAATATTTAATTTGATATTTTAAAAAAAAAATAAAATAAATAGTGTATTTAAAATCTATTCCTCCAAACAAACACACCCTTAAACTATTTAAATAATGATATCATCCAAGTTAATTTTTATTTTATTTTTTATTATCGTTAAAATTTATTTTTATTTATTCTTCAAAGTTAAAAAAAATATTAATATATATTTTTTATTACATAGGTAGAAAATTTTAGTTATTTTTACTTTTTCTAAAAAAAATTATGTTTGATTAATTGACCACATAATTGAAATTTTTTAAATATATATATATATATACATATATATTCCTTCCCATTTTAAAAATATATATTAGTTGAAACTCCGACGTTTTCAAAATTTGTCTGCTACATATAATTTGTCACTTGTAGTTGTCGAACATTGTTTGCATACTATTAAATTCTATCAAAAATTTACTGAAAACACAATATAAAGGTAGCGACGATGAATTCTCACATTATTAAAAATATATATATATATATAAGAATTTGTTTTTTTTATGTTCTAAATATATACATAAGTTTAAGAGTGATGCAGATTAAATAATTTTAAAAAATATTTATAAAATTAATTATAATATGATATAAATAATTACTGTATAACTTATATCAATTTAATTAAAATTATAAATTATAAATTTAAAATTATATATATTTAAAAAAAATGTAACAAAATATAGCAAGGACCAAAACAATAAAATTGGATAAAGAATGTACAATAGCGTGAGTAAAAATTTTCAGTTTACTAGTTTAGTCCATAAAGTTCTAATGAATATATTTTATCAGTCTTATAACAAGGTATTTATTTGAATTTTTTTTTTTTCAAAATAGAATGTTTAATATTTATATACTTATCCGTAATATGAATTATATTTTTTAAATTCGGTGTCTAATTCAGATAAGACTATAATTTTGGGACAAATAAAGTATAATATATAACATAATATATAATTTAGAGAGAGACAAATATACTTCTATAAAACATACTTCTCTAAAGTAAGATATATTTTTTATAGAATACCAAATATATTTTTATTGAACACCTTTTTATCCATAAAAATTATGTTATTATTATTTTTTATTATTCTTTAAATTTATATTTAATTCATTTATATTAAATAATTTATTTTTTTTATTTTAATAAATAATACTCCTCCGTAATTTGGGTTGTGTTTGACACTAGATTTAAGAAATATTGATATTATATTAATATTGGGTAAAAAATATGACTAAAAGATTTTTTTGTCCTTGTGAGTGTATTAGTATAAAAAATAATGAAACGAGACTATCATGTTTGGCACTGACAAAAATAGTAAATAAGACTTTATTATTATTTTTATTTATTCAATAAATTGATCATAATATGTATTTTTTTTTTTTACTTAAGGTATGTTTGTTTGGAAGTTTGAATTTTGAGTTAGAATTTGAATAGTTGTACAATGTGATATAAATAAATGTTGATATGATATTTTAAATACAAAATTTATTTTTAAGTATAATATAAAAAATAAAAAATAAATATTTAATTTGATATTTAAAAAAAATAAAATAAATAGATATTTAAAATCCAATCCCCAAACAAACACGTTACTTTTTAGTATATATATAATCAAATAAATTTACATAAATTTCCACGATAGAAGGAATATATATATATATAAATAATTTCCACATTATTGTAGTGAGAGAGAGAGAGAGGCTTGAATCGCTGCTGCTGGCTTTCCCTAGTTTGTTTTAGTGGCTACATCTCTCTTTTCTCTCTCTCTCGTAGTATTTGGTTTTCCCCTTTTCTTCTTCTTTCTCCTTTTCCCTCTTCCAAGAACCTTCTCCCAATCCCTATTTCTCTTTCTCTCTCTCCTCCATGGATTCATTCATTTCTTTTTCTTCTATCAGATTTTCCATTCTTTCTGGAATATAATCAATCAATCTTCATTTCCTTCTACGATTCATTTCAATTTTCAAATTCCACATTCACACCATCCCCAATTTTGATTTCCATTTCACGCCGCCACCACTGCGCGATTTGATTAATTCACTCTTGCTGCTGCTGCAGCTGATTTCTTCCTCGAATCTCAGATTCCGCTGTTATCAACCAGTTATGAGGCCACTCCAACCGCCGCTGGCCGCCGGATCCGCCACGAATCGCACGAATCGTCAACGCCGACGTCCCGACCTAACCCTACCCCTCCCCCACCGCGACCCCACCCTGGCCGTCCCCCTACCTCTACCGCCGAGCTCCGCCCCTTCCTCCTCCTCTTCATCCTCCTCCCTCCAATTAGAATACTCCGATCTGGAGCGCGTGAGCCGCATCGGGAGCGGCGCCGGCGGTACTGTCTACAAAGTCCTCCACCGCCCCACCGGCAAAATTTACGCTTTAAAAGTGATCTACGGAAACCACGAGGACGCAGTCCGCAATCAGATGCGCCGCGAAATCCAAATACTCGGCGACGTCGACAACCCTAACGTCGTCAGATGCCACAGCCTCATCGATCACAATGGCGAAATTCAAGTCCTCCTCGAGTACATGGACAAAGGATCCCTCGAAAGCATCCACATCCCTCAGGAGCCATCCCTATCCGACGTGGCAAGACAAATTCTCTGCGGCCTCTCCTACCTCCACAAAAGGAAGATCGTCCATCGTGACATCAAGCCCTCAAATTTGCTGATTAATTCCCGAGGGGTTGTCAAAATTGCAGATTTTGGAGTATCTCGTGTTCTAGCTCAAACAATGGATCCTTGCAATTCATCAGTGGGTACAATAGCCTACATGAGTCCAGAAAGGATCAACACAGATCTAAACCATGGTCAATACGATGGTTATGCAGGGGATATCTGGAGTTTGGGAGTCAGCATTCTTGAATTCTACTTAGGGAAGTTTCCATTTTCTGTAGGACGCCAAGGTGATTGGGCAAGCCTTATGTGTGCAATCTGTATGTCGAAGCCGCCCGAGGCACCGGCCACGGCGAGCCGGGAGTTTAGGGATTTCATAGCTTGCTGTCTTCAAAGGGATCCGCCGCGGCGATGGACTGCGCCACAGCTGCTGAGGCACCCATTTATTATGCAGTATGCTTCGCCGGGGAGTAACGGGAGCGGGAGCCATCAGGTTCATCAGCCTCACCAGCTGTTACCTCCACCTCCCCGGCCGCAGTTTTTGTGATTGTTAGTTTATATTTGGTTTTTCCGAATTAAATTTTTGTTTCTTTGCTTATCTTGTCTTTTTAAAAACTTGTTGGTTGGATGGAGGTTGAATTGTGAAACTTGTTTGCCATTGCTACATTGGGATGTTCTTTAGGGAAAAACCGAAAGGGAAAAAAAAGGGATTGATGAATTGGCAAGGGAAGGGGAAGAAGTTGGATTAAAGAATGATGGAAGGTTTTGGCAGGCTGTTGAATTCTCTATGGGAGGTATTTGTGAAGCAAAATCTATCTTGAATGTAATGGTAAGTTGATGATGATGATGATGATGACAATGTGGAAATGAATGGGAATCTATTTTTATTGAATCATTTAGTGTTTTTGTTATTATGTCGAATGATTCTAATGTTGATTTGGTGGAGATTTAGGAGTGTATGAAATGAATAAACAGGTAGGTTGGATTCACCTTACATTGGTTGCACCTTATTGGTATTATTGTTGTTATTATTACTGTGCTTTGAACAAATAGTGATCCAAAAAAGAGAAGGATCCCTTGTGGACATATTCCCTTTGCCTGCCTCATGAAGGATCTTTTTTTCTTTTGATGACTACATTATTGAGATTAATTGAATATGAAAGAACCTAGTTCTTTCTTGGATATTGGAATGGTTTCTTTCTTTCTTTCTACCATGGTTTATCTCCATAAGTAGTTTGCTTACTTTTGAGGCTAGATTTGATTGATAGCAGGTTATGATGATGAGCTTGGTTGAGCAATATTTGGTTGGGTTCTTTTACAAGATGTGTGTAAGCTAATTTGGGGGAAAAAAGTGTGGTTCTTTCTCTTTTGTTGCTTTATGGAAGTACATGCCAATAATGAAGCCAAGAAACCAAAAGACATGTTTTCATGGAGACATGTGGTTGCATTTGTTGCCCTTAACTTTTATTTATTTTTCTTTCTTTTTTAAATTTCCCAGAATGTTGAGTAGCTGTCCATGTGTGCTTTTTTTACATGTTACTTTATGTAGGAAATAATGGATCATACACTGCACCAGTTCAGTGCTGCTATTTAATTTAATTTTTTTTTTCTTTTTGATTTGGCTGTTGTGAGGAGGAGAAGGATGGGTGTTTCTGTTTCTGTTTCTGCTTTGAGGTGGTTTTCTAGGTTGGTGTAGTGCCCCTAGATTTGGAATGTGCAAGTATTTTTTTGTATGTATCTATATTTTTATACATCTATTTTTATATTTATTAATGGCGATCATAGATATTTATGCAGAGCACTAAGACATATTTTTATAATTCCAGTTTAAAAAAAAAGCCTGTAACTTTTATTTAAAGAGTACAATGGTATGTATTAAAAATTAATGCTATTTGAATGTTTACTTTGTATTTTTGAGAAAAATCAGCACTGTGGTTGACATTTAAGGTGTGAAGAAGCACTGTAAGTGAAGTGTTTATTAACGGTGCCTTGATTGTTGACACCCTATCCATTTTCTTACATGGAGTTTTTCTTTTTCTTGTCTATTAGGGAAGAGAGGGCTGTTTCTTGGGGGGTTTCCAAGATTTGTTCTTTTTTCTTGTTTGGAGTTTGCTTTTGGATGTGTGTTCTTTTTTGCCTTTTTATGAGATTGTAATCTTTTGTGGAGATTTTTCGTATAATAGGTAGAGTTGTTAACAAGCCGAATCGAGCCAAATTAAGTGTTCGTTAATGTCGCGAACAAGGTTCGTGTTCGTTCATTAAGCTTTCGAGCTCGGCTTGTTAAGAATTTTTATTGTTTGAACTCGTGTTCGATTAAGTTCGTTCGAGTTCGTTTGTCTTATTTTTTTAAAAATTTATGTATAAATTATAAAGGAAATTTAAAATTATTTTATTTATATATTTTAAATCAATATTTTATTAATTTATAAATTATAATTTTATATGTATATATAATATTTATAATAAATATATTATTTAAACAAATATTCGCGAACAAAGCTCGAGTTCGTTCGTTAACCAAACGAGTCTGTTTATGTTGTTCGGCTCGACTCGTTAACGTTTGCGAACGAGCTTTAATCGAGCCAAATTCACGAACTGTTCGGCTCACTCTAATAATGGGTTAGTGAGAAAATATGTATTTTGTTATTATTATTATTATTATTTTAATAACTTGCGAAAATATGTATTTTTATTAACATTAAAAAAAAACCACAAACCATGCTTGTTGGATCTGCAAAATAAAGGGGTCACATACTTTTGCCCAGGTTTGAGCCCAATAAGGAAATTATATTAGTTGTCTTTGTATCATTGTATGTATACTCTTAAAATTAAATAAATAAAAACTGTTAATGTATAAATATATATATATTTATTTATTTATTTATTAAAGATAAACATTAAAACTACACGGAAGGAAGCCAAGCTACTCTTTAGTATTATTATTATTATTATTATTATTATTATTATAAATAAATTAATTAATGTATATAAATATAAAGGTTGTGTTTGTTTGAATTTTTACAATTTTAATTATTAAATTTATTTGTTCACTATTTAAAATTTAAACCCAAGCTACCAAAGAAATACACCCAAAGACTTTTCCTTATCTTCGCATAAACAAATGTGTTATTTTTGTGCGTTCATTTATGTTTTGGTTTTACAAAATTTAAATATAAAAATAAATAACTATATAAAAAAGTAAAATATATATATATATATTTTTAAAAAAACCTTGTTTGGATATGCTTTAAACTATTTTTTAAAATAAATTAATTCAGTTGAATACTTAAGTACAACTTTAATATATTATTTATAACAAATTAAGTATTTAATTGCATTTATTTTTCTTTGAAAATAACTAGAAAACTTATTTTACATTAAAATGAACAGTATAACAAATTAATATATTATATATAATAAATTAAATATTTAATTGCATTTATTTTTTTTTTGAAAAAATAACTAGGAAACTTATTTTACCTTAAAATAATGATAGCAAGTCCATGATTTGTTTGTTTGTTTTTGTTTTTGGTTTTTTTTTTTAATTAAAAAAAAAAGTATATATACAATTATTAAATTTTTATTACTTTTAATAAAAATATACTAATTTTTTATAAAATTATTTTCAAATTAGAAACTCAAATCCAAACTAAAATCAAAACCAAACCAATCCTGAGGTACCTGTATTTGGATCAGCCAATTTCCGTTTATTATAAAACAGGTCCCCGTAATGGATGACCTGGTGGTGTAGGAATTGAACGTATGACCATGAGATCATGGATCGACGCCTCAGGTCACGGACCTAATTTGCAGTTATTAAGTTCGATCGGACGCTTACCAAATGCTACGGTGAGCAACCGCCTGTAGGTTTAAATCGATCTATTGGTGAGAGAAACAAGAAAAAAAAGGAAGAAAAATAACAAACAAATCGATGCCGAAATGTGAATTAACATGCCGACAATACCCCTATAATAGTTGGACTTCAATTTTTTTGGAATCAATTTATTTTTTCTTAGAGTGGAAAATTATTGCCACACATGTGTGGCATATATGGTTTGAACTTTGATAGTTTTTTCTACAATGTTCCACTAGGGTGTGTTTGTTTGGGGTTTGGATTTTGGATTAGAATTTGAATAGTAAAAATATTGAATTTGAATAGTTGTACAATGTGATATAAATAGGTATTGATGTGATGTTTTGAATGTAAAATTGATTTTTAGTATAATATAAAAAATAAAAACTAGATATTTGATTTGATATTTTTGAGGAAAAAAAAATTTGATGAATAGTTGAATTTAAATCAAATCCTCGGAACAAACACACAAGTTTGCTTTAAGATATCTTTAGTAGCACAGACTCTGTTAGTAAATATTTCATCCTTCCACAATAAATATTTTAGTATATTCAAATCAATTTTTATTTTTATTTTTTTCTAAATATCTCTCAATTAAATATAAAAATATCACTACTTTTTACTTTTTGAAATAAAATAGACATTATATAAAATATTAATTTATCATTAAACATTTATTTTATTTTAAAAAATATTTCATTAAATACTTAACTTTTAATCTATATTTTTTTCCTAAATAATTCAATACCAGTAATTAATTATAATAAAACTAGTGTTTGAATCAACCAATCTGATCAAATATATATATAAAAATAAAAACAAGTCTTTAATCCGATTTCATTAATGGCTGCGACAAATCGCAGCCCCACAGATCGTCACATAATTCACTCTCCATTTCTTCAACTGATCCATAAATGCATAAACTAATTAAAACTAGAAGATCTATAAATATCGTATTCTTAAGAGGGGAATTATTTAAATACTACTATACCTATACCAAGTGCTGCTTCTTGGAAACTTCCTCTAATCCAAGACACCTGTTTTCTCTCTTTCTCCATTGCGAAATCAGACAACACACTCACACCCAATTTTCAATTCTTGAGGTTCTCTCTCTCTCTCTACCCTTTCTCTCTCCTGCCCATTTCTACCTTAAACTTTGCATGTTTGATTTCCACCCTTGAAGCAACAATTTTGGAGTTTGTGGGTACAGTTGGTTTGGGATCAGTTCAATTGTAATAAGAAGGGGTTTCTAATTCTTCTATTTTTTGGGGTAAGTGAAAGAGCCCATTTGGTTTTTAGGGCAGTTGTGATTTGTAAGAATCTTGATCTGGGATTTGGGTTTGTGGGTTTTGTTTGTTTGGTTGTGTTTCTAATAGGGTTTGTGGTTTTATAAGTTCTTGTTGTGTAGAAAAGATTACTATCCTGTTGCTTTTGTGTTATAGTTTGACCAGGAGGAGGATTGGTGTGGAAAATGCTGAGAATTTACAGCATAGGATTTGTTTGTTGGGATCATTAATTGTTGGGCAAAATCTTGATTTTAATTTTCTGTTGCATTGGGAATTGGTTTGGGCAGATTCCCATCTCTGTTTTGAGGTGTGTTTGGTTGTGGCATGAGATGAGATGAGATGAGATGATTTGGATTTGAATTTCTTTGATTGGAGAGTAGGTGTTTGAATCTATGTTTTGATATTAATAAATAGAAACACAAACAAACACATCCTAGAAAGTTGCAAAGTTAAAGATTTGGTTTGCTTCTTGGTTGATGTTGTGGTGAGAACTTAAAACTTATATATTGTTTGCATTGATTGCAGATTTGTGTGTATTGTCTGCCTTCACATGTTATTACATTGAGGTATGCAATAAGTCGATTCGGCTTAAAACTTATTCTTTTGGGGACTGAATTTTGTATACTGTAAGATTCTTGTTTTTGTCTTACAGGCATTTTGTATTATTGTGTTCTAAAGATGGGATCTGCGGACGAAAAGTTAGGTCTTGATTCGGACGAGGAGACACCACTAAGTGCATCTCATCCGAAAACTAAAATGCAGCCAATGAGCTGCGAGACATCTCATATTTTAGCTCATCCCAAGTTTTCCGCTTCGTGGGTCTTACGAAAGGTTCATAGAATCAGTATATTAAGGAGCGTATACATTGTCTTGCTTAAGGCAAAGATCAACGTATTGCTTCCTTTCGGTCCACTTGCAATAACACTACACTATCTTACTAGGAAACAGGTATGATGATCAGACACAACCCTGTTATGTTAGAATACCGGGCTATGATAATAATATCTTACTGAACCTTTTTTGAACTGATGGGGTGAACTCTAGGGATGGGTCTTTTTCTTTAGCTTACTCGGTATAACTCCTCTAGCCGAGCGCCTTGGTTATGCAACCGAGTAAGTTCTTACTACATGGTTTCAATATAATTTGCTTAAAACACGATAATATTTACGACGATTATGTATGTTTGTTCTGCAGGCAACTTGCGTGGTATACGGGGCCGACAGGTATATTATTCCTTAATTATTTCCCCCTTTGTGTTTTTTGAGGATTTGCACTACAAATAAGTATTTAATTAGCTACAATATTTTTAACTACAAAATGTCAATTAGTAACAAAAATTAGTTTTATCACTAATTATGTACTACGAAATTAATTTCGTCGCTATAATTTTTTTGCTAGAAAATTATACTCCCTTTGTCCCACTCCAAAGGGACCTTTTGAGGTTTCGTAATAAATTAAGAAATAATAATATTTTATTGGTCAATGGAAATGTGTAAGAAATTTTGACATTTTTGTCCTTTGACTTTATTTATAAAATAAGTGTGTGTAATAGTATGTTTGTAATTTAGGTACAAGTTAAGGGTATTTTGGTATTAATGTATGACTACTTTTACTAAAATACAAAAGTGATACCGTGGAGTGGGACAGACGAAAATAATAAAAAATGGTAATTTAAGTTGAGACGGAAGGATGGAGTATTATTATACCAAAACAATTTTAGCTACAAAAATATTTTTCATAGCTAAAATCTTTTAGCTAAAAAAATCACACATATTTTATTCCTAAAATTCTTTTGTTATGAATTTGAATTTTATAGTAAAAGAGCTATAGCTACGAAATCATATTTTCGTAACTATATCTCCTTAACTTTCATGAAAAAAAAACTATATCGAATGTTTATGGAAAAGTGTTTCATTTCGAATAACAGTCGGTGGCCTTCTAAACGCCACATTCGGAAATGCGACGGAGATGATAATTTCTATGTATGCGTTGAAGAACAATATGATTCCGGTTGTTAAGCAATCATTGCTTGGATCAATCTTATCGAATATGCTTTTGGTGCTCGGGTGTGCCTTCTTCTGTGGTGGGGTGGTTCATCGTCGGAAAGTCCAGTACTTCAATAAGGTGGTTGATCTAATCATATACTAACCTACTTTGAACTTTTAAGCGCGTAACTCACTCGACTATGGTGACTATGGTGAGGAACCTAATGGCAACTAACTGCTGGAAAATATTCAGGCCACGGCGCTTGTGAACTCCGGGCTGCTGCTAATGGCTGTTATGGGATTGTTATTTCCGGCAGTTCTGCACTTCACTCATACGGAAGTACACAAGAACCAGTCGGAGATTGCTCTTTCACGAGTTAGCAGCTGTATAATGCTGGTAGCTTACGCTAGCTATCTTTTCTTTCAGCTTAAGAGCCAGCAGAATCTGTATAGTCATCTAGATGAGGTGGGTGTAACCTATATAACATTTTATAGCCAAAATTGCACAAAACTTACCAGTGGTTTCACGAAATTGCTTAAATCCCCAATACTTTCAAAACTACGTCAGACTGTCTTATAGTTTTGGTTTCATAAACTCCGCATTTAACCCTGCGGCCGTCCATATTCAACTGTGTTTGACCTGCATGCTCTTGTAATCTCAATTTTTAAACTCTTAAAATTACAAATATACTTATTTTTCTTATATTTAGTTTCCAGGAACAGTAAATATATTCAGAAATAGTTTCTTTCCTCTAGTTCTAATTTCTTTTACTGTTTCTAGAGGTGAAATATAAAAGGAACGAATATTTGTAATATTAGGAGTTTAAAAATGAAGATTCTGAAATTTATTCGTAATTTGGACGTGTGTAGGTCAAATACTCTTAATAAGAACGTCCGAAGGAATTAGACGCATAGTTTATGAATCATGAAGGAGTTTTACGCAATTTTGGAAGTATGGAGATTTAGCACAATTTCGTAAAACTACATGTGGATTTTGTACAGTTTTGCCCATTATATATATATATATATATCTCCGTGTGTATTGCACTAGGCAGCCAATAATTTAACAGTCTGGTTTCTGTAGGCAACAGATAATAGTACAGACGATTGTGATGAAGAAGAGGTTCCCGAGATTAATCAATGGGAAGCTATAGCATGGCTTGCTATTATAACTTTGTGGATATCTATTTTGTCTGGATACCTTGTTGATGCTATACAGGTACGCTACCGTGATGTCTTAATTAAGGAAATAAGCGAAAGAACAGAAGGGGCTACGAAAGTAGACAAGACTCGATGGCATCAATGAAAAGTTCTTATTTCATTTTTTTGTTGTTGACTTGTTCAGGGAGCTTCTGATTCGATGAAAATGCCCGTTGCCTTTATAAGTGTTATTTTGCTTCCAATCGTGGGCAATGCTGCGGAGCATGCAAGTGCTATAATGTTTGCAATGAAAGATAAGCTTGTATGTGCCATATGCCTTGTAATAACAGAAAAAATCGATGCTTTTTACCATTTGTGTTTTCGAGTCATTTTTGCTCTTTCTGTGCAGGATATCACTCTTGGGGTTGCAATTGGATCATCTACTCAGATATCCATGTTTTTGGTAAGACCTTTTAATCCTAGACCTAGCTTTCAAGGGATTATACAATTATACATTTCGAAACTTACAGATTCCATTTATTTTACGGGCAGATTCCATTTTGTGTAATAGTCGGTTGGATCATGGGGAAGCCCATGGATTTGAATTTCCAATTGTTCGAAACTGCTACATTATTTATCACAGTGTTGGTGGTGGCATTTATGCTTCAGGTTCGTACTCCCATTCTTCTATACCTTGGATTTGGTAGTTTTCACTATAAAGACTCTTAGGATTGTTCTTTTGTGGGTTTTACCACATATTTTTACTATTCAAATTCCTTTTTTCCTCGAAAATATCACATCAAATAATTATTTTTCTTTTTTTATATTATACTACAACTTTATTTTACATTCAAAACATCATATCAACCTTTATTTATATCACATCAAACAACTATTAAAAAATTCAAACCCAAAAACTAAAACCCACAACAAACAAACACTCCCTTACTGTTATTTATGTTAATGCAGGAAGGACAATCGAACTATTTTAAAGGTTTGATGCTCACTCTGTGCTATCTAATTGTGGCCGCTAGTTTCTTTGTGCATGAAAATCCATCGCCAGGTGAGTCTTGAATATTTATATGTAGAGTGAATGAACTTGGGAGGGGACTAATGTTACTGTCTAAACTTGCGTAGATGATGATTGAGGACATGTAAGAAGCTGACGGCTTATCTATAGTTTTTCCGATTGGCATTGGCCATATGTTGGGATGTGGGGTTCGTTGGCAGAAGAGCCTTTTCTTGGTTGATATCTGTTAACAAGAACTTATGGTTTCATAAGTTTCATGTATCTGTGTATCATTATATCGAAACCAGGTCCCAATGAAAGCTTAAAGAAAGCTGATTTTTGGTTCTTTGTAGCAATCAAGTATTTGTAATCTCAAGATAAGTTGAAATCAGCTCGAATTACCTACTTCATATTTGTCTTTGTTTCTTTTGCAAGATCGAGCTGAGGGGTCTTATCAAGTCCATTAAATCTCTACATTAGAGTTGGGATGATGGTTTATATGTAACAGACATTGACAAGAAGCTTAGGCCTCTGTATCACTATTTCTATAATGATTCTTGATAGTGTGTGAGATCATGGTTTTACTGTAATCCACAGGTAATAGTAAAGATAGCAATAATACATGAGAATTCAGACAAGAACCTTTTGAGATTCATTGTATGTGTTTGAAGCTGTTAAAGAGGATTTGCTTTGAGGTATCAAGAAGGGTGATTCTGTGTTCCTGAAAAGCTTAAATATTAAATATGTGCGGTGTCAATTTGATGATATATTGACTGTACTATATCTTTTAGGGTTTCTTGTTAATTTGATTATTTTCAGAATCCAAAAACATCATCAACTAAACACACAATTTTTTCCTTATTTCAATCTGGCTGGGGATGGGCATCGATTCGTAATTTGACTTTTAGATGCAATTAGTGTCACTCTATTGATAACTGACATGGTTGTGCTCTATTGGCCCACCACTTTTAGGCAATATCTAGAGCAAATATTCAGTGATCCCATCAAAATGTTTTCTACACAGAGTGGATTATATTCTCATATTGGAAAAAATGTTTTTGATTGTCATTTTCAACTATTGTTATTCTTTTAATTTAATAGTGATTAGATAATATAGGTTTAATAATGTTGAATTGTATTTAAAATTAAAAAATAAAATATATTGCAACATTTGGAAAAAGCTCCTTTCGAGACAAGGTGTTGGGCAACAAATACTAACCTTCTTAATGATAATGATGACTCATTTTGCAATTTTATCAAGTATTATTGATCATTTTGTTTTCCATATGTGTTCTCTTTATCACATTTTATCAAATTTATACAATTTATTAAAATTTTCTCCTCAAAAAATTATCAAATTAAACATTTTTTTTTAAAAGAAATAATCTATATTATACTAAAAATTAATTTTACATTCAAAATATCACATAAACCCTGTCTATATCACATCGTATAACTATTCTAATTCAAAATTTTTACTATTTTAATTTCAACAAAAATAATTAAAACCACCAAACAAATACACCAGCGGATTCAAAGCCATATAATAAACCTTCAATGCCATGACATCTACAATTGTGATTCATAATATAAACTTATGTTCTGTTTCTTTATAGTTGTTTTTTTTAACCATATAGTTGTGTTATAGCCTTATTACTCTCTCTACCCTTCTACCGTCTTAACTACAGAGGCTAGCACACTAATCCTAAATGATTTATAGTGTTATCTTAATAGGGAAAAAGTGGATTTTAATCCTAAAAATAGTCTTCAATTTTCTTCATTGTTTTGTGAATTATTGTACCAAAGCCATGACTATTATTTCAATCAAAATGAGAGAGAACATATGCAACCATAGCGTGGGGGCCGTGCCCTTAGTACTTGGTCTCACTAGTTTCTATATATTCATGACTCATGACTACGAATAATACGCTCGTACATACTTTTGTCAGTATACAATAAATCTATTTTGTTGAATTAGGAGTAATATCTATTGAATGATTTTTGTCCGGTAAATAATGATTTGTGGTACGAAGTGAACTTGTAACTGTATCCAAAAGACAATTGTGGGTAGTAATTTTTTTATTAGTTATTGAAAATTATAAAAATATTTATTTTTATTATTTTTTCTTACGTACTTTAATGTATCAATAATATTTTGTTAAAGCTAACAAATCATTCTTGTTGATTTTAGATAGGACGCTCCTAATCCTAAACTTCTACTATATTCCATACATACTAAATCAATTATCATCATAAACTCAATCAAAATTTCAAAAGATTATATATATATATGTAAACAAAACACCTTTGAAAATGTTATTATTGAGAATAATAATACCTACACTACACTAAATTATTACTGAATATATATTTTCTTAATATCAACCACCTATATTTTCAATCCAATAAATATGAATAAATGTTATAATGCTGAATTACATTATTTCAGCTCCAATTGAGAATCACATATATCTGTCCCAACAGCAACTAATTTAGGCCAATATGTTTTGTCCCAACAGTCCATAATAGTCTCACAGTGCCCTAAAAATGCTTCACACTTGATGTGTAGATTTATAATTTGATTTCACGGTAAAATTTGTTTCTTTAACTCAAATCATTACAAAATATAGATATGATTGCCCAGATAAATCTACATAAAAAAATCAAATCATGTAACGACCATTAATGATGTATATTATTAACAGCTGACCTTGTGAATTTATTTTCCTATTTAATAATCCTAGTGGGTGACATAATAATACTGGAGTGCTAACCCTGCTACAATAACAGCATTTTCAGGCAACTATGAAATATCAATTAATTGACCAAAAATAAATCATGTGTAACGTCACAGACACTCTTGACTGCAAACACACAGTCAAAACTCGAAACCCCTTTCATAATAGCAAAAACACGCATAAAAGAAATTAAAAAACCAAAAAAAAAAAAAAAAGAACAAACAAACACGCATACTTTGAATGTCAAACTTAAAACTCCATACCTTCCATCAGCAATATATATATATATATATAATGCAATTGGAGCTAGCTAGCTCCTGGAACCACACACCAGATGGATAGATTGGATCCACACCATTCAAATCCATCTGGAGTTGGGAGTCCAGGGAGCTTCCGGCGATGGTAACTATGGTGGGTCAACCAAGCAAAAACATAGTCTTAATGGTTACAACCATTAAGACAGAAAACATCCGGAATTAGATAAGAATTAGCCTTCCAGAACACGAAGACCTCTAAATTTTCCATGGTTGTATTTATCTTGCCAAGATTTAAAGATACAGAGAGATGGTTACCTGTGTGTCCTGTAGATTTTTGTAGGCCTGCCTCCGGTGATGACTTTACTGTCCTATATGCAATACCTGCGCCCTCCTGGAATCACAGGATGAATGTAAGTTAAACCAAAACTTGGCATAAAATAATATATATATTTATTTATTTATATATTATATTATATGTATATATAAAGCCCACTGCCAGGGATCGTGAAAGTAAACGCTTTCTGCTCGTTGATACTTCAGCTTTTAATAATGCTCCGTGTCACCATCAGCCACTTCATCTTCTTTTTTAACCTCCGATCCTCTTTGGTGGGCGACTGAAGTTTATGCACAAAATTGGGTAAGCTAAGTGGGACTGGCTATGAATGGAGTGTATTCACTATTCAGGACCTTCTTCAGTACTCTTCTTTCTTCTGTTTTGTCGCTGTCAAAGTGATCGGATGTGATATCGAGTAGAGCTGTAAGAACGAGGGATTAATCAATCTGCCATGGGTAAGAAGAAGAATCATTTCTTCAATAATCATTGGCTACCAGTAATTGTGTGGATTTCTAGCCTCGTGAATACCTGCCAGGGGTTGTGCAATCAGCTCGATCGTGATTCCTTATCTTCGTTCAATCTCAGTATTTCAGTATCATCTCCCTTGAATTGGTCTCTTTCTGCAGACTGTTGTAGTTGGGAAGGCATTGCTTGTGATGACTCTGAAAGGGTTAGTTCTTTGTGGCTACCATCAAGGGGAATATCTGGAACCATATCTTCTTCTATTAAGAATCTCTCCAATCTTTCACAGCTCAGCCTTTCACACAATTCGCTCTCCGGCCTGCTTCCGGAAGAATTCTTCGGATCTTTCAAAAGTATGGAGGTTGTTGATTTAAGTCATAACCGTCTTACTGGAGGGATATCATCAACTGATGCTTTACCTAGTACTGTCCGGATATTCAACTTATCCAGCAACCACTTTCTTGGGATAATCCCGGCTACATTTCTTCAACAAGCTTCTAATCTGGAAGATTTCGACGTCAGCAATAACAGCTTCTTTGGATCCATTCCATCTTCTATATGCAGCTTTTCATCATCTATACAGTACCTTGATTTCTCCAGGAATGATTTTACAGGCCCTATTGTTCAAGGTATTGGAAAATGCTCGAACCTGAGGAATCTTCGTGCAGGTTTTAACAATTTGTCGGGAGATATCCCACCAGACGTGTACGCATTGTCAGCACTGGAGGAATTGTACTTGCCTGGAAATATACTCTCCGGGAAGATTGATGACAGGATTGTGAATCTCACCAACCTTAAAATGCTCATCCTGTACGGTAATGATTTGACAGGAACTATTCCTGAGGACATCGGAAGGATCTCCAAACTCGAGCAATTGCAGCTACATGTAAACCAGCTGATCGGTTATATTCCTCCTTCAGTCTCTAACTGCACGCGTCTCATAACTCTGAATTTAAGGGTCAACTCCCTGACGGGTGAACTTTCTTCATTCAATTTCTCAAGCTTTGTTCAGCTTAGGTCTATCGATTTGGGGAACAACTTGTTTACTGGAGGTTTGCCAGTAAGTCTCTTCTCGTGCAAGACACTTACAGCTATTCGGCTGGCGACAAACAGCCTGAGCGGCAAGATTCCGCAGGAGATAGTAGCATTGCAGTCTCTGTCATTCCTCTCCATTTCTAACAACAGCTTAGAAAACATCACCAGTGCCATCAGAATACTCACAGGATGTAAGAATCTCAGTACCCTGATAATATCAAAGAACTTCTACAATGAAGAATTGCCTGGCAGTGAAAGCTTGATAGGGCCTGATGATTTTAAGAATATCCAGGTGATCGGATTTGGTGGCTGTAATTTTACAGGTCCTGTCCCAAACTGGATATCTAAACTGACTGATCTAGAGGTTCTTGATCTGTCATACAATTATATCACAGGCTCCATTCCAGGATGGTTGGGGGATCTTCCAAACCTTTTCTACTTAGATTTGTCAAATAACCAAATTTCAGGATTCTTCCCCTTGGAGCTTGTGAGTCTAAGAAGGCTGGCTTTCCAGAAGAACTCTGATCAAGTCGACAGCAGTTACTTGGAGCTGCCTGTGTTTGTTAAGCCGAACAATATCACTAGCCTGCAATACAACCAAGTCTCGAATTTGCCACCTGCAATATATTTTGGAAACAACAGCTTAGACGGGCCTATCCCAGTTGAGATCGGTCAGCTGAAGTTTCTTGTTAAGTTGGATCTCAGTGGCAACAACTTCACAGGCAGCATTCCTGGCACATTGTCTAATCTCACCCGCCTGGAAACACTGGACCTGTCTGGAAACCATCTTTCCGGTCAGATACCAGCGTCGTTGAAAAATCTCTATTTCTTGTCTTCTTTCAATGTTGCCAATAACAATCTTCAAGGTCCCATACCAACAGGGGGGCAGTTCAACACTTTCCCTGTTTCAAGTTTTGAAGGAAACCCGGAGCTGTGTGGTCAAATTCTGCACCATTCTTGCTCAAAGGAGAGGAATTCCACCAGCCACTCTACAGTGACAAGAACGATCAAGAAGAAAAATATCATTATACTTACTGTTGTGATCTGTTCAGGCATGCTGATCTTGACAGTTTTAGTGTACTGGATATTTTCAAGGGGTATCCGACATAAGGGAGACGCGGAAAGAGCTGATCAGGATGGGTTCAATTCTTCAGAGGTGTTTCCTGAGGATACTTACGATACCAGCCAAGTTATATTATTTCCAGACAATGGCAACAAAGTGGAGAATCTCACAATATTCGACATCCTGAAAGCCACGGAGAATTTCAATCAATCCAATATTATTGGCTGCGGAGGCTTTGGAATGGTGTATAAAGCAACTTTGAGTGATGGAACTAATCTGGCAATCAAGAAGCTCTCTGGAGACCTCGGGTTGATGGACAGAGAGTTCCGAGCAGAAGTGGAAACTTTATCCACAGCCCAACACAAGAACCTTGTTGCCTTGCAAGGCTACTGTGTTCATCAAGGCGTCAGATTGCTGATATATTCATTCATGGAGAATGGCAGCCTCGACTACTGGTTGCACGAAAAGCCTGATGGTGCATCCCAGCTTTCTTGGCCTAGCAGGCTGAGAATTGCGTACGGAGCTGGCTGTGGAGTAGCTTATATGCACCAGGTCTGTGAGCCACGGATTGTGCATCGGGACATCACATCCAGCAACATTCTTCTTGATGATAACTTTGAAGCCCATGTGGCAGATTTTGGACTGGCAAGATTGATTCTACCATATCATACCCACGTCACCACTGAGCTGGTTGGAACTCTAGGCTACATTCCACCAGAGTACAATGAGTCATGGATAGCTACTTTGAGAGGGGATATCTACAGCTTTGGAGTTGTCCTGCTCGAACTGCTGACTGGTAAGAGACCTGTTGAGTTATTCAAGGAAGGCACATCGAGAGAATTGGTGAAATGGGTGCATCAAATGAAGAGTGAAGGCAAACAAGAAGAAATCTTCGATACTCACCTGAGAGGTAAAGGTTTTGAAGAAGAGATGCTGGATTTGCTTGAAGTTGCTTGCATGTGTGTCAACCAGAATCCTTTCAAGAGACCGATAATACAGGAAGTCGTTGACAGGATCAATGGTCTGTGGACAATCAGACAAGCAGCCATGTGAAGATCGTCACTGGAATCATCTTTCTATGGTAGATCAATCTGTTTTCAGCAAAGTTTTTGTCAGGAAGTGATTTATGCCATGCGCAATCATATGTAATTTTGTATATATGAAATACCAACTGCAGCAATTATAAAGAAGCTTCATATTCAATGCGACATACCTATTTGATGGGTGTATTTTACAGCCATTAACTTTCATGCTCTGAAATTTAACACAATATCTGTCTCTCTTGCCTGAGGTTGATCAGCTAAGGCTACCATTGAACTTACAATTAAGGTTTCCATCGTGAAAATCCAGAAGAACAACTTGGATGAAATGTAGACGACCATAATACCATCAGTTTGATGGATCTTCAGCTCCATCTTTAAAGAAATTTATGGTATTGCACCATCGGAGATTTGTCTGTTAGAAATAACAATGTCTTGTGCCCATGGATCTCAGTAACAGTATTTTCTTTGGTAGAATTTCCAGCAATTTTAACAACTAGTTGAAAACAGAACCCTATCTGGAAGCCATTTTCTCTACTAGAATTTCAGTATCTCAACAAAAAATTCTTCTTTCAGTTTTGCAGGTCTCATAGCTCCAGCTCTCCAAACTCTGAATTTCCTGTAGTTGCACCACAACAAAGCCTAATGCAAACCATTAACTTATCTGCCGACATATTCACCATGAAAACATGCATAATTGATTTTCTGAAAGCTAAACCAGAAGGTAATAATCCATTCACCGTACCTTTTGCTATGAATCACACAAAAAACATATACAAGCAATGTCACATTCGCTCATTTAAGTCATGTTACTGTAGTTCTTCTCATGTAAATTTTACATCAGGGAAGGAGACATCATTATTTCAATTCATGTAGTGCAAGAACACTTTATGTTGAGTTCATACCAACCTGACAAGTGAAAATATGACACACATGTTGACAAAAATATTCCTAGTTGATGCAATTTCTATTAAGAGGTTCTATATTTGCATATGCCTGATATCTCACTTTTTAGTCTTATAGTTTATTCTCTCTCAGTTGCAGTAACAAAGTGCATAGCATTGATAAGATTCAGAGTCTTAAGCAAAGATAATAAAAATAGAAGGAAGCCTCCTAACTCTTAAGGCCCTAATCATCCCCAGACTAGCTATGTTCTGATGAAGCTTCGTTTCTCCCTTGGATTATTTTTCCTATGTGTGATAGTTTTGTTAGCCATTCTTCATTTAGTTCGTACCTGCCATGGCTCCGGTAATCTTCTTGATCATGATCTTTAATCATTTTTCAATTAAAAACTCTTCATTGTACCTTCCTCGCATTCATCTATTTCAGCCTGCAGTTGAGAAGGTGTTAGGCTGCAATTACTATGGAATGGTCACTACTTTGTGGCTACTGTTAAAGAGGTCTATCTGGAAGCATATCTCTTTCCCACAACTGGCTTTCAAACCCTCTTTCAGGTTTTTTTCCTACCTTAACCATCTGCAGGTTGTTGGTTCGAGGCAGTGATCATCCATCTAAAGGGCTAAGAGCAGCAACAGTGGCTTTCCTATCCATGGACTTCTTCCATCAAATCTATTTTTTCTATTAAAGCAAAAAAAAAAAGTTGTGGCACAGTGGCCTACTTTGTGAGCAAAAAATATAGGACTTGGCTTCTGCCTGGTGCAGGCGACAGCTAGAAGAAGCTAAGAGATAAAAATACAACCATTGTGGTTGTTCTGGTGTAAAAAAATTGTGTCAGATAAAAAAGTCGTTGGGCCCATAGACAGGTCAACCTGAAGTTTCTTTGGATTCTGAAACCTGTGACCACAATGACTTCTCAGGTAGCATTCCGACCACTGTATTCAATCTGAAAAGGCTGGACCTCTCAGGAAACCAGCTGTCCAGCAAACTTCCAGCTTCGCTGGAATCCCAACTTCTTATCCTATTTCAACATTCGATACAACAATCTTCAGTAACCTGATCCTACTGGAGGCCAGTTCCTCCACGACACAAAACAAGATTAGGCCTGAAAACAACACAAAATGATCAACTAGCTTTTCTTCAAGATATGTTACGCAGTCTAGCTTGATTTTTACTGTACTGGTGCGTCTGAAATTGGTATCCACAGTATAATATATTCGGAGTATCTTATCTCAGTTTCATGGAAGGAAAATGCACAACTACTCTCATTCAATGCAAAAATTTTATCTAAGCCTGTTATAAAAATATATAATAATAATAAATAAATAAAATCTAAGCCAGGCTTCAAATAGGATCTATTACAAAGAACTGCATTATAAAATTGCATGATTAATTAAGTTCATTCAATGCAATCACTTTAGCCAAGCCAATTACAAAAAGGATTCAATACAATGAGATGCATTCTATAATTAAAAACTCATGACTTCAGCCAACATACAGAGGCATATAAACTGAAGACTAATAAACAGCTGTTCATGCCTAAATTTAAACAAGATATACAGTATTCTCCACCGATTTTACTCTATCACGTCACATGATTTGAATCAAAGGCAAACAAGAGACAATCGGTGTTAACGAACGCGCATGTATAATGTATAATCTCTTTAATTGAAAATTGTTAGGAATTAAGCACGAAATAGGAAAGCGTTGCTTACAACGAAAAAACGTGAATCATACTGTTAAGAGAAGGAGAGATACATAAAATATCCAATGGCTTTGAATTTTTATCCGTCCTGAATCTCATCCTGAGACTCCGATGCCATTCCAAATCACTCGAAATGATACTAGAGATCTTCTCCTCTCATCCTGTGACTCCGATGCCATTTCCAAATTACTCGAAATGCTGTTACAGCTCTTCATGTCCTGAAATGATCCTCGAACTCCGGCGCCATTTCCGAATCACTAGAAATGCTGTTAGAAGAACTCTTACGGTCCTGAATCTCGTCCCTCAAGGCTCAGACTCCGGTGCCATTTCCAAATCACTCGAAATGCTGTTAGAACGTATTCGGAATTTCGTTCGCGCCACGTTTTCCCGGACAAAAGACGCTGCTGAGTGCTGAGGAATTGATTGCAAGCATATGAAATACACACCCACCCCACCCACATGTATTATATTTATACATATCGTGTCCGCAGATTAAAGGGACGAACATGGGAAATGGGCCAACAAGCCCAATGTTTCTAATAATCCACCCCAAATTTGAATGCTCTGACCCATTACATCCTATAGATATCATTGAATTTATTGATCGTCTATGGATTATGGGATTGAAGTTTGTTTACCTAACAATTTTTTTTTTTAATTTTGTTGTTCAATTTTTTAAAATATATCACATTAAATGCAATATTTTTTTATTCAAATATAATACTATCATCATTCTATTGTAATCTAAATTTATTCAAAAATATTCTATGTTTTTTTTTTTAGTAAAAGAAATATTGATTTTTTCTTTATTTTTTGTTATAAAAATATACATATTTTTTTTTACTTATTTTTTTTAAAATCCGTACACAGTCAAAATAGATATAGATATCAACGATGAAAGGAATATTAAATATTACCGTGTATTCAGTTAAAAAATAAAAAAATATTACTATATATTAAATAATTTTAACATTTTTGCTTCCAAATGCAATAAATACTTTTACTATACATATGTATATATATTGATTATTTTACTTTCAACACTACTCGAAAGTACTTACAGAGTAACTAAATCCGAAAGTACGTACCGAGTAACTAAATCTGACACTCAAGTCACTAAACTTACCATATCTACCAGGTGACATGAGGTGTCGAAAATTTGAATGCTCACGATAACACGTCCAACCCCGACACGATCCTTACTGGACTACTTTAATATATTTTTGAATGATACAAAAGAAAATAGTAAATTTGGTAAGGAGATAGTATAATACTTTCTTACCGACAACAGTTCCTATATATCTAAGGCTTCCTCCGTAACTTCAACCAGTCTCCCCCTGATCCATTTCTTGATCATTTTCCCTTGTTTCTTCATCCCTTCCCCCATCTTCGATTCGTACTCGAACCCGCAGGCCATCGACGTGCGGTGGTCCTCTAAGTCGTACAAATCCAAGCTCCGACGGATTGCCTGTTCAGTTTTTTGTATATCACCATGGCAGGGGTGTAATGTGCTTCCATTTTCCAAATCTTTCAAGAAAAACTCACTGATCCTGAATCCCTCGACTCTGATGTTCGCCGGGTATTGGCTGCAAATTCCATTAGCTTCGACAGCATTCTGACCTCGATGATCTCGATAGCTTTCTTGATAATTTAGTGATGGATCATTGCCAAAAGGGATCAGATCTTCATCCTCGATGGATTCGAGGAAGTGATTTGCTTTCGCGATTAGTATCCTGCTCTCTACTAAGGTTGCCTGAACATTTCGACTGTTCTGTCCGGAATCTTCTTCAAGCGCCATTGCAGCAGCCTCAGCTTTCGCAATCAACAGCCTGCAGTTATTAACCGAAACAGCAACTTGAAGTTTCGAAATTCATATATAGTTTTGTAAAGGAACTCACTTTGCTCGGGAGATGGCTTCATCTTTCTTGTTCTTGACAGCAGCTCTTTGTGCTCGAATCTTTGCTAACTGAGCTTCGTTAGATTGGATTCCATGCTTTTCAAGATCACTAGTCTCCATGTTTCTTGCAGGATGCCTTTTAGGCCCTTCTGATGAAACCTTACCCCGATATTCCTGGTGGCATGTACATCGATAAATCATTCTTCTAGGGGAAACAAAATTTATAAGAAATAAGATCTTACGGGATCAGACAGTTTAGAAGATATAGCCTCTGAAGATTTCCTTTTCTGCTCGGTGGATTTGGGGGCTCTCTTGACCCCTTTTGCCCTCGTTGTATTATTTCTTGTCCTAACACTTTGCAAGTGTTCATGCTCAAGTTGTTTATTCAAGGTCTTGTAAGAATCCCATTCGAATTCTTGCTCGCCACAAAGGCCATCACGAGCTGCTTCTGCGATTAGATTCTGCCACTCGTAGAGGCAGGTGTCTTGATTCTTCAAATTTTGCTTTCGTTTTTCCCACTTCAGTCGGACAGCCACTCCGATTTTCTCTTTTGTTGCTTCACTATACAGTGAGTAAGAAAGACAGAAGAAATTGTATGGATTATACTTGAAACAGAAAATGAACCCGATATCATGCAAGACTAAACTTATTTTAAAGAGTTGAGTTGCAAGAACTCACGATTGGGCATTTCCTAAGTTAATGAACTTCATCTTCATTCTAATCTGCATTGTTGAAAATCATTTCCCAAATGCATAATATGTCTTTAACAAGACGATTCTAGAACAACTATAGTGCCGTTATCAGAAGAATGGTTACTCCTTCACGACAATTCCAGCCAGAGAAGATAATACTTATGATTCTATTCAACAGAAATGCATATGATAAGATCTATGCACTAAGAAATAAACATGTCTATTTAATCTGAATGTGCAGTGGATCGTTGTCTATGATATTAATATATACCAATTAGCTCGATTCGTGCTTTCAAAACTCCCTTAATTTCTTACATGACATCACCTTAGGATCTTGCATTGCAATCCTGGTCCTCTCCTTAATCCGCTGTATTGTTTCTGCACACATTTTGGGTTCATCAACAGCTAAGAACCTACAGTTGAGAAACTTCAAGATATATTCATACAAACAATCTATGAGTTCATTACCTGCACTGTGCTTTCTACCCTTGTTCCATGCTACCATTCCTTTATTGGCCCTAGAAATCCTCTTCCGTCTCAACTTCTCTCCTTCAGCCATATTATCACTTGAAAATTGCTGCTCAACTATTGAAGGATTTAACTGGAGCAAACCAATATCCCCCTTGGACATGTCATCATCCTTTACCTCTTCAGTTTTACAAGCACAGCTTGCAATTTCGAAGGTCGCAACTCGTCTAGAATTGAAACTTTTACCCAATTTTTGGGGGACACAAAATGCTTTACTATATAGTGCAGATGAAAATGCCAAACTCCGATCACTAGCAACTACAGTTTGATTTTTAACACCATGAACTGCTGGCGTAAATGATATATTATCGCTGCGAAAGCAATAAGAATTATGATAAATTACAAGACCTGCAGGATAACCAGAAACATTTCACAGCTTCAGCACAATTCCGAAGTTCCCTAATTCACTATTCAGCAGTTATCGGAATACAGAGAAAACGCAAAAGATAATCCAAGAAAAAGGAAAAACTTTAAGAATTATTGCTTAATTACCTAATGGAGGCATGGCAAGAACATTAAGATTCAACCTAGATGGATGAGCGCAGAAATGCTTCAGGAAATGTCGACGGAGATGCAAATTACGCTTCCGCTAACACAGTGGCTGAGGTTCTTCATTCTTCACTGTAGCTGTCCCTTTGCTTATTTATCGCTTCCGCTTCCGTACTATTTAACCAATTGGTTACTGGGCTATTATTTTGGGCCTGAAACCATACTTTATTTCGGCCCAATAAATTATTATGACCCAATTGAAGAATATTCACTCATGTTGTCTACTGAACTAGCTAGCCGAGCTCAGTTCGACTTTGGCCCATAAAAAATCATATAAGCCCAATTAAATTTGTATTTTTTTAATAAAAATGCCTTGTAATTTATTTTTTATATAGGTTATAGGTTCAAATCTCAAAACATTTATTAGAAAATATCTAAATCAAATACAATTTATATGTATATACATATATACAGACAATTAGTCATTAGAGAGGTCAATGGAAGAATATATAACCTCTGATTCAAAATTGGTTGCTGGTGTAGACTTGTAGTCTTCTCTCTCCAAAGCATCCTAAAAATTGAAGACCATTCAATACGACGTCGTCTCGTCATTACTATCCCATCATTCATAATTCATATATATATATATATATATATTTATTTATATTTATACAAACTTCATCTTGATCATCGATTATCCATCGAATTTCTTGAAGAAATTTAAACAATCGATAATTTAATTTAGTTATTCTATCAGAGATCTCGCCATCATCAATGGAGGATAATTCTGCAAAATCAAAAGACGACCGTCTGAGCGAGCTTATGGGGAAGATAATGGTGATCGGACTCGTCACCGTCGTCTTCCTCGCGATTTTCATCGTCGGTATTAGACTGATCGTCTGCCGCCTCTTCCCGCGGCGGCGACGCCAAAACACCGCCGGCGCCGCCACTCGCCGCAGAGCGGAAACATCTGCGGTGTGGCCACACGGCCTAAACCCTAGCCGCCTGAAAACCCTTCCCGTCGCCGTCGTCCGCGGCGGAGAATTCGACGGCGGAGACGGCGGAGTATTGGAATGCGCGGTGTGTTTGAACGAGATCTCCGCCGGAGAGACGGCGAGGTTTCTACCGGAGTGCCGCCATGGCTTCCACGTCCCCTGCATCGACACGTGGCTCCTGTCGAATTCCACTTGCCCTATCTGCCGGAACCCTATATCAGATCGGGATTCTCCGGCCCCCGGAGTAGATAGTCGACGGGAGTCGGCCGGCGACGGCTCGCCGGAGATTGATATTCCTGGACAGGTGACGGCGGATCAGCGGCGAGAGGGAGACGATGATGACGACGATCGGACGTCGCCATTTTTAGAAAGACTCAGGTCGATTAATAGGCTCTTCAATGGCGGCGCTGCCGCCGGCAATGCATCGGCGAAACATAATCCTTCCGGTTCGGACATTGAACGAGGACACACATAAACCAGGTGTGTTTGGATTTTTTCACTCTTCTTTTTGTAAATAATAGATAGTTGATTGTTTGATATGATTTTTGTGAGAAAAAAAAAAAATGCTATCGAAAAAATTTGTTATGCCAATTTTTTTAGAAACATATGTACTAACACAATAAGTAATTTCACAATAAGAGACTACTTTTGGAATTACTAACACAATAAGACTACTTTTGGGACTAATTGAGTAGTATTTTAAAACAAACTAAATCGAAATTGATAATTATGATTGAATAGGGAAAAAATAATTTTTACTAAAAAAATTTATAATAAAATAATTTAATCCTTAATTTTGAAAATAAAAAATATTAATATTATTCTAAATTATAAAAAAAAAAATATATCTTATATATATAATAAGACTTGTTTCAAGAAATTTTAAACTATCTTTTACAGAACCCAGAAAATTTATCTTCGTACCATTTAAAATATATTTAAGAATAGTTACTAATAAAATATAACAACTTTACAATAGACATAAAAAAATTCAAACAATAATAAAATAGAATAAACAATCAAAAAACTAAACTAAATTGGGAAGGGGCCGCGCGCACGCAGGCCCCGCTGTCACAAATTACGATGTAGGTTCGATCACTTGGACCGACCTTGAGCCAACAACCTTCCTAAGTGCAATGGAAGTTGCTAGCCCAGGCTATGGGTCATTTTGATCACCCATTAACCCCATCCAGGTAAGTAAGTAATTAAGCCCCACCACGCCTCAATTTATAGACCTGTGTGCCATAGAAGTTCCTTCTACTTTCCGATGTGGGACACTGCATCAACTTATTTTACAAGCTGCTCTGAGCTGACCTCTCTTCTATTGGGCCTTCGCATTTTGAAATTTTTCCAGGTAGAAAATATTAAAATACCTATCGGAATTATATTTATAATTAGGCTTCTTATTTAAATGTGTGATTAAAATTTCAAGAGTATTGAAAATGTGTGTTTCTTTAATTTTTTTTTATATTACTTAAATATTTGATTTTATCTTCAAACTATAACTACTAGATAATGAAATTTTTTAATTTGAGTATAAATTTTTTATTAAAAATTTAATTTAAATAATATTTTAATAATAAATAATATTTTTTAGTAAAAATATGCCAATTGAATAATATAAATTTAATTTTGAATAAAAAATAAACAAACCCTATTTTTTTTATTTACCATGCATTAATCCTCTATAAAAATAATTTATTTTATCTCATAAAAGTATCTAACTATGATTTAAATACAAACCAAAACATATATGTTGCTATCTATTTAATGGTCCGTTTACAATACATAGAAGTACAACTCCTATACAGTGGATGTATGCTTCCGATGTTTTTAATGTGGGATGGATTTAGTTTTTTTTTTTTTTTTTTTTTTTTCTATTATTATTTCTCTTTCACCATCAAACATAGCACAATTAATTATTGAAATTTATATGCATTTGACATAGTATAAATTTTAAGAAAAATGTATTAATTTTTTTTTAATGGTAAATAAAAAATAGAAAAATTTTGTATTTTTATACTAAATAAAAAACTGATAAACTTTTTTGTGACAATCGAAAAAAAAAACTAAAAATAAATTTAAATGATATAGAGAATACTAAATAAATAAATGTGTTAGTTTGAGGGATTTTAATAAATTTTTATTATTCATACATTTTAAAAAAAAAAAAAAAAAAACCAATTCAAATATTATTTATTTATTTATTTTTTATTATACCCTCTATGTTCATTTTAATCGATACATTTTTCTATTTTTGTTTGTTTATAGTAATTGATATATTTTTTTTTATATAAATTTCATTAAACCAAATATACTTAATAATCATCTTTATAAAATGTACATCACGTCACATAGGGGCTACTTAAAATCCATTTATTTTTATCTCTCATATAAATAAATATTTTTATCAACATTTAATATTTCACATCATTTATAAAATTAATATATCTTAATAATAGATAAATACACGTATTTTTTATTTATTTGTATTATAGAAAATTTTATTCTCTATAAAATAATATTCATTTTACATATTTTTTATTACTATATAATTTTTAAAATATTTAAATATATATTCTAAATTTTTTATTATATAAAAATTAATAAAATAATATTATAATTTATTATTATTATTAAATAATTAAATACTTCCTGGTTACAGTTTTCTATTTTCGTCCGTCCCAAAACAAGGTTATCATTTCCTACCTACTTAACATAATAAATATCCCTTCAACTTACAATATATTACACAAATGTCATTATTTTTATATTACACCGTACTAATAAAAATATTTTTGTCTTTTTCACTATAATCCAATATAATACTAATATTTAAAAATCTACGTGCAGAAAGCAAATATCACTCTTCCGCGACGAAGGAATATTGTTTCATTAAATACCTTATTATTGACAAAAGAGTCCATTGTCTCGAAACAAAAAGAGGACACTGTAAGACATATCAGTTAAGCTATGAAAGCAAATCATATAAAAAAAATAGCAAAAAAAAAAAAAAAAAAAGAGAAGAAAAAGAAGGAGATTCTTAACAGAAATAGGATTACTTATTTAAAAATAGAAACTTATTTCATAGAATCGAACATAAAAGAACACAAAATACATTTCATATAGCATCGATATTGAATCGTTTAACCAACTATTTAAATAAGATAAAATTACAAATTTATCCTTATTGAAATAGATCATCCAATTGGATCAACGTTCAATCTAACGATAAAAATTAAATCAGTACGATTATATAAATAATAATTTATTTTTTTTTAAAAAAGAAAAACCGTCAGTAACAGCCGCCCTTAGTTAAACATACCCATCACACACCACATATATATATATATATTATTTTTTCCGTTTCACACCTATAGTATAAGTTATGTTTGATTAAGCAAATATAAATAAAAGATTTTTTTGTCGAATGTATTAGCGTAAAAAATAGTGATAATTGTATAATAATAATAATAAAAAAGTAAATATAATCTTATAATAATATAATTATTTATAAAAATAAAAATATTAAATAAGACTAGTGTATTGAAAATAGTTACATTTGGTATGAAATTTTCTTTTTAGCTTTGTTGGGTTGTGGGAAGCCTATCAGAATGTGTTTCCTTCAGCTACAGCTGGACCATACACATATATATACCTCTCTCTCTATATATATATTTTTATATATATAGATTCTTACTGCGTGCTTGCCCACCATTAATGTACAACTCATGCTGCACACGGTACCACATCCAAAGCTGTAACGAATTGCAGCCGTCGATCCACTATGTACCAACACTCAGTATAAATACGGCAAGCAAAGCACGAGCCATTGCCAAGCCTGCAAAAGCGCGTCTCGATCCAATCGAGCTCAACGAAGTTGGCCATGGATTCCGTCAATTCCTTCAAAGGCTACGGCAAAGTCGACGAGCTAGAAGAAGCTGCGTTCCGGAGAAAAACTCGCCGGCGATTCATCATTCTCTCGATCTCCTTAGTTGTGTTGATTGTTCTCATTATCGGAGTTGTTGCAGGAACTTTGGCTCGGAGGAACAGATCCGGCGAAGTTCCGGCGAGTCCGACGTCGTCGTCCGCAGCGATTAAGTCTCTCTGCAGCGTGACAGAGTATCCTGAATCGTGCTTCGCGAGTTTGAAGGCTTCGAATTCGACGAATCCGGATGAGATTTTCCGGTTGTCGTTGACGGTGGTTATGGATTCATTGGAGAAGCTATCGAGTTTTCCAGACGAGCTCGCGAAAAGGACGGAGGAGCCGAGGGTGAAGGCGGCGCTGAAGGTGTGCGGTACGGTGCTAAACGACGCCGTTTCGGTTCTGAACGATTCGATTTCGTCGGTGAGCGAGGATGGTGGAAAGGTCGCCGTCGACGACTTGAAGACGTGGCTGAGCGCCGTCGTGACGGATCAGGAGACGTGTATCGACGCGCTGGAGGAGGTGAATTCGACATTCACCGGAGAAGTCAAGCATCTGATGAAAAACTCCACGGAGTTCGCGAGCAACAGTCTGGCAATTGTCTCGAAGGTTCTAGGGATTTTAGGCGGTTTCAAAGTTCCGATCCACCGGCGGTTGCTCGGAGCGCCGTTCCCGGAGTGGACTGCAGCAGGCGACCGGAGGCTTCTCCAGGAGTTCGCACCGCCGCCGAATGTGACGGTGGCGGCGGACGGCAGCGGAGATGTACGGACAATCAAAGAGGCGGTGGATTTGATACCGAAGAAGAGCGAATCTCGATTCGTTATCCACGTGAAGGCAGGAACGTACGTGGAGAATGTGGTGTTGGACAAATCTCGGTGGAATGTGATGATTTACGGCGACGGCCAGGACACCACCATTATTTCCGGCAGCAAGAACTTCGTGGACGGCACGCCGACCTTCGAAACGGCGACGTTTGGTTAGCCTTCTATCTACACTGCTTATCATTTACAGAGTGAGCAGTCACGCTCAACCCTTTATATCTCTAATCAAAGTCAAATAGGCAAAACACTAGCATTTAAAAAATGATTACTTCTTGAGTAATTTTAAAACTAAAAAATAAGATATGTAAGCAGACATTTTCGTAATTTTAAAATTTTTCTTTTGTAAAAAAAAAAAAAAACAAATATTTAACCTAATAATTTTTTAAAATTACTATTTAAATAGTATCAGAAACTTAAAAAATTATCTAGGAAAATAAAGCTTTAATATTTAATACTACTTTCGCCTGATTTAAGGGTTTATTTATTTTTTGTGTATTGATCATTAAATATTAATTATTATATAAAAATATAGTATAAATAAAGAAAAAATGACAAAATTATTTTTATTAATGTTTTGTAATACTATTATAATAATATTTGTAAAAAAAATTTATAAAAAAATATTTTAATGTTAAATATAATAATACAAAAAGTAAATAACACGTTAGAGTTAGACTGAAAAAATATAATATTAAAAAAATATGAACAATAATAATGTAAAAAAAATATATGTAAATACAAGTCTATTTATAATCTCAAACTTGACGTGACATTTGGCAAATTCCATGTGTAATAGCCGGCCAATGACCGCTAAAACATGTTAGAATTCAGATCCCACCATGTGCTATAAACCAAAATTAATATGTTTGTCTGTCGATAAGACTATGATTGCCCATTTAATGAATTCAATCTCCATCTCCACCTTTAGTCTAACATATTCATCAATTTGTATTACATCTCGTGTAGATTATTAAAATATATTATCAGTTATTTTTATATTATTGATTTTTCTTTTATGTGCTATCAATACACTTCTCCAATCCCAAATATATACAACATATTTGTATCTACATTGATAGATACAAATTGTATGCATATATAATGAGGGGTACAGACAATTTCGCTTAGCATAGTAAAATTTTGAATTTTACTATAATTTTGCAGCCGTCGCCGGGAAAGGCTTTATGGCGCGCGACATAACCTTCAAGAACACGGCGGGCGCCGCCAAGCACCAGGCGGTCGCCTTCCGATCGGGCTCCGACCAATCGATTCTCTACCGTTGCACATTCGACGCCTTCCAAGACACTCTCTACGCGCACTCGAACCGCCAATTCTACCGCGAGTGCAACATCACGGGCACAATCGACTTCATCTTCGGCAACTCCGCCGTCGTCTTCCAAAAATGCGCAATCCTCCCTCGGCAGCCGCTCCCCAACCAGTTCGTGACCATCACCGCGCAGGGCAAGAAGGACCCGAATCAGAACTCGGGGATCGCCATCCAACGGTGCACGATGGCCCCTCTCGACGCCCTCACCGCCCCGACGTATCTGGGCCGTCCGTGGAAGGACTTCTCGACCACGGTGGTCATGGAGACCGAAATCGGGGGGTTCTTGCACCCGAAAGGGTGGATTTCGTGGGTCGCGAATGTGGACCCGCCCGAATCCATTTCGTACGGGGAGTTTCGGAACGCCGGACCCGGGTCAAATACTACGGGCCGGGTTTCTTGGGTCGGGTATAGGCCGAGGATGAGCGATGCTGAGGCGGGTAAATACAGCGTTCAAAGGTTCATTGAGGGAGCTTCTTGGTTGCCAGGTAAGAGTGTTACTTACGAGCCTAATTAATTGATTCACCATTTTGTGTATACTTATTATGTTTTTTGATTGATGATTGTGCTTTTTATTTGTGTACATCTTCGCTTGATTAAAGATTATAAAGGATGTGTTTGCTTTGTCATTTTTTTTAGAATTATTTTTTAATTATTCAATTCTATATCATTTTTTTAAAAATAAAAATACATTATTTCTCATTATAAAAAATATTAAATTTTAACCACTAGTGAAGCAAAGAATTAAGTCAAAATTTAAAAATAATCAGCAAGTAAATACAATTGCCTTCACTAGTTACATTTACAAAACCTTTAAAAAAAAATCTTGAAGTAAAAAAAATGCCAAAAAAAAAAGAATATGAGAATGAGGAATATTATTTTTTACACTTAATATCTAGTAAATATTACTTGTATTTCAAACCCAAAATATCACACCCATTTATTATATAAGCATACTAAAAATTTTATATAGTCGTTACCTTTGCAATTATAATACAACGTCCCTGTGTGTTCTATTATGAAAGGAATATATAAATTATGAATGCAACATTTTTTTTAAAAAAAAAATACATATAAACATTTCATGCAATTCTCTTTTAAAATATATAATTGTGCAAAAATAAATATTACTAAATAAAAGAATATTTCCTTTTAACTTTGTGTTTGTGTTTTTGTAATTTAATAGTTGGATGTGATGGTATTTATCTTTAGTATTTAAATAGTACTTGATGTGATCTTTGGTGGGATGAAGTAGTTTATTTTTGAAGAATAACGAGGATTGCAACACCTTAAAAAAAAAAAAAAAAAAAAAAAAAAAAAAAAAAAAAACCCAACAGAATTACAGTTCTAAAGCTTAAAAGGTGACACAAAAAATGTATCAGAAAAAAAAGGACTGAAATAGAGAATAGGGTGCTTAGTCTGAATAAATTCAGCAAAATACATGCATTTTCTTGTTCAACTAAAATCTTTTAAAGAGTATCAGCAAGGCACAAAAACATGTCCAAACACAGAAATACCGAGAATTTCGGCCAAGGAAAATACCTGATGGCTGGGGACACAGTGGACAGGGGCGGGTGATATTAGTCAAGGACTCATAAGTCATAGGCGATTGATAACTTCTTCGACCTCAGAAGGAGAGTAAAGATGGTACGTTGGTGATACCTTTGCAATATCAACGTTATTTGGTGTGACCTAACATCCGAATAAATCGCGCATAAATTATGATTGATGCATTGAAAATGCAAATTAGGGAACTAATGGGAAAAATGAAAAATATAAAAATAATCAACCTTTTCCTCCATAACTTGCTTCAGAATGGAAAGGGCAATGGTTTCAGCTTCTTTGAGAGTTAGATCCTGTGATAAAAAGTAACTTTTAAAAATATTTTCAACTCATTGACTCGACACTATGCAATGCATAACAAAATGAAATTTTCATCCAAAAAACATCATTTTAAACTCAATACAAAGGCAGCCATTAGTGCAGAATAACACAGCATATAGTATATACACGAACAACACAAAACAAATAATACAATTTATATTTTATATAATACAAATACAGCCTATTAACTGATAGTTCACATATCATATATTATAGCAGCACAAATATACATCACACAAATAATACAATACAATATTTTATGCTGACTCGGTAATCAGCACCATAACCAGTACACAATACAAAACATCACATACCACTACTATTTTATGCTTAATAATTCAAATTTAAAATAACTCAAAACATCCCAAAAAACAAGTAAACACAACCCAATTATATCGACTTCCATGCGAAAAGCCATTAAAGATTTAAATTTCGCAACAGTCTAAAGAAGTGCGCAGGTACTCTATTCGACAAAAAATAGGAAGTAATAAAACAGAACAAATACCTTATTGTACTGTTCTTGAAGAGTGCTGTCAGCACCTTCTGAACCTGATCCGATGGCCTTCGCATTGCATTGCCAGAATGTTCCAGACGGATCCGTATAGTATCTACACGTGGTAGAGATTACTATGAATTATGCTTATCTTGATTAATACACAATGTAAAATGTATCGTATAATATTGATACTGAAACAGCATTTTTCTTAATTTTCAAGTCCGAACATGGATGACTTCTTTATCAAACAGACAAGAAAGTTCCAATTTGTCTCTTTTCACGATAAAGTGTAGATCAAAGATCCAGCCATCAATATATATATACTCTTCTGAATCAATGAACAGACATCTTTCTTAAAATTTTAAAAGAATAAATACTTACAAGCTTGGACCATTCTCATCATGGCCAGCAATGAGGAGAGACACACCGAAAGGCCTGGACTGCATAAAATAAAACAAATCTTAACAACAATAAAAATCTGAAGCATTCAAAACTAGTTTTCTCCAAAACTAAAATGCTATGAAAGAATGTGAGCACTGAGCAATTAAACTTAAGTATTAGATAGTTTTAGAACTACTTCGAGACCATTTGCTCAACTACAATCCACACAACTGAACACTTTCAGGAAACATATAATAGAGGTGACGGAAAGGAATAACATTATATGGCATTTAACTACAAATGTAGCATAAATAAAGAAGGGATTTGAAAGGTGAGGAAGTATGGAAAATTTTTTAAAAGGATACTCTGAGCATAATCTACCATCAATACGAAAAAAGGACTGTAAATTATTTCAAGCTCAAAAGACCAAAAAAAAAAAAAAGAAAGCAAAATGCATCATAAGTTCTCTGCAAAAGCGACAAGGTCCTTACCATGGATTCTTCGTCTCCCTCCCCAAATCGCAATGCAAGATCGCAGATAGCTTGAGTAGTGGATTCAATTGTCATGGGCTCACCATACGAAAACCTATGATTCTACAAGGCATGGAATCCACAAATTTTACAATTCTAGATGCTAACAACAAAGACACCAAGGGTGTGTTCGTTTGTAGGATTTAGATAAAATCCTACTATTCATCCAAAAATTTCCCCCCAAAAACATCAAATCAAACCCCTATTTTTCATTTTTTATATTATATTAAAAATCAATTTTACATTCAAAACATCACATCAACACCTATTTATATCACATCATACAACTATTCAAATTCAAAATTTTTACTATTCAAATCCCAACTTAAAATCCAAACCCCCAAACAAACACACCCCAAATGGTTTTAATGCAATCATAGTATAAAAGTACTTGAGTCTCCACTCGAGCATGTTCGACCAGTGTACGTGCATCAGCAATTAGCCCGCTCATAGCACAACCAATATGTTCATCAATTTCCATAATTTTCTCAACACTGCTAGGCTCCTGCAGACAGTTCAAGAACAGAAATATTCATTCAAAGCACAGTCACAATTTTGTGTCTTTTCTATCATATCATTGAAACAGTAGCCTGATTTCAAGAAATTCCATCAACTCAAAGGAATCCAACAAAAATTCAGAAACGGAGTATCTGAACAAAAGATATGCTAAAAAATAATCACAGGATTTTGATATTGGATTTAGAAATTGAAGTAAGCAGATCCTTCAAACGAAGATAAAATTAATTCAAATGGACAACGGAAATCAACGCACCAAAAGTGGCGATGTAATGCGCTTCTCAACAGCAAGCACCACTCCTTCCTTGGTCTTCAATCCAATTGCAGTTGAACCCAACTATAACCACAAAAAACAAACAAAAATCTAACCATTCCAAATAAACCCTAGGAATGAAAAAAAAAAAAAAAATGCACGAAGAGTTTATCATCCGCACAATTGAGATCAACCTTGATTGCCTCAATTGCATACTCGACTTGAAACAATCGGCCTTCCGGCGAGAAAGTATTCACTCCTCTATCATACTCAGTCCTTGCCGTTTATACAAAAAAATAAAAATAAAAATGTCAGGACTTCTTCAAAATCAAACAAATCACTCAAAATCTGACCAAAATCAATCAAACTTACCTCGTGAGGAACATCTTCGACACAGCAACCTAGAGCTTCAAACGAAAGCCTGCAGAGAAATCAAAGTGCAGCTTAAAATAAAACAACTCCCGAGGAGAAAAACACAAACAACAATACAGATCTGAATCCAACCAACCTCAAGTATTCCGACCGTGAAGAATGAACTGAAGGAGAATCCGAATCCTTTGGGGTATTTTTTATCTTTCTGGCCACAGTCCCTTCTTGCCGAGCAAGACAGTGAAAACGAAGCCCATGAACCGGGTATTCGGGTGACCCGAATAAAGAAACCCGTTTCGGCATTTCTAATTGGGCCTAAACCCATTCCTATTATCAGCTTTAGTCTAAGATCCAAAGCCCAAATCCTACTATTAGCCCAAATTTTCATTACTCTTAATTCTAATGCCCAATGTTTATTGCTATTATTATGAAATTTAAAAATAAATTAAAATAAAGTTAGATTTTATTTGCACTTTATACTGTGGAATTTATATTATTTGTAAAAAAAGATTATTAATATTTTAATATTAAATAAAACGTGAGTTTTAAAAAAAAAAAACTAAATTAAATAAGAAATTTTTTTAGGGTGTGTTTTGTTTACGTTTGCATTTGAATTTTTTATTTAAAATTTGATTTAATATTTTATGAGTAAAAATCATGTATTTATGTTAAAATTCGGAAAAAAATATATAGTAAAGAAAAAAGGCTAAAATCAGGTGAAGATATCCCTAAATTTTTCCAAAACACAACTGGTCATGGATATATATATTTTTAATATTAATAAAACTATTTATTTATTTTAATTGTATTTATTATTATTTTTATTAATATACTTTTAAGTTATTTATTAATTATATATTATCTAAATTCATAGATTTACAATGATGTAGACAATTTATCTGAAAAATACTATTATCAACTTCAAATTAAATTTATGGGTCCGACACACCCTCAACCTCCATTTATTAACACACACGAGGACAAAAAAAACCTGTCACTAATCCATCACTCGGTGATAAATAATGTTGTGTTACAATATTATTTTATATTATTATAATTATTTATTTTTTTAATGAATATATTGTTATATTATACTATATAATATAAATATAATATTTTATATTAAATTGTTATTTTTTATAAATAAATAAAATATATATTATATCAATAAAAAATTATTAGATGAACATAATTTTATTTACCGTATTGTTTAAATAAGTCTCCCTCCCACTAATAATAACCAAAGCAGACAAACTAACCCATCACAAAAAGCAAAGCAAACCCAACCTCACTCACTTCTCTGCCACTGCCCCTCCACTATATATTAAACTGTTCTCTTGTCTTCTCTTCCACCGCCATTAATGGCTGCGAAGCTGTCTCGTCTTCTTCTCCAACCATCTCCTTTTCCAATTGCAATTCCGACTCACCACCATAATTCAACCTGCACCAGATTAAAGGCAATCAGAGGAAGAAGAAGAAGAAGATCAGCTGCGGTCAAATGCGCTACTGATTACGATGATAGTGAAGAAATTCACGCCTTCTCATCAGTAGATCTTCAGATCAGATCTTCGATTAACAGCAACAATAACATCAACAGCAAGGTACGTATCCGAATGTGATCGATCGATCGATCGATCTAGGATTTTCTCAATATTGACATCAATTGAAAGCGATTGAATGAATTAACTTAGAATTTAAGGTATTGGCGGAATTGATTGAATGAATTACGAAGGTTGTGTTCGAAGATAGAGTGGTTGGGATTGTTTGCTACAGAGATGAAGTGAGTGGAGAAATTACCTGTGAAGGATACGACGAAGGGCCCCGATTTTTGCGTCCAAGCATTTCCAAATTTGGGTTTAATCCCATCGCCAGGTACTAATTAGGGTTTGTTTAATTATGTATTCATTAATTAATGGGGAGTTTGTTTAGATCTCTTTTCATTTTTATTTTTTTTTATTTTCTTTTCCCATCAAAATCGTTATATTAGATATTTATCTTAATTTAAAAATATGCGAGTGTGTTTTTTTTAATCTTTTTTAAAAGTATTTTTATGTTATACATAAAGTATATTGTTAAATAAAAAATCTTTTTTACTGAATTATTGATTTTGGTAATAAATTTACTAAAATAATTATGTATATTATATGAGTGTGTGATATATTATTTATTATATATATTAATCGAGAAGAGTTTCAAAAGAATTTGCTGGTTAAACTTAAACAGTTAATATTTTGATTTTTTAAAAATCTACTCCATTTTTATATAGTAATTGTTTTAAAAAATTTTCCTTCTTTTAAATTTTGTTTTAGTTTATTCTATCATAAAAAAAATAAACTTATTTGTTTTTTTTTTCACGAATTTTTAATATAGTAAGTACTTTTTACTATTTTATATCTTCTATAAAAAAAAAATAAAAAATGGGAAATTTGGTATAAAGGTGAAAAAATGGTCTGAGTTTTTTTTTATTATATTAATTTTTATTTTGTGTAAGACAAAAAAGAAAGAAAAAAGTAAAGTAAAGTAAACCTTTTAGTAACTTGTGAGTGTTAAATTAATTTAAATAATTGCATTTGCTATAATATTTGTGCTAATGAGCAGATTAGGACCGGAAGTTGGGATAATTGAGATTCTTGAAAGGTGTTGGATTCAAGATGTGGACAACAATTAATTGACTTCAATAATGATATTATTATCAATAATAAAAGACAATAATAGAGACAATAAAATATTATTATAATAAAATATTATTGGAGGGTGCGAGTAGAGACAATAATTATATATTATGTATTCTTATTTAACGTGTTGTAAATACTCTCTTCTCCATCAAAATGGCCATTAGTTTTTATTTTATTTTTTATTTACGGGTTTATTTTAATTTTATGTCAGATATTTCACTCAAAGTTTAATAATTGTTGAATTCTAGAAACTTTACAATTTAACTTTAAATGTATAGTTTATATTCACATGGGCCTTGCTTTTATATTTGGACTTTCCTCAATTTGAATTAAATTGGATTTAGGCTCACAGCTCTTTCTAATGAATTTTGCTGACACCTTATCGATGGAATTTGTCACAAAAAATTACTCAATGAAGCTTTCCAGAAACAACCTGACTTGTATGAGTTTATTCAATCTAAATTCGAAAAAGTGAAAAAATATAAGCATGGTATGGGGTAACGATGTTGACTAGGGACAGTGACAGAGTTAGCTTTCGGATTCCGGAGCTCAAAATTATTATGTTACTTTTATTTTTTTTATTATTTGATTTTAGTTTTATTTCCAAACATTTTAGTGTGTTTTCAGGATCATTTTAAAATTATTGAATCATCTTTGTAATGGGTGTGTTTGTTTTACAGTTTGGATTTTAACTTGGGATTTGAATAGTAAAAATTTTGAATTTGAATAGTTGTATGATGTGATATTGTTAGAAATTTTGAAAAAAAATAATGAGATTGTCTTATTCATCGTCAAAATAAGAAGTCTATATATATATATATATATAGACAATACAAAACAGACACTTAAATTTAGTAATCTAATCTATGAATAAGATTTTGAATTTGAATAATTGTATGATTTTGATATAAATAGGTATTGATGTGATGTTTTGAATAGAAATAGTATAATATAAAAAAAAATAGACATTTGATTTGATATTTTGAAAAAAAAAAAAGAATAAACAGAATATTTAAAATTCATAAAAAATCCATACATTATAAGTGATTTTAATGTATTATATACATTTATACAAAACGTATTTTAATTATGAACAGATAGAACGTCTTTTTATTACAAGAAATACTCTCTAGACAACCAATTTAAATGATCACCCTAAACAAAAAAAAAAAATAATAATAAATAAATTTGTATAAAAATATAAGTATCATGTAACATCTTCAAATAACCCAATACATTCGAGCTTTGCCACATCCAAAAATAAATTCAAAAAAATATTGCAAATTCAACATCGACATATTGCAGACACAGCAGATGGGTTCCTTTCATGTCCTCAAAACTGCCTGTCTTTTCCTAATACTTATGCCAATTTTTTCTAACAATGAAACAAATCATCAATGGCGGACCCTCGTAACGTAACCTTCTTACAAATTAAACGAGGAGAAATTTCAGCTGGGAATCGCCCCATTTTCCATACAACAAAGTGTAGGCTCCAAACTCGTACCGCGATTCGATCGATCGATTGGAATCCGGTCGGGTCGACTCGCCCGACGGAGGACGTCGAGCTACTCTGTCTGTACATCGCCGCTTATCGCTTCCCGTAAATCGGTCTGCGACTTGCTCGGAATTATGACCGGAGGCGACCACTGGTCCGGGACCATCAAGAAATACGTCGTCATGGCTTTCCGGAACCGGGTCTTGTACTGCTTCGGAGAGATCACCGTCGGCGGCACGTTCTTCGACCCGCCGAGAATCCCCGACGCCTTCACCCACGTCTCGAGATGCTTGTCCCACGTGTACTGCCGCATGAAATCGATAATCCCGAGAACGAGCTCGTGCTTCTCCTCGTCGACCCCGACCAGCAGCGAGTAGTCCATCACGTCGATCGACTGCAAACACGACGGATTGATTTAAAATTGGGTTCAACTATTGACGTTAAAAAGACAACATGACTTACAGCGAGGAACGCCGTATCATTCCAAACCGCGCGCTCCAACAGCCGCTTGGCTTTGTTCCCGACGAAAATCGGCGAAGTCGGCATCGCTTCGATCAAGTTCTGGTCGAGGAGGACCTTGTTGCTTCCGGAAGAATCCGGATTGTACCGCGACCGCGTCGATCCTTTGAGATCGTAGAGCCGCGTGACGTTTCTTTCGAAGAGAAGATTCTCCATAACCAGCATGTCCATTTTCGACTCCTTCCCGCCTTTAACGTGCTTCGACACAACCTTTGCGACACTTCGACGTTAGTTCAAACCTCTAAATTAACGATACAATCGTTCGATTTACGCAAAACGTTAATGTATGTACATACCTGATAGATCCCGAGAATCTTCGCCAGGCAAGACGGGCTACCCGAGTTGATCGATTCGGCAAGATACCCGAAGTACCGAGTCCCGAACTTGATAAACGATTCGAGCTCGGTTTTCGTCACCTGTTTAACGATGAATCGATCGTCCAACGTCTTCGCGAAAAAGACCTTACTCTTACCGCCTTGAGCCCCCCACTTCTTACATCGGCTAAGCGATCTTACAAAGTCCGTCTCCGAAGGACAACATATCTTCCTCAACGACTCGAACTGCTTCGCGTAATAACAAGTCACAGCGTACTTGACTTTCCCGAGGGGTCCGTCATCCGAAAATGTCACTCTCGGATGCAAATTACGAAGCACCGAATCCGCCGCCGGAGGCAAAGAATGATGGGTTACTGCCGCTGCCGCCGCCGACAATGCTGACATGGCTGCATCGTCGCCGAATCCGAAACTTTTGTAAGATTCAAGCATGGTTTCGTCAAACGAGTTGAACAATTGGAAACTACCGTAAAGACCCGACTGCTGAGCCAGAATCGAGTCCGTAACGTCCCTCGATTTCTCTGTCTTATCCGACACTTGGAGGTGATACTCGGGCGAAAGAAGCGCGTACGATATAATGCTCGTCGGCTCGTCATCGTAAACCGGGACGACGGTATCGTTCACGCCCACGGGTAGGAGAAGCCTCGCCCCGCCTAGAAGCTCAGCCTCGAGAAACCCGGAAATGTATTCAGACCGGTGGTCTCTAAATAAGTCGAGCTTCTGCGTGCTCCCGACGTGATTCTTGTTCATCGACCGGTAGAAATTCATAAACGACGTACCCGACAAGTTCGTTGAGTCTTCTTCTTTATCGTCCGATAACATATCGACCACTTTTTCGGATAAACCCTCCGACCCAATTGATTTCAATTCCGGTGCATCGGGAAAACAGTAGGGATCGTCGTTTTCCGGTTGTTGGTCTAGCTTTGCACCCACAGCGTTCGGACAAGAGATATCCGATGTTTCCTCCGACTTAACCGAGACCACCGGCGGCGATTTCATTATAACACCCGGATCTGCAACAACGTTGTCGTCCACTCGTTTCACCGGGGCTTCGCTGTCCAAATTGACGAGACGATGATCCCACATATAACCAAGGAACACCAGTTGTCTATGGAGTCGATTAATCTCGAGTATGTCGTAATTCTCGGCTTCCTTTTTCAAAATATTATCGATCGACTCCTGCCGCAATCGAAAAAAAAATTACGAATATCGACACGGTTTCTCTAAGCAGTACATTGAACATTCGAAACGAGTACATACCATGAAATCGGACTTCTCCTTGAGCAGCAACACCTCCAAATTCTCTACTGAGCATTTTCGATCGACCAAATGACAAAGCGCATCGCGTACTTCGGAGAACAAAAGCTCGCCACGAGCAACGAGCTGCCAATAGGTCGAAAAACACTTAATCAAAATTAAATCGCTCGTATATATTCATCGAATGCAAGTAAAAAAACGTTTTCTCGTTATCATGGCTCACCTCGTTCATCTCTTTTTTGATCCATTTGTGATTTTCGAAGCTAAAGTCGAGCTTCGACGGTGGAAGGTATACGGAGTGGACGTCGATCGACGCATATCGAAAGCAGGCAACGAGTTCCCCGAAACTGCACACAACACAACCGATCGACACTCGATGATCAAAACCCGTCGACATATCTTCGAAATAGTAGACATAATTGATCGTAATTACGCAAAAGAAAAGGGGCAAGAGATCGAGAAATCGAACCCGTAAAATCGGAGGCAGTCTCTATGTAAAGAATGACCGCAGCTCGCCACCCGGCTGGCGGCGACATGATTCGAAAAGCTTAGCTCCAAAAACTTACCAAATGACAATCCCCACGCGGCATCGGACATCACAACCCGCCGCGTCGCCGGTGGGACGTTTTTAATTCTCGGACATTTCAGGCAACGGTGCCACATCCAAATCTTCCCGTCTTTCTCGCCGGGTAAAGGATTATCGTGAATATTTTTAACGGAAATCGTAAGTGTACCTTGCCGGTGAGTATAGCACTGAATATGAGCTTCTGCCGGCAAATTGCACGAACGGCATCGATAATTCTGTAGAAAACAAAATTGCCTGTCACACGGGTTGTTCTAAAAAGCCAAGTTTTCGCGAAAATTAAGAAGAGAATTACCTGATCAAACAAGTCGTCGCGCAGATAACGACCCAACGGCTTATCGAAGTTCCCGTAATATTTTATCCTGAACAAATGCGCTCGTTCACAGACGGTTCCTTTCCAGACACACCGCGACGATAGGGAGACTAATATGCTTTGGTTGTCCGAAGACGAGGAAGAAGTCGAAAACTCCTCTTTAAACATAGCTTGTTCGTTATCATCCCGATGAACTAACGGCAAGGTTCTGACATCATGCGAATCCGCAAAATCATTAACAATTAGCGTGACGTCTTCATCTGCCGCCAGCTTGTCTATTACAGGCAAATCGACAATGCCTGCATTTTCATTACATCGAGCAGAAATCGCTGTGGCGTCGATAAGATCCGAGGAAGGTATACTATTCGACATCACTTTCGGGTATTCCGGAATGGTAAACCCAGGTACCGTCGAGATGGACCTATCGAATTTCGACGATGTATCGGGAAACGACACCGTAATCGGAGACTCCAACGGAAGAACCGGGAGCGTCGCACCTTCATCAGCCAGAAAAGATGTCTCGAGAGCTAAATGATAAGCTGCGAAAACTCCATACTGCACGACGCGCTTCACTTTCTTCAACTCATCCCCATCGGCGCCTCGGAGTAAAATCTGGACAGACGAAGAACGGCATAACTTCAAGAAGAGTTTAAGGTTGTAATAGAACATTAAAAACGGAAGTCTCGGGCTCACCGTGCAGCCTAGTGGCTTCGGACAGCCTTCGAAATACATTAGCGTCTTCACAAGCTTCTTCCCGTTCTGACCGGCACTGCCGTGATCTTCTAGAAACTTCTCTACACGAAAGATTTCACAATGTCCTAACTTCGCAGACGACAAATGATCGATCGAAGGAACTATTTGGCCACCGGTGCATCGAGCTATGCGCTCCAAAAGGGATCGTTTTAGATTTAGGACAAGCGATATGTCTCTTTCAAGAAGATACTCTTGCGCGTATCGGGAGACGGATTTTTCGACTAGAAGAACATCCGGACGGTGCGCGTCAATCTTCGCAACAGCCATTTTCAAGTGATCCATTTCCTAGATATAGGACACGAAAAAAAGTATCTAAGAAAACATACGAAAATTTACGAGAGAAAGTAAATACTTTGGACCGTAAATTCGACAAAAATATTCAGCCAAACGAACCTGCTGCAACAGAGTATCAATGCTCGAAAGGGCAGTGGAAACTCGTTGGTATTCCAAAGCGCCGCCAAGAATGAGGAACCGAGCTTTCTCGAATTTCGACGACATTCGCCTATGAGCTACATTCTTCTTACAAACAACGCCTTTTACAACCGTACTGTCGAAAACGATGGGATCGTTGTAAGTAGACATCAACTCAATAAGAACACATAAGAAACGAGCGGCAGATTTTAAACGATGATAGCTAATATAGAACGCTATGAAAATCGACTTCAATCGAAACTCTCATAGATAAGTTTTAGAACATTATAAATAAAATCCGTCTAAGAAAATATTACCTCTCACTTCGACGACCAGAAGCTAAACATTTTACTTTGACGTAACTGCCCGGATCCATTTGCCCGCCGGTGCTCGTATCCGGCTTCAAAAGCATCGCAGCCTCCCACGACAACGCCATGATTATTTCCAACCAGCTCTCTCGATCGTTTTCGTCCCCTGCCGGAATATTCTCCGCCTGCAAGAACTCAGACACCAATGCCCGAAAATGGCTGTCGAGCACGTTCATCATAACCCTCTTGTGCTCGACATTCGACTTGTCCCTGCTTCTGAACACGCCCGAATCATGAAAATAGCTCCATTCCCCAGCCGGGTTCACGATCCCGTCGTCGTCGTCGTCATCCCCGATAAAAATAGCTTCTTTGTCATCTTCTTCGTCTTCGGGTTCGGGAGGGAGCCAAAGAAGTGCATTGTTTTCGAAATCGACAGGCGCGGAATCCATGTCCTTGACTGCGTATAAAGAAGACAACGGCGTGCATTCATCATGCTCGAAATCCTTTTGCAACATTTGTTTTTGGTCGTCGCTATGAGGTTCGGAGTCGACATAATTCTGCGGGGGAGAGGTCTCCGAGTCCTCCGGATATAGATCATCTCCGTCGGGATGAACTTTACAGGATTTCGACTCATTTTGAAAGTTGTCGTAATGAATGCGACCGATGTAGCTGTAGATATCCGAAATGGGACTCGGCGAGGAACTGAAGTGGGCCATCCTGAATTCTTCAACGTCGGATTCCGTCCTGCTGGAAAAGATAAAAGTGTATTACAAAGCTCAATCGAAGAATCGATAAACTCAAACAGCAATCGAGCATAAAGAAAATATTCAAATTCGAAAGGGCGATACGAGGTGAACCTGTTTTCGAAAATCCCGAGTCCATTTTCAGACAAGATGTGTTTGGCTTCAGCTACATCTGCTGTAAGATCATTGCTGCCGGTTGCGGCTTCGACGGCGGCGTCCATAACCGATGTCTGTTGCGGGGTGCTAATCGACAAGAACGTGCAGCTGCTGCTATCGGAGGTTTCGAAGGACTTTACAGACACAAAACTGTTGGTGGACGGAGAGCTCCCGATTCGATCGATTCCGGCAATGTGGGCTTCATTTCCAGCGGAGGCAGCCGCCATCAACGACGGATTCGTCTGCAATCCGTAGAGACAATGTTTGCAGACTCGAACGGGATCGCAGCCAGGTTCGGGAGATGGCCGGGGGATCCAATGTGAGGTGCACTTGGCGCAGAAGATTCGACCGCAGAGTCGACAGTGGTGCCTACGGTTGATGACGGTGAACCGGGCGTCGCATTCGTAGCAAACCCGGCAGCTATAATCAGGCATCCAATAGTCCCTTGACACATAAGCTGGCGGCGGAAATGGCGGCGGCGGTGGCTCCGATGGCCGGGGGATCCAAGACTTGATCAAACCTACTAGATTGGGGATTGCCCTGTTTGAATCATCCATGGACTTGACAATAATCCTGTTTTTATTCTCATCTTGTTCCTCTCATTTCGGATAATCTTAAACATCCATCCTCTTATCCACCATTACAGCCGCAAATCTAATCCAACGATGGATGTTGTTCTAATGTGTAAGAACAATCTAAAACCTCAGCAATCGGAATCGGCTAATCGATCGATTCGAACAGCCACAGCCGACACTCTCTCCAATCAGAGAAAAACAGAATATGTATCTCTATGTCTAGGTTAAGACTAAATTACTTCTTACGGTAAACCCTAAAATTGGGGAAAAGTTCTTACAGTATCTCTATGTCTAGATGAATGAGAAGCTTTCCTTTCCCCTAAACTGAGACGCGGATTTGAGATTCGAATCGACGGAATGGCAGCAAATAAGCAACGTATTTAATGTTTCAAAGATACCTAAAGCAAGCGTTAATTACAGATACCTTCGGAGGGCGGAATTAGGGAAACGTAAATCGCTGTAAGAAATCTAGCCAATCCGGACTCCATTTTCAACGCCTCGTTCGGACAATTCAAATCTGCGCCGTCCTCCAATCATTTTTCTTCTTGTTCGATAAATCAATGACTCCTCAAACTGTTAACAGACACTATCCAAAGCAAAACATGAACACGCATCGTATAAAATACTATTAAACAAAATTCGAGAAAAGGACTGTGAAATGCTTACTTGGATTCGGACACAGATAACTCAGATCATCGACGATCAATTGCGCAGACACACAGTAACTTGGGTTTATTACAGATCACAATCTTCGTAAGTTTTGTCGTTTTAAAACACCCTAAAATTTGCATCTCTTCTCTGCTCCTGTTTTTTCGTAATACGGAATTTATGCAAGGAAATAATTTATGGTTTGTTTCTCTAATTAATTTTCAAAACATGCACTTAATTAATTATTATTATTATTGAGCGGATGCACTTAATTAATTTGCATTCTATAAGAAATGTGTCTTATATTATTTTTATTTTTTATTTTTTATAATTTAAGAGTTTTGAGATTGGGCCAAGTGTATAATCAATCATATGGGCTTGTAAATACAATAATGTATTGGGTTAATGATAGCCTAAGTAGGGCCCACTTTTGATTGTAATTTTATATTTATTTTCGTGTTGTATAGTTGGCACTAAAATACAAAAAAACATGCGTAAGGAAGGAAGGAAGGAAGGATGTTTATTGATTATCTCTCGAACAATTTTTAATATTTTGACTTATTATTTTTTAAATAATTTAATATATATTAAAATGTATTTAAACACATTTATATTTTCCTCACTTGAAAGTTGAAACAACCCGATGGGCTTAACTAAGCCCACTTTAAATGCTGCATAAATTTGGGCCCACAATTGGCCCATTACCAAATTTGACCCGGCTCAATTACAAATACTTTCTAGCCTCATCGGCTAAACCCTCTGCATAATAATGTGGAGACATTTTTCATTTTTCTAAATAAATTTGGTTTTGATTTGATATTGTATTTTAAATTTGAATTTTGATTTAAATGTATTTATATATATATATATATTTGGAGTAAATAGCCTTTTTTTTTAACAAAAACTGATCAAACTGAATCATGCTAGTTTTTTTTTTTTTGGCCTAAAATCAAACAAATCCTTTTTCCCGACACAAAATTGGGTTTGTTTGCTCAATTTTTCCGGACACAATTATAGGGAGTTCGCCAAATTTATTCTAATTTTTTTTTTTTTGTATGTACTCCAAATTTATCTTATTGCTATATTTAGAAAAGTTAATATTTAACTATTACATTTCATTCGTTACTTATTTACAATAAATATCACTCATTTTATTACATTCTCTCTGTTCTCTTTAATTTTTAATTAAATTTTTAAAAATATCTCCAACTACCTTCTTACTTTTCTACTTTTTGAATAAAATATCGGACGGAGGAAGTATATATATATATTTTTTTTCATCTTATTCAACATTTAATACTCCCTCCGTCTCATGTATTATGAGTCTATTACTGTAGATACGAGAATTTAGGTAAAGTGTGATCAGTAAGTAATTAAGAAGTGTATTTGTAAAAATAATTATCGTATAATAAAAATAATTGTGAATTAAGATTAAAATAACTAAATAGTTTAATTAAGATTAAAAAAATATATAAATTTAAAATTTAAAATGAGATTAAAGTGTATAATTATATTTTCAAAAAAGGAATTGACAAATTATGTGGGACGGACGAAAATAGAAAATAGGGACAAATTATGTGGGACGGACGAAAATAAAAAATAGGGACAAATTATGTGGGACGGAATGAATATAAAATATAATTTTTTAATTACATATATAATTTATTATATTCTACTTGCAAAAAAATTCAAAAATAAAACACTAAATAAACAAACTCATTTATTCTTCAAATTTCAATTGTTGAATATTATGTCTCTTGTTATTCAAATATGTTAAAATTTATTATAGTATAATTTATCAAAATTTTACTATATAACAACAATGATATATAATTCATTCATTTTTTAATGTCAAATTATTTTTTTTTTTTTCAAAACATTATACTCCCTCTATCTCATTGAAATGTTACCATTTTCTATTTTGGTCCATCCCAAAACAAGGTTACTATTTATTAATTTAGTAATTATACTACTTACTTAACATAATAAATAAATTTACAACTTACAATATATTACACATATGCTATTATTTTTATATTACACTATACTAACAGGAGTACTTTTATTTTTTTTACTACAATATAATATAATACTAATATTTAAAAATTTACGTGAAAAAACAAACATCATCCTCCAATGGAACGAATAAAATATCTATTTATCTATTTTTTTAAAAGTTAGGGCTTCACAAAATATACCAACATGCGCCCTTTTCTAATTAGAATTAAAAAAAATAATAAAAATAAAAATAAAAATAAAAATAATAAATTGTTGACTTAGTTAATAGTTGAAGAGTAATATTTAACCCAATAAGCAAAGTTAAAAATACCATACCGGCTCAGATTAAAAGAATCAAAATATTGGGACACACTTTCCGATCAAAATATTAATAATAATAAATTAGGACATAATAGAGATCACATGTTTCTTGTATTTCTTGTACACATCCAAAAGTTAAAAGGATTGGAATATTGAATAGTATTTATTACATTAATGTCGCATCAATATCAATGTGCACTATAATAAATAATTACTTTGATTTAAATTTTACAATTTAAAATTCAAATCCCAAGAGGACAACAACCATAACATTGGAAATACAATAATACATAAAAGTTAACATTTGATACAGTACTATTCGTTCAAGAAAAATACTTTCTCTGTCCCGCATACCATATTCATATTGTCGTTTTTGTCCGTCCCACATACCATATCATTTTCATTTTTTTTGAAAAATAATTACACACTTTAATCTCATTTTAAAATTTTTAATTTTATTTTTTTAAAAATTTTAATTAAACTAATTAATTATCTTAATCTTAATTTATAATTATTTATATTATCGGATAATTATTTTCACTAATATATTTTTAATTATCTACTAATTACACCCCTCCTAAAATACAATGTCTACAGTGTACCAGATTATTTCTACAATTATCTACTAATTATTTCTTGTTTGCAAATTTGTATTATTAAATTTTTCATTTTTTAAAAGCTTACTCCGATCATTCTTGTCAAAACTATTTTTTTTTATTATTATTATTTTATAGTAAATTTATAAAATATATAAAAATTTTATTAATTCGTAAAAGTGTGGAATATATGATTTCGTATCAAATTAGACAATATGTATACGAATACGATGGTTTCGTATTAAATTAGACTGGCCGTACCTCTCAAATTTACAAATTTGTATCTCTTAAGTTCGAATAATAAGGTTGAATCTTGATTTTAGAATTAAAATCTTTATTATTAGATAATAAATTTTGGATTTAGTTGATAAATATATCAAAATTTATTACCAATATTAAAGATTATGTAAATTGAATACAACATCGATCAAATGATGAATTTATTAATTCAGCATGACTGAATTGTAATTACACCGTTGATTTAAATTATGATCCTTAATTTTAAGATTATTAATATAAGATCAATGGCTGAGATTTAATTCAGTAAATGCTGAATTAAATTACATATCAGCATGTGATTTGCTGGCAATTGAATATTTGAATAAAATCTCAAAATTAGAAAATAAATAGATTAGTTAGTTTTTAGTTCCCATAAATTATTATTTATGTTCCAAAGGATTGCATTTATTCTAGAAACAGGTTCCATTAATTGTTGTAAATTTATATTCTAACATCTTTATCAAAATTATTATTATTTTTATTTTTATTTTCATAATTTATTTAATTTATCGCACTTTATTCTTCTTTTATTTTTTACTATCGAAAGTTTGGGTACAATTAAAAATATAATCAGTCTACTTTTTTAACAAAAAAAAAAAATAAAAGAAAAAAAAAAACATCAGTACATATTCTTTCCCTTGTAAATTTTATTTTACGCGTTGATGAACTTATCAAAGTTATTTATTTATTTATTACTATCTCCGTCTTACATATAGTGTCTGCTACACTGTAGATACGGTATTTTAGAAAGAGTGTAATCAGTAGATAATTAAGAATATATTAGTAAAAATAATTATCCTATAATATAAATAATTATAAATTAAAATTAAGATAACTAATTAGTTTAATCAAATTTTTTAAAAAAACATTAAAAAATTTAAAATGAGATTAAAGTGTGTAATTATTTTTCAAAAAAAGAAAGTGACATGCTATGTGGAACAGACAGAAACGGCAACGTGGCCATAGTATATGAGACGGAGAGAGTATTATGTTTTAATGGAGACGTTAAGATATACTTTTTCCGTTTCATATATATCTATCTATTTTTTACATGAAATTTTAGAAATATTAGTATTATATTGGAATAAAATAGAAATAAAAATAAAAAGATTAAATTAACCCTATTATATAGATATAATTCTATTTGTGTAATATATTGTAAATTAGAAGGATATTTGTAATATTAGATAAATACTATAATTACTAAAAATAAAATAAACATTTTATTATATAATAGACCAAAATAAAAAAATAAATAAATTATTAAGTGGGAAATGAGAAAGTAAATAAGATTATTTTATTTCAACTTTGCATTGAAAATAATTAATTGAAATACGGATTACTTTATTGCAATTAATTTATATGAGTGGCGTGGAGAAAGACCACATGGTATGACAGTACGGCCTCTTTTCTATCTAACGATAAAATTGCTGAAACGACTTCCACGTTTTCTCTTCCTACGCCTTTTATGTATTTTTTAATCATTAGTCCGCAGAGTGCACAGAAAATGGAAACACGCTTATTGAATGCTTTTCAGATTGACCTTTTTCAGCCATTACAGAAAACATCGGCTCCGCTTAAATAAGAGATTTTTGCAAAGTTTTAAAAAGTTTAAATAATTTAAAAATTAATGTTTAATATGATATTTATAAACGAAATATTTAATTTAATATTTTTAAATAAAATAATACTTGAAATTCTAAATTGATTGTTTAAACAAAGTCATATTCATACTAAAATACTAAAATGCATAATTTTATTTAATTATCTATTTTCCTTTATTTATTTTTCTCAATACTAGTATTCTTTTTGTACCATATGTTGTATCTGTATTACTATTTCTAAATATCTCATGTTTCATGTAATTGGTTGTAAATAATTACATATTTTAATTATATTTTAAAATTTTAATTTATATTTTAATAGTAATTAGATTAAGTAATTATTTTAACTTTGATTTATAATTATTTATATTTTCATATAATTATTTTTATTAATAGTATATTCTTAATTATATTAATTATATAACATTTTAATTCTCATGCCTACAATATTGGTGATGCCATATGAACGACGGAGGAGTAATACCTAAGTGCAAGTTAGGTATTTAGCCAATCATGTTTTATGTTTTGAATAAATATTTATTCTTTTCCTCTCAATTAAAGTAATTTTTGTTTTTGTTTTTTTTTTTTTTGTGATAATTTTAAAAATAATAATATTTTATTAGTTAGTAGAAATATATAAAATAATTATGATTTTTTTTTAAATTTTTTTCAAGTACAAATAAAGTGAATTATTTTAGAAATGTTAGAGGTATTTTGACATGTCAATTTTTATTTTTTTTTATATAATAGAAAATAAGTATTTTGGAATACTATAGACAACAATAATAAATAAATAAATAAATAAATAACATTGAATTGGAACTAATGAAGTAGTATTATAAATACTAATAAATTTTGTGGACATTTCGAATTTTTGGACCAAATATCATCACCCTAATTAGGTGGTATTTGGTTTTTGCGTTTATTTATTTATTTATAAGTAAAATAAATGTATGAAATGATAATTCTATAAATACTTAGAAAATAAGAGTAGATACTTTTTCATTGAAAATAAGAGTAAAATTATTTTATTAAAAAGGATGAAAACTCAAACTAAAGTTTCAAATTTCGGATTAGTTTTTTAAAACTAAAATAATACTATTTGTCTCATTTAAATAATGTATTCTCTAATTTCACTAACAAGATTTATATTTATATATATTTTTTATGAAAATCAAAAACTAATACTCCATCCTCCACCGTTAAAAAAAATAAAAAAATAAAAAATAAAAAATAAAAAATGGATACATCTGCAATAGACAAACTAAAATGACAAAATACCTTGTATTTTAATAAGATGTAATAATAAATGTAAAAATATTTATACCTAATACTATAATCAAGTTTATTAAAAATAAATACTCCTATAATTTATATATGGACATGTAAAAAATAAAAATAACTTAATTTGCATAGTATTACGTTGGACTATCATTTACCCGGTGCACAGAGTTAATGGCTGCGGTTCGCACGTCTAAAAAGAAATACCTTAATTCAATTCGAATGACAGATTTAAGACGTAAAGAATAGTATATGTGACAACAGTAAAATGGCACGACGTAGAATTTATATATTTATTTCATTAAATTTAAAGTTGGATAAAACCACGTGCTGAAATTGTGTTCTTTTGTCAATTCCTTTCTCTCTCTCTCTGTAAATTCGCCATTAAATATCCCATTTGCTTCCACCTCACAAACCTTCTTCATCTCTCTCTCACTCTAAGCACACCCACACAATTTTTGTTCCTCTCTCTCACAGTCTCACACTCACTCTCTCTCTCTCTCTAATAACAAACAGAAAAAAAAAAAAATGTTGGCAATAATTTGGAGCAAGAAAATTAGGGCTCCTCAATCTTCCAACCACAATACTGAATTAGGTCTCAGAATCATCACTACAGACTGTATTCCATCTTCCAATTCCAATCTCCTCATCAAATCCCCAATCCTATTCTTCCCCCAAATCCCTAAATCCCCAAACCCTACCTGCAGCTGCTTCCTCAAATCCTGCCATCTCTGCCACAAACGCCTCAGCCTCGACAGAGAAATCTACATGTACAGGTAATTCGAGCTCCATTGACTCTCGCAATTGCAATGAAATTGTAGGTCGCGATTTTGATTTGATTTCCGTGGTTTTGATTTGCAGAGGAGATTTGGGGTTTTGTAGCGTGGAGTGTAGAGATAGACAGATTTACCTTGACGAGATGAAGGAAATCGAGATTTCCACGAAGAAAATCCTCAATTCGTTCCGGCACGGCGGCGGCCGCTGCGAGACCGGCAGCTTGGTGGACGAGTTCCGGCAACGGCGCCGTGGGCGGCTTTCGCCGGAGAAACGTGGCCGTGTTATTTTCTTGTAGTTTTAATATATGAGCATTTTTTTTTGGCCTTTCTCCTTTTGCTGGGAATATATATGAGCGTGTTTGTTTTGATGTGAAAAGTAACAAATTGAATAGATAATTTAAAAAATAATGTGTACAGTGTATTAATTTTTTTTTAAAAAAAAATGTATCGAAGAACGTTAGAATTGTTGATCTATTCTAATAATATAATAAACCTTGATCCTTAAACAAATGGTACTTTTTCATTTTCGATAAATTGTTCACGTTAGTATAAATAAGAAAAATTAAATAAAATATAATTAACAAATAATTTAAAAATATATTATTAAAAATAACTATAAATTATAATTAAAATTAAAATTAAAAAATTTATAAATTATGAAAGATAAAGAACAAACAAATCCAAAATATATAACCCGAAAAAACTAGAATTGTATTGATAATATAAAAATTAATATTTTATATTGAATAATTAATTTTCTACGGATCAATAAAATGCATATTGTTTTAATGTGTCTATATTGTATCTTTGAAATAATATTTATAAAAAATTGTCTTCCTAAATATATTATGTGAACAAACTTTAAAATTAATGTGAAATTTGGCATGGATTGAAGTCAAACCACACCAAATATATTTGCATCGGAGATGATCTTGGTAATGTTTCGTATTTTAGAGTATATAAAATTATATTATTATATTAAATAAGTATTTTGATAAAAAAAAATTATAATAATGAGGAAAAAATTAATATTATATCATAAACTATATTGTTGTTATATAAGTATAATAATAATAAAAAAAATGAATAGATAATGTTGATTAAGATAAATATTTAAATATTTTATTATTATTATTATTATTATTATTATTATTATTATTATTTTATTAAAAAATATTTTGTTCATCTTTTAACAAGATATTCATATATATATTTTTTGATATTTAATACTCTTTCCGTTCCATTGAAAGGTTACCATTTTCCATTTTCGTCCGTCTCAAAACAAGGTCACAATTTCCTAATTTAGTAATTGTACTACCTACTTAACATAATAAATACTCTTTTAATTTACAGTATATTATACAAATGTCATTACTTTTATATTACACCATGCTAATATAATACTTTTGTATTTTTTAATAATAAAAAATTGATTTTGAATAATTTTTTTATAATGATATAAATTGAGGTTGATGTGATGTTTTGAATATAAAATAAATTTGTAGTATAATATAAAAATAAAATAAAATTGTTTAATTAATATTTTTTGAGATTTTTTTTTTTTTTTTAATAATAAAAATCTCTTTTAAAACCCAAAGAAAACACAACTTAAATTTATTATGCCAAGAGTGTTGACAATATTAATGAATTCAAATATCTAAAAGAATATATTCATAGAAAGGAATAAACTGTCACAACTGTCACTAACTAAAGTTGGACAAGCAGAAAATGATTCTTACATATCTTTAGTCTTAATCAGAATTTCCATATTCTTTTATGTTATTACGTCTATATTTCATTATTTTTTGTAAGTAAATTAATCATTAAATATTTAGATGCGACATTTTGTATATATATATATAAAATTAATACACTATTTTTCAAGAAAAAAAAACTCTAAAAATTAATAATTTATAAAAAAAAAAAAAAAAAAAAAAGAAGAACAATTACAGTGATTCGAAACGAACGAAGTTTTACAAAATTAAAATTATTTTAAAATTGATTTTAATTTAATTGGGCTTAGCCCAATATTCAATCTTTGACAATTATTATTACCCAAGCCCAAACTGTAGTCTAATCCATTTTTGTCATTTTACAATTAGTGAGTTACACAGTAATACAATTATATTAGTATTTTGTTTTAATTATTAGTATTATTATTAGTAGCTAGTTATGTTAAAGTTTTTCAACTCTAAGCTTTTTTTTTTTTTTATTAGGATTAGTATTAGTTAGTATACTACTTTCTCCGTCCAATTAGAAAGCATACATATTTCTATTTTGGGACGTCTAATTACAAAGTAATTTTTTCAATAAATATTTCATTTTTTTCGACAAATATCATTTACTTTAAATCACATTATTACTTTTACACCAAAAAGTAAAGGTAACGATGTAATTTTACTACTTTTAAATATCCACTATAATTAAAATACCGCACCAAAAGTAAATATTTATTTTGTGTGTGGTAGAAGGAAGTATTATTGTTACATTTACTTGATTCTCAACTATGATTTCATGAAATGCTTTGTTTATAATGTTGGTTCTGCCTTGTTGTTCCCAGTTCAAGCTTTGACTCAACAGCTAACTTGATAATATATCCTGTTACTTTAATCATTTTCTTTTGAATAAAAAAACTTTGTATTATTATTATTATTATTATCTCTTCCGGCGTCAAAGATTTTTTTTTTTTTTAATATTAATTAATATATTAAAATATAATAAAAATACTTATATTAATATAGTGTAATACAAATATGATAATATTTATATAATAAATTATAGAAATATAAAAGTAATTTTGATTTTAAATATAATAATGAAAAAAATAAATGACGAAAAAAATACTTTATCCGTTCTAGAACTATAGTCTTAATTGGGTTGGACACGAGATTTAAAGAATATTGATATTATATTGGTAGTTGGTAACAACTATAGATAAAAGACTTTTTTGCTCTTGTAAGTGTATTAGTGTAAAAAGTAGTGACAATTGTGTAATAAAAATAAAAAAGTATGGATAATTTTATGGTGATATAATTATTTATAAAAATAAGACAATTGTTTTGAAATAGATAAAAATGGTAAATAAGACGATTATATCAATATTTTACCTTTTCATAGGTTAATGTAGAGCTTGACTTGCCAATTGGATTTGGAGTACATGTAACACAGTAGTAATATAGGGGTCTGTTTGTTTGGGATTTGATTAGATTTTCACTATTTGTTTTATTTTTTTTCTTAAAAAAATATTAAATTAAACATTTATTTTTTATTTTTTATATTATACTAAAAATCAATTTTACATTTAAAATATCACATCAATACTTATTTATATCGTACAACTATTCAAATTCAAAATTTTTACTATTCAAATTCCAATTTAAAATCCAAACCCCAAAACAAACACACCCTAGGAGTACCTTTTAGGGAGTATTTTTTGTTGTGTGTTTGTTTAGTATTTAAATTTGAGAAACTTTTAGTTTTAATTGTTATATTTACTTTTTAAGTCATTATATTTAATATTAAAAATATTTTATTATTTGTTTAATTTTTTTTACAAATATTTTTCTATTAATATTACAAAACACTAATAAAGTATTTTTGGTATTTTTCTTTATTTTGTACTCATATATTTTGATATTATAATTAATATTAGAAAATCAACGTACAAAAAGTAAATGTAATCCCTGGAGTTCAACCAATATAATAGTATAATAAAATAAATTCATTTATAGTTCTTCCGTCCGCTATAATTATATTAGATACTTCCTCCGTCTCATTGAAAGGTTAATATTTTCTATTTTCGTTCGTTCCAAAACAAGGTTATCATTTTCTAATTTAGTGATTGTATTACCTACTTAACATAATAAATATCTTTTCAATTTACAATATATTACACAAATGCCATTACTTTTATATTATACCATACTAATAGAGATATTTTTGTTTTTTTTATTATAATTCAATATAATACTAATATTCAAAAATCTACATGTAAAAAACGTTTTTTTGCAAACGTCACATTTCCAACAGAGTGAATATTTTATTTTTATTTGCTGTTAAAAAAGTAACTTTATTCACCATGCTTTTATTATTTTTATTTTAAAATAAAAAATAATTAGTTTGTGTTTATTTTTATCTATTGGAAAATGGCACGAGCATACGGAGGGAGAAAGTATATAAAAACAAGCATACATGTGGTCTTACGTTTACCAATTACCATTGCCAAAATTGACGGTGGGTCCGAGTTTGTCGATAAATCGTGTTTTCCGCGTCATCGTTAGTTGTCGTTAAGCGATTTTAGTACATTTACGTGGGTCCCGCAATACTCCCAGTCCCAGATGACGGATTCAATGTGGTTCAGGTGCATGCACCTCCCTAAAATTCATCCTTTGACTCTTTATTTTTATTATTACTATTATTTTTTTTTATAAAATTTTAAACTTATTTTTTAAATAAAATATTATATTTGATTATTTGCAACGAAACCAACTAAAACACTTGTTTTTGTTTAATTTTAGGGTGTGTTAATCCAACTGTTTTTATTGATACGATTTATGTAATTATTATTAAAAAATAATACATATATAATTATATACTACAATATAATATATATTATTCATGTACCAAAATACTAATATTTTAATACAATTTTTTTTTTATGTAACAATAATATATATTTTAAAATTATATTTTTTTGGTTTACTTAATAAGTATATATTTTTTTTGGAGAGGGGTAAGGTGCTGAAATTTTTAATTCAGCATCCATACTAAACACTTTAAATTAATTAGTTTAATTTATATAATTAATTATAATAATTAATATAATTATATATCATCAAATTTTAAGTGTTCAGTATGGGTGTTGAATTTTTTTATTCAGCACCCTATTCTCTCCCTTTAAAGAATAAGCAAATAAATAAGACCCAAACACAAATGAAGTTTAAATTTATAATTTCACTGTTATTAGTTAATTCCCACGCCATAATAAGTGTGGGGTATTTGACATATATAGTGAAGTTCGTATTTATTTCTAAAAGAAAAAAAATAAATTTTTTACAATAAAAAATAAAAAAAATGGAAGACAATAGGGTGTTGAATAAAAAAATTCAACATCTATGCTGAATACTTAAAATTTGATGATATATAATTATATAAACTAGGTTAATTAATTTAAAGTGTTTAGTATGGGTGCTGCATAAAAAATTTGAGCACCTTACCCCTCCCCACGTAAATAAAATCTCATAGTTTGATTTTCACCAAAATTTTATAACTTTTATGCATGAAGGAGTTGAAATTTCGTTATAAAGCTATTAACGTGCCATTGGTCAATAATTGGATGCCAAATTGCACGTTTAAAAACTAGAAATAGAAAAGAAAAACATTTTAGATCTTTTTAACTAAAGGTTCACCTATATGCAAAGAAACGGTTGAATATATTAATTTATTAATAAAAAAATATTAAATCATATATCTCAAAATAATATTTTTCGTCTTAAACAAGATGTAATATTTATTTTTACAGAATTTTAGGTGGATAGTATTAAGTAGGATAATTTAGAAATCAGGTAATGTGATGGAGAGAGAAATTTATATTTTATTTTTTTATTTGGATAATATGAGGATAAAGTGTGAAGCAGAAATTAAGTATAATTAATTATTTTCTATTTTAAAAATATTACTGGACATAAAAAAAATATTGCAGATGTTTGAGACAGATAGAATAATACTCTAAAAAAAAGTAATAAAACGAGATGCTAATGTTGTGTTTATTTGTATTGTAAGTATACTTTTAATTAAAATAATTATTTGATATTACAAGATTGATATTTTAAATATACAAATAAATTTTAATATAATATAAAATGTTAAAAAAAAATAAGTAGGTAAATTAATATTTTGAAAAGAAAAATTGTTTTATAAATAATACTCCATCATCTGTCCCACATATCATGTCACTTTTTTTTTTAAATGATTACATACTTTAATTTATTTTAAACTTTTTAATTTATTTATTTTTTAAATTTTAATTAAATTAATTAGTTATCTCAATCTTAATTTATAATTATTTATATTAAAGAATAATTATTTTCACTAATACATTTTTAATTATCTAGTAATTACACCCCTCTTAAAATATACCGTATTTAAAGTGTAGCAGACACTGTATATGGGACAGATGGAGTATTTTATTTGTCCGAAATTGATTTATATATATATATTTTTTTTCTATCCTAAATCAATTTATTTGTATTAATTTTATTTAGTAATTGCACTTCTTATATATTTATATATATTTAAAAAAAATTACAACTTATATATTATTTCAATTAACAAATATCTTCATTGTAATTTAATTAATTTATCATTTTTTATTAGTATATTTCTACATTATATTTATATAAAATACCAATATTAAAAAATTACAATGCAAAAAAGTAAAAATATTTTGATAGATACAGACAATCGAGATTAAAAATTTCGTGAAAATCTAGACCCTAAAATGCAATGGAATCAGCGCTGGGGGCATAATTGTAATACAAATTTCAGGGGTATAATTGTAAAATATAGTCGCGATAGCCAGTCCCTGTCCCACCATCTTTCTGCCCCGACGGCATATAATAAAAACGTTGAATGCCTTGTGCAAAGCAACTTCCAATTTTATGCCAGAAAATCAGTAGAGAAGAAGAAGAGAGAGCGTGAAATGTGTGGGGGCGCAATAATTTCCGACTTCGCACCGCCGGCGAGCCGATCGTCGCGCCGTCTGACAGCTGACTTGCTCTGGGGCAGCTCGGCTGCCGATCCGAAGAAGAAGAGGAATCCGGCGAACTATTTCTCCAAGCCTCTGAGGGCTCAGCCGCTCATCGATTTGGATGATGATTTTGAAGCGGATTTTAGGAGTTTCGAGGATTTCTCTGACGACGAAGGGGGAATCGGAGTGAAAGAAGCGTTTGGTTTTTGTGCCTCAAAAAGTGAGGGTTTTAAAGGTATGTGGTTTCTTTTTTCCTTTTTTTTTTTGAATGTTTTCTGTAGCTTTTTGTTTTATGTTTTGATAAAAGATTGATTTGTTCTGATAGATTTCTGAGTAAAGTAGCTGCGAAAGTATAGCTTTGACAGTGGTAGTTAATTAGTTGTGGATGGTCATTTGAATTTGGATTTGAAGATTTGAATTATGTTTCTGTGCCTCAAAATGTTCAATTTGCATTTAATTTACATTAATCCGCTTTCTAGATAATTTATTAGTGACGATGCAATTGTAATTTGAGAGTTGTTCTATATGTTTGTCACCTCGACATTTTTTACTGAATGATTTGAAGCAATACAGTTAGAATGTTTCTGGCCCCTTATTCCTGGGGTGAAACTGTTTGTGATAGCTGCCTTCTGAAATTATGATTTTGCTATGGTGAAAGGTTCTTTGTTTCGATATATTTTAGGGTTTTTAATGGCAAACAAGCACAGAGGAGTTGCAAAACCATATATGTGGATAACACGCTTGATTTTGAAAGCCATTTTTCATTCTTGTTTTTATTATAGCTGTTCTGTTGATGAAACGCATTATCAAGCTTTTAAGTCCTTCTTGGTGATGATGATGATGGCGACGACTTTCCTGTGTATATGTTTTGCTGCGGAATAGATACCTGCAAGGTAGTTCAGGTTTTTTAACACTTGATTCTTAACCATTTTTCAGGATTTAGGATTTGGTTGATTGCTTTGTATTTTCCATTTCTGCTTATTTCTCTTGTAAGATACTTTCTTTTTTCTAGTTTACAATAAATATACTTATGTATGGGTTGTAGATCAATTATTTTTCGTTATAAACCATTCATCGATTGGCGATCTCTAACCCCACCTAAAATCCAGTTGTCTCAATTAATTTCTACGTAGCTTTTGTTCATCAAATTATTTAGATGGAAAATTTGGAGTCTACTTTTCAATTTTTTCCCCTTCTGCATGCCATGCTATTTTCTGACTTACTTTTCCATCCGTAGCTTTCATCTTCATTTCGTATGTCCTGTCTGTTTTGTAGATTTTGGATCTGTTGATTTGAAGGAGCCCGATGAGCCTGCTGAAAAGCCTAAAAGAAAGAGAAAGAATCTGTACAGAGGGATTCGGCAGCGACCCTGGGGTAAATGGGCTGCTGAGATCCGTGATCCAGTGAAAGGGGTTCGAGTTTGGCTTGGCACTTATAACACCGCTGAGGAAGCCGCTAGAGCTTATGATGCTGAAGCTCGCAAAATAAGAGGCAACAAAGCTAAACTGAACTTTCCCCAAGATGCATCAACACCAACTCATGCAGTGAAATCGAATTCCAAGTTATCTTCTGAGCAGCCAAATTCAGTTCATCCGACTTTTAACCAACCCATCAGTTTTCCCGAAGTGAAACCTCAGATAAATCAGTTTGGTTTTGCTAACAACTATTGTACCGCCAGTGATGTGGCTATAAAGCCCCTTACCTCCACTGATTGCTCGAGCGTCTACTTCAGCTCTGATCAGGGGAGCAATTCCTTCGACTGTGCCAATTTTGGCTGGAATGACAACTGTGCTAGGACTCCTGAAATATCGTCTGTCTTATCAGCTATTGTTGAGGACAATCAAGCTCAATTTGCAGAGGATGTTTGCCCTGCCAAGAAAGCAAAGACATGTTCCGACAATGTGGTGACTGCAAATAAACTCCCTGAAGATCTCTCCGAGTTTGATTCCCAAATGAAGCTCTTCCAGATGCCGTATCTTGACAACAACTGGGATACTTCCATTGATGCCTTTCTGAACTGTGGTACAACTCAAGAGGGTGGAAGTGCGTTGCAAATTTGGTCGTTCGATGACATCCCAACTTTGATGGGTGGCGCCTTCTGAGGCTTCCAGCCCCCTTTTAACTTCCTTTCATTTCCCGAATAAGGCTGCATGTTAGTGTTTGCTTCTTCGTTATTTATCTGCAATTTAGTTTTTTTTACATGTGCCTTGAAATTTACAGTTTTAACTTATTTGTTTGAGAATCGTGACTATGAGTGTGATCTCTCCCGACTTTTGCCTTTTTCAGGTGTTCCGGTGATGGAGCGAGAAACTGTAGGACGACGACGCTGTTCCGGTGGACTCTGGTTGAGTGAAGTTGTACAGAAACAACTATGTTTGGTCAGTTTTATTTTAACTTAAGACATGAGTATTGCCATTTAAATTGTGTGTTGGGATTCTAATTATTATTAACCTGTTTTTTCACTAAACTAATGAAACTCATTATTATTATAATTATTATTAAGACCTTTTATTTATTAGTTTATGTGTTATACTGTAATGTTGTCTTTGAGTGTCCTTTAATTCATTTACTCCATCATTAGGATTCTGCACCTTTTACATGTTCATAACTAAATTAGGTTTTAGCTTAAGTAGAAGTTTTGAAAGTTTTGAAAATTTGTATATGATAAAAAGTTGGATATTTGATGTGATTGATTTGTGGAAAAAAAAAAATAAAGGTATTTTGATTCTTTCAAAAAAGATCACTGTTCGATGATTAGCGTTAAAAGTTTCGAAAGTATTTACATAAATACTAAAATAGGCTGAGGCATTTGCATTGATGATGAATAATTTGGCTTAGCATGAGATTTGAATTGATATGTGGTATACATACATATACTGAAACAATGGAGGCCTTTTCAGCTATGGAAATTTATGACCATACAATTTATAGTCAGAATTAAATAAATTTGATTCCATTTTTCTGATGTGATTTGGAGCACCGCACATTCCTGTCATGAAAGTTTACATAGGACCACTACTATGCTTCTTCAAGAACACCCCAGAATATATATACATTTTTTAAAAAATAATAATAATAAAATAAAGGCACGTTTCCATGGAATTTGCACAACCAGACGATTTTCAAGATTATATGTTCGGGTGTGTTTGTTTGAGGGATTTGTTTGGATTTCTACTATTCATTCAATTTTTTTCCCCCCAAAAACATCAAATCAAACATCTATTTTTCATTTTTTATATTATACTAAAAATCAATTTTACATTCAAAACATCACATCAACACCTATTTATATCACATCATACAACTATTCAAATTTAAAATTTTTACTATTCAAATCCCAACTCAAAATCCAAACCCTCAAACAAACACACCCGAAAAAAATCCAAATTATTTTACTTTGAATGATGGGCAATGATACTGAGACTTGATAGATATGGCAATGATAGAGAGATAGTAAGGTTCTGTTCGTGGTTTTTTTTTTTTTTTAAATGATTGGTTAGTTATTGAGAAACGTAAAAATATTTATTTTTATTATTTTTTGAAAAAATTATGAAATAAATGAAAATAGTGATATAGGTTGAGCACACATTTGTTTTCAATATTTTATATAAAAAAAATAATATTAATAATTGAGAGCAAATACATTCTACTCCTAATATTTAGATATAGACATTTTTAAAATGTTTTGATATTATTAATTAGCAGTAATTTATTTAATAATATTATATTAAATATTTATTTTATTCTATAAAGTATAAAATGTTGTATTAAGAATTTAAATTATTACTATTTCTAATTTTACTTCAAGTTAGTATAACATTAATTTTTTTTTTTCATAAGTTCATCTCCAATTCACTATATTTTTTTTTTTTATGCATAAGGTTGTACAAAAAAATGGGGGAGAGGCTCCAACCCAACCTCAAATTCTCCCATTTTTGCAGGTATGCACAGTGTTTGGAGTAACACTGTTACTCCACTCCATCTTTGGAGTTTTTGTGGTATTTTTTATATTTTTGGTATTTTTTGAGTATATTGTGTAATTTTAATTTTTTTAGTAGATGATATATAATTTTATATTTAAAAAGTTGTATGTAATTTTATTTTTTTTAAAAAAATAATGTATAATTTTATTTTTTAAAAGTGATATAATTTTAGTTTTTGAAAAGTAATATAATTTTATTTTTTTTTAAAAAATAATGTATAATTTTATTTTCTAAATTGATATATAATTTTACTGTCGAAAAGTAATATAAATTATATGTGTATGGATCTAATGTAAAATTAAATTAAAGTTGAGTGTAATTTATAAATATGAAAAGTTATATAAAATAATATAAAAGAAGAATATATAAAGAATATACTTTTTAGAGTATAATTGAATTGGATTTTTACTATAGCAACTGTAAAAATAGAGCAGAGGGTTAGAGATGGCCTAAAAATGTAAATGGAATCTAATAGTTGTTGGGAATAATGTGGCTTTCGCTGTGTAAGTAAAAATGGAAATTAGGTGCACATGAAGAGTTAAGGACGCGACATTTATCACGAGGAAGCTAATGTTATGTCACCATCAAATAATAAAATGAGATGAGGGTGAACTTTAAATGCAAATTTGAAACTTTTGGATTTGCTCGTTGATAATAACATATATTTGTAAATATCATATTAAGTATTTATTATTTATTATATCGAATAATAATAAGCATATGCATTGTTGGTCATTGAAGACGTTTATGTATAATATGTGTGTGTGTGTTGGTCCACTTGTTTGTTATCTTCTTATTGCTTCTTTAGGGGGATTCTTCTACAGCACTTTTTACTTTTTTTGTACATGTATGCCTAAATAAAATATATATAATTTAATAAAATATCAAGGCTATGTTTGTTTGATATTAGTGTTTTTAATATTTTGTGTTACCCGAAAACACTAATAAAGATAGTATTGTATTGTGCTGGATTTTTCAGTACTCCATCCTTTCCCAAACACAGTGCAATATTTCTTTTTTATATGTACCAAACACATGCAACATTTTCAAAATAGGAAATAATTAATTATACATAATCTCTACCACACACTTTATCTCCCTCACATCATCCAAATAAAAAAAATAAAATATATATTTATATCTCTATCACATCACCTAATTTCTAAATTATTATACTTAATACTATCCACTAAAAATTTGTGCCAAAAATAAATGTTGCACCTTGTTTGTAAGGGAGGGAGTATGATTTTAAATTTTAGAGTTTTTCTTTTTTAAAATAAATAAATAAAATTAGAAATACATTTAAACTATATACTAAAATACTTATAAAATTATATGTAGATATCGCTTTGTTTGGTTGGACAGTAAAATTTCTGAATGACACCTTCATTCTTGACTAGTAAAATCCCATTCACAACTTTTTCAACCAAACATGACTCCAGCGTCAATAGACACCCTTTTTTATGTCATCTCAAACTCAAGTGTTTACCCAATAAAATTTTTAACACCGATCTCCGAATTAGTATTATTAATAAATACAATACTACTATACCTATTAAAAAGTAAATAAATAAATTAACTATTAACTCTATAAAAATTTCAATGGTACAATTATAAAACATAGGAGTATTATTTTTCTTAATATCCACACTAAAAAATTATGAATAAAATTTTACAAGATGAATAGAATTTTTATTTTTTTTTACTCCTGATTATCTATAAATAACATAAAAAAAAAAAATCATATAAAAAACAAAAACACAGTGAATACACTGTACACCTAATAAGACTAATTTTTTAATTGAATATATATAGATTATAATATTCACAATCACCTATGTCAAACAAAATATCTTCTCTATAATAGCACATCATTTTGATATTATTATTATTATTAATAATTAAAAAGTAAACTTTAATAAAACTTGACGATTATTTTAAAATTAATTAATTAATTTAGTAGTTGCGTTGTAGTATGGTACAGTCAAAGAGAGAAGCTTCTGGAGACGCATGCCTCCAAATAAATGTATCCAACTTTCAATCTCAGCCGTCGATCGCTAACCCCACAAAACCAGTCCATATCCGAAAGCCCGCTCGCATCATACAATATATACATACATTAGGATGCAGAATTCTCTCACTGTTCCCCAATTGAGTCAAGCTAATCAATCCAATCTACCACTTGCGTAATTAATCCAACTTGCATGTATGTTTCTGTCCATAAATACGTTCGAATTCGGTTTCTGGAGTCTTCACAGCTGTGGAGAGTTGTGTTTGGATTGTTTTTTTGCGGCAGTCTGTTGATAGTTGCACTTTTTTGTTGTACGATTGGGGATTTGGTGTGAACATGTGATGCGTTTGGAAAGTTTTGGTGGTTGTGAGGAATTGTGTAATCTCTGGTTTTCTTAATTAATTTATTTATTTTTATAAAATTTGATAATTCGCCGACAAAATTTGAGCTCTGAGGAATGGCGACGGAGGAGGAGAAGAGCGGCGATTTTTATGCGGTTTTGGGATTGGAAAAAGAATGCACCGCGGCGGAGCTGAGGAATGCGTATAAGAAACTTGCAATGGTACGTACACCTTAGAAGCAACTTCCCCCTTTTTCGGATTTATTTGTGTTATTGATTTTATTATTGTCCTTTATAATATATACACATATAAATTTCTGTGAAGATGCAATTCTATGAATATCGGTTGTTGATAGGAATGATTCTGGCATAGAGGAGTTATCGTTTTTGCGTTGATGTTGAGAAATGAATGGTTATTTTGCTGTTGCACGATTCTGAAATTGATCTGTTGTGCGACTTAGGAGGTTTTCATCGGAAGTATTTCACATTTGTGCTTAATTTAGAATTTGTGTGATTTCGTCAATTTTCTCCGCCTGTGATATATAGAAATGGCATCCCGATCGTTGCTCTTCTTCTGGAAATTCAAAGGAAGCGGCGAAGACAAAATTTCAAGCCATACAGCAAGCCTATTCAGGTAATTCGACAAGCTAAATCTACGAAAACATGTGTATGTGTGATTTTGTGAAGATATGTCAATAAGAAACGACAGCACCTCAACAGATCCAATCAAGACGTTAATCTTATTGTTGAAATGGCTTCGGTTGTGGATAAGTCCCTCCTTCTTCTCTGGTTTGATGTAAGAAGAACTAACCTGGTTGAAAGCTAGTCTGTACCCATTAACAAAAAAACAAAGAATAAAGAAAAAGAGAGAGGCTAAGATATGATGTTTGATATGTATGAATGTATGTGTGCAGTATAAATTCTCATCTGAACTGTGTTTATTCTTTGATTGTGAATTGACATTGCAGCATCATTGCTGCAAGTGCATTTATTCTGGTATGATAAATTCAACTCACAAGATGCAATTGTTGTTAGTGCTTTCGGATTCCAACAAAAGGTTTCTGTACGACTTAGGGGTCTACGACTCTGACGACGAAAATGATGAGAATGTGAGTTCTGATGACTTCACAGATTGTCACAAAATTCAATACATGTCGAATGTTGTTTGTGATTTGAGTTATTACGAAAAGTTCACTTTTCGCACTGTCGACCTCCTATTTGTAACTTGCTTGTGTTAGATTATTTAGTTTCTGTAGGTTGTTCCTTCTTTTCATGACTGGTATTTGTTCTGTAGTGCCATTAAACTGAGAATGTGAACTAAACTAAAGCATCCAAATGGAATTTTAATCTCTTGACAGGCTGGGAAAAAGGAAAAAAACATATGTCGATTCACTAAAATTTCTTTATTACTCAAAATTGTTACATTTTACTCTATACATATATAGCATGTGAATTATGAAGTGATAATCTGATTATATGCATTTGTGATGCCATTGCAGGGTATGGGCGATTTCTTGAACGAAATGGTGACTATGATGAGCCAAAGTAAACAAAATGTGAGTCATCTTAACACACATTTCATTATTAGTTCTTACCTCCTTTACCTTTACTGCATCGTAAATGAAGCAAGTTCTATGGAATATCCCACTAATTTGCCGATTTTGTGTCTCTGTCTTATCTGCAAGTCAGTCTTCAAACCACTTTGGCAGCTTCTATTCTTTCTGTATCTTTCATTGCTTCAACATATTGATCACAGATCATAATCTTACGCTTCCCTCCACCGTGTACGGTTTTTGTTTCAAGATGAAAATCTTGGATGAGTTGTGCCTGTCATATTCAAATTGTAGTTCGTTCCGTTGCTGACAGGAAAACAAAAGCACGAGTTTTGAAGAACTTCAACAATTGTTCGAGGATGTATTCCACAACGACGTTGATGCATTCAATGCATCTCCTTGCGCTCCCACTTCCTCCAGACAAGATTCCTTCACCGAGACACATACGTACTCGAACAAGAGGAACTCGTACCACATCAGCAGCAGCATCGAAGCTACACTATCAGAAGGGTTCTGCACTGGGGTATATATTCACATACTCTCCCCTTACCTCTCAACTTTCCCCATTAACAAACGCCATCATCGTATAATTCACCTGATCTATTACATTACATCATCTGTTTGACAGGAAAACATCAAGTTGGGACGAGCACCTGAGGAAAGAATAAAAGGTAACCGTAGGGATGGCAGGAAACAGAAAGTATCGTCAGGACAAGATGTCTCGTCGGGCCAATACTCAGGTATATCAGCTTAATTGCACTCGAGATGTATTGAGCATTTGGCCTGATCCTGATGTTATCTATTTTCACCGGTATTCCCGTCTCAGTTTTACATTGGTTTTTGGTTCTTTTGGTAAATGGAACTCATCACTCTGGCCTTTTTTTAAGTTCTGTAGTAATTTATTGTCGATTAACATTTTCAGCTGTAGTAATTTGTTGTTTTGTTTAGAAAAATTCTAGTTAATTGTGATTGAGCCTGTTATATTGAAACAACCCCGCGATGGTATAAATTGAAATAATCATCATCTACTAGTAAAATGTAGTTACTTTATTTTATTTTATATTATTTCATCGAGCCCCGAAATTGAGGGGTTCTTCCTGTTGGAAAAATCTTTTGCAAAATGTGAAGGTGAACTCGTAGATCAACGAAGGTTCTTCAGCATTGGAGATGTGAATTGGAAATATCATCTCATCTCATGGTTGGCATTGGCATTGCCATTTCGAGGGAGGTTAGTATTTGTCAATGTTGTTGATTCAGATTTGTTTTCCCGATCAAGGTTTGAAATTGATTTATGGTTTATACCTTGTAGTAGGCAATGCTGTGTACTAACTTGTAACTATATATATTGATTGACAATATTAAATAATATTTGCATCACAATCATAATAGATAAGAGATATACATAATTTAAATACATGAGGGGGATGGCATGATGATTTTAAAATAGATCAGCAATACAAACTTTTAATGAACATTAATTTAGGCATTATCAGTCTTTATATTGTGTGATGTCATCTCCTATATTATGTGCGGTCGGTATTGTGCTGAAAATTCAGCACACCATATATAATGGATGAGTGTGTTCGGTTTGTTTGTTTGTTTTTTTGGGGGTCTATGAGTTCTCTATGCTGCATGTGTTTATGTGTGTTTACTTACACCAATGAAACGAGTATAAAGATTGTAAAGCTAACCTCCCGCCTTTCCTTTGTGAAGATAGAGATAGAGGTAGAGAAATTACTGCCACATTAAGAATCCATACACGGCAGCTACAAAATAAAGAATTACCTTTGGTAGTAGTATGTATATACTAATCAATCGTTGTATTTGCATTTGTGTTTGTTGTTGGGGGAGGGACAAAGCTGGAGAGCTAGAGCACATGCCAGATTACTAAGAGAGGGAGAGAATTCGTCAATTGATTGAGTAATTTAGTAGCAAGTAGTAACTAGGCATGTGCCCTGCTTCTCCAGCTTTACTCGACACCCACCAGCTTCGTCTTCAACTTCAACTTCAACTTCTTGTATACTTTGAGGTGAACAGGAGATAGGGATAGATTAAGATAGTAAGAGAAGCTGTGGCTGTATGGATGTATAGATGTATAAATGTGTGTGTGTGTCTTCCTAAAACCTCCTTATATTTTGGTATACCATAAGGATGGTTGATTGTTGGAAGTTTGGCTGCCAATACTACATTACATTACATGGCTTGATATGACATAAAATCAAATCAGAGTAAAGAGTTGATCAAAAGTAGAATCTAACTGACCTATTATTTCATACCAAAGATTGAAGCACTTTTTTGTCCAAGTTAGTAAAAAATACCATACCATACCATACCATACCGGACCATGAAAATGGTTGGAATATGGTTATGGTATGACTACTGCTACTATTGATGGATAGGCCAACAATAAGAGGGACTGAGACCAATACAGATGACTACAAAATAAATAAGGACAAGGCTTTGTCCATAATAGCACTGCATAGCCTTAACCTTAGTTCAGCTGAATAATGTTTACTTGGTATATATGTATGTCTGTCTGTATATATCAAAATGCAGAAAAGCCTCCCTATGCGCAAGATTTCCCTGAGAATTCGGCCAATCCGTGAACATGTTAAAGATGAAAAGAGCATTGAATTTGTTTAGTATAGAGCAATGTAACATGTTCGGTTGCAGTTGTTAATTAATATAAGTTTTTGGAGAAAATTCTGGTTCCGGACCTCACAGTTAGCAGCAGTTAGTTAGTTAGACAGGCAATCATGAAATTGGAACCTCCTCCTCTAGATCCATCTCGTTTATGGAATACTCTCTCTCGAACAATAGGAGCTCCTGTATCGTAAGCCTACCGTGTCAGATCACAATATTATAAATAGATATATGCATCGACAGCAATGATCTTAGAAGTAGTAATTACAGTGGATTCATTTTATACATATATATAACAATGAGGGATCTCTTTTCAATCTGGATTAGATTTGGAAGTTTGGGTTTTAAATTTATATAATATTTGATGTGATATTTTGAAAAAAAAATATATATACTCCCTCCGTCCCAAAACAATATATGAGAATTAAAAAATAAATAGTATATATTGATAATGGATGTAAATGTATTTTTAAAAGACCAAAATGTCCGTTATGTAATTATTGTTAAAAAATGAGGCATATATTATTTCAAAAGGTGGGGAATTAAGTTACTAAAAATAGAAACAAGACTATTATTTTGAGAGAAGACGAAAATGGTAAGATGAGACGGAGGAAGTATTTTTTTCGAATAACATGAAATCCAAATAGTAAAAAACTATATAGAAACTAAAACAAAACAAAAAATTCGAGGAGAAAAGAGAGAAATTAAGCTGACCTGCAGTTGATTCTGGCTGAATAAATGAAGAAAGTCGGTTTCAGGAGACGTGACAAGTTCGATCAGCTCATGATGCCTCTCGGGCGGATAGCCCGACTCCATCAACGAAACAGAGACCTATAGAAAGACAAATTCAGTTAGTAAATACAGTCAGAAGCAGATACAAGTGAAAGAGGCAATCGCTTCAATAAATAGGTTGTTAAGTGTTTACAAAGAATCAAATCATATATATATATATATATATATACCTGCATGCTGCGAAGAACGAGTTCTGGGATGCAACACTTGCGACAAAGGCCTCGGACTATGTACGTTGCAGGGCCTTCCAGAGAGCCATCACTGTTCGAATACCAAGCATCCAACCGGGAGATCTCCACCGTCACTCCAGCTTGAAATCGAGCCAGTTCTCCTGGCAGACACAATTTCATTTTCATGAGGCTCGAATTACACTTCTACAGAACTTAAATGGAAAATCGATAGCTCAGGCAGATATGTATGATTACCTTTGAAGCCGGCAGCCATAACATGAGCCAGAATTCCACCATCATTCAGGTCGTGTGATCCGAGCCCATCGCCCTCCATGCCCAAGCAACGAAGAGCAACTTCAATGCAAGAATTGTCCCGAGGCGAAATAGAGACGTTCACCTGCACATTAAGAATAGCGTATCCTTGCAGTATAACAGACAAATAATGACAGTAACTTTGCCCAGAAGATCAGTTAGAAGTTTGCGGTATTTTACCATTAATTCCCTATGCAGAACATCTTGCTCGGTTACAGACGAGTAAAGGGCGCTTGCCAATGTTGTGCACAGTGTAGCATCGGGAAGCAAACACTCGCCTGAAGGTAGAGACATAACCGCTGTGGCATGCAATTCCAGGTACACAGGTTCCATCGATTCATGCACATGATCTTGGGTCGGAACCAACCATGGGTTATCTTTCCCTGAAACATGAGCAATCGATCAAGAAGCAATTGATTACTAGTTGTGAAGTACCCTTTCGTCGAACTATATATATATATCTATGTATATGTAGTCCTAAATATATGCACCAATATATTCTGCACAATATCTTTCAGTGGGAACAGGAAAACTCACTTTCGAGCAGTAACAATGAAGATCTTAGAGCTTCTTTAGCTGCCGAAACTTCCCTTTCTTTTTCCTCTCTCGAAAGTTCATGAGGTGAAACTTCAGAATTTGCTAGTTGGATTTTTAGCCAGTTCCGATATTTTGCATCACAAGAGTAGTACTCACTCTGATTTAATCACGAGGATAACGACTGAAGTTAGTAATAAAAATTGTTGTCTTTTTAGTAACAGTGATACAGAATGACTGTAACATACCCAATCCTGGAATTCTCGAAGATCCTCAGCATTGTTGTCCTCATCTGTGGTAAGAATTTCTGTCGGTTGTTTCAATGGTTCAGCTAGTAAACTTAGCACTGTGTGCGCCCCAATGGGCACTGCTGGCACCCTCCACATTGAGATAAGAGCAAATTCTCTAAGGAGCAGATTGCTGCATCAAGAAAAGGAGACAATTGCTCGGTTAAAAAGGGTACTGTATACAAATTAATGTTTAAACATAATGTATAACTTTTTTGATTAAAACTCAGCATAATGAAATCCATACCGTCAAATTTAAAGTGTATTTTAGTACTACTAGAATGTGGATTAGAAGTGATAGAAGAAACTAATTACCTGTGCATCAGCGCACGTAGAAGAAGTTTTCCAGCGACAACTTCGGCATCGTTAATTGTGGAAGGTGGTGTAAAGCAGAGCCACTGAATAACCATGGCTTTTTGTTGACTCTGTAAACGATGTTGCTCGGCAACATCAGATGCACTGTCATGTTTTCCAACAATGTTTTGACGAGATCTTGACAGAACTCTGTTCAGTAAAATTTCAAACAATTCGTAAACTATAATACTTCACAAACACAAATGCACATAAGAAAAAGGGATCACGCTTAAGTCAAATACCTTTCAATGATCTCTTCAAAACTGCCTTTTTTCGTATCATCTTCGGGAGAGAATGGTAAATACTCGATAGCAGAAAGAAAAATCTTGTATCGAACATGTACACTGTAGATAATTCAAGGCATAATATTGTAAGAGTTAGCTATTGGAGCCATTTAATGAAGGAAAAAATACGGATAATTTATATAGGAAGTTAATTCTAGAAAAAATGCATGATGTTCTAAATATACATGATTGAAAAAAAAAAAAAAAAAAAGGAGCATCCATCTAAGAACCAACATGCAGTGCAAGAAACGATATCATTCTATGTGTAATCGCGCGATCATTGAAACATCATACTTCACAAGAGCAAGAGAGATCTTATCAAGAACCTATATTATCACATCCGGTATTATAAACTATATCAAAGCAATTATACAAGTTGGGAGAATGGAAAGCGCAAGAAAATGGAATTTCTTTAGAACCTGCTGTTGAGCCTCAACTCCATCATATGGACAAAAAGATCAATGCAGCGATGACGAGCAAGTTGAGAAGCATAAATCCCAACCAGTTCCTCATGCTGCTTGGTGAAAAGGAAAATTGCATACCTGAAAGAGCATCTCATAAGAAAACGTTGCTCACAAATGAAGCGATAAATCTCAAATCGGAAGCTCTGAACTAGGCACAGATTTCTGCTTACATGTGTATAATGAAGTCTCCAACTGTCATTATTTTCTCTTTGAAAGTATCTTTCATTTGATCTACAAGTAAGTATCTGAGCACCAGCACTAAGTGTGCACCAAACCGCATCATCTGTGGGTCACCATGAGGCCTGGCAATATGATGCGTGGACAACAAAACCATATAGATTCACATTCTAAGAAAATAAATCATATTAATTATATTCTTGACTATAATGAAGAAAAATATTATTTCAAGACACTTGGGTTTAAGAGCAGTAAAAACCATTATGTTATTACCTGAAAATATTTTCATCATCCTCTGAAGGCGATATCCATGAATATATAAGGTCAAGCAAGTGAGGTATGTCTCCCAACATAAGATTCATCTGTTTAAAAGATTTTGTTAAAAACATCAAGCAATCAAACTGTGAATCAGCACAAACAAAATTTGCCATATTAGAATGTTTCCCTAAGATTGATTGTTTTTTTCTGTCAAAAGACCACAATAAACATGAGTAAAGTAAAACAACAAGCTACGAGCTAAAACTTAGTCACCACATAAGCATTGAAAAGGTGAAGAAAATAAATTATTCTCAGTAGATGAAAGTGGTGAGACAAGATGACAAAGTAAAGCAAACATATATATAATCTTTGTCCAGAAACCAACAGCAGCAGAAAATCCGAGACCACTGATTCACTACTTCTGAAGTGTAGCACATTTATTTACAAGGTAATGAGGATCTTGCAGTAGTCAACTTCCAATCAAGTCAATTTGTTTATACAGTAGAATGTAAGGCTAGAATATAAATCTCCAGAAATAGTGTTTTTTCATCATGCATGTGGCTTTTCACAATGAAGCATAAGACACACAGCATGTGGTAGAAGTCGCTGAGGAACAACAATACAAAAGAGCATCTTTTTATCAGTGACCAATATATTCTCTTCTAAAATCAATAAGGTATATAAAGAAGTTAAAAGTGTAGGCAAAATACAAGTAGCAATAACATAAATTCAAACTGTGCGGTAATTTCCTAAGCATAACTTAGAAAAACCTTATTGACACAAATTATCATGCAATAGTTGACAATCTGTAATGAAATTTACCATACTAAGTAAAGATGAAAGCTTATCACAGAAAGATTGTTACCTCAATTTGTCTCTGCTGCTCCTTGCATGCTCGAGCAACATTTTCATGCACAGTATCACTGAATAATGAACAAAGAAAAACAGAGATCAGTTTTCACTGCTAACAGAAAATAATAATCCAATCAATATGCAATACACATACATTGAATGGAGTTTCTGAAGAAGAGAAGACAGATTGCTAGGCTGCTGATTCAATACTTGCAGCGGCCAACTATCAGGCCCACTATTTGCCTGAGAAGAAAGATCCCCTTGCCCTGGACTTCTTTCCATTGCTTCTTCAAAATTCTTGAACTGGTCCATTCCGCCTGGTCTTAATCGAGCTATTTCAATATCAACTTGGACATCAAGCCATGACTTGGCCATTGCCCAGCACGCAGACTGAAATTGTGAAAGAAATAGCATGAATGAAGACAACAGTAAGTCATTAGAGATTTCAATAACATGTAAATGAAGAATTAGCAGTAGAAGCCGTCAGCAAGTAATGCCTGTTCAAACCAAGAGATGACACATACAGACAAGACACAACAAGGAAAGCTCGAGGATACCAGATACAAGAAGGTGGTGGAATTAGCCTTCTCCGTTGAAGAATATATTGTATGATAGAAATTCAAGATTCAACATCGTATGTAATCCTCAAGGAGAACTAAAAGATATAGCTCCAGCATGAATAATTTTCCCGAACAAGAGCTAGTGAGAAGCAGACAGATACTTCCTATAACATGTTCAAAACAACCTTTTGGCATGTAAAAACCTGAAGTGAACAAAGACTTGTCGTAGATTTATAAAAATACATAGGAGGTTGCTCTATATATTCAAAAGTTTTGAGAAGGTGCAAAGTAAACCTTGTAGATTAGACTACATCTCAATATCACTTACAGGTCTGGTGGCATTACAATCTTGAAAAAGCAAGAAAGGAAACAAATAAAGGTTCCTGGTAACTTCATACAAACATTACAAAAAAAGGGAGGATGCCAGTAAAATGTATTAAAAAGACATAAGAATGTACCTCCCAGTCGGTACAAACAGGCAGGATGCGCTTAACATTGCTGCTTTGCGCTGCATATACTGCTTTTTCATATTTTCCACCATCTTGATCAGCAATTTTCTTCATTAAACAAAGAAATCAGGTGAAAACAATCAGTTTGGTGCATGACTTTGAGATATCAGGAAATTATGCAATGGTCAGATATAACATTCATGACAACTAAAAGTTGGAACTCTACACATTTAAATGCCTCAGCCTGAAAGTAATAAAGGTTTCTGAAGACTGGAATCAAACAGTTACGATGCATGATTGTGAGGAAAAGAAAATAGATGTATGTTAGACTGAGTAGAAGCTACAGCACAGAAGAAAAACCTCAGCTTAAATTTGCATCTGCATCTCTGATGCACAAACTTAAAAGCAACCAATCCTGTTTACTTACTTCAGATGCACAATATGAGGCCCATCTCCATAGTCTCCACTGATGACCGATTCCACTTTCTAGTTCAATGGCTTGAAGCATCCTGTTTTTGCCATTTTTCTCTAGGGCTTCAAGGGATGGGAATAAATCGAATCCCTCAAAGGGACATAAACTTGCAGCCCTCCACGGCTGCCAAACCAAAGTTACCATCCAATAAGAATATTGGATATCTCACTTTCAAAGGTATCATTGGAACAAAAGAAGAAAAGCCAAACAATTCAAGCTTCTCAACATATCTTCTTACCTGACCTGCAGATCGGCAGAGGTTACAGGCCTCTTCTAGTCTTCCAGCTCTCAGGAGAGTCCAGACATCTTCTAAAAGTGATTCATCTTGTTTCTAGCATAAAATGAATTGTTTTTTTTATATTAACTCAGTAATACATGAAAACCCATTAAGCAATAATAACCACTTCAATGCCTACATAATTTGCTAGAATCTACATCACACCAGGTCCAAAAATCAGACACCAAAAAGTGTAGCAAAACTTACACTTCCTCTATCCTAAATTTATGGGTCACACTGGAAGGCAAACAATTTAGATGTGCTGAGTTAATGGAAGGGCCATATAATCAACATTAATGTTGATCAAACTACAGATTTAAGCAATTTAAGGGTGAATTTGCAAAACAACTTCATGTAGAAATTATCACTTGAAACGTATGAGGAAACAGGAGCAATGCTACATCAGTGATTATAAAGAAGAGCTCCCATACGTCAAGCATAGCTAAGTTATTGAAACCACTTCTTTATGTGTGTTTTGGCAAGGAACTCTTATGATTATTCTCTTTTGCTCTTATAACCAAATCATCTATCTTCAATTAAATCCCCTAAATCAATTGAGACAAAGACAATAACCCCACATTTCATGAAAAGAGTAAGCACACAGAAACAATCAATAATAATAGATGCAGTGAACATTATATAAGACTAAGCAACTAAAAGAAAACTACTAGTTATAAGGATATGACTTTATCATGTGAATACTTTATCATCGGGCAGCTGCTGGCAATGCTCACGAGTTGGAGCATCAAAATCCAAGTGATGAACTGTTTTTTGATTTGAAGCACCTCTTTTAAGATATCGTTGAGTGTGCTGCCAAATTCCAGAGCTTGGAAGGTATGTTCCCACATGAGAACCTCTAACCTGAAAAATAAATAAATAAATAATTTTAATAAAAATATCAGCATCGGGAAGTAACATAACAGCATCGGCACGACAATGGCCAACCGCATTCCCATCTTTTATATGTACTTAAAGGACAGATCTTCCCCAAATGGTGTATTAAAAGCACTAGCTAACCATTTCTTAAGCATGCACTGGCTATAAAAGATAATCCATTCAAGACAATGAACCTACCGTTCCATTTAGTAAGATTATACATTAGAAGTATTTGAACAAGGAGAAAAATATTAGGTATAATGGTTTGTATTTCCTGACTATTTATTAAAGCCGAGTGAATGTTGATGCGTCTATACCTTACTATCCAAATCAAGGGCTTTGGATGCTAATCCTTCAAGCCACTGAACAATCCGGAGGCATAATTGTGCTGTATGATTTACTGCAACAAATTGGCAGGCCTCCAAGTGGGAAGTTGTAGGGAACTGTTACACAAGTAATAGATTCGTCATAGATGCTTGAGGGCAATATCAACACCAAAGATTACATTTGAGCAAGGCTATAAGGATCAGGTAAACAAAGAGAAACCAAAGTTAAGTCAATCCAACTAGGGCAGGCAAAAGGGTCTAATAGATGACAAATACAGATATATGATTTGTATAGCCAAAACTTACCATGAATAGATCACTAGGGACTTCTTCATTTCCTGCAAAAGCATTAGGACTTTAGACTCAAGAGAAAAAACAAGGTACAAAGTAAATAGAATCTCCAACACCTCAGAAGAAATAGCAGACTCAACATGAAGGATGCCTGTTTAAATTACTGTGAGATTACAAATGGAGCTATTGCGACAACAAATGGGTTCAAAGTTTTTTTTTTTTTTTAGATCAAGGAAGGAGTTTCTTATCGAATATTGTGCTTTGTATGTAACCATTTTAGCAGCCAATTTCAACTAAAAAAACACACAACAAATAGACTACCTAACAAAAATATATTTGAGAAGTAATCTTCTTAATGTCTTACATGTATACACACACAACTCCCAAGTGCTTACATCACTAGCCCATACAAGCTCCACATTAACTTTATAAACTATTAATACTCAAATCCAAAAATAAGAAAAAGTAAGAAAAGCATTGTATAGACTGAAGGTAGATTACCTTTTCCATACAAGTACCACAGAAGAGACCAAGAAGCAGCTTCATCAAGCAAATGTCTAGCCTTCTGCCGCATCAATTTGTCCTCAATAACTCTATATCTCTCATTAGCACCATATCTGAAACCAGAACACCAAAAAGTAAATGACCCATTAGGCAGTAAATAATGGCAAACATAGTATATAGACAAAAAGAACTCAAATAGGCACTTGTAGAAATATTTTGCACAAATACATTGTCTGAAATCGAGTATGGGTAGTACACGAGCTATAATAAATTCCAAAATGAAGCAAAAAACAGACAACTTAGGTGCACCAGCAAAGCTCATAAATTGGCAATCACATAATAAAAATCTTAAAGAATAAAATTGCTACACTCAACTGTCTTGACATACCAAATTAAAACAGCATGCGAGGATATTAAGAAATTTGAGAACACATATTAATTTTCTTCTTTTCAGAACAGAATCTGCTCTGCATTTCGACATGCAATTATAAAGATTTTCTAGGAGTTGCTTGCACGGTGGATAAGCTAGAATGTTCTATACGCATATTAGAATAGAAGAGATCAAAAGAGTAGATCAGCTTGAAGCTGAAACTTAAGCCAACATAAAAGCTCAACCACAGTTTAAATTTTGCAAAGGATGGCATATCATTAATTAAATTAGCAACCACAAATCATAAAATCCAAAAAATGCTATTCGCAAGAACAGAAAAGAATAATAATCACCCTGGAGGCACTAATTATTACCTGATTGATTCCGAAACCTCACGGCAAGAACTTTCAAATCTTAGTATCAGATCAGGGATAGGTATCAAGTCTGCAGCAAATTAGCAGAAAGAGAAGTCAAATCCTACATCGTGATTGTGGATGCATCTAGAAATCTGGAAGTAGGTTATTCCAGACACATAGACAACATGCTAGCAAAATGTAAGCATATTAATCCTCAATAAACTGGTTCTCTTTGCTCAACATCTTCTTCCTCCGTAGCAGCAGTTTCAATAACTAAAATCATCTAAATTCCATGGAATTGTTTTGGATCTCTAACAGAGAAGCTTAATTAAATAAATTGGTAACGATAAAAACACAGTAGATGAGTTTCACGTAAGCTTAAATAAAAAAACTGAATGCTCAATCGGAAGCTCTTCATTCAGATATTTCAATTTTTATGTTTGGGGGAAAAGTAGCAACATCTCTTCCTATCTTTCCAAGCATAAAAAGAACCGTGGAAAGGTAACTAGTTGCACACTGTTGAACTCAAATAATACTTGATGATATACAACCCTCATATTAACCCAATAGTGGTCTTGCTTACCTAGGAAAGAGTTTATAAGAATGATGGCATCTTAATAGATATACAGAGAAGAACAATAGCAATTTGAACACAAACTATCCAATGGTAGCATGTTTTTATTATTAACGTGTCCAACAACAAGTAAAACTATTATCGGAACATCTTTATCATCCAATGCTAATGTGTTTTAGTCCTAAGAACATCCGACGCAAGTAAATTATTAACCAAGCAAACATCTTAGTGAATCACCTTGGATACCAGAATCCAGAAGAGAAGCAAATAATGAGAAAGTAGTATCTGCAGTTTCAATCTGCTCAAGCTCTTCCTGTTTGCAAACCTTTAGTGATTCACTTCCCCCCCTACGTACCGACTCAATGTCACCTTCAAACTTGATTGCACCACGAGCATCCAAGGTTGCTCTCCTTGTAGAAACAGACTCAAAAGGCATCCCCTGAACATCCATGTCAAGGCTTTCAGCTTCATGTTTTATATTTTCAAGAAAAAGTGCCGCATTACTGAATCTGGAAGCAGAATTGTCATGATGAGGGGATAGGCTTGACCCTGGATGTCGTTTCCTGGGCACAACAAAGACGCTTTAGTGTCCCACATATCAAATTTCCATAAAATCAAGAGGCTAAATGTCTGATAATCTGATAATCTGTAAGGGTTTTCCCTTCCATTTTTGCGGCAAAAAATCTGCAAAACTTGCCGGCCAACAAAATATACTGGAAAATTTTTGCAAACAAATTCCAGATGAAGAATCCCAGTACAAAGGACAATTCCACCATATGTTTCCTTTTAATCTATACCTACCATTTAAAAGTACACTAGCTCACCACAAGCACACAAATCCCGAATATATCAGAAGCTCAAATGTAACGATATTCTAGCGCAGCCATAACTCCGTGGGCATTGAAATTATTCATTTCCTTATACATCGATCTCATTACATTACTTCATAGAAACTTTAACATGGATTCCGGTGCTCACCACCTACAACCCTAATTTTACTTCGATTTTGAGTCGAAAAAAACTGCGCGGTATTAAACAATTACCCGTATCGACGGAAACGCTCCCGACTGCTGAGATCCTCGGGGTCGAAGTAGCTGTAGCTTGGAGAAGCCTCCATTTCCACTTCCATGAGTGCAGAAATTCCCCGAAAGCGTGCAATTGGTAGCGCTGGGATTGATTAAACCCTTAATAGGGCTTTTTCCGCGCGGGAAGGGTTTTTTCAGGATTGAGTCCTTTCATTTATATGTAGTCGTATGTAAGTATTGTGTACTTATGGTAATTTTAATATCGTGTCAATGTTTAGGGTTTACACAAATAATTTCACTTAATATTACGTTAAATATACTTTTTCTTACAAATATTAAATTATTGGTTTAAAATACAAATCAAGACACCACTATATTGAATATGAATTGGAAAAGTGATCAATGACATGTATCATAAAAAATAAGATTACCCATAATTTGAAATAATATATTGATTTCAATCAATGACATGTATTATCAAAAATAAGATTACCTATAATTTGAAATAATATATTGATTTCAATACATTCTACATTTTGTTAATTTTTTTCAATCTAATTTGTTAACTTTTTTTCTATTTAATTTAATATACAATTATTGTAAATTATTATTCAAATCAAAATTCAACAAATAAACAATATTATTAAAAAACAAAGCATAATAGATATTTATGTGTTAGTTTTGGTCTTTACTTATCCATCTCAACACTCAAATCATCTCTTACATCACAAACATTTATATTTATTTGATAAGATAAAAGTGTAATATATATATATATATATATATTTTTATGACAGCTAGCAGAAAAGTGCACATAATGGAGTATTTCATATTTTGAAATATTGCAGCGTATGCAGAAGCTCAAAGAGACAAATATAGTATGATATAAGATGAGTATTACTCACTCCGTCCCAATACAATAGTCTTGTTTACTATTTTTGTCCGTCCAAAAATAATAGTTTCATTTTCATAAATAATCATATCACCGTAAAATTATTCCTATTTTTTTATTATTATTACACAATTGCTACTATTTTTTACACTAAAAAAATTATTTATTTTTATTTTTTACTGACTACCAATATAATATCAATATTTCTTAAATGTTCGTATCCAATACAATAAGATCGTACTTTTGAGACGAAGGAAGTATTAAATCAAATAAACTTCTTATTTCAAATTAAACAAACAATGATTGGTTTTGATTTATAATTGAATAGGCAATTTAAAGTATCATTTAAATAGTATTATGATATGGAGTAATATTTTTTTTCTCAAAAAAATATTATATATATTTTATTAAAATCATATGTATAATATCATATATATATTATGAAATTATATTTGCTAAATATGCTAAGGGTGTGTTTGTTTGAGGGATTGGATTTGAGTTGAAATTTGAATAGTAAAAATTTTGAATTTGAATAGTTGTATGATGTGACATAAATAGGTGTTGATGTGATGTTTTGAATGTAAAATTGATTTTTAGTATAATATAAAAAATAAAAAATAAGTGTTTGATTTGATGTTTTTAGAAAAAAAAAAAAAAAAGGATAAATAATGGAAATCCAAACAAATCTCTCAAACAAACACACCCTAAGTATATTTATAATTGATAAAATTTATTTTAAAATATAAACATGCTAAATATGCTAATTATTTTTTTTAATTTTAATTAAATTAATTAATTATTTTAATTTTAATTTATAATTATTTATATTATAAATAATTATTTTTAAAAATATATTTTTAATTATAGACAGGATACTAGGAACGGAGAAATGAAATCAGAAAAGGAAAAAGTAAACGTGTCATTTGAAATGAAACTAGAGAACAAAAATTAAAATAATTTTAAAACATACATTGCAACGCGGCAGCAATTTATTGGTGAATACCACCTCTTGTTTCAAATAAAAAAAATACATATATACGGACAGCTGGCCAAATACACAGGTAATGCTGAGCTGGCAGATCAAGGGCCATACGGCTATTATTTATTCGGCGGTCGGCGGCCGATCGCCGCCGCCGTCAACCGCCCAATCATAGTTCTCTTCCACACCATAAAAACACGCCCGCACCACACCACACCATACCACAGTTTTCTACACATTAATTTCCTCAAGCTTTAATTTCTTCTTTCCCTCACCACACAGAAGCATTTAAAATAATAAAAAAAAAATTCAAATTCAATTTGGGGGTATTTCTCAAAATGTCAATCGTATTCTCCACCGCTGCAAAACCCTACCTCATTCAAGAAGAAGAACAGTGGAAGATTCAGTGCTTTTGATCTTTTCTTTCGATCGGTAGCTTCACTTTCTGCTCTCTCTCTCTATACATATACATATATATAGTTTCTGTATAACTCGATATATATAGGGATGTCTGCAGGTGTGATAAGTGATGCGATGTTGACGACAAACCTGAGTTCAACGTCGGGGCAAAACGACGTCGTTTTGGCGAAATGCGACTGCTGCGGCCTTACAGAAGAGTGCACGCCGTCGTATATCCAGGCAATTCGCGAGAGGTATATATATATATATATATATACACATACATATAATTTCTGATGATTAATTAATTAAATAATTAATATTAATTAAAAGATCAACATATTTTCACTCATTTATCATTATTTATTTTATAAAAATATCACTTCGAATATATATATATATATATACATTTTTCATATAATATTAAATCAAATACTAACTTAATTTTGTTGATAGGAAGAAAATTGAATTTTGCGATGATACATTGCAGGCATGGAGGGAGATGGATTTGCGGGCTTTGTGCGGAGGCTGTGAAGGATGACGTCATCAGGCGGCTGATAAGCCCGGACGAGGCAGTGCTCCGCCATCGGAGCTTCTGCACCAACTTCCAGGCCTCGGCGCCGCCGCTCGATCCGGCGGCGCATTTGATCCGGGCCATGAGTCAGGTCCTGAGGAGGAGTTTGGTGGGGCCCTCCGATCGGTGCCGGATAGCCCGCCGGGCCGAGGAGGCTTGAGCTGAGTTGACTCGGTCGGAGAATTATGTTATTCCGAGTTTGACCCTGGCCAATGCCTCCATGAAGGCATAATTCGAGGGGCAAAATGGAGATATGAAATGTCGTGTGATTGGCTGGCCTGCTATGTTCTAATTATTGTTTACCTATGATATTGTCCGAACTGAGTTTAGATTTGTTTTTGAATTTAGTCGTCATTACTTAGTGGAGTTCATTTTGGGAGATATAAGTGTGTAAGTTTATTCACAACTGATTTGCAACAGTTCATTAACTTTAAACAAAAGGTCCAAAATAGTAAACAAACGCTTAAAATCAATGCAAAGCGATTTATTGATGAAGTTTATATTTATTATTGCAATAATAATAGCCATGATAATGATATAATAATACCTTTGTTTGTACAAATCTACCCAAAGTTGATTCCTTGCGCCAAAGGCAGTTCACTTCCATAGTTGATGGTGCTGCAAACACACAACAATGGATGTTTTGAATTTGAATATTTATTTATTTATTTTTTTTGTTTCATGAAAAAATTTGATGGGAAAATATTTATCAAAAATAATATACCGGGAAAGGATTGTATAGTAAAAAAATTGAAGTTTGAATAGTTACCAAGTCGAGCGTCTCATGTATTGCTTCCAAGAATCGCTTCCAGCTTCACGCCCGCCGCCGGTGGCTTTCTCGCCGCCAAATGCGCCGCCAATTTCAGCTCCGTTCGTCGGAATGTTGACATTTACAATTCCGCAGTCGCTTCCCATGGGCCTGCATTGAATTCAAAGGAGTCGAACAAGACTGTATAAACTAAACTATGCTTATATAGATAGATATACCTTTGGAATTTTTGTCCGCATTTATCTAACATTATTTTTTTTCATAAAATATACCCGACTTTTACTTCCAAAATTTCTAAGTAAATGGAGCTTAGCCGCAGCCTCACCCGATCCATTTGAATATGATTTCAGGTTTACGGGTGAAGATGGAACTGCTTAAACCTTGAGGTACAGAATTGTTCATTTCGATCGCTTCCTTCAGTGACTGCACAACATCGAGCACATTATATAATCACCGAAGAAAAAACAACCAAAAATAAAAACAAAAGCTCTTCGAAGCATAGTTATCGTTCACCAGAAACTTCATGACGTAAAGAACGGGTGCAAAGAGCTCTTCCTTAACAACATCAGCATTGGCAGAGATTTCGACTATGGTGGGTTGCACATAATTGCCTAGGGAGTCGATGATATTTCCGCCAGTGATTATCTTTCCTCCCTGGAAAACATCGACACATACGGATCTTTATATATATATATATATCGAAAAATTGATTTGATGAAGATACCAATTTAGAACGAAAGCTAGGACAAACCTGTGACTTGATTTTCTGTATACCGTGAATGAAATTGTCCCGGGATGTTCGAGTATGGAGCGGGCCAAGTAAGGTGCCCTTTTCCAATGGATTTCCTACCTTGACTTGTTTGTAGACTTCGAGCAGTCGTTCGAGAACTTTCTGGTAAATGCTCTCGTGAAGAAGCTTAAGTAATCGGAGGATAATAAAGAATAAAGGATTAGATTGTGTTTTTTAAGCATATAAAATTTGAAATAAATATACAGGAGAGGCTTTTGCAATGAAGAAATTTCGATTTAATACCAGTCTACGGCATGTGGTGCATCGCTGACCGGCGGTTCCAACAGCAGCAAATAGAACAGATCGAACAGCTAGTTCGATGTCGGCGTCATCCATGACGATTATGGCGTTATTTCCACTCATTTCAAGCAGGCATTTTCCGAATCTTTGGTTGACTGTTTGTTGAACAGTTAGTCCCGCCTGAAATAGCAGATGGATACAGATTTGAAGGACAACGATAACTCAATTCCTAAAATCGAAACTTTGATAAATAGCACGGCAATGAAGGAGTCTTTTTTCGTAGATGACATAAGGTTGCACATATAATTGACCATTTCTGTTACCTTGGTGCTCCCGGTGAAGGAAACGAGAGGTATGCGCGTATCTTTGGCTATGGCTTGACCGATATCAGCACCACCACAAAATGAGGTGAAAATTGCACCCGGCAAATTGTTCTTCTCCAATACCCCGGCGATAATCTTCGTCATAGCTATGGTAATCAGAGGTGTTGTTGGAGCACCCTTCCTGTAAATTGTAAAATCTGGAGAGTTATAAATTGCATTCATTCGATGCGCAGTTGATGCCGATAGAAGAAATAGTGAAGGTTTAGTAAATTATATGACAAAAATACATAGTAAAGAGAAATAAAAAAATAAATAAATTACCAGACAACTGAATTTCCACAAACAAGAGCAATGCAAGCATTCCATCCTACATTTACATAACAAAGTCAACTTAAACGTGCATAAAAGAAAATATAACGATATTCCCTAATTACGTAAATTTTAATGCGAGAATATTGCAGCACTCACCAAGAACAGCACAAGGGAAATTGAAAGCTGTTATTACACCGACTATCCCTAGAGGATTCCACGTCTGATGAGGGGTACCACGTAAAAAGAAAAGCTTAGAAATGATTCTTTTACTAAAAATGCAAAGAATACTACACAGAAGTCGGAAGGGAATAATAACTGGAGTACCTCTAACATCATATGATTTGGTCCTGTTAATAAATACATGAGAGTTATTAGGAGTAAAGATTGTCAAGCTTCAGTATCGAGTCTAATTGCAGAGAAAACAGCAAAGCTAATGAAGCTTACTCTCTGAGGGTATGATCGACCCATTCAGCTGCCGACTCAGTCCCACAGAAAAGTCACACATATCAATAATCTCCTGCAATAGCAATGAACAGAAGATAATCAATGTTTGACATTTTGAATTCTTATCAACAAATCCACTGTCCCGAATTACAGATTGATAGAAGGAGTTACAGATATTAGCATTTCTAGAATGTCCTATATGGTTCTTGGTTCAAAAATAACAGTTCACATATTTTTTGCCTCTATCATTCTGCTATCAAACACATGAAAGGCTTAATAAGCAATGCACTTTGATGAATCATGCGTATAACACCAAGCTCGATGAAAAATGCAACTTACATTTGACAAATGATGCAAGATACACAGTATTTTTATTGTTTTTTTAACTTTTAATTTCAACCCTTTTGCTGTCACTTTAGTACTTGAGCAACCCAAAATTTGTACATTACTCATTTATGTAATGCAGGATTGAAGCTTGTGCGTAAATGAATTTGAATCTTCTGGTAACAATGGTCTAATCGAAAATAAATGATGTCCAGGAAAACACATTAGCAGGCACATAGAAGATTGAGTCCCTTATGCCAATCATCATCTAAAACTAAGGAAGATGAATTACCTGAACCTCCCCTATTCCTTCAGGTAGAATTTTTCCCATTTCTAGGGAAACAAGCCGGCCAAGTTGATGGAGCTTCGATCTCAGTGCATCACCAATTTGCCGCACAATCTCACCCCTCTTTGGTGCAGGAATCTGAAACAAGAAAACATGGATCACATGATTCACATCGAATATCACATGGATAAGAAAAGAACTTTCATATAGCTCTGCTAATCAATGATAAACCTGCATCCATATCTTTGTAGCTTGTGCACATGCTTGTATTCCTTCCTCGTAGTCCTGAATAGATGCCTCGACAACTTCGGCAATCGGCTACATAAATCCAGAGTAGACGAAGCTCATCCAGTGATAATTGAATAAAAGCATACATTGCTATATTCCCACAAACTACACTAAAATAACCTCACATTGTACTAAAGATTATTAAAAGCAATTGTTAAGTGTGGTAGCCTTAATCCTCTTCCTGAGTTGCATTTCGAACTTGGAAAGCTTTCAAAAGATCATATGGAGCTCCAATGTAGTTTTCAAAGGCTTCGAATTCTCATAAAAAGTGAATTGCAGAATCTACGGTGAACAATGAGGATAGTTTTGGGAGTAAACTGATTTAAATTAGGTCAATACCAAATTCAGACCAATCGACAGGAAATTATACATCAAACTACTGGCTGATCAAACTATCATTAAGCAAAAGCAAAAATGGAAGAAAAAAGTGTCCAGAAAACTTCTTAACTCATCAACAGCTAAAGCCTGAACAAAAACGAGTTAAGAGACAAGCAATTTATTGAAAAAGCCGAATCCAAAAACCTGATTATCAGCTGGATTGACAGAAGAAACGATGGAGCCATTCCCCTGCCAAACACCATTAACATAGCAACCCGAATTGGTCGGACCAACTCCGATTTCCTTCAAAAACTCGTAATCCTTCTTCCCGAAAGTCATTGCTGCAGATTCCAAATAAATAAAATAAAATAAAATATAGAGGCAAAGCCAAAAATGAAACCCTAATCCAATCCGGATTCAAGTAGAACAACTACCAGCAAGTGGAAAACAATACAATTTGAAAACCGAAAAAACAGAGACAGACATCAGCGGCATTTGGATAGATCATAGATGGCGAAGCAAGAACAGTAAGTACCGTAGGCTGGAGAATTAGCACTTAATTCTGACATAGCGCGAAGTGCGTGCGAGTGAGTGAGAAGGAGACTTGCAACAATGGAGGCAAGGAGAGCTGAGATCGATGGTATATAATGGCGATTGAAAGACGGATGGGTCAGTGAGCAGAGAGACGTGCTCCTTTACAACTCTACTCTCAAGAACTATTATTATTATTATTATTATTATAATTTTCTAAATTTAGTTTCGATACTTTTTAACACTTTGGTTATAAGTTACTCCCTCCGTCCAAATATTTTGAACTTATTGATACGGAAATTTAGCTAATTTATAATTAATAGGTAATTAATAAAATATTTTAATAAAAGTAATTATTATTTAATAAAAATAATTATAAATTAAAATTAAAAAAAAATAAATAGTTTAATTAAAATTAATAAAAATATAAAATTTACAATGTAATTAATGTGTATGATTATATTTTTAAAAATAAAAAAACAAATTACGTGGATGAACGAAAATAAAAAATAGAGATAAATTGTATAAGCAGAATAGAGTATTTTTTTCAGTCTTATTTATTATGTTAATTTTTCATTTTTGTCTGTCATTTTTTTTTTCAAAAAAATATACATTTTAATTTTATTTTAAATATTTTAATTTATAATTTTTTAATTTTAATTGAATTAATTAATTATTATAATTTTAATTTATAATAATTATTTTTAATAATATATTTTTAATTATTTACTAATTATATTCTTTTTAAATTTTTCATGATTATGATAAAATGGACATAATACCTTAACTAAGGAAGTAAATAGTATAAAAAGATTGATTATGGCGTATATGCTTATGTTGTGTGTTGCGCCAAAGATTTTTTATATTAGTATAACGGCCGCCATAAATAAATAATTAGGGTTATGTTTATCTATGTTTTAAAATTACATTTAATATTATTTACTAACAGTATCTTGCTAAAATAAATAGTTTTTATATAAAAATATTACATTGTATACTTATTATGATAATATTAAATATTTTTTATTTACTTCTTAATTAATTTTAAATTTATAAATATTTTAAAAATATTTACGATTCCCCTTTACAATAAAAGTAATAAAAGAAAAGGAGGAAATTGTTGGTAAATGACACGAGTAAGTTATGTGTCGTTATCAAGTAAGAGAGTTCGTAACGGATATGCAAAAGCTGTCTGGATAAAGTTCAGGAATAAACCAAAATTCATTTATATTTTTTCGCTTTACAATTTTTTAAAAGAAAATGATAAAAAAGTTTTCTGTACTATCATTATTATTGTATTTTAACATAAACATGCCCATTTATTGAAATAAAAGCACCGTCACAAAATAATAATAATAATAGTAGTAACAAACAAAAAATTTTTCTACATAAAAATTTCCCACGTGGTTGAAGTATAGCTTTTTTGTGTTGATAGACTTTTTCTTTTTAATCAAAATAATTTAAATAAAAATTGGTCTATTTTGTGTCTGAAATTAAAAATTATTTTTGTCATTCAATTATAAATTTTATCAAATTAATGATTTAATAAGATATAATACCTAAAAGTATAATTTGATTTACTGAACAGTAGGTAATTTTCAGCTAATAATAATAAAAAATAAATAAATGGTTGAAAATACTCCATGTTTCTGCAATCTTATATTGTAAACCTTATTCAATCATATTATATATTCTGAGCAAAAGCAAAGCAAACAAAATTAAATATCCAAAACTCACCAGACAAACATACCCAGTGAAATGAAAAACTGAAAACTGGTAAAACAAAATATACTTCTTAAAAAAAAATAATAATAATACTAATAATAAATAAAATCTAAATAGATAACCAAAACTTCCCACCAAAATTCAACCAAAAAAACACAAATCTGTTCTACCTTGTATGGCACATTTAGTAAATAATTCATCGAACGATGGCCGCTAATTTACACCTGGTAAGAGACAAGAGAAACTGATTAGCGATATTTAGATTGTAAAACGCGATGGAAAACAAACAAGCAGAGTCTGCCGAAGGTTCGAACCTCAGCTATAGGTTGTAATAGTTAAGGTTGGTCGAAAGAAAGAACATAGTGGAAATTTTAATGTTGTGTATCGAGATGGAAGCAAACTGACCTCTTGATGGCAATGCAGATCGAATACTATATATATGTGTCGCGTTGCTATCTCAAACCGATGCTGCTTTTCTGCATAGCTCTTAGCTTTTCAATGAGGGACTGGTAAAATGATCGCATCCCTTTAATGTTGTCGTTGTCCTGATGTAAGAGAGATCAGAGACTTCACTTTATTAATATGACAATGTAAAGCATGAATATTATGTTCGATCCAATCAAGCTCGTGTCTATCTCACAACTCTAAGAGCACACCGAAGGAAATAGGCACATTTTTATGTGACGGAGAGAGTATTTTTTTTGCAAAGTTTTGTTGTCATGATTTTTAATAAAAATGTAAAATATCACAGTAGTTAATATTTTAACAAAAAATACAATACTAACTCAAACCAAACACACCCCATGATATCTTTGAATCGAAAAAGTGTGTATGATATATTAATTACCTGCACCTTTTGGCAATACTGCTCAGCCAAGTCTTGAGGGCAGTGAATTTTTCGGAGACCTCTTGAGACGAAGTGGAGGAAGAAGACATTGCCGAATTTCTCATACATGACCTTTTGAGCGATTACTATCTCGCCAAACAATGCCATCTGCGCAAACACAAGCTCGCCTTAAAATGCTTAATATGAAGAATTGAAATCACAAATGAAATATATTTCTTGTAATGGTCATCTTTATGCAATCAATTTTCGCTAAAGCTATGTTATTCTCGTAAGTATGTATGAAGATTATTTCAGATACGAACTCCTTACAGTATTTGCATCACGAAAATCAAATGACTTGTCGAGCACACTGTAAAGGCAGCAATTTGGTGCAAATGCTTCGATTATGAATCTGGGAAAACCAGGAACCTGAAAATAGTTTACTTTACTAATTTTGAAAACAAAAACTGCAGGAATAGCAGTCCAAGAACAAGATACCTTCTCTTCTCTGTAGGGATCGCCGCACCAATCTTTGATTAGCCGAACAATTATCTGAACACAAGCCTGTGGAGAAACAAGAGATTTCAGCTCCCAACATCACACTATCCCACAAATTTTAAATGAAGATCCCCAATAAGCACTTGTGCGCCAGAATCGAGGCCATACCTTCCTGACAACAATGTCCTTATGATTACAGCAAGTGTACGACAGCAGAGATATCATCATCTCCAAGTACGGATAAGCTTTGGGCAATATGAAAATTGATGAAAGATCATGTGTCGCAATCACATGTAAAAACGTAAAGAACATTTTCTGAAGCTCTCGGAGTTCACGAATTTCCTAAACAGAAGGTAAGAATTAACAAGTCAAAGAATGTTCGACAGTGCATCTTTAATTTATGAACACTCTCTTCTTAAGAACCAGCATATTGAACCCTCCACGTTCCACTGTATACAAATGACAACTAATTTATCAAGGTAATTCAATGCTAAGCTGGTTTTAAGAAAATAATTTCATCGCCTGAGCAATGAAAGCAATATTAAAAAGCAAATGTGCACCTCAGTACAGCCGCCAGGTCCGGCTGGAATATCATCCTTTGGTAGAATACTGAATACCCTACTAGCAAGTACAGGGTATACGTCTTCCAAAATATGAGATACCTTAATACTAAATTTGCAGATGAGCTGATTGAGGAGAACCATAAATCCCACCAACTCCTTAGGCTGCAGCATTAGTAATTTTGATTGCTCAGTTTTATCGTGTACACAAATTTACAGACAAAACAGCTGATATATAATGTATTCATATTGCGAAAGAAAGCTGCAGTAATGGCCAACATACTATTTCCTAACCTCCGGCCCTCCCAACGGAAATGATCTTTTAAGACAAACAAATACCTACTTATTACAGAGAAGCGATTTATGGGTCAAGTATACGTCTCCATATCCTTGTCACATTGGTTTCGTATACAGGAGTGAAGACATCTTTTTTATTAGCTTGGGAATTAAAATATCAAGAACTAACCAGATAATCAAAGAATATCAGATGCAACTTTCAAATACAAAAAATCATTGAGACATCATATGGCACATATAAACACTTCAACAGCAATAAAGACTGAAGAACAATGACAGAAGTGAAGCCTGGAGCTAAGACAACTATAGGAGGCATGTACATATTCAAATTGGCAGTCAAAATACTGACATATAATTTATTATTTTCTAAACCAAATAACTAAAATAATTAGGTGTCATCAATCAAAAAGGCTGAGTGGAAACATATATACCTCACTTTCTCTTAGCAATTGCTCCAATGCCTTTGGCAGATATGGAAAAACAGATACTCCTAAAATCTCCACCATGCGGTGAATGAAAGACGTGACCTAGAAAAACGACGCATCATTTAAATAGAAAGGTTCTGATTAAAAAAAAAAAAAAAGAGAGAGAGAGAGAAAGAAAAAGAAAAAACCGGAACATGTTGTGAGTTGATCCTGTGAATTATATAAATTCTTACCTTACTCCTTAGAAGTTCTACCTTTGGATATACAACAAGTATTTTAAGCAGTGTATCCAATGTCTGTATGAAAAATCAACACATTAGAATATGGCAAAAAACAAGACAGCAGATACTGTAATTATAGCCCAGATTTAGATAATGACGGAAAAAAAAAAAAAAAAGCAAACAGCTTTCAGCTGTACTTTATTTTATATAAGTGGAACGCAAATAAATGGCCGAAATGATTAAAAGAAACTTCTATAATATCTTTACTGCAGTGGAGGGAAATATTACATTGCGGCATATATTAGTATCTAGGTGATTAAAACTATGAAGAGTTAAATTTATATTGCTTATCTAACTAAAGCTCAATGCTCCAAACAACGTGGGCCATGTTTTGTTTGAAGGAAAGTATTTGCTTACCAAACGCACTCTCACTATAAGATATATTTATGATCCACTTAAAGCTTTGAAAGAGTTCAACTACGCAAACATTTATTGCCTAGATTAATTAATTGTGAAACTACACCTATGTAGTTATCAAAGAAAAATAAACAATAAAATGATCTGTTCAAGTTTCAAATTTAACCTGTTTGAACATGAGACCAATTGCAGGGCGGCTAGATGTTGCAAGTTTGTGGCTGAATCCCTGGACAACACAAAATTCGAATCTTCATTGTAATTTGTAAACATTTCAGATCAATCATCTTTTGCTCAAAAAGGAAAACTAATAATAATGAAGAAATGAACATATCACCCATTATGTTGAAGTTTTATTCCAACATAAATCCACACGATGTAAATGGACACTTCAAGTTATACTATAGTACAAATGAAAGAAAAATAAGGAAACGTAATCAATTAGAAAACAAAAATCAAAGAAATATGAAGAATTGACAGATACCTTGCTGAGGGCATTAATGGCCATTACTATCTGCTGGATATTTCCAATCTGTGTGAGAGACTCTTCATGATTCAATGACTTGCCATTTAAGAGCGTAGACTCAACCTGGGCGGGAATGTAAATATATCAAATTCAATTATATGAAATAAAAAGGGGGTTGCATAAACGGAAGCTTTATGGATAATGAAGTTGGACCTGATTGCACAAAGGTATAAGCAGTGCTGAAAGATAGTTCGATTGCTTCTCAAGGGGAACATCTTCCATCCCAATTAACAGCCCGACTGCCTACAGAGGCCAAAACATGATATAAATCCAAACATCAATCACATCAATCATATACTTTTACTAGTATTAAAATACACCAGAGAAATTTACCTCAAAGATATGACTGCCATCTTCAGTTCCTGAAAGTTCCTTTGAGGCACTATGCACTCTAGTAGATTGAGCAATTATATCCTGCAGACTCTGAAAATAAAGCAAAACAATAACAAGGAAATTAGTAAACATGGTTCATGTTCCCTTGTCCGACGTCTCTAAAGCCTGGAGAAAGTTATTTCTGACGGGATACCTGCAAGATTGTATCTATGTAAGGGACAAGCTTTGCTTTGAGCAATTTCACAACTCTCATGAACAGGTAACCTGCTCTTCGACTGACAAGGGTATTTGGATGACGTATACCTCTCTCATCAAGAAAAGCACACAACGCTACGGGGATGTATTGAGTATTCTCCAATACAAACTTCATATATCTGGTTATTGTATCTAAGTATACAAGCGCTACAAGCCTGTGGGAGTGACAAGGAAATTTTGTGGATAGAAGCATCGGGACCAATTCCTGCAGTAAACCATTACCACTTCTAATGGCCTCATCCCTCAATGATTCTCCAAGCTCGTAAAATAAGGAAAGTGCAGCTTCAACTTCTTCAACATGACTATCTTCAGAAGAAGAAATAGCGCTAGAAAACGTGTTTCTTATAAATATCTGCGTAACATCTGGTGCTACACGGCCTATACTCCGGAGCAACACAAATGAATCCTTCCTAAATTCTGCAATTCTGTCTTCCTCTTCTCTACCAACCTTGTCCAGCATATCTAAATTATTACGGTACATGGGATCAATTCGAATCTGAGATCGGATCACTTCCAACATCTGGCCAACATGAAGCAACTGTGCCTCCGTCAATGTGGAAAGACCTTTCATCATTCCGACATACATTGAGAAAAACTGAATGATGCTGAAAGCTGAATCGAGCTTCCAATTCTGAATGACATAAAATATCGAAGGCAGAACCTCATTCAGGAGTTCTAATGCAACCGACTTACCATCCTCTGTGCTCAAACTCTTTGAACATTCCAAAACTTCGGTGGCATAACCAGTGAGCAAATCAGCCACACTGGATACGAATTCCAAGTCACCATCCCCTGCAACCAGCCTAAAAACTCTTATAATTTGAAGGTCCTGCAAAAGAGCCAGCTTCGGTTTCGGATCCATCCTCTTTGATACTATCGCAAGAACAACACCAACAGAAGCACCCCGTAGCTGATCGGGAAATCCTTCAACCAGCATCAATTCAAACAACATTTGAGTGAACACATCGTTAACAATCAATCCAATGTCAATCCAAGAAATATATCTGCTCATTGAATCCAAAACAGCCGAACACAATTCAGGATCCGACTTCTTATACAGCAAAATAATCTCGTAACACGCCCCAACAATCTGTGGCACACACTGCGCCCTCATCGCATCCTTGATTCTCCCGGCAGCAGCTATCTCATCCTCATTACGTGGATTATCCAAGCTAATCAACTCATCATCCAAACCATTCAACATCCGACAAAACATATCAATGACAGAAGCTCCTTTACTCAAATTCGGCAAGAAATCAACAAATAGCGATGGCCAAACAGATGGATACTCGAAATAAATCAATGCTACCAGAACTTGCGCAAGCTTATTCTTTATAAATGCAGGACCATCCAATAACCTCACAACGTTATCATCACTGCCACCATTAACACCCATTAAAAACACAGATTTCCTTATCAACGACTTCTCCTCCTCCTGCATTGAAAAATACTTCGCACGGACCACATCATGGAGGCACTGCAGACACCAAAACTGAACCTGAACAAGGTTACAAAACCACAGCTTCTGTATGCACAGACTACATATCCCCGGATTCTCTTTAGCTTGCTGCAGAAATGCAACAGCCTGCAATTTGAGCGCCGAATCAACCCCAGGGGACTCATCGAAGCTTATAATAACCGCTTTTTCCAGGTCATCCATAATCATAACCGTAACACCCACCCACCCCCTAAAGCCCTAAACCCTACTAAGATGTATATAATCAAGTCAATAAATAACCGGCTTTGATTGCTCGCTGAATCAATTTCGAGCTATATTTGTCAGATGCAGCGTCTGATTATCCTCTCGGATTCTAAATGCAGGTGATCAAATAATTGGAATCCCTAACAATTTTTACATCCGCGTTAAACAGAAAGCGAGCAGAGAGAATCGAATACCTACTCTTCCGACTGGGAAATCATCGGGAATGGAGGAGTGAAGCAGCAGCAGGGAATCTAGTCTAGTCTCGAGAGCCGCAGAGAAATCGTACGGTGTAACCGCCCATATTTTTAACATTTTATTTGTGATTTTGTATGTTCTTTTATTGTTTACTAATTAGGGTGTATATTTTATCATCATCTCATCTTTATATTTGGCAAGATATGATTACACCCAATAATACTCTATTTTCGGACCAATTTACTCTTTCGTCGGATAACTTGTGTTAATTAAAAAAAATGTATTAATAAAAATAATTATAAATTATAAAATTAAAATATATAATTATATATTTTTTAAAAAATTGACAAATTATGTAAAAAAAAAAAAAAAAAAAATGTTGAACGAAGTGAACAATTTGTGTAATTTGTTTATTAAGTAATGCTTAAAAAAATATATTTTTTTTCGAAAAATAAAAAAAATTCAAATAATAAAATTTGAAAAAATATTTGTAAAGAAACACACCCTAGATGTTTATTTGTACTTTGAAACACTTTATATAGCATTTGAACTAAATTGTATCCTGACTTTGATGCTTAGTTTCAAATTTGATGAATTGTTTGATTCACAAAATATTTTAGTGTAATAATAGTCAAACAAGTACAGAATAATATTTCCGTAGTGAATTTGGAAGATTTGCGATCAATGGATGTATCTTTCAATATTTACAACAATATATTATATGGGACCAAAATGGAAGATAAAAATAAACACATTCAAATCAAGGAATCTGTAAAAATTTGCTAAATATTACCCCTAACACAGTTATACACACCAAATAAAAACGAAGGATGGATCATAGAGATTTAACAACACAAAAGGGATTCATGTTGTCAACAAGAATATAGATACACACATATGTATATAGATGTATGTATATGAAGAAATTCACCTCGTCGACTAATGTTAAAAAAGCATGTATCTATCTCGGGTGTTTAGCTCCGAGGGGAAAAGAAACTCGTTGAGGAGTACCTTGAGGCAAATCTCTGCGATCCTGAGGTGGATTAGAGTTGTTCGGGTTGGGATTGGGGTCGGCAGTTTCTTCATCCTCTTCTGTTTCTTCGGCTGGTTGGGTATTTTGTCGCTTTGGAATGGCGAGTTGATAGTTGGGGCTGATCAGAATGTCCTGTTCGGGAGGGAGAGGGATTCCAGGCCCCGGAACAGATTTAGGCAACGGGATCTTGTTCCTGCTCTGGGCTAGTTCGAGCAGTACCTGTCAAGAGAGGATTCGATGATTATTCCATGTCCGACATAAAAACAGCGATCTTGAACAATTTTCAGATGCATAAGTTCAATCAAAATTTAAATTTGCTCAAACCGAAAGCTACATTGCGTTTAAAGTGCTTGGAGTTAGTGAATAATGAAATCTTGAAATACTAAATATGAACAAGATTCGGATTATATGGTTTTGCATTATCGACCAAAGTTAAATTTGCTGAAACCGAAACCTAGATTGTGTTTGAAATGCTTTAGCTAACAGATAATCAGATCTTGAAATGGTAAATATGAACAAGATTCGGATTATATGGTTTTGTATTATCAAACATGGAAAACAATATTCTAGTCGGACAATCAATTTATCTAGTATGTCAAAAGGGCTGTAGGGGCTGAAGTTTTCTAACCAATCTATAGCACTGCAGTATTACTCATCAAAATTACTTCTATGGCGATCAAGAAATGTCATAGCCACGTGCAGGGTGCCACGTGCGCTATCCGTTAGCTTATGATATAGAGCTTTTTACTGTATTTATCTATACTCCCTTCAAGTTTTGAAGTTACCTCTAATGTGTGTTTCTTAATATCGATTGAATTCCAAATAATTACATTGGATAGTATTAAGCGATCCGAACATTTTAATTGATTTAAGCTTATAGAGAATACTCTTCTCATTTGACTAAGCTATAATTTGCTATTCTAATCCCACAACTTGAACATAATCCTAGAATGAAAAGGGTCAAATCATAGAGTTTGAATCACATAATATGTAGCAAAAAATTACCTCCCGAGGCGGAGGCTGCGCGAAACTAAAATTGACTTTGGATTGAATTGCAAGTTTCACATCATCAGAATCGATTCCAGATTTTCCAGCATGTTCTGAGTAGATTTGGGCATCTGTTAGAACATCGACAGCATATCGATACCAAAGCTCTAAAAATTGATTGACAACACGAGGTTCATAATCTTCAACATTCATTGATTTCAACAATTCTTTTACAATCTTTGCATCCCTGGGCACGTCCTCTTCCCCAGCATCAGCCATGTCTCAGTCCTCACTGTAGCAAATGCTAATATTTCTTAGTCTTCCTCATACATATTCATCAAATTCATTGCGGTATACGAACAACTATCAACAAAGCACAGATAACATCAAAACAATGAAACACAAAATTAAATATCTATAAGAATGATAAAGCTTAAACTTAAAAAATCAACCCTCCACTTTTCACACTACACTATCAGTTTCAGAAGAATCTGTTTGTGTGTAGTTTCGGCTCCGGATTGGCAGAGTAGCCAATCCTAGCCTGTCAGGCTATTACTGGTTTTCCCCTTTTTTTTTTCGGAACCGAGGATGACGTCGGCCGAGGAAGAGAAGCGCAGACGAAGGTGACGAGGTGCGGAGTGAAACGACGGCAAAGGCGACCGCCTCACCCCTCCGTCCGCCCAAAACTCCGACGGCGGGCGGAGAAGAGAACACAGAAAAAAAAAAAGAAAAAAAAAAGTACAAATTACTGAAAAAACCATATTCAAAACCTATTCCAGAATTCAAATTAACCACAACATGAAAAATTACCTGCAATATTGCCTCAGGAGACTAATCTCAGATTCCTTAACAGCGCAGAAATCCACTGGAGACACCGGAGCAGATCAATCGGAAATGCGAAAATCCGACCTGCTAGGGCTTATATACTGAGCCATTCTCATTGAACTTAAATAAATTTTTAGAAACCAATAATTCCTATTGGGCCAGAGAAAAGATATATTGGGCCATAATGGCCCAAACAAAATTAAAATTGCAAAAATAAATAAAAATACAGCAAAATTCCAATTCAGCTCTCAACCAACGCAGATATAGTGATAAAATAATTAAATAAATAAATCTAAGGCAAACAATCCACTAATGCATAAAATCATTCAAAACTTCTGTCTCTCAATAATATATATATATATATATATAGGCAGCTGCGATGTATGCATGGATATCAGTTGCTGTTTGAGGGTGTGGCGCTGGAGGGGCCACTAGACGACGCCGTTTCGGAACTCTGCAATTGTAATTCAATGTTAATATACTTTATTGTATTGTACCTGGAAATGGAAGAAGGGTTTATGGTCAATTTGGGGCAGAGCTAGGGTTCCGAATTAACCACATGGCGGTCGTCGTCTGGACATTGTTGAAGAAGTCGTACTCTGCAGATCGTGTATTGACCTCAACCGGCAGCTGCGGCGGCGGAGATGGGCCTGATCCGTACTTCCGGCGGAACTCAGTTTGGGAGGCCGGGAAGAAGAATGTACTGGTAAGAATCAAGACGTGTGACGATATAAAATTTACAAATATGTAAGGTTAATTAAATAGAATAAAATGTTATTATAAGGAGATGAAAAGAGGGACAGATGCAAATTAAATTGTAATTATTCAAATTGATAAATAAAAATTTATTTAGGTGAATAATATTAGTATTTTATAATATAATTTCTTAGGTATCCATTTTTATCCCATAAAATTGACTAATTATTTTTCTTATATACATTTTACTTAAAAATAGATATATTCGAAAAATGTTTCGACAAATCTGAAATTATTTTTATTGTGGTTTATAAAAAAATTGTAATGTTTATAGAAAATTTGAAGGCGCGTGAACTTCTGCAACAAAATCTTCATGCGGTACACACGGTCTTATAAAATCAGGAATTCAATTGACTCGACGAATATAAAATCTCGATTTGTAAATTTTTTAAATAGTTGTTTTTATTTCTTATCGGATCGGAAAATTAGGCATGAGTGTGCTGGAGAATATTCAAAATTTGATCTGGATATCTATTTGTATATTGCACGCGCACCACGCGCACGAGATCAATACGATGAATCAACTTAAGGTGTGTTTGTTTGGGGGTTTGGATTTTGAGTTGAGATTTGAATAGTAAAAATTTTGAATTTGAATAGTTGTATGATGTGATATAAATATGTGTTGATGTGATGTTTTGAATGTAAAATTGATTTTTAAGTATAATATAAAATAAAAAATAAGCGTTTGATTTGATGTTTTTTTGGGGGAAAAAAATAAGATGAATAGTGGAAATCTAATTCACTTTCCCAAACAAACATACATAAAATCACCACATAACAACAATGAAACTCAAATCATCGTAGATAAAATGGCGAGAAAAAACACAAAAGCATTTAATTGAAGAGAAGAAAAGAAAGTATAAACCAAAAACTAAAGAAGACCAAAAAAAAAAAAAAGTAATAAATAAATATATTACTCCCTCCGGCCATAACAAACTTATTTTTTTATTTTATTTCATCCCATAATAAAATATCAATTTTTTTTAGTAATTGTACTATGTACCTAACATTACAAATACTCTTACAATTTACAATATATTACACAAATATCATTATATTTATATCACACAATACTAATAAAGTTATTTTAGTAATTTTTACTTTATTCATACTAAATTTTAATATAATACTAATATTTCTAAAATTTCATATAAAAAGCAAACGAATACCTAGTTATGAGATGAAAGAAGTATAAGGTATGGGGTATATAAAGACGAAAAAAAAAAAAAAAGATAATATAATTATTTTTTAATAAAAAAATATACAAATACATATTATAAGTAAGTAAATGATGGATTTTTGACTGTTTTAATCGAAAATTAATTTTCACATTTATGGTTAAAAATATTAAGTTGTATTTGTTCAATTTTTGCAAAATCATTTTCTTTCTAATAAAATCTATATTAAATATTCAAAATAATTATGTTTTCTATTTCAAATTATAAATTCAAAATATTACTGAATACAAACACACGTGCATATATTCATAAATAATATATGTATATATTAATGAACCACAAAATAAATAAATAGTTAGGATTTAAACTTATCAGGTAAATTGAAAACTATTAATCACCCTACCAGCTAGTAACAATTAATTTTATTTATGATTGTATGTATATATAAAATATATTATTATTTCTAAAAATGTTTTTGTAATAATTATACCTTCTATAAAATTTCATAATATAGGTTTTATGGACTTTTGAAGAATATAACTTATTTAGAGAATTATATTAATACAATAATATTGTTTATGGTAATTTTTATTACTTAATTTTATATTTAGATTCAAAATTCAAATAAATAATAATAATAATAATATTGTATATTTTTATATAGTAATTTATTTTTATTATTAACCATATAATTCTTTTCAACATTGTTTTTTTTTTATTTCAATTTTCAATTTCGATCTCACAAATTATTTTCTAAATAAGTAATATTTTATAAATATTTTTGTGATATTACGTATATATTATTAAACTATTCACCTTCATGCTTATCTATATGTTGTATACATTAAATTTAAATCTCATGTTCAATTCAATAAATTAGTATTATTATTATTACTATTTATCAAATATACTAAATAATTCAAGTAAAGGTGATAATAAATTTCATCAAATATGGTCTAAATTATTCATTATTAATTTACTATATTGCATCTTCATTTTTTATTTTTTATTTTTTATTCTACTAAATATTCAACATTATATTAATAAAATTTCAATCTTTATGGTTCGTCTAGTGTGACTTTCCCGTTGGACCTGATTTGCGGGTATTAGGTTCGGCCCAGGGTTTATCCAGTGCGCACTTTCGAGTAGCGGTTACGAATTTTATGTCATAAAAAAAAAAAAATTAATCTTTAGTAATTAATTTAATTTCCAACACACAAATTTCCTAAGTAATTTGATTTTTTTTATTTTATTTTGTATTAATTGTTATATCAAGCATATATATATATATATGACAGGTGCGTTTCCGCCTATCATTGTAATTTTTCAATAATATTTTAGAAATCCCATGTAATATTAAAAATATAGTGAAATTTTACAACAAAAATTTTATACGTGTCAATTGAAATCTTACCGAATGCATTGTCTTTTTCCGTATTACAAATACATAATATATTTTATATAATATAATATATTATGATGATGATTGTAATAATTATAATAATAATAAATATAATACTCCTCCGTCTCGTATAAAGTGTAACATTTGCTTTTTGCACTTAAATTTTTTAATATCAGTATTATATTGGGGTTGTAGTTAAAAAAAGACAAAAATACCCTTATGAGTATTGTGTAATATAAATGTGGTAGCATTTGTGTAAGATATTGTAAGTTGAAAGCGTATTTATTATGTTATGTAGGTAGTACAATTACTAAATTAGGAAATTGTACCGTTGTTTTGTAACAGACTAAAATGAAAAATAGAACCCTTCTTATGGGACGGAGGGAATATTATATTTTGAACTATTTATTTTATTATTATTATTTTTTTTTTTGTCTTGGGACCGGATTTGTTTCTTTTAATAAGTTTGGAAAAATTTTGGTTTGAGTTTTGTATTAAAATAATGTATGATGAGATATTTTGTTAAAGAAAAAAAAATATTTTTTTTTTTCGAGAAACCCATAGTTCAAATAGTAGAATTTTGAGAGTTTTGGTGTAAAGAAACACACCCTAATGATTTGTTTTCATGTGGTGATCTTATGTGTTGAATTAATTCATCGTGTAATTTTCGTGTGCGCTCAGCTAGATATGGATATAGGGATTAAATTTTGAATTTTCTTGTAAATCTTGTTCCAGACGCCTAATTTTTCAATTTGGAGGAAATAAAATATAACTTTTAAAAAATTTATAAATCGGAAATTTTATTTTTGTCGAATAGGCTGAATCTTGAATTTAATTAGTCATTGAGCATTGAAATTTGTTGTGGAATTTCACATGTCTTTCTTTCAAATTCGTCACTAACATTCTAATTTTTCTATAAATGAGCGTAAGAATAGTTTTACTATTCTTGAAATGTTTTTCGAATATTTTTTTTAAAAAAAATAAAATCTATAAATATATATATAGATGTTGATGAAATTATATTATAAAATATTTAATTGAAAACGTATATATATATATAAATTCATTACCTGTGAAGAAAATTTTGTAACATGACAAAATTTGATGTCTTGAGTTTATATTGCGACAATTAATGAATTTTGCCTTTTATGATTATAATCAAAATTTTTTATTAAAAACTAATTTTCTATGTAAATATAATATTTATATTTACTTTAAAGATTTTTTAATTCTTATTGTATTATATATTTTATTATTGTTGAGGTAGGAGTTTGTAATTAAATTGGTCACGCCCATCAACTTAGGTAGTTTATTCTATAACAATGGATTGTATTTTGAAGCTGACAATTACTATTATTTATTATTATACTGGATTTTAAATTATTACTTCATATGTTTTACGTCGATGTTTTTGTTACATCGTATTTTGAGGCCGATAAAATTTATTGATATTGCATCTTAAATGACAATGTTACCCGATGTATGTATTCAAAGAGAACAATTTTATTGAATCAACAAAACTAAACATTGAAATTTAAATCATAAGTCTTTGCCCAATTCATTGTCATTTTCTAATTTGAAGGTCCTGCAAAAGAGCCAGCTTGGGTTCCGGATCCATCCTCGTCGATATTAGGGTTCCGACCAGCACGGCGGTTGTCGTCGGGGAAATTGTTGAGGAAATCGTACTCTTGAGGTCGGGAATTGAGATCAACGGGCGGCGGAATGGGGGCCGAGAAGGGGCCTGATCCGTGCCTGCGGCGGAACTCAGTTTGGGAGGCCGGGAAAAAGAATGCTCTGTGGAGGGCGGAATACTGTGCCGGCGACCTTCCCATCACGGCGGGACGAGGCTCGCCGGATAGCACGAAGGTGCGACTAGGGAAGCGGGATTGCATTTGCACGATGGCGGGACTAGGAAAGGCGGAGTGCAAGACGGCGGGGCGAGGCAGGGCAGATTGCAATTGAACGGCGGCGCGAGTAGGCAGGGCGGATAAATGCACGGCGGTGGGAGGAGGCGAGATCGATATATGCTCGGCGGTGGGAGGAGGCGAGATCGATATATGCTCGGCGGTGGGAGGAGGTGAGATCGATATATGCTCGGCGACGGGAGGTGGCGAGATTGAAAATTGCATGGCGGCGGGAGGAGGCGAGATCGATATATGCTCGGCGACGGGAGGTGGCGAGATTGAAAATTGCACGGCGGCGGGAGGATGCGCGGCGGGTACTTGCACGGGAGCGGTGAGAGGCGGTGGGGCAGAAACTTGCACGGCGGGGGCGGGAGGGGGAGGCGGGGCAGATACTTGAACGGCGGCGGCGGGAGGCGGCGAGTCAATTTGCATGGTGGCGGATCTTGGGGCCGGCATTGGCTTGGACCCGAATCGGCGGAGCTGCTTCTGGCGATCGGCGGCGGCGGCAGCCTCCGACGCGGCTTGAGACTTGGCTCGATTGTCCGGCAAGCGCCAGTTGTCGTTGCGGCACTTCTGCAGGGCCATGTACTCGTGAGTTAGTATTGTATTATTAGAGGATTGTAACAATGGCGGAATTAATTTTTAAAAAGAAATTGAATTAATTAAACCTGGAGATGGCTGGCGACTTGCATCCTCGTCAGCCCCGGAACGTTCATCAACTCCAGAATCTCCTTGGGGAAGCAACCTGCAGATCATCATCAATTCGTGATAGATAGAAGGATATTTTACTCTTATAATTCAAGAGAGTTTGCACATGATTAATGTAAGAAAATAGAAGGTTTTTATGTTCTTACGTCCTTCCCCGAGCTGTTCGACGGCGTCCATGAATTTACTATGCAATTCCTTGGTCCATTCAGTGCACATCTTCTTCCTGAAGTGGGTACCGCGGGAGAGGCGGCGGTTAACGGCGGGATTCTCGCCGCCGCCGGAGATCTTCAGGCTGCTCTTTCTGCTGCAGCCGGCCTCATTCTCGGAAGGTTCCGGAAATGCTCCGACAAAACCACCACCGTCACCGCCGCCACCGGAACCCCCCTCAGTAGGGATTCCTACTTCAATCACCTCCGGCGCGGCCACTCCGCCGTGCTTCGCCGCCTTGGTCTGCTCCCGGACCACGTGCTGCCACAGGCAGTTCCCCAGCTCCATGCCCAGCGGCTTCTTCACGCACAGGAACGCCCCGTGCTCCAGGGCCGCCATTGATGTGTAGACATTTTCTTCTTCAGACATCACTGTAAGAAACACGAACACAGATCCAGATCGGCCGTTAATATATACAATTATTCGCCATTTTCAGGGTGGGGGTGGGGGTAGGGGTAGGGGTAGGGATCTTACGTATGACCGGGATCGACATCGACATCGCCTGTTGTAATAGCTTGAACCCGTGGAGGTCCGGCGAATTCATGTTCGCAATCACCATGTCGTATTTGGCTTTTCCTTTCTGCAGCATGGTCATGGCTGTGGATGCCAACTCGACGAAAGTCACTGTTAAAAATCAAGAAAATACGACAATAATTAAGAAATAATTAAACTTAATTAATTAAAGAAAAATCATTACAAAAAGACAAAAAATAGCACTTGGATAAAAAAAGAGATATGCAATTAAAATTTAATCATCCATATCGATAAATGGAAAATTATTTATACAAATATAATATTAAATATTTTTTAATATAATTAATTTCATCTACATATATTTTCAACTCCGTCAATGCAATTAATTAATTATTTCTTTATAGATTAAAAAATAACGAATATTCGAAAGATGTTTCAAAAGCCACAAAATTATTTTTGCGATCATTTATAAAAAAAAAATATGTAAAATCCGTGAAAATTTTGAACGAAAGACGTGTGAAAATCCAAATTCAACCAATTCGACAAAAATAGAACCCCAAATTTGTAGATTTGTAAAATTTATATCTTATTTCCTCCGGATCGGAAAATTAAGTGTCTCAACGAAAGTGCGCCGGAGAAAATTTAGAAATCAATCACGATTTCCACCTCTACCGCACGCGCACGAGATCTACACGATGAATCAATTCAAAACATAAATATCGCAACATAAAAACAATGATAATCAAAATCATCGGAGTGAAAACTATCGGAGCAAAACACATCAGTCGTTTATCAACAAAAATTGTATGTAATTTCGATTTTTGTTCTGATTACCTCTATATCGACACGACTCGAGCAACACAATTGAACGGGCAAGATGCTCGGAGTCGTGATCGACAAGTAAAATATGTATATTGTTCATCGTAACGCCGGAGAAAACACAGAAAGAACGAAGAGAAAACAAAGAACTAAATGGACGACCAACCGAATGAGAGATGACAGTGGATGCCTACACCACTGCCATGGCCAGATATTTATAGGCCGAAAAAACTCATTTAATATAAATTATTTTTTAATAAAAAAAAATATAAATACATATTATATACGTGTAAGTAAATGACTAATGTTTGACTGATTTAAATTTTAAAGAAAAAAATTAAGGCCTGTTTGTTTGATTTTTTTCAACAACTTATTTTCCTAATAAAATATATATTAAATATATAAAATAATTATAATTTTCATTTAAAAATTATATAAATTCAAAACATCTTTGAGCAAAAACAAACATGTATATCTATATTTGTATATATTAATTATATATAAGTATAATTGTGCAAGTAATAAAATTTAAAGTTTTAACAAACAATATAATAAAGAAATAGGTAGAATTTAAGATTTAGGTGAATTTAAAACTATTAATTACCCTTAACAACTAATAGTAACTAATATTATTTATGATTGTATGTATATATTTATATAAATATTTAATTATTTCCAAAATTCTTTATGTAATAATTATACTTTCTATAAAATTTTATAACATATAATTTTACATAGATTCTTTAAAAAACATAGCTTATTAAAAAAATTATATTAACACAATAATATTATGTTTAGTACTTTTTTTTAACTTAATTTTATATTCAAAATCAAATTCAAATACTTAATAATAAATTTATTGTATACGTTTTTTTTATATACTAATTTATTTTTATTATTAATCATATAATTTCTTCAATTTTTTTATTGAAATAAAATTAAAATTAAATTCAAATAAAATATATGTGTTTACAATTTACTTATTTTAATAAATAAATAAATAAATAAATTTATAATATAATATATTATATTCAGAATCTAATATTATGTTTATTATTATTATAATTATTACTATTATCACCGTAATATATCATATAAAATATATTATATATTTGTAATATGAAAAAGACAATACATAGATAACATATTCAATTGACATATATATAATATATTTTGCTATATATTTTCAATATATTACTATTATATGAGATTACTAAAATATTATTAAAAAATTATTAAAATGAGTAGAAACTGACATGTCATATATGTAAATATATATATATATATCATATATGCTGGTTACAAAACCATTAAATAAAAAATTCAAATTAAGTATTTGTTTGTGGGAAAAATCAATTAATTACTAAAAATTAAAATTTTACTAATATATGTGAAATATTTTGACAGAATAATACATACTAAAACAAAAAATAAAATAAAATAAAATTGAAAGATGCAATATAGTAGATAAATAATTAATAATGTTTGAATGATTTCATTATTTGATAAATAATAATTATAATGAGTGAATTTATTGAATTGGATATGACATTTAACTTTTAATGTGTAAAATACATAGATAAGCATGGAAGGGAATATATTAATAATATATATGTAATATCACAAAAATATTTACAAAATATTCTATATTATAAAAATAATTTTCTGACAGATAATGATTTTACTATTGATGAAATTGAAATTTTTGAAATGTAACGTGGCTTTTGTGTAGGTGTGTGTATTTTTAATTTATGTTAGAAGTATTGAAAATTTTAATTAAAATAAGAATAAAATAGTTTCATAAATAAATTTTTTTTGTTGAAATAATTTTTCGGTATCAAATTTGCCATCATGACTCATTGTCGCTGATGTAGCTGAAATATTAACGCCCATCTCAGCAATAACTAGGGTTTTTTTTTTTTCATTTAAAATCGAAAATTTGATTTTATTCAAAATTGGACTTTTTTTAAAAAATAAAAATTATTAGTCAATTTTTTTTAAAAAAATAGCTAATAAAATCTACAATTTATTACTTAAAATTATAAAAATAAAAATAAAAAAATAATTATTATATAAACGTTTTTTATTGAAAAATTGTAATTTTTTTCTAATGATAAATATTAAATTTGTTGAGAGTGTTTTTTACTGAAAAAAAAAAAAAAACATTTGACTAAATTTTTATAATTTATCAGTTAAAATTGCAAAACAAAAAAAAAAATCTTTTTTTCCTTTTGGTTGACAGAAAAAAATTACTCATTCCGATATATGCATGAATTTAGAGGTATGATTAGTAAATCATTAAAAATATATTAGCAAAACTAAATTAAATTTTAATCTATACTTATTTTGGGGCCAAAATTAATAATATAAAAAAATAAAAAATATTGTGTAATTGAATGTTTTTCAAAGGAATTTTTTTAGTAAATAGTAATCCCTTCGTCCCAGTTATCGTGTACGGGTTACAGTAGACACCATAATTTACATGAAGTACAATTAGTAATAATTAAAAATGTATCAATAAAAATATAATATAAATAATTATAAATTAAAATTAAAATAATTAATTAGTCTAATTAAAATTAAAGAAAATTATAAATTAGAAAATTTAAAATAAAATTAAATATATAATCATTTTACAGAAAAAGAAAGTGACAGAGAGACGAACATATACAATAATGTAGATACGATTGGTGAGAAGGAGGAAGTAAAATTTTAGGCAAAAATCTACTAAAAGAATACTCAATAAATTTTTATATTTAAATTAAAATTAATATAATTTATTTATATTAGAATTACTATTGATCGTTCCACATATTTTCCAACAACTTTACAATTGTTTTACGTTAAAGCGTGTTTAGTCATTTTTTGCACAATCTTTTCATTTCTAATAAAATCTATACTAAATAATTTGTGTAAATAATATAAAAATAATAAATATATATATAATATATTATTTTAAAATATATATATATATATTAGAAAATTATTTCAAAAGAAACAAACCCCGGATAATTAGATTTTTTATTAACAAAATTATAAATTCAAAAAATATTATCGAACACAAACAAACGCGTAAATATATATTCATAAATAATGTATGTATATATTAATTAATTATAATTATCCATGTAATAGTATTTAAAGTGACTTAAATAAAGAATAATTGTATTTAAATCGGGTTATTGTTAGAAGTAGGATTTTGCAATTAATCGAAACCATCATTTGCGTATTAAGTCTAGATTATCTTTAGTGATTTTTTAAGTGGACTTTTTTTTATTGATTTGCATTTTGAGACCGTTAACTTTATTTATATTGGGCCTTAATATTATCCAATTCATTACACACTACCAAAAAAATTGTTTTCTATTACGGCCGGA